TTGTTTAGGCAGGCATTTGGAAGAGATATCATTGCTTGCGCTTCCCGAAATCCCCGGGTGGAATCAAGAAACAGATCACGCAGACCAACAAGGCAACGATGACCGAACGATGCTGAGTTGGGCTGCAAAATATGGTCAAACAGAGATTGTTAAAGCTCTGTTATGTGATGGCCGAGTTGATCCAAACCGACCGGGCAAGGATGGTCGAACGCCGCTGAGTTGGGCTGCACAGAACGGTCATACGGAGGTTGTTAAAGCTCTGTTATGTGATGGCCGAGTTGATCCAGACCGACAAGGCAACTATGGCCGAACGCCTCTGAGTTTGGGTGCAGAATACGGCCATACAGAGATTGTTAAAGCTCTGTTATGTGATGATCGAGTTGATCCAGACCGACATGACAAGGATGGTCGAACGCCGCTGGGTTGGGCTGCGCAGAATGGCCATATGGAGGTTGTTAAAGCTCTGTTATGTGATGGCCGAGTTGATCCAGACCGACAAGACAATTATGGCCGAACGCCGCTAAGTTTGGGTGCAGAATACGGCCACACAGAGATTGTTAAAGCTCTGTTATGTTATTGCCGAGTTGATCCAGACCGGCAAGACAACTGTGGCCGAACGCCGCTACGTAGGGCTGCAGTGTATAGTCGAGTGCCTCTGAGTTGGGCTGCATGGAATGATCGTATGAAGGATGTTAAAACTTTGTTATATGATAGCCAAGTTGATCCAGACCGACTGAATAAGGACGGTCGAACGCCGCTGAGTTGGGCTGCATGGAATGATCGTATGAAGGATGTTAAAACTTTGTTATATGATGGCCGAGTTGATCCAGACCGACAAGGCAACTATGGCCGAACTCCTCTGAGTTTGGGTGCAGAATACGGCCATACAGAGATTGTTAAAGCTCTGTTATGTGATGGCCGAGTTGATCCAGACCGACAAGACAAGGATGGTCGAACGCCACTGAGTTGGGCTGCGCAGAATGGCCATACGGAGGTTGTTAGAACTCTGTTATGTGATGATCGAGTTGATCCAAAGCAGCAAGACTACTATGGCCGAACGCCGCTAAGTTGGGCTGCGCAGAATGGCCATACGGAGGTTGTTAAAGCTCTGTTATGTGATGGTCGAGTTGATCCAAGCCGACTGGGCAAGGATGGCCGAACGCCGCTGAGTTGGGCTGCACAGAATGGCCATACGGAGGTTGTTAAAGCTCTGTTATGTGATGGCCGAGTTGATCCAGACCGACAAGACAACTATGGCCGAACGCCTCTAGGTTTGGGTGCAGAATATGGCCATACAGAGATTGTTAAAGCTCTGTTATGTGATGGCCGAGTTGATCCAGACAGACAGGATAACTATGGCCAAACGCCGCTGAGTTCGGCTGTAGAATATGGTCAAACAGAGATTGTTAAAGCTCTGTTATGTGATGGCCGAGTTGATCCAAACCGACTGGGCAAGGATGGTCGAACGCCGCTAAGTTTTGCTGCGCAGAATGGCCATACGGAGGTTGTTAAAGCTCTGTTATGTGATGACCGAGTTGATCCAGACAGACAGGACAACTATGGCCGAACGCCGCTGAGTTGGGCTGTAAAATGTGGTCAAACAGAGATTGTTAAAGCTCTGTTATGTGATGGCCGAGTTGATCCAAACCGACCGGGCAAGGATGGTCGAACGCCGCTGAGTTGGGCTGCACAGAATGCCCTTACGGAGGTTGTTGAAGCTTTATTATCTGACGACCGAGTCAGGTCAATGAGGCAGTCGGACTAATCCTAGACCGATAACATCGAGATATCGCTAGGCTAGTTGATTTATCAAAGCCTCACACCTTTCATATTTATATCATCTCTTTGCTCTTCTCTTCTAAAATCTAGACTGTCTTGCTGCACTTCAAGTTCCTAAGATGTTCGTAGGGTGAATGATATCTCAATTCTCTTAAGGGAAACCATATCGCAAGGTTGCACTCATTCTCAGAAACAGGTCTGTTAGTAGTATCGTCAGAAGTTTGGTAATGCCTCATATTTACATAGTAGTTCCAATGGCATTACTCCATCTTCCATAAACAAAGCTGGCTCTGAGCGAGCGTAAAGATGGGGAACAAGTTCCCTATAATCTAGGCTGAATTCTTGATAAGATAGAATGCCAGTTGTAACGATTCCACAGCCTGCTGAAATGGTCTCGAAGGTAGTGACCGGGCTAAACAGAGACTTTCACGCATAATGTTCAACATTGTGGTCATTAGTTGAGGTAAGTAGTTTGTTGTATTGTTTACTAAGGAGCTCTCATGGGCATCCTTGAGCAGGTGACTGGCTTCCTTTTATACACGATTGATCATTCTCCCTTGAAAATTATCACTGTTCTCTGGTTGATTTTTTCACGTCTGTGTAGTCGATTATCATCCTTTGCTGGATGCTTACCAATACGGCATGTACTATCGTTTCCTGATTGATGTAACGATCCAAACAGACCTCCTGAGATGGATTCGATGATTTCCAGGCTGCTGGATTGAGAGACAGGAGTTCTCACACAACCAAAGTGGCCGTTGTGGTCACCAGTTGGTAAGCAACTGTTTGTATTTCTGACTAGAGGATTTTCTTGGGCCAGATGGCCCTACTTGGAATCTATATACATCTCATCTCATGCACTCTTGTAGCTTCCCTTCCTTCTTCCTCAACAGCACAGACTGTTAAGAGCAAACATCCTTGATTGTTGAGGAACACTTTCCCAATGTTCGGTTATTGGGGGCGGATATCCGCGTTTGATGGGTCACAACTCCCTTCTACTCCGATCAGTGAGTTGCACGGAAGCTACTCTCTCAGATAGAGTCATTGTTGGTCGTGACAATTGACTATTTTTCTTTATGCATTCTCCCCTACAAGTTAAGCCTTCCTTTGTATTTTATCTTGTTCATAAGACAACAAAAAGGAAAAAGAAAAGAGAAAAAAGAGCTAGTCGACCGCTAGGCAAGATCAAACGTCATTCTTTTCCCAGGTCTGGGTCTTTACGCGAGTTCTCATGTGCGAGACAGTTCCGGCGGGACCATGTTAAAGGAAGCAAATAGCCAATTACGGAAAGCTTTTTTGGATCAATATGCTAAGGATCTTATCTTAGCAAAAGGTTATGCATTTTTGTTCGTAAACTTATAGAATGTTAGGGCATCTAGCAGGGAATTTGTGACGATTCCACAGCCTCTTAGGATAGGATCGAATGTAGTGGCCAGGCTGTAGAATCTGGGGGACTGGGGCCCTCACATACTAGTGTACGTGATTTATTGTGATCACCAGCTGTTGGTTGACAACTGTTTGTGATTACGGAGTCCTCGGTATTGCTAACAATGGGGAACAAAGGGGCCTGTTTTCAGCCGCCGACACTTATCCTTTTCGTCACTTCTGTTCCAGAAACATACAAATTAGTGTCGTGGAGGAGCGAAGGCCGCGATAGCTTTGAGTCCTGGAGAGAAGAGTTCTGGGACCCACATCAGATGCATTTGTAAGTCGGTGTTCGATAAGTTGTTGTCCCACGCGATGTAGCCTCACGATGGGGCTGGAGGTGAGACAGCAAGCCACAAAACATTGTAAATACCGTGATATTAGTCGACAATACGGATTACAACAACATTAAGAGCCTTAATTGGGAGTTTGTAAGAAGAGGTATGACTTCCCGACCTCAAGCTGTTCTTGGTCATGGCTCATCACCCTTGCGGTTACTTCTGCCCTTGGCAACTGGCGAATTTATCCTTCAGTATTGGAAACTCGGGCCCAAGACAATAGATTTTCCCTTGGAAACTCTTCATGTCCAACTCAGAAACCTTTTGCCCTCCGGCGTCATGGGTACGACCCAGCACCGTCGAGGGTGAACCCGGTCGGAAAATAGGATAAATAAATGTCCTATATTTTATGTTTTCAATGAAGGTAGCATCTCATTAACTATCAAGTCTGAGAGTCTAGACTGGATGATCAGGAAGGAAGTTGTAACAAGCTGATTGAGAGTATGACGATGTTAACCGCGCCAACCACAGGAGTAGATTTGTGAGTATCGTGTCCTTTTTTGATCTTCAAGCTCGGCGCCGGTTCAGCGACGTCCATTCCTGATGTTCCGGTCGAATGGATGGTACAGGTAATTGGTAAGGAAGATGAGAAGACCGAGTCCAAACCCACGCTGCTATTCTTGCCACAACATTCTTGATCCACCGCTCTGTGGCCACCCTATTGAATGCGCTTTTCCAGAACATCCAGAACATCTAGTCCTCTGCCCTCAATATCAGTGCAAATTGGCCGATTCGGTATCTCCATCTCCCCACATATTTTCCCTCAATAGCTAGCTATATAGTTTCTCCCCTGGTTGCTGGAGTCAGTAATTATTCTATACAAACTGTCAGTGTAGTTTAACTTAATACTTGCATCAATCTCATATCCCGTATAGCATCACGCTCCGTGTTCAGCATATAAAGGGTTCCTGGCAGCTGTCACATTATCCCGCCAATGAAAGCAGGTAGATGATTTGCCGTGTAAGTTTCATTCGAGCGGGTAGCTGAAGAAGTAAAGCGGTTTGTGGGTTGCAGAGCGGAAGGACACGGTATTAATGGGAATGGGGAATATGGCAAAAAGGGAGGCCCCGGCCGCTAACTAGTTTATCCGCCATGACAATGGGTGCGGCTAAACGTAGAATTTGTACAAACATCCTCACAAACGCCAAACACCTTGCAAGGCCCCGCAGTCGTAGAGGTCACGGGGTTTTTACGGGGCTCACTTAAGCGGCGTGCCTTTAGTTGTACGGTGCGAGAGGGGTGCCAAGATTAAGAAGAAAAACGCGGAGGAATGATCGAAGATGAGAACGGAAATAAGCTTGCAAGATCCAAGCTGCTTATATATTGAGGGTTAACTGCCGGAAGGGATCGAGAAAGAAGTATATAAGTGATCATGCTGCTTGCTGTTTTCCTGGTATCCCAGATTCTGTCCGCATCCGTCAGTTCTATCCCCCAGAGCCACCACACGACACTGTCACCATGAAGTTCAATCTCCTTCTCTTGTTAGCGCCGCTGGCAGCGGCTGCTCCCACCCTCGAAACTCGGCAGGCTTCCGAGAGCGTGGACCAGCTGTTCAAGGCGAAGGGCAAAGAGTACTTCGGCGTGTGCACCGACCAGGGTCGGCTGCAGCAGGGCAGGAACGCGGCGATCATCGAGGCCAACTTCGGGCAGGTGACGCCGGAGAACAGCATGAAGTGGGAGTCGCTGCAGCCGCGCCAGGGCCAGTACAATTGGGGCCAGGCCGATTACCTGGTCAACTGGGCGACCGCGCGCAACAAGACTATCCGCGGGCATACCTTCGTCTGGCACTCGCAGCTTGCTGGATGGGTTAATAATGTGCGCGACCGGAACCAGCTTACTAGGGTCATTCAGGACCATATAACCACGGTCATGACCCGGTATAAGGGCAAGATCTACCACTGGGTAAGCTTGACTCTACATAAGCGCCAGGGGAGCCTTGACTGACCACCACACCACGCGCCAGGACGTCATCAACGAGATGTTCAACGAGGATGGCTCCATCCGCAGCTCCGTTTTCTCGCAGGTCCTCGGCGAAGAGTTCGTCGGCATTGCCTTCCGCGCCGCGCGCGCCGCCGACCCCAGCGCGAAGCTGTACATTAACGATTACAACCTAGACAACCCGACCTACGCCAAGATCACCCGTGGCATGGTCCCCAACGTGCAGAGATGGATCCAGCAGGGCATCCCCATCGACGGCATCGGCACCCAGGGCCATCTGCAGTCCGGCCAGGGCAACGGCCTTGCTCAGGCCATCAAGGTCCTGGCTGCTACGCCCGGCATCAAGGAGGTTGCTGTCACGGAGCTGGATATCCAGAATAACCATGTCAATGACTATGTTGCTGTTACTCGCGGCTGCCTTGAGGAGCCAAAGTGCGTTGGTATTACGGTCTGGGGTGTTCGTGATCAGGTAAGTCTTTTTGTTGAGAATCGGCAAGATAGGTCTTACTGACGGTATGCAGGACTCGTGGCGCCCGGCTGGTAACCCGCTGCTGTTCGATAGCAACTACAACCCGAAGCAGGCTTATAACGCCATTGTCCAGCTGCTGAAGCAGTAAATGTGGAGATTGAACTCTTCGGCTGGTAGTTGGCAAGTCTGACTTGTGTGGAGTAACTGGGATAGGCCCCAAAGTGATGTATATATCGCGAGTCATCTCGACTGTCGATACATAAGTCTTATCAATACACGTTTCTGGAGACATGTTAGATATCTAGGAGATCATGGATTTGTCATAGACCTTGTATTTGGCGTAACTCTTGGTGGATGAGGGCCGAGTGAGCCTGTTCGAAGATCCGTTCTTTGAACCAACTCTCTGTTTTGGCGCTCTACGCGCTCCGCTATGAGAATTTACCCTTCGCTCATGGCACACGACTCCCTATCCCTCTAAGTCCACATCGGCTTTCCTCTGAGCGGGTTTTCTCCCGACGTTACCTGTATATAGTTCTATCTAGGTAGCTATTGCCCGCCGGCGTCGTGCACGACCTTGGCCCTCAGGGGATGAATCCGGTCGAAAATGGAATTGGAATGAATTGAAGCTCGCACGAGAGCCCTGATTGGATTGTGTGAGTTGTGTTACGATGAAACACTTGGAGAGCCACGGTAGATCTAATCATTGGCTGTCGATGCTTGCTGACTACGCCTCAGTAACAAAGAGGTGGGTGAGAAAGCATCTTGCTGAGTAATGGCAGGAGATTTTCAGGCCGTTAATGGTCAAGAAATACTGTTGCCTGGCCGAAGATTTGTGTTCAACAGAGACAATTCCATACGAAATGCAGGCTTGTCAGCCCTAATGCAAGTTAAACTGCTGAAAAGAGCTTCAATCTCGTTTCGTGACGCGCATGACTATGTAGGTTCCGAGTGGTGAGGATGGGGCTCGGGAGGAGAATGCAGCGAGCGCGGCCCGCGGGTGAGACCGAGTTTCCAGGACAAAAGCTGAAGTGGAGAAGTGGGGTTCTAGGCACCAAAATTCCACTCGCAGACGAATTGCAAATGCAGTTTAGGTCTTGGCATGTCACTCTACGGCACTTCAAGCTCACCTTCGATTACAGCTCTGTAGACAGTTCCGCTCTCCGTTCGCGGTCTCGTCGAGGTTATCGATAGCCGGGCTTAGCGACCGTCACTAATTGCTGACCGCATATCCTACAACATGGAGAGCAACTATGGGATTATATCATGGAAGGTGTCGCTGTCTCCCACGATGTGGAGATCCTTTTCAAAGGCACTTCTTCCCCGGCTGGGATAGCGACAACTTCAAGTTCATAACCACAACGACATCACAAGAGATAGATAAGGAGCGGTGGTCAGTTTTGGTCATCATGTGTTGATCAGCAAGAATCCTCATTCACTTTTCTGCCCCCGATATGAAAAAACGAAGCCTCTACGACGAAGCCTTAGTACGCTTCAAGAAGAGTGCCCTCGAGCACCATGACTCCCCTAAGGACAAAGAACTCCTGAACGAATTCCTCAAGGAGCGAGCTTTCCCAGAAGAAGCCAGGAAAGCTGCCGAGGCCTTAAAGAGAGATGCCGGCAAGAAGTATGGCAGTAAAAAGGCCGGCGACGTGGAGATTCCAGAGTCCTGGATCTCAAACATCATGGGCAACATCGAGCTGTTCATCAAGGCCGGCGACTTTGCGCTGAGCAACGCCCCTGAAACGGTTGGCATGGCCTGGTTCGCCGTTAAGATCACGCTCAATGCCATCCAGAGCAACTACGACCTCTACGCCTTCTTCGGCTCTGGCCTGAGCGACGTCAGCGAGGTCATGATTATCGTGCGGCACTACGATCGGCTCTATGATGAACGTCACAAGCCCAATTGGAAGCCTAGTCCACTGGTCGAGAAGCTATTTGAGGATGTCATTGCAGCTTATGTCGCCGTCCTTGAGTTCTCCTACGCCATCAAGCGCCATTTGACGGCCGGCACCCTGTCCCGTATCAAGCATGGCATCAAGGACTTCTTTGGTCTGTCCAAAATCAAGTTCGAGGACAAGCTCAACGCCGTGACTGAGGCGAAGAAGAAGATTTTGGAAGAGACCCAGGGTGCGTTCCAGGACAAGACGCTTAGCCAGCTGCAGAGTGCTACCACTGTGCTCTCCCAGATCAAGGATTGCGTCAAGCATATCCAAGACTTCCAGGAGACAGAGCGCCGGCTGCGTGAGGAAGCTAACGCTAAATTCGACTCGATTCTCAAGGGCCTGGACGAGATCAAGGCTTCTACCAAGGTTAAGAGCCGGTGGGATTACGCCGTCCAGGATTTTCAAACCTTCCAGGAGTCACTCGACCCCCTGAGTGGCTGCTTCAGAATGCTCTATCAGACTCTGGAGAACATTTACCCTGGGACATGTGAATGGATCTTCAACGAGCCTCTGATAGTTGACTGGCTTGCGATCGATGTTGACAATCCTGACGAGGACATACTCGTCATTCGTGGCCCTGAAGGTTAAATTTTTTTTTTTTTTTTTGTCACATAACCAGCTATTCACTAACACTTAGTTAGGCTCGGGAAAGTCATATCTTGCAGCAGCAATTGCTGACCGCGTCATGCAAACTAGCAGCAATGATTCTGCTATCTTATACGTCTCATGCAGTGATATGACAAGAGGCACAGGACGCGACAATCCTGAGCAGGTGACTGCTGACAGAATCGCTCACACCGCGCTCCATCAGCTTTACAATCTAGCCAAGCACGATGAAGACACTGTTGAGACACTGGAGGCCTGCAACGCCATCTTCAGAAAGGCCAAGAAAGAGCACGAGAAGCTGCCACCCCATATGCGCGACAAGAGTACCGGCTTGCCCGACTTTGGTGACGCCATGGTCCAAATCGCCAATTTACTCGATAGGGATGTGTTCCTGATCATCGATGGCGTGGATAGGAACAGCCTCGGTGACAACGATCAAGGCGAGCTTTTACGGAAGATCCAAGATCTTAGGGATGAGTTTTCCGAGTATGGCGAAGTCAGTTTGCGCGTTCTGGTTACTTGCAGCAACCAAGCAAAGTTCTTCCATCATCTCGATATGACCTCGCAATCGTGGATTGACGTCTCCCAAGGTAACCACCGTGACATCGAGCACGTCCTCACCCAGGCACTCGAACAAATACCAGGCCTAACTTCGGCCGAGAAGGAGGAGGCCATAGGTGTCATCATGGAAAAGGCCCGGTCGAGATTTACGTACGTCGTGAATACTGCCATCCCCTTCATGCGGGAACCGTTTAGGCGTCCATTATCCGCGCGTTTGAAGGCGTTGCCCGATGACATCAATGATATCTATGCCAAGGCACTGAGGTATGATGAGCCCAAATTATCTGGAGCTTCTCCGGACCGCCCTCACCTGGTGCCTACTAGCTCCCTCCAGCCCTCAAGGATGGCCCCAAGCAAAGGAGATCATGGACTCTTTTCAAGGGATATATGATTCCCCCACGGATGATGGCATTCTCGCCACCGAGAGCGAAGATTTAGAGGAAGATGGGTTTCCTCCGATCGAAAAGATCGAGTTCGAGCAGCTTCTAAATGCAAAGGGACCATTCTTGAGAGTCCTTGAGGAAGACCCATTTTGGGTTGACCTTGTCGACAAGCAGTCTCTCGAAGAGTTCTTCGTCAAGCCAGGTCTCGAGTCCCAGCACGAAGTGGAGCATCATGCCAACGAGGAACTATTATGTGCGCGATGCAAAGCGCTGCAATCCAGCTCTACCAGCATCACTATTGATCCTAAGCAAGCCCATCTGCAGATGGCGCTTACTTGCCTGCGGCATTTGAATAACCCAGTCTTTCAGAGGCGACTTGGGCTGGCTCCTGTCTTCAGCTCCCGCCATGATGGCCAGGCGCAAGCGGAGCCTATAGAGGAAGACAATCCTTCGGCGGCACCGGAAACTCAGGGAGCAGATCCTGCACCGACCAAAGAACAGTCTGAACGTCCAACCGAGACAGGCTTTGTCGAAGCTTTCGACAATCTCTATGCTGCTGAAGACTCGGAGGATGATGAAGACAAGACTGGGAATCCGTTCGGCGAGGAACAGCCAGATGAGGATGAGGATAGTGACCCATATGTCCGCGAGGCAGGTCCAGCTTCGACCGATTGCTCCTCGCGTCGTCGCCGGTATGAATTCGAGTATTGGCAGTATCATGTTCGCGCGGCCGAGAAGCTCTGGCCTGCCGAGGAAAGGGCCGGCAACAGCACTTGGGCCGCTCTCATGGAAGAGCTAGATAGATTCGCGTTTCAAACCCCTCAGTTCTTTGGCGCTTGGCAGCAGACACGTCCTCGTTTGAGAGCGTTTCCAGGAGGGCCACATCCGCCGCTTTTTGTCGCCTCTGCCATTGGGCTTATCAGTTGGGTCGAGCATCTCCTCGACCGCGGTGAGGATATGAACGAATTGTCAGGAGGTTACAGTCCCCTTCAGGCAGCAACTTTCGATCAGGACGGATTTCCCATCATCAAGCTATTTGTCCAAAAGGGCGCCGATATCAATGCATTCCATGGTGGCGGATGGAATACTGTCCATCTGTGGTTCCGTGCACACGTCGTTACTCCTGATGAGGCTCGCTTTCTGTTGGAGCATGGAGCTGATCCACGTATTGCTTCGTCATATGAAGAGGAACACTGGACTGCTCTTCACTACTTTGCCATTTCTGGAGAGGATCCGGAGGTGGTCGATCTTCTCGTTGCCCATGGCGCAGATATCAACGCTGTGCACCCCGAAGACCCGACAGCCTTCTCTCCGCTCCATCTTCTGCTGATGAGACCGAAAGACATCCCACCCGCGTTGCTGAAGACCTTCATCAAGCACGGTTGTGATACCAACTATGAGAATGCGCTTTCAGCGCGACCTTTGCAGATTGTGTGTACTCAAGACCGATTTGAGGAGCTTAAGCTGCTACTCGAACTTGATGTCGTAGACATCAACGATCAGGACCTTCACGGCACTACTGCACTTGATGAGGCCATTGATGCAGGCTATATCAAATGTGCGAGCCTGTTGTTGGAACGCGGCGCAAACCCCGACATAACTGACAAACTTGGCCGAACTCCCCTCCACACGGCCGCCATGAAGGGAAACGCCGAAGCAGTAAAACTGCTCCTGCCGTATAGCCGCGATCCAAACCAGGCCGATGATCATGGATGGACTCCTTTTTTAATGGCATGCCTGGCCAAGAATGAGCAATGTGCTTCGCTACTGTTGGACACTTTGATCGAGCGCAAAGTGCCGTTGGCCGAGATCAACAAACCATCCCGAACTAACCGCACTCCTCTTCGTCAGGCAGCGTCCCGCGGATTCAGTAACGTGGTGTCCAAGCTGCTTCGTGTGGCTGAAGAGAAAAACGACCCGGACGCCCTGCCCATTGATGCTGTCGACACACGAAAAGGAATGGGGGCTCTCCATCGGGCTGCCATGGGCGGCCACGCCGCTTGCGTCCGCGCCTTGCTCGCTGCGAACCCGAAACCCGATGTCAGCATACGCGACAAACAGGCCAAGACGGCTCTTATGCTCGCCTATGAACAATGGGCCATCGCAAACGACAATCCTTCCTACGAGGAAATAGTCTCCCTGCTAATCGACGCTGATACCTCAGCCGCCATCCAAGATCCCGAGCTGGTCGCCGTCTGCGCCACTAATGGCAGCACGGAGCTTCTCAAAAAGTTATGGCGCCTCAACGCAGACCTCAATCGACCCGACCGCTTTGGCTGGACGCCCCTCGAGCTCGCTCGGCACTTTGGTCGCGACGACGCCGAGGCCTTCCTCAAGCAGCAGGCCACCTGGGCCAAGCTGCTCCCAAACAAGTGGTCGTTCGTCTTCCCGGGCACTACGGCACTCGGCGCGCGGTCGATCCACGGCAGCGATGGGCTATCCATCCTGCACACCTCCCACAAACGTGTCTGCATCTCAGCCGACAAGCCCATCCCTCCGACCCTCGACAAGTACTACTTCGAGGTCACCCTCAAACCTATCTCAGAAGATATTATCCCTCTCTCCTTCCAACCCCGGCACCCCGAATTCGCCATCGGATTCTGCACCGTCGGCGGCGCGGCAATCCGCTTCCCCGGCTGGGCTCGCGAGTACCGGACGCCGCCAATCCCCGGGTCGGTCGCCGAGAGCTGGGGGTACATGGGAGATGACGGGTCAGTGTGGGCTTCTCACTCCTCAGTGACGTATGATGCTGATGAGCCGGAGGAGTGGAGGATTAGTGTGGGGGATACCGTGGGGGCGGGGGTCGATTTGGTGGAAGGCGTGGTGTGGTTTACTAAGAATGGTGCTAAGGTTGATCGGGTGTTGGAGGGGGTTACGGGTTTAGGGAGGTTATGGCCTGTTGTGGGGTTGTATGATCCTGTCTCGCTAGCAGCTAATTTTGGGAATGGAAGTGGGGAGGAGTTTGTTTGGAAGGGTGAGGTTGAGGAGGAGGAAGAGGAGGATGAGGGGTCTGACGGGGATGACGAGGATGCTGATGGCGAGGAAGATGAGGATGAGGATGAGGAAGACTGACAATCTTAGCTCCTGTTCTGAGTGTCAGCCAGAGCAAGACCCTGTGAAGCAGGCAGAGGAGTGTCACTTGTGATGGCAAAAAAGTGTTGCATCAGATTGGCTATTCCTACACGAGCACTTTTTCCCTTTACACTTTTCGATATGACTTCGGACTGCAATTGTTGTATCCTAATCAATCTGCTCCCGAACATATTCCCGGAAAATATGACCTACCTAGCATAGCTCCGTCTGAGCTTTTGGGGTCTCTCACCGAACTTCTAAGTCATACTGTTTTTGAGTCTATGCGAGAGTGGGGTCATAAAAGTGGGTCTTCATCCTTGTCGCTATGTGCCCTGCCATGCCCCACTTCAATACCATTCAGGGCCTTCCCTGACAGCAACAAGGAATTGGGCTGCTGGCTCAATGGTAGAGCGTCTGACTACGGATCAGAAGGTTCCAGGTTCGAATCCTGGGTGGCTCGACCCATTCCTTGAATTTTCCTTTTGCTCCTTGAGCTCTCTTTTCGCATCTGTCCTTGTTCTCACAACTGCAGCTTTTGTTGCAATGGACGGCAATTTTTGGTACCTGGATGCTTATTCTAAAGTCTTGGGCAGGGCCGTACAGGATCAAAACTTCCCAACATGAAGTCTTTCTTCGCTTGCAAGCACCGCGCTTCTCTTGATCCTCGATGCAAAATTTCTTTGTCATCAGAATGTGACATTCGGCAATTTTATGAGATTTACCTTGGTACTAGCAACTCGAAACATCAACTATCTGTTCAAGTTGCGACAAGCCAGTTTCTTCCTTTATCGGACTGTCTCGTAGTTCCTAACCATATTAGCAACGTTCTCGAAAACCCCGCTCATAGGTATCCCCACTCGTTCTCGTGGATGCTTAGAGGGAACTCTTACCCAAAGCTCAAAAGTCCTAAATACACAGTACATCCCTGACTTCATCTTAGCTCTCGCCACCAAGCTCCCCGACTTATAAATCGACCTCCTCTGCAACGAAAGCTCATGTCTCGACCGTGCATCACCATCTTGAATCTGGCCAAAATTTTGTCCAAACGCTGTCCCAACCGCTTCACCAACCAACACTTTATCCCACAAGCCCATCATTATTCGACCTCCCATCACACCCGGACAATGTCAACCACAACTCCCAACCCACCATCCAATCCCCTCCCCTGGAACCCCCACCAATATCTCCTCTTCCAAACCGAGCGCAACCGTCCCATCCACGACCTCCTTTCCTACCTGCGCTTGTCCGCCCATCCTAGTTTCAGCCCGACTCGTGTCGCTGATCTTGGATGTGGCCCGGGGAACAGTACTAAGTTATTGACGCAATACTTCCCCAGCGCAAAAGAAGTTGTGGGGATTGATTCGTCTGGGGACATGCTCTCTTCCGCGTCGAAGGTTATCCCCGAGTTAGAGTCCGGCCCAGAGGACAAGAGAGAAGTGAGGTTCTCGCTGGGTGACGTCCGAACCTGGACTGCCCCAGAAGGGAAGAAACCTGATATCATCCTCGCTAATGCAGTCCTGCACTGGCTTCGACACAAGGACCGCATCCCAACTGTTGTGCGTCTCGTCCGCAACGTCGTGGCCGACGGCGGGGTCGTAGCGATCCAAATGCCGGATAATTATTACGAGTGGACGCACCGCGCCATGAGGGAAGTCGCTGTCATGAAGGGCGTCCCCTGGGAAGGATGCTTCCCTCGTGTGGGATATTCTGAGGGGGAGTCCTACACCGAGGAGAGACCCGACCTGGACCCGATAGAGAGCATGGAGGAGTGGTATCAGGCGTTGAACAAGGTCAGTGGGAGGGTAGAGATGTGGACGACGAGGTATGTACATGTGTTGAGGGGGAAGGGTGTAAAGAAATTGTGGGGTGGGTGAGGGGGACGGGGTTGATGCCTTTTTTGAAGGCATGTGAGAGCGAGGAGGTGAGAGAGGCGTTTTTGAGGGAGTATCAGAGGAAGTTGGGGGAGAGGTATAGGGTGTTGGGTGAAGGGGAGGTGTTGTTGGAGTATCCTAGGAGGTTTATTGTTGCGTGGAAGGGGCCAAGTGAGTTGGGGGAGGAGGCTGGTTGATGGGTGGACAAAACGAATAATTAGCTACGGCTTGGATTAGTGATTAGGTATAGGAGTTCCAAGCTGGTAGTGAAGTTATTGAAGGTTGCGCCTAGAGATGTTACGCCCACGATGCAAAGAAGCACAAATAATATAATGGTGTACAACTCAACGAAAAAAAAAAAACCAAAATGTTTGCATCACTATTTGAACAACTCTGCTGCCCAGGGCCATGTATTGGGAAATGTGCAGATGCTGGTCAACGGATTTGCCTAATTTTTTGAGAAACGGCCTACGAGCTTCCGCGTCCTGTGCAGCCTTTTTTTCTCCTCTCATTCATGGGTCTATCCTTTGGCTCCGTGGTCAAAGTATGTTTGCTTCCGAATGTAGTCTCCGGCAAGCCAAAAGGGGCTCTCGAAGGCCCGCTTGAGCGTCCTGAGTTTGGCCAATAGCACATCTCTTGGGTGTCTCCGAGTTCTTCCTGTCGCGTCCGTTCTTCGTCAATCAAACGCTCCCACAAAAACACTACTCAAAGGGATAGTCTTCTGAGGCTTCTGTGGCTTAAATGTACTACGCCCATCTCTCACTCCTCTACCGTTCGTCTCCAACGGCGGGAGATGGCCTTCTGTTCGCAGGCGCAGGAGAGAATGCAGCATCTTCGTCGGCTGCTCCATCTCCGCCGAGTGTTGGGGAGCGCCCCCTGAAAGGAGGTGCGTCACTTGGCCTTGTTGCTAGCACTCAAATCACTTTCCATGTCTCATCCCTCATGCCAGAAACTCTGGAAAGGTCAACTTTCGATTGATGCTCGAGAACCATATGTTCAAGATGGCAGTTTTTGTAATATCCATCGCGCTCCATGTATATGTTGCGTTCGTCCAGCATGGTCTTTCTCTTCTGGAACCATTCCTCTCCAAAATGCTTATGGCCCCATTGCTCGTGTGTCTTGGGGTCATACTTACCCGGGAGAAAGGGTCAACGAGGTGTATATGACCTATTCTTAATCTGCTTATCTGGATGACAAGCTGCCCCAATGCGGCTAAACAACGATGGAAGCATTTCCCGCTCACTTGACCAACTATTGCGACTCAGGTGAGAACTGGCAATTGTCCTGCTACGGTGGTGTGGTAACTAATAAAGAAGCCCCAAGTAGGGCCCGAGGACAGGCCAAGTTAAAAGTCGGGGAAATATTATCGTGGCCAAAAACCACAAATAATTAGTCCAAATCCTCGATAATGCGAAACTTGGCTGATGATAATAAGAATTGTTGGGTGTAAAAGAAAATGGTGGATGTGGATGGGAGTATTTACTTGTGCGTTGCCCTGCAGAACACGCGGCCCTGGGGGAATCTGCCAAGCACATTGGGTACCGCATAATAACAACGCTCTACCTTCTAAACCACACACGCGTGAAGATGGATGAGCATGGCTCTTATAATAAGGTCAAGTGTGCACCTGACCTCAGTGGAGCCAGGGCTGACCGAGGTAGGTCAACGGTGACCACACCGTGGTCACTTGCGGCTAACATGAACGGCGAGACAGCCTTTGGATATGAATATGTATATAGAATCGCCCATCCTCAGAGTCATGATGAGGATTCCTCAGTCAGCAATACAGACAGTTGGATGCCAACAACTGGTGACAGCAGCATACAATTCTTTATGAGATCCTTTTGCCCCTGTGAGTTCCTCAGCCTTCCAGGCTTTTTAGAGATCTCGTCCTCCTGCCTCAGCCATCTGACTCATTTGATCGTTTGGCTCCAGGTATCTTCCGGGATCAACCGAGTGTTTGTGTCGTTCACAATCATTCTATCTCTGGTGTCCCTTGTGTTGGCAGTCGGGGATACGCCTTTCCTTGGACTGCCCTGTCCGTGTAACTATTCGCTCCCATCCTCCTATGACTTCAACTGGAACAGCTGGACTACAGTCAGGTAATAGTTGATGGCTTCCAGGGAGTTGGCTATAACGGAGAACATGAACAAGTAGATTACCAGCTCGCTTTCCAGCATCACCTGCTCCCTGTAGAACCATTGCTGGTTAAAATAATGTCGTTAGTATCATCGCGGCGGCGAATGTAGCCAAGTTTCGCGAGGATGGCAGAGCCGGTCGCGATTCTGCGGGCTGGTAATGACGAGTTGAGCGACTTAGTTGCCGGAGTAAGGGGTTGGGCAGAAGAGGACTTTCTTCTTCACGAGCTGTTCTTGTTGGCTTGCCATATTCGAATGATGCAAGTTGAATTCGGCTGGTTGAAGTATAAAGGTACAGCCTGGATGTTGTGGCAATCGCTGTGGTTGGAGTGAGGGAAGGAGATGGTAAGACTCGCAGTCGAGTCTATTAGTTCAGCCGAACCTCTCGAGGGTAAAACTGCGGCTGCTTCTGGAGACGGGCTACAAAGCTTGTGGGATATGCACAAGTCATAGAGCATGTGGAACGTCGAGTATACCTGGTTCATTGTCGGGAAATTGGCGAAAAAAAAATAGGCCACTAAACAGATGCCCGGGAATGGACAAAGAGGAAGCTGTTCGATGCATGTGAAGTTCTCAGAGATTTGCTATTACCATGAAAACGTTGCGTTGAAACTTAACGCCATTGCAGAAGGATGAGTGAAAAGATACTGAGTGGGGTCTTTGGCTTCACTTCCTGGAAGTTTGACCAAGTGAGCCTTGAGTGTTAGCCTTAAATCTTAGGGATTTTGTGATATCTCTATCAACCCGAGATTTCCAATGCTCTCGAGGTCTTCCACGTTCAGAAGCGGAGATAATCTGACATGGACTTAGGAAATTTAACCATAAGTAAACGATAAACCATGATTACAGAGACCAGGTCCCCGAGAGCTTTGGCAAAGCAAGCAGACAATAAAGAGAGCAATGCCATTAACTTTCTAAGCTGCGCTGTCTGATGTTAAACGGTACTGTTGCATGGAAATGTCTGATTGGTTCAGCAACTTTCTGGTGAACTGCACTGCCGCTGAGGCAACTCATTGCGGACTTTGAATGTGGACCATGAGGTAGACCAATAGAGCATTTCTACGGGTGTTTGACGGGTTAATCCGTGCGCGAAGACTGAGACCTCAAACCACGATGCTGTCAGCATTTCCATAGCTGAGCTCTAGGAACGGGAGTCAAATATCTCGATTAAAGGAATCGCAAGAGTCTCGACTTAGCAGGGCTGTTGGCAACAAATCAATCGCAAGTCTTGCGTTTCGAATTTCATCGATACTTTCGGTGTGGGGAGCCGAGGGTCCCAATACCTGCTGTCAGTGCTATCACGGTGGATGGCAGGAGAGATACTTGCTATGAGCCTTCGAGCTGGACGGTTTGCGAACTCGCAGTCCCGGAATCCCGATCAACGCTCCTAATGTCAAGTACAGCCCAGGGAGCTCTGTAACAAATTGACCTCTTGCCCTACCGATAATCAGTCAGGGGAGTCAACATCATCTTATGCATCCTCGATCTCCTCCACAAAGCAGCGGGGTCACCGGCGCCACAAACGTGGATGACACAGCCTCGGCAGCATCTCTTCATGCAACCCAGATCACAGGGCAGCGAATCGCTGATGAGCTGCAGCGCCACAATTGAGGACATCTCGTTGGGGGCCAAAACACAGCCGTCCTCAGCGGGGCCGATCAAGTTTCGTTGTCCAATGAAAAGCCTCAAGCATTAATGACCCTAGCAAGAACATGCATGCCAAGACGACTCAAATGCGGGAGGGAAGGCAATGATGGTTCGCTTGGCCCGAGGGGTGATCGAGGACGTTCATAAAACCCAGGCAGCACCCGTCCAACTCTCTTCCTCCTTCCTCTCCTCCATCGCCATCCGGAGTTTCGAAGTGTTCTTGTGTTGTTGAACTCATCTCTGCTTTCAAACATCGCCAGTTATATCGTCGCTGTAGTCAACGTCATTTCCTGTTGCTCATCTCGTTCCGATGAGCCCCAGTCGCCCCGCCCGCGACGGGTTAGGATGTTGCTGCTCTCCCTACCTGAGTCAGATCGCAACGGACGGCATCGAGATGCCTTACAATGCGCTACTCAGTTTTCGATCCCCTCGAGGCCAATTGGGCAATCCTTACGCACATCGTCCTCAAAGTCAAGTCACCCCTTTGATGTGCGGAGTTGCCCAAACAGTCGAGATGCTCGAGAACAGTATGGACCCCTGCCCCTAGCTCATCAACGTCGAAAGCTTGAACAGCTTTCAGTTCCAACGGATTGTTCGGCTTCCATGCCAAAAGACGTCATCTGATTGTGTTCCGGTGATGCTGACATGCTTGGGTTTTGTAGATCAATTGTGACCATCAGCGGTCCTTATCAAAACCTGGCATCTCCTTTAGCCCAGGTTCCCCAAGTCCCCGCCGACAGCAGATTTGTGGATGCAGCATCAAGCGTTCCCGTTCCACCCCCAGCCAAACTTCCCATGGTTGGACGCCCGATGCTCACCCGTCTCAACATCTGTCAACCTCTTTTGTTCCAATTTTCTTTTGTTTCTACTCTGGCCCGAGTCCAGACTTCTTTCCTTCGGTTTTTTCGTGACTCACACTCAGACTTCGATATTTCTTTTCAGATTTCAAGGGCTGATATCTTCGGAGAGAGAAGAAAGTTCAATGTATGTGAAGAGGAAGTTCAATGTGGAGGAAGCATTATGGGCAAGGCTCCTCGCGGGAAAAGCATGCCGAGAGGCAGTCTGAATTGCGAGTCCATCGAGGGCAATGTCAGGGTCAATGGCTGGCTCTGTCATGCCCATTCAAGGATGAAGAGCAGCAGGATTTGCGTACTTGGACCTCGGGATTCATCTTACAGATTGTCTCGGAGAAAACCAGGCTCAATTCCAGCTGCACACTATGAGTCGTTCAGCCACCTCGACAAGACTGCTGCTATCATCACTCTCGCGGGCCGATTCGACACAACAACGATTCTGAGTCCCGCACCATGCCAACATACCCTAGTTCACCAAATTGATTCAGCTCATCCCTCAACACGATGGCGCGTTACAGCGACGGATTGCGCTCTCTCAGCACTCGACAAGTCGAGCCCGACAACACGGCAGCCTCTGGTTGAGAAAGTCCGAGACACCATTCATCTCGGACCGCTCAGCACAAAGGACAACCTGGCTGCCGCGCGACCCCTGATACCTGGGTTGATGCACCCTTGTTAATCGCCAAAGTTGATCATCGACCTTGGACTACGTCGTTAAACTGGTCCCCTTCAGCTACCACTGCGTCACCCACGTCATCGGGAGGCTCACGCCGACCAGCTTGCTCGCAATCACGCACGTCATCGCTGCTCCGATCAACCCAACCGACTTACTACACACACCTCTGCTCGAGAGAGCATCTCTGCCATTGCTGTCAGCCATTAACCAGCTCACAACCCTTCATTTGTGAGCCAGGTTATCTTACTCTCGCCGAGACTAGCATTACCATGGCCACCGATCCGTTTTCTCCAGCCTACTCCCCCTTCCTCTCGTCGGCCGACGATGACATGGAGCAGGGCGAGTGGGTTTGGGTCCCGAAGAAGCTCGCTGCCACGCTACCGGCTGCTTTTAGCGCCTCTTCTCACTCGCATCCGAGCCCTGATCTGTCCCAACAAATGTACCACTCCTTCACCAGCGAGCCTACTGCTTCCAGCCCGGAGTCGGCTTCTTGGAACGCGTCACCTGAGATGCCCGCGTCCCCGAACATGATGACATACGACTTCAGAGGTGCCAGTGCAGGGCTGAGTAATAGTCCAGCCGCAGAGCTGCCGCTTGAGTTCGATTCGTTTCATGTCAACCTGGCGTTGCAAATCCCGACGACGGCAGCGCCTGCATTTGGGACTAAGCCATGGCTGTCAGCCGCCACAACTGCCACCACAACTGGCCCCCTTTTCCCCACAGCCGGGTTGGACGCTGCGATCTTTCCTGGCAATCTCGATCTCGAGCTCGACCTGGGCCTCACTTCGTCTCCTAATGGGGAAGTGCTTTTTATGGAAGACGTTCACCTACCTGAGGGCAATGTCTCTCAAACCCCGCCATTCAACCCCCTTACACCGGCTCCCCGCTCACCTCAGCCAACAATGGCTTCCTCTCCACAGCTCGTTTGCTCTGACGTCGCGTCTATCCCTTGTCCCAGCTGCAACTTGACCTTCTCTAGCACGGCTGCTCTTCGTAAGCACACCCGCCGCGCCCACCGCCCTCCCTCCTTCCCATGCCCGCTTCCCCACTGCGGTAAAGGCCATCTTGACGCGAGGGCACTTGCTCGGCACCTGTGGGCGAAGCATAGGGAGTATGCTGAACAAGCGGGGACGCCATCTGAGAGGGTTAAGTGCAAGTTCTGCGAGTATGAGGGGCGAAGGGATAACGTCTCGAGGCATATGAAGAGGCACACTGGGGGGAAGTAAATGAAAACATGGCTATAAGGAGGTAACTAGAGCGGGGTTCGAGATAGAAGCGGGATGAGAAGAGGGATGGTGCAAGTTTTCAATGAATTGTTTATTGCATATAGCGATTTGGCGTTTTGGGTTTTGGGTTTTGGCGAAGTATTCGGTTGTTGATGAATTTTTGGGTCATACATAGCTTATCTTGGGTAGTTAATATACAATGATTCCCCAAAATATTGAACTCTGTTTCAAAGGAGATTGCCGCTTTGTGGACATTTTGTGTCTCCAGAGTTTTGGTCCCGGAGAGAGCCGAGGTCCAAGTTAGTAGGTAATCATGCTTGCACAACCCCATTTGCGTTGGAAATTTTCAAGATACAGCTCACATTCCAGCAATGATGACTGGCTAATGCTGAAAAACGAAAAAAGAGATTGACAGAAGAAAAGCTTCCCCGCCGGGAATTGAACCCGGGTCTCAGGCGTGACAAGCCTGCATACTAACCACTATACTACGGAGAACCCTTATTCGTTGCTTGATATCATACAACATGACTCTATAATAGCGCATCTGATAGAGCCAAGTTTGCACAGCAGTGCATTGCCTGATCCCCTGAACTGCCTAAGGCGCAAAACTTCCTCCGATTGCTGCTATCAATATATTAGATGGTGGCATATACTTCACTGTCGACAATACCTATTCGTATAAAACAGAGATGATATGCCTATATCACTACATTTTTTCCCTCGATGTACAGCAAATATCTGGCTGGGAACTTAGACAGGATAACTCTCCCAGTGCAACTTTGACGGCCGGATCCTAATGAGCAATAGCCGAGACACCAAACGATGATCAATCACCGACCCAAAAACGTCAAGCTTTCGATCGCTACATATCCAGCCCGTCAATAAACATCCAAAATTCTAGTACATACAAAAGATACTACCCTAAATACAGCCCTTCTTACTTCTCCTGCGTGGCCTTCATGAGTCCACAAGAGCATGACACTCGCTACCCAGCTACGTACTTACAACCCTGACTCCTCACTTCCTCAAAGCCAAGATCCTCTCCGCCGCCTTCTCCGCAGCAATCACAATCATAGCTGATGGGTTGCCTGTCGACATGCCTGGGAAGATAGACGCGTCCACGACGAACAGGTTCTCCGTGCCATAGACCTTGGTGTCGAGATCTACCACAGCTGTGCCGTTTGGCTGGCGACCGTCGTCGGGCCCGAGCTTGGCGGTGCCCATCCAGTGGTTCGAGCGCCGGTTGGAGGGGGCGATGGGGAGCTGTGGGATGTTAGCCCCATGTTCAAGGTAGTCGAGTTAAGAGCAAGATTGGAGCGGAGGGGATGTGGGAGAGGACGTACGCTATCAAACCAACCCTCGATTGTTTGTCCCTTGGGAGGCAAGACGAATGTGATATTCGGGATGACGCTTAGAGAGTCAACCAGACTCTTGATACCTGCGATGACGGCCTCGCGGTCGCCTGCGTCGCGCAAGTAGGGGTGCTCTGCGACGGTGGTCACCAGTGCGGGGGTGATAGTCATGCGGCCACGAGAGACAACGCCGCGGCCGAGGTACAGGCTAAGGGTCATTGCAGCTGGGGGGTGGGGTGGGGGATGTTAGTTCAGCGAGATGGAGGAAGAGGAGGGCAGAGGAGAGTAAAGGTGGCTTACTCGTTGAGTTCGTGAAGCGCATGTCACCCTCGACACGAGCCGTCCATTGGAACTGGCGAACTTTTCCGTCGGACGGGGTAATTTCCTCCCAGATCTGGTCGAGTCAGCAACGTCAGTCTCTTTACAACCAAGATACAGGAATGACGCACCATAGGACCAATGTTGGGCGCAGCCTGAGCGAGGATACCCGACCTCCTGTCAAGGTACGCTGTCCTGTCGTCCTCCGGCGGCTCATACCAGGCCTCATAGAAGTCATAGAACACGACATCGGGGTGCTCGATGATGAGGTCAGTGTTAAGATGGTCAATCAGGTTGTACCCGACCGGCAAATTGATCCACTCGCTGCGATCAATGAAGGTCTCGCCATCCTTGGAGCTGGCGACGATCTCGAGCTGATCCTGGGGGCCGATACCGCCTGCGAGAGTCAACCTCTGATCTCAAGAATGTTTCGACTCAACAAACTTACTCCTCAGCAGCAACTTCGCTGACCCAAACGCGCCGGCCGAGAAGATAACACCACCACCAGGATTCAACTTGACGGTGCCATTAAACCCGCCATCAGTCACGCACTCCAACTCAACGCCCGTCACCGTACCACCCGTCCTGAGCGCCCTCCTGACCCCGGTATTCGTCCACAGTTCAAAGTTTTCCCGTCCATACGCGGAAACAAGGTATGTGGCCAGCGGCCCATCGCGCTCGCCATTGCGGAACATGTAATGTGTGTGGGCAAACGTGCGGTTCTTCCTGTCGGGCACCTCGTTCGCGACGACCTCGGTCCAGCCAGAGGCGCGCAAGCCGCTTGCGAGCACGTCGTAGCCTTCTTGCCGATAGAGCTTGCCGTCGGCCGAGGGATGCCATGAACCAGGAATGCGCTGGAAGACGCGTTCTGTGGCTGATTCCAGATCGGAGGATTTCCAGCCTTCTGGGAAGTTCTCGTCCCAGTCTTTCTTTGGGGGCTGAGGAGAGTCAACGCGTCTGTTCTGGCCAAGTCAATGTCCCTGTTGAACTTACCTTCCACCAGAGGCCCGCATTCACAGCGACACCGCCGCCCAGCACGCAGCCGGCCATCTGGTCAGTGTCTGTGCAGGCAATGCCAGCCGAGTCGACCCAAATCTGGTTGCAAAGGCCGGGAACGTCGAAGCGGGTGAGATTGGTCTCTTCGAGCCATTCGGGCTTCATGGTACCGTTCCAGCGGCCGGTGGACGGGGGACCCTTCTCGATTAGCAGGACCTTGTGCCCTGCTTCGCTCAGCTTGTCGGCAACAGGAATGCCCCCAGCCCCTGCACCGACGACGATATAGTCGAAGGTCTCCTCGGGAGCAGGGACGCATGTCGGCTCGGCAGGGCCAGTACTGAGGATGGTTAGTATTTGAGCAAGTGGACGAGAAGTCCTTGTACTTACTTCTCGCAGGTAGTCTCAGGGGTGTTAAACGCCCACGCGGTCCATTGCCTGTACGTTCTCGACTGCACAACCACATCCTCCAGCCCGAATCCCCAAATCTCAAAACCATTATCATGGAACCCGAACGTTGCCGTATCGGGGCATGTCGGACCCTGCACGCCGCCCTTGCTAGCCGCACGGCCAAGGGTCAGGAACCCCTGGGAGGTCGAGGTATTACCTTTGACACCCTCATAGTCCCAGAAGAAGCAGTTCTGGCAGCGGTACAGAAGCTCAAAGCTGTCTTCGGTAATATTGGACGCGATCTGCGTCAATTTTGCGTCACCTCTGTATACATTTGGCAGCGTGTAGCCTGTAGCGTAGCGAAATGAGGTATAAACGGTTCCGTTGAAGGGCCATGTCACCAGAAGCAGGGAATGGGTCATCTGGCCGCTGTTGCCATGGGAGATGCCGCAGTAGCCAGGGCCAGTGGTGCTGGGGGCGATCTTGCAGCGCTGTAAAGCTGTCAATGATAGTTTAGCACCGCTCCGTTGGCGCTGCACTTACAATAAGGCCGAGGTACTCGTTAGCATCCTTCTCCAGGGCGTTCTCCGGAAGAGTCATGCCAAAAGTAAACCCCCCATCTTGTGAGGTCCATGTCTTGAACCTGATGCCGGTTTCACCATGGGCGTAAGTGCCCTCAGTCATATCGGCAGCGCATTGCTGCAGATCTTCTGCGGTGTCAGCATCTTCCAGCAACTTACATGGTTCACTGGCAACTTACACAGCGATGCCGCAAGGGCGGTCGCCCTGATGCGGCCGAAGAACTTCATCTTGCCAAGTACAAGGGCTCGCTGGACTGTGTCAAGCTCAAAGGTCCAGGAAGACGAGCACCTGATAAAGGCGAACCACCATCGGGATAAATACTCAGGGTTTAATAACACCCTGAATAGACCAGATCAGGCAATTTCCGAGACCCTTCCTTCATCTTCGCATCCAAACAGACGACGAAACGGAAACCGTCTCCGGATCATTGGAAATGGAAAGTGACCGATAGGATGGATCCTACGGGAGTAATAACACCCTACTTGGGGTAGATGGAGGGGGGAGGACGGAGATTTATTGCGATGTATGTAGGGGTCAAAGAATTCGCCCATCAGTAATATGTGCTCCGCATGCCGCTTCATATAATGAAGGGATGCTGGAAGATATGGAGAATGACAACACGGCCTGCGCGGTGGAGCTTCCCCAGCTTTTTCGAACTGGCGCCAACGGTTGAAACGGGCACGGCATGACGGACCCAGAGAAGCATGGCTTCTCTAAACGGAGGTGAGAACCGATACGACAATCGAGAGAAGCTTGGCAGATCATTAGCGCGGGGTATTGACATGCTGCCATCTCAGGGTTGTCAATGAACGTCAACAGCCGAAGCCACGACCCCTCGTCGATGCCATCAACCGGTGGCGGCTAGCGACCAGCATTTCGTAAAGCCGGGGGAGATTTGTCAATCCCCTGCTGCTCCATAATAGCCAATCCAATCCAGCGGTCGAAATGCAACTTTGCGGCGAGATCGAGCAGGTGCACAGTTGGCGATCGCGTTCCCGATTTTCAGGCTAAGACGGACATTGTGAGTGCTTGAGCGCTCCAAGCGACGATTCCTCCTGGAATCCAGATCATTCTCTTCGGGATAAAAGGATTCATGATCACGGAGGGCGGCCGATACAGAAGCCGAAGGTTGAGGAGGAGGAATATCAGAGCACGCCAGTTTGGATGGCACGGTGACAGGCGGCACCGCGGCAGAAATCGCGGGGTCCTTCAGGTGGAAAGTCGCCCGGTTCCAGAAGAAATCCCGTTGGCCAGGGAATTTGCCTTGATAATTCATCCCCCACTTTGGATAAAATCGAACAACGTGCGTATTTCCGCTTCATAGGGTCCAAAGAATTGACAGCCAGCTAAACCCACGCATGCTGCTGAATGCTTCTCTTACTCTCATTCCCTAATCAATCAGCCGCCTTTTGAGCACAAAAAATGGATCAAGGTAGTCAATGTCATCGTTTGCCTTCCCCAATCAGGCTATACCAGTCTATCTTCTGTCAAACAACATTCCGGTCCGACGGGCCACGCAAGCAGAATATACCCAGGTCAAAGAAAAAGAATTCAGAGTTCAACGAAGTCAACAGGTCAGGCAAAAAAAGTCAAGCAAGTCCAGTGGGGCCCAGCTTTGACTTGAATTGAATTGCACTTTCGACCCGTATCACCCATGAGGGTGCTCGGTCGTGCCCACGACGCCGGTGGGCAAAAGGTACATATGCAGCGATTAGTTTAACCTATGTACACGCGGAGAAAACTCAAGAGGGAATACCGGTGTGCATCCGTGGGACAAATAGGTGGTGATGGAGAAGGGGAAAAATGTGGGGGAAAAGAAAAAAATGATGGGTTAGGAGGAGAGAGCGTGAGGCAAGTAGATGTCCAACCTCGAGGTTCCTGATTCTGATTCTTTGTCATCAGGAGTGCGCATCGTTCGAGATTGTACAGTCGTAAGTGAGAAAGAGCGAGGAGGACGTAGAATTGGGATGGTTTGTCCTGATTGATGGTCCTTAGCTGAGCCGTAGAATTCAAGTTGGGATTTCCTATCCTCAAACAGCTGGTATGAGTGTAAAAACGCTCTAAGGTCTAGGCGGCCAGCAAGTGGGTTGTTAAAGGAGTGAGAGGTGGCAACGGAGGAAGTGGTCTCTAGAAACTCTCGCACCGCAAGAGCAAGTTTTCATTGCACTCGGGCGGTGGTTGAACCGGACGTAGTTCTCAAGGAAATCACCGTGTCCCGATGCCTCCTCGGCAAGCCACCTAGCGAGGCACCTCCTGTCGAACAGGCTGAGGAAAGGTTTGGCTGAAGGGCCGTCCCAGAGGCTGGATTGTGGTTTATCGGCCCTCCACCATGACACCATATCCGGAGGCGGGACTTTATGCGACCTGGGCGAGGCTGGGGGAAGTCCGAGCCAAGCTCTAGGCCCCGGACGGCGTGGCTCCCAGAGGGGGCCTGGTTGGATGCCTTGAGCTGCCTGATGCAGACGAGGCCAGCCTTTGTGCGGGGAAGTCTGCAGCCTTCTCCGTAGTGGGTGGTCCGAAGGCAGAGTTTGAACTCGATCCGGCCGTCTGTATCTTTCCCGATCCATTAGGTACCGCGGGTACGGTCCGATGAGCCACCACAGCCACGGTGTTGGGATTGTACGCCAGACCGGAAAGAGAACCCTGAGAGCCGCGTGAGCGGTTTTGGACAGGATTGCCTCAACAGCACCGAGGCCGACAGGTATCAGCCGACCCCTAGTCCCGACCCGGGAAAGGTCTATGTCGAGTTGAGCCAAACCCTACATTAGTGATGGCGCTACTGCCATGTTGAAGATGGTAAGTCCAGATTTGTGAGGGAAACCGTTAACTTTAGGATTGGAAAGTCTCTTGATTAAGCCTACCACGGAGGCCATAGCGGATGCTCTCGAGGATGCTTGGGCTAAGGGGCTCAGTTTGCCATCTAGAACTACCCTGAGCCATTTCACTAAGGTCTTGGGGGAGACTGTCAGGTCACCAGATCGAATAGTAAGCCTATTTGGGTCCGTCTTGTGCCTCTTTGAGCCTGTTCCACGTGGGGGATGTACAGGAGGTAGGGTTGGTCAAGCACCTGTCTAACACAAGGGTTAGGGGGTTCCCCCCCGCGGCTGGCCCCGACATCTTCAGTGCAGTCGTCACCCCCTCTCTTCTGTACGGCATGGTCCAAATTGATACCGGCCCGCATATGGCGGGGTTCAACGGCCGCTTGTTCCCATCCAGGCTCGCATCGGTGTGGTCATCTCTCACCAAGGTTGCAAACGCAGCACTGAGGGTGATATTCCCGGCGTGGAGGACAATACCGACCCCGTGGCTCTGGTGGCTTGCCGGCCTCTATCCTGAGTACTTGCTAGACAGAGAGCGGGTACGGTGGAGGAACCGCATTGTGATGTTACCGGCCAGCCACCCTCTGTGGATTAGTGTTAGCCGCAAGTGACCACGGTGTGGTCACCGTTGACCTACCTCGGTCAGCCCGGGCTCCACTGAGGTCAGGTGCACACTTGACCTTATTATAAGAGTTATGCTCATCCATCTTCATGCGTGTGTAGCTTAGAAGGTAGAGCGTTGCTATTCTGCGGCACCCATTGTGCTTGACAGATTCCCTCGGGGCCGCGTACTCTGCAGGGCAACGCACAAGTAAATACTCCCATCCACATCCACCATTTTCTTTACATCCAACAATCAGGCTCTCCCGAACCCCCTACCGCGGCTGGTCCCACTTGCACCAAGCGGCCTCTGGTCTAAGGGCTAGGCCCCAGTGGGAGCCCAAACACGCGGGCATCAGGGCATGGCTTGGTCTCCCCTCTTCATCTCCCAAGAAACGTCGCGTCCCTCCCCCGGACATGCACAGATGGTGGCAGGCCAACAGACCCCCCTCGGCTCGATGGAGCGGGCACTCTGCTAAACCCTTCTTCGAGAAGTTTTCCCGGCAGTGCCTCTCCCAGTGGCTTGCAGAGGCCTCGGATCACGGCGACTTCCTGGAGTACCACACTCGATTCAACCACTCCCCGGAGGCTATTAAAGAGTGCCCCTGCGGCGGTGTGGTGTCCAGAGGCCACTTCTTTTCCCGCCCTCTCACCTCTTTCAACAAACCCACTTGCCGGCAGGCTAGACCCAAGGGCATTTTGGTCTTCCTTCCAGCTGTTCAAGTCCAGGGCCTACAAGGTCAAACTCTGGGGGCAAGCCTGGGACGCTTCAACAGGGCACCCTATCCCGTTACCACCCCTCCCTCACTACCCTCTCGCAAGCCCGCCCCAAGCCCCGCGTGCTGATTATCTAGACTCCGAGCCTAACGGCCCGGAGCAGGTCCCAACGAGGTACATACCTGGGGCTGGCCGGTTTCAAGAACCTTCCCCTGTACATAGTAAGCTGCACTCCCTCTAACCCACGCCGTTTTACCATATGCGGCCTTTTCCCGGGGTTACCTGTATCCAGTTGAACTCAGGTAGCTTTTGCCCGCCGGCGTCGTGGGCACAACCCAGCACCCTCGGGGGCGAACCCGGTCGGAAGCTATAATTGATAATAAATAAAAAGGATCCGGACCGGCTGACTCTTCGGTCTGGCCACCTCATAGCTCTTTCAAAACCCCCAGTAAAGTGGTTCGGGGTGATTCTAGACGGTTGACTGAGCCCCTTAGCCCAGGCGTTCTCGAGAGCGTCCGCTGCGGCCTCCGTGGTGACCCTAATCAAGAATTCTCCAACACCAAAAGGCTTCCCTTCCAAAATCCGGACCTGCCATTTTCAACACGGCAGTGGCGCCTTCACTGAAGTATGGCCTGGATCAACTGGACATAGGCCCTGTTAGGGCCGTGGCTAGGGTGGCTGATATCTGCCGGCCTCGGTGCGGTCTGAATGGCCTTATCCAATGTCTCCTACGCAGCCCCCAGGGTTCTCTTCCTAGTCTGGCATACCATCCAAACACCATGGCAATGATAGCTCGCTGGACTACACCCACTGTACCTACTAGATTAGGAAAGGTACAGATGGCAGGATCGAGTTCAAATTCTACGTCCGGATCACCAATTATGGATAAGGCTACAGACTTCCCCGTACAAAGGCTGGTCTTGTCTTCATCAAGCAGCCCTAGGCACCCAACTAGGCTTCCCCCCTCCTCCTCTGAGAGCCACGCAGGCCTGTGCCTAGAGCCAATAAACCGCAATCCAGCCTCTGGGATGGCTCGTCAGCAAAACCTTTCCTCAGCTTGTTCAACAGGAGGTGTCTCGCTAGGTGGCTTGCTGAGGAATCAAAACACGGTGACTTCCTTGAGTACCACGTTCGGTTCAACCACCTCCTGAGTGCGATAAAAGCTTGCTCCTGCGGCGCGACGGTCACCAGAGGCCACTTCCTCCATTGCCCCCTCCCCCCCTTTAGTAACCTACATGCCAGCCATCTAGACCCTGGGGCGCTTTGGCACTCATACTAACTGTTCGAAATAGAAAAACACGGCTCGAGCTTTTACGGTCTAGCCAGGAACCATGGGTGGTACGGGTTGGAGATAAAATTCGATTCAATTCAGGGGTCCCGCAGAAAGAACTTTTAACATAACATAGTGTGAGAGAAAGAGCTACCCATTTAAGCTCATTCATCCATGCAATCTGTGATAAATTTAATAAGAAATGCCTGCTACCCCATTATATATGCATCAGGGATATGAATGATTGATATAACTCAAAATGATCATGTCCAGCTGTATCAGCCGACAAACGTATTGTTTCTCTGTTGTGACCGTGGCCCATCCTGCATTCAATGATACTAAGGGGAGAAAGATATACCAAGATGAAGCCCACTTAGAATGTAAACGATGCTGTTTCTGGGGCCATTGCAAGCCCAATACCCATGAAACGTAAAGTCAAATGTTGGTAACTGACGTTCGATAGGCAATACAGCGGTAGGGCTCAGCGTCTGCCTTTCCCCTTCGTCTTTTCCAACAATCTCCTCTCCGTTTCGTCATTGTCTTCGTCCCGATTGGCAAGCTCCCAGTCCGGCGATGGAGGGGACGCAATCTGAAAAATGATCTTCCTCGTCATATTGATCATCAATCGGTGGGTAAGGACTCTGTATGGGCGTAACATAAGACTGCAAGGCAGCTGTCAGTACTGTCCGAAGACACCTCAAGTTGCAATATTTCGAAATGTCTAAGGATGAAAAATGGCAACATCACTTACTCCGCCCATATCAACTCACTCGGAGGTGTGTGGGGCTGAAACGTGATCGTGCTGGGCCCGGCCTTAACTTCCATGTATCCAATGACAGCAATATCACCATAGCCTTCGTACCATGGTATAGGAGAAGCATTAGAATTTCTCGAGCCACTGGCAGAGTGCGGAGCATCCTTCAGGTTAATATCATTGAACTGACTGGCAAGCTCCTCGATGGACTATGTTCTGAAATCGATTCTGGTGCAGCTGTCACAATCAAGCAGCTCAACAGTACGGCTCCAGGAGTGATCCTCCAGTAACACAGCGGCAGTTGCTTCCACGAACAGAACACTGCGTGCAAACTGCTGATTCTAGAGGTAGAGTGGTGTGAAGGCACCTCGTCTGGCAGGAAGATATCAACGCTATCTCCACATCCAAGTGTATAAGCGCTCTTTTTGGGTTTGAAAAGGTGATGTCAAGTGCAACGAGTGAACGGTTAGTAGCAGGATTCAAGGGACACGAGTACCGCAGGTGAGCGTTGCTTTCCAAGATTTAGCAATGCCGATGCACAGAACATTCTGCCAATATCCTCTCCATTTGGCATGAGGTTGACGCCAATCTCGAAACGTCTGTATCTCTTCCAGCATCCGTTCCCTTCCGAACTACAATAACTGTTTATCGAGCTCCAGATGGAAATTTGAGCTGGCATGCACTGAGTATCCAACCGGAACTAAAAGATATATTGAAGGCAAAGACCATTACAGGGGCAGAAAGTCAAGGGCCGGTTACTAGGACCTCCTCTCTTAGATCAACAGGTATGTTCTCAGCTTAAATGTAATACCAGCGTAGAACTTGCTGAAACCACATTCCTAACCACGCATTCCCTGTATCAGAACTTAGAGTTATTCAAGGCACAGATACACAAATCAAAACGCTAACATCGATACCATTGACTGCCTGTGTCAATTCCTCAATAACATGAATGGGAACTCCCTTGAAGGGCACATCAGGTTCAATGCCACATCTGGGGTTAATAAAGCAAAGGAATTGATACTCCGATGTGTTGAGACCTGTTGTGGAAAATAGCAATCTGGAAACGGGCCATTCCCCGCAGTTATGCTCACTCCCATGTGCCATGCCTTCGATATGCTCCCAGGATCAAGCAGGAGAAGTTTTGCAATTGCAGCAGCAGCCACTTGGGCAGTTCTTCATTTGTGCGGTACGCCATGGTTGAAAGGAGACTGTCACTATGAGGAGGCATTCCAAACGATTCAACTTGGCCTTGCCGGGGAGGGGGCGGGGAAACCAGAGATCTATGACAAACCCCTAGTTGGGATTTTTCGGGTGCTTAAGACATCATCCACGGCTATCTCAGAGAACACCGAACCTGAAACTGCTGAAATAAGTGAACCATCTCAATCGTCTCCAGACCAAGACCCTATTCACGCAAAGATGATCTTCGCACTTGGGATCCTTCTGATTGAGCTATGCTTTGGTGTTCCAATCGAGATAAACCAAGAGTTGCATCAAACGCAATTGCCGTAAGAGAAGATTATCCTTTACAACCTTGCAAAAGGAAAGATGAGAGACTTTAGGAAGGCACTAGGCCGTACATATGCTTAGGCGGTTTTGCGTTGTTTGGAATGCCAGCGTCACTTCGATGGGCCTAAGAGCGCAGTGACGTTCACGAATAAACATTTTCGTCAATGGTTCTTTATGGGAGTTGTGGCTCCTGTACATGCCTGGTGGAGGATTATGAATTCAGGCCTATGAGCTAGCCTGGTGCGATTGTGTGTTCTAAATACATAGCTTTTTTCCTTTGGACTCGAGGCGCGACGTTCTTTATTCAAAGGCGTTTCCCCATCAGAGCTATGCACATGGGTTCTCTAGTAATCTAGATAAACGCATCGCTTTGGCTTTGGCCTTGGAGGTTCTCTATCCCAACCCTTCAGACCAGCCAACCCCATCAGAGGTAAGCAAGACGACTTACCCGAGAGCCCGAAGTGAATGTTGGGCCTTATGGAATTGGTGTTATTAGAGGTGTGAGATCACCTGTCCTTTTGCTTGTCTTTAGTAGAGAAATGTGCCTATATGAGTAGACAATTCAAGCGATGCGGCTTAACAGCTCTCGGCCTTTACTTTTGTAAATCATTTTCTCAATTCTGTTCTCTCTTTTGCACTCAGAGCTGGGCAGGTAGGGGCACAGCTCAACAACCACGACCAATATAGGGGGACACATTTCAAGTCCACCTGATTCAATATAAATCCTCAAACGCAGCTCAGCTTTTTTATAATGGTATTTCATGCAGATAGAGAGATGATCAACCAAGGAGATACATGACAGATCTCGCAAGCTATACTTGTAGCCGATGCTGTTGCCCAACCTCCCTGAATAACTAACATAGGTAGACCCAAATCCTTAGCATCCTCAAGCCCTGTCCCCTTCCCATATTCGGCCGTCATTTATTGTTGCAATCAATCATGCTCTCCGATCCTTCATATATACATAATTCTCCCCGATTTTAACCCAGCTTCAACTATCCAAGCTCCATATCCATCTCCATGTATGTTCCTCCAATCCGGCCCTTCTCTCATCCCTCTTGGCATTCACCCCTCCCCTAATTCTGCAAACTCCAACTAACCAAATGCCGATCATCCCATTCCATACTCGTACACATGCCCGGAATCTGGTACTGATTTGCGCCCAGTACGCCAATCGTCCCCGTGCCGGGAAGTAATTCTGCGTATGTATCTTCAAACCACACGTCGGTGAATGTCGCGAACCCGGACAAAGTCTTGCCGAAGTAGGGACGCTCTACCACCCAATCTGCGTCGACGCGGGCGAGGGTCGGTCCACCGGAGAGCGTCACGCTGTAGGTATAACGTTGGGAGAGATTTGTTATTGTGCTGAGGTTAACAGGGGTTAGCACTTGACTACCTGATGCAGGGTATGAGGTTGGGAGAAGGAAAAGCGGAAGGAAAAGGGGGCTCAAGGGGTAAGAGGTTAGGGACGTACATTTCTCCTGATGATGGTGAGGTAGTGTTAATGGTAACTTCGAACCAGTCGTCTTCAGCGACTGCAAAATGTTAGCACCCCCTCCATCCAACCTCAATCAAGGGAACTTACCTGGCAATGTCGAAATAGTATACGCCCCTGACGGCACCCACTGCCACCAAGCCTCATTTCTGCTCCAGTCAGCTCCTATCTTCTCCTCAAGCAATCACGGGAGAAACTTACGTGACGACACCACTAGAGTTATCGATCTGCCTAAGGTCAGCATGCAACCCTCACTCCAATGGTATCAACTCCATATCACATACCTTACAAACCGTCCCCGCCTGCAACAAACTGTCTGTCCACGTATCCCCATCGATGCCAACCCACGCCGCCACCGCCTGTGGAAACGTCTTCATCCCATTCCTTATCTCACACACCGGATGCTGGAAATAGCCATGCACCAGCCGTATCTGCCGTCCTATCGGAGCGTAGTTGACCGACCCGCACCAATTGTTGCTGTTGACGGTCGGGTTGTTGGCTCGTAGGTTCTTCAGGGTGGGCAAGCCAGATGCAGAGACCAGTTTCCCGCCCGTGGTGTGCACGGTCTGGCCGAAGGGGTAGGGCTCGATGCGGATGTCGGAGGGGGGATTGGGACGCCATTGTGGTGGGCTGTTACCGTGAAGGTGAGCTCGGAGAAGGAAGGGCCTGGGAAGGAGAAGAGGGGGAGGAGGGTTTGCCAGCGCATGTTGGAGTTAGAAACGATGGAGGAAATGCTAGATAGTGGGTATAGCAGAGCTAGATGAGGGTATCTAGAAGGTAAATCGAAAAAAAAAGGCAGATCTAGAGCTAAGATTTGAGCAAGGCGGGTCTATGCTAACGATGCCTAGCCCGACAATGCAGTTCGAGGTTAGCGAGCGGTACACAGAGCTAGTGATGATAGAGCTTAAAAAAGTCAGGGCGGTATTACCTTTCCAGAAGAAACCGGGATGCGAAGTTGGCTGGGTGACGTTGCATTTATTTACTTTGTCATCCAAGAATTTGGTGTTCGTACGCCGGAGCGGAAGCCAAACGGGCCGCAGCGGCAGCCGGATGGGGTTCCTCAAAGCAGCAAACTTGAGTCCGTCGTATGCACGATATCTTCCGCGAATCCTTCGTCTGTAGTCAACACCGTCACGTATGCAACTTTCCCTGAGGAGAAGCAAGAAGAAGAAAAATCGTCCGAGATCCAGTCGGGCAGCAAGCAGTCCAGACCCTAAGTAAAAGAGTTCCCCGATTCGCTCAATGCCGGTGATGTCAACTCGCAGTCCCAGGCTCAACTAGCACCGGGCTTTTCTCTCCATGAAACAGCAGCAGGATTCGAAAACAAACGTTGACAGCCCCGGCCACATGCCAGGAGTGGAATGGGAGCGGTTGATATCCCCCACATAGCCCCAACAGGGGAGAAGCGATCGGGTTTCTTCTTGAGGAGTTGTATGCAATTGACTGGAGTCGCCGCCCTATCTTTCACCAAACTAATCGCTGGGCTTGCTGCGGCCATATGCGGGTTGACTGGGTTCTTTGGGCGCGGATTGGACGCAGTGTCGGCTTAGGGCTGGCCGGATCCGCAGTATGATGGCCGGACTCGTCGACTTGTGCGTCTTGCTGCAGTATCAATATGGGGCCACCAGCGACATGCAACAACTGATGCGAGGCATGTCGTGATGTTGACACTCTAATAATGGTGAGGGGGAACTGGACGGTCCGCCACAGGCCACTGCAGCTAGTCCCCCTCCCACGAAGAGTTCAAGATTGCTTCGAGAGGCAAGAGAGTAAAAGAACAGAAAAGCGCCCCGGGGGCGATATTGCTTAAAGCCATTTCCCAGCCAACCGCCGGACTGGACTGCAGTCTGCATATTGTCCCGGCTACCCGGTTTCTTTTTTGAGCATCAGTCTCCCACGCTTTTACCCGGTCCCTGGATTAAAACACCCGTCAAACCGCTGCCATGGAGTGTGGACGAATCTGGCGCCACCCTTTCCGCGCCTTTTGGCTGGGCAAGCAACAAACGTGATATATTAATGTTGCCATGGTTCCAACTTTGGAAACAATTCCCTTCCTTTGCTTGTCTCTCTGCTCTCTCGTCTTGACTTTTTCCGTCTGCCCAACGTCAAGCCTTACCCATAACTTGCAGGCATACGTACGGCCTTTGCTTCGAACTTGCCGCCAACCTGGTACGTCCGCATGCCAGACGACACCGAGCTTGGGCCGTTAGCCCCGTTCCCCGAACGGATGGGTGCATCGGCCCCGCCCTGGCTGCCCGGGGGGAGGGGGGCTTCGGCGGTTAGGATTGGGTTATGCAGCTTCTCAGCGGATGCGGGCTTGCTGTTACCGGAGTAGTCCAGCCTCAATCATACATGACCCCTCAATCATTGAGATCGTCCAGATCATTCGTTAGACATGAAGTTGTTCCTTGGATCAGACCTATCCATCTTCTTCGATCATGGTTTGGTAACTCCATCGTGCAAGGTGAACACTCACGGGTGGAGCGTGACACAACTCTTGTCGTAGCGTAATGTGGGTACTGGGACCGGGATCGCTGCATTCGTAATGGCGGTCTTGGGTAGCACATGGCGTGCGTGACAGCAGGGTGGTTCGCGATGCCCACAGCATGTTGTAATCAGCCATGATCGGCAGGTTGTCAGTCAAGTTTCCTCATCCTAGCCCAGATATGGTCTATTCTCAACTTGCTTTGGTCACCTCTCGTAAAACCGGCCCTCTGATGATACTCTGGACCAGAAGTCATATTCGCCCTGTTTCTCAGCATCTGAACCATTGGTAGCATTCCCCCGCCATGAGGGGCACGTCGCCCCATAGCTATGACCAAGAAGGAAACGAAACGGCCCAGTGGTGCCAAGTTGCCAACCCGTGCGGGGTTCTCTGCAGCAGTTGACAGCGGAATGGCGTTCACATCGGTTATGTAGCTCTTGAAGCTTGGATAACCTTTCTAATCTTGTTTCTAAGACAGAGATCCAGGCATGTGCAGGTTTGATAGGTCGGAAGGGGGATGGTTGTCAAAGGCTTGCTGTTAGCCACAACAACCACGGTGAGGTAAGCTTCGGCCAACAGTCAGCCGGTGAGGCTTCCGCTCACCTTGTTTCCATAGTCCTCCGATACGCAGCGATCGACTTAAAGCTTTTAAACTGGGCGACTTGTACAGCTGTAGGAGAGGCATCTACTCTGCCACCACGGTATGGCCTGCGCACTGAAGCTGGGTATTGACGTGTAGAAGCTCAACTGGGGCTCGGCTTCGAACTGCCAGCTCCAGTGAACGAACTTGATGCGGTTTCCATATTTGCCTGACAAGTCAGTGCTGCTTGTATGAACCAATCGCCCTGTGAGTTGGGGTTTTTGTTGAAGATCAACGGACCCGTTTCGGAGGCACCGAAGCATGCGTTGGCATTCTAAGATCCTGGAACAGTGCGTCGGCTCCGGTCTTCTAGAAGGTCATCAGGAAGGCTTCTCCGATCTCCAGCCGCTCGAATCGGAGAGGACAGGGTACGTAATATATTTCGGAAGCACTGGTGTATGTAAAGCCGCTGGCTGTTACAAGAGTGTGGGGGACATATTTGTAAACTGTGGGAAAGTCTGGAATGGGTGACGGTTTCTCGGCCTATGATGCACCGAAGTTGTATGCAGGCGAGAGCTAGTGCTCGGAACCAGATATTGACAAGGCATGGCACTTACCTTTTCTAAAGTTCCTGGTTCTGTGATGCTGCCATTCAATATCGGTTATCAACTGAAAAATAGCTCTGGGAAGATGGCGGGCTTCATGTTCCAAATACAAGCTGTTGCAAGTTCTGGTCATCACCAGCCCTTGGATTCACTTAGATGGAGTGATGAAGCCTGGCACAAGCCTGAGATCACTTCGGTAGCACGGCACGATTGAAACTGCAAACCCCTGGCTGACTCACTCATGCCACTCATGAATGTACCTCCATTACAAGACATCTTCCCTCAAATCTTACGTAGAAGTAACTCATATGCTGCGCCCACCTCCTTCTCCCTCACCTCTCGATGCCTTATCAAGGTACATAACTAACCTGCGCGGTATTATCATACTCCTCGCTGCCGCAGAACCCCGGGATCTGGTACTGCTTAGCGCCGAGAATCCCTAACGAACCCGACGGCGTGAGGGAAGCGCTCGCATATGTAAACCATACGTCAGAGAAGGCCGGCATCGTAACGAGTGTGCTGCCATAGTAGGGTCTCTCGACCACCCAGTTGGCGTTGACGCGGGCAAGGGTCGGGCCATTTGTGAGGATCACATTGTAGTTCACACCCGTATGGAGGTTCATGAGAGAGCTGGAGATGTTAGTCGGGAAAGAGCATCAGATATGAAGTTCTCTGGCAAAAAAATTTAGAAACTAGGGAGAGGACACTCACATCTGAGCAGACGTCGTCGAGGTTGCATTAATCGTGACTTCGAGCCATTGGCCGGGGGAGACTGTCGGGTTTAGCAGCACTGCTCAAGATATCTAAGGTGGGAAGATAAAAAGGAAGCTTACTGGACAGAGAGGTGATGGCATACGCCCCGAGGGGAACCCACTGCCACCAAATGCCATGCCTTGATCGTCATGAGCACGCAAGCTCTCCTCTTCACGTCCACAAAAGAACTTACGACGCTGCGCTACTCGAGGTAGCAAACTACTCTCTTGTCAATCCTCTTCTCCCAATCTCTCTCATCAACAGTTCTTAACGCAATGCATGCCAACAACTCACCTCACAAACACTCCCGGCCTGTAGCAACGCCGACGTCCAGGAATCTCCATCAATTCCGACCCAAGCCGCAACCGCCTGTGGCCAAGTCACGCCACTTCCCGTCCTCTTCGCACAATTTGGGTGCTGAAACATGCCCGTCACACTCACGATGCTCTTCCCCGACGGCGCAGTGTTGACACTACCGCACCAGTTGGAACTGTTGGCGATTGGATTGGCGCGGGGATTGAGACGAGTTGCTTTGGAGGGGGGGTTGCCGAGTTGGTAGGTCTCGAGGGGTTTGAGCTTAATCTCTGAGGCGGGGATGGGAACGCCTTTGCGAGTCGCGGTGATAGAGTAGCGCAGGCCGCCTTCGAGTGAGCCTTCGAGGACGAGGTCCGCCGCGGCGGGGGCAGAGGTGATGGGAGTTGTGAAGAAGAGAAGGAGGAGGATGGAGATAAGGTTTGAGACTCGAGACCAGGGCATGGTTGCTGATGGATGACGACGGCGCCCCCGGAAAGATGAGTTAAAGACGAGGTCGTGGTTGTAGTCGAGATACGAGCGGTGATAAGAATCGACTTTTTTGGTTCACAGTCGAGAAATTGAGGGTATGAAGTTTATACACCGACCTCGAGTTGTGAGACCTTCAGACAAAAAAAGTTATGTGATATCCTCAAATCAAAGCCGACTTACACTTCATATCCTCCATATCGAACAACCAAGAACTGTATATATATCCCTTTCACTTCCGATCCCAAACTTTTCTTTTACACGCTGCAAATGTTACATCCATTACCCCATAGCGCCAGACACGTATGCGGTCATGCCCACCTCGGACAATAACAGTCACCATCACAGCCACACTAGACTGTAAATACCACAACCTGCAAGGGCGCATATTATGCCACACTTCCCGGGTGCTATCGGGCCATAGTACTTCTCGCCTCGGCAACAATCTGCCAGCAGCTCTGCAACTAGTGACCATCACAGTAGCAGCAGCGTTTGTTGGTGATGACAGCCTTCAGTGACTGAGACAACGGCACTCTGCGTGAGGGGCCCAGAGGCCGAAGGGCATGCAAGAAAAAAGCTGATGGCATGCAGCGAGCCCATCCTTCACACAATACTGGGATACCTAAGTCCCGATTGCGTCCCACGCATGTAAAAGCTGCCTAACCCCCACGATATTGCCCCTCTCGTTGATAGACCATGCCATCAACTTGAGAACATATCTGCAGCATCTTTTAGTAGTTCGTCCCAGCTGCCTGGTAATATGACACGCCAAGAGGGCACTATCCTAGTGCGAGCTGCATGGAGGAGCAAGCGAGGAACGTGACCCCGCACGGGTTGGCATGCAATGTCGAGTTGAGGCACTGCCAATGTACGCAAGGAAGGGTATCATTTAGCGCACTAGGCCATGTCAGCGGGCAAGTCAAGAGTGAGGGAGCGTGACCGTGCCATGAGACTTGGGTAGTAATATGAGGTAGCCTCAGCTATCCACATGTAAGTTAGACATGGTAGATAGCCGTGCGGCAGCGGCGCAGATCCACCGCGGCTACATCCCTAATGATCCGTGTTGACTGCGGCACGTTCCGTACGAGGAAACAGGTTCAGCTTGCAGAATACAGTTCTGCAAACAGCATAGGGGATACAAGATGAGCTGGGATGTCACTCGTGCTGGGCCTGGTGGCAGTGAAGTTTGGGCTTATACTTGCAGCTTGCAGGGCATGGTTATGGTGCTGCGAAATGTGCTGCCAGGATAGAGAAACTGAGAGGGGGCCTTCAACCAGAATGGCGAGGCGACCGGGTAGTAAAGAGAAACTCGCCCTGTCAAGGTTGCCTGAGCAACTTCGGAAAGGAGCCGATGTGTAACCTGTCTGCCCTTCTGATGGAAGTTTTATTTGAGGTTTTTGTCAGGATTCAAGCGTCGAAGAACCCCTTTTCGGAGTCGAGCTTCGCCGGGGTCGAACGGGGAGTTTTTGTCCAAAGCTGGCATTCATCTTCATTTCAGATTGGGGAGGATGATATGATCGACGTGTTCCCCAACATTCGGTTCTTCAGTCAACTAACCCGTAGAAGCTCAAAAGGAACTCGGGAGTTCCAGCCCTGACAACCTTGTGAACCCCCCAGAACTTGGAATCATCGCCCCACCTGCTTACTCATCCAACCCCAGTCGCCGAGACCAACGCCTTCCTCAAGCCAATGATGACTAATCAATATAAACCTTTGTTCCGACACTTCTCCGTAACCAATCGGAACTCACTCGATCCCCCGTATCGGGTGTGGTGTAGCGGTAACATCGTTGACTCTCACTGCTCAGTCAGTGATAAGTGCTCAACAGCCCCGGGTTCGACTCCCGGCATCCGAGTTCGATGTTCTTTTTTGTGCCCCTTTTTTCTCAGTCCATTGAGCGTTGTCAGGAGGGGATGAGGGCGGCTTCTGGGAGTTAGAAACGAGGAGGATACGAGCCGTAAGAGGGCGAGGATACCTACAGAGAGGGTGAAGAAGGACCCAGCAACAGATCGTGAGTAAAGACAATCAAGGACTTGCTCCACAAAGTGTTTAGCACATCTCCACGGCAGTGCAGAGACGTCTCACACCAAGGGAAATGAAAACGCCCCACGCGTGTCGCAGAATAGTAGTATATTGGGTATCTCAAAAACACCAATTGATCCCTGCCCATCATCCATCCATCCAGCATAACAAAACTTATGCCTAAGAGATATTCCTCTTAGTCCCAAGGCCAACGGCGTTAAAAAAAGGCAAATGCCAAAGCAGAAAGAAAAGAGGAGCATTAGCTGATACGCAAATAGAAAAGCCCCAGCAAGCCATGATATCCCCAGAAAGTGAACACCACATCATACCACAACATATGCGCGGCCATTCTTCCCTTCCCAGGATTATTAGATGGGTATGGATAATGCTGTCGTAGGTAGATGCAGAGAGCTGGGATCTGTGACCGATGCATGAGTGGAGAGTGCGCCCACACACAAAGGAGATAGAGGGTGACAACAAGAGCCAGAGCAGAGCAAGGTCGGTCCGTTACGGAACTCTGCCCGATCGCTGGCCTCTCATCCCCCACTGCACAGAGCGAGGAGGAAGAAAAGGAGGAAGGAGGGGAGAGTGCAAACCCAACGTTGGGGCCTGCACCGCCCCAACGCCAGGTCCAAGTCAGGCAGGCAGGCGGGCGGTTTCAGCAGCGAACAAGTAGCGAGCGGGAGTCTCCTCCTACCGCTTACTCACTCTGCACAACGCCGCCATGCCGTGTCGTCGTGCCCACCAGGGAGCGATAGGCCTCATCACCCGGCCTTGTCGTGTCACTTGCTTGCTTGCGTTTTCAGTACAAGTCGCGATCAAACCTGCGACGAGACCAGCCTGCGCACCCTGGAGAACACGAAGAGTTAGTGAGATCCTAAAAGATATAAACGGTAAACCGTGCTGGTTCAGCGGCAGCTAAGGACTTACAATCGCACTGTGAGGAACGAGGTTAGTAACCGTTAGACAAACAGATTGTTTAAAGGGAGAAGTAAACTTACAGCAGCGAGATCCGACCCCTCATTATGAATCAGGCAGTACCCTCCTCCACAGATCTGGCATGTACGTTGGGTGTCGGCGATGCAGTCCTTGCACTAGTCACGGTCGTGTAAGCCCCAGCTCGATATGGTAAAAAAAAAGTTTTCGTGGGTCGACTTACGTTCATGCCGCATTCCCAGCAGCTTCTCTGGACATGTGGCTTATTGTGACGTTAGCACATCATTGATGGATTTTGAAATCTTTGAAACCCAAAAGGGAGGGAGAGGGTGGTGTGGGGTTAAGGCGAAGGCGGGACAGATTGAAGACAGCCAGGCGGGATATAACCTCCAAACCTGAAGGTCAAGGACTGGACGCTTCCCCAACGGCAAATGAGGGCCACGGGTAATACTTCAGCTCACATCCGGCAGCTGGCCGATTCTCCATCAACCTCCAACTCGGGCTTTGCAGACGCAGACCGTCCTCGTCCTCGACCCTTTTCCGTCCTTCCACCGCAATAAACGCCCTCCCCTTCTCCACCCACACACCTTCACTCAACGAAATCCTTCATATCAAAATCAAGACTCTCAGTAGGCAAGGTACTTACCATACCAACACTCCCCGCATTCATCGGCCCAACCCAACACTGCTCACACCACCACTTATGACAACCAGCACAATACCTCTCCCTAATACAATCCCAGCATCTTGGGACAAACATCTTCCTCTTCCCCTTCTTCCCCATCAAACTCGGTCTCAATACCTCCCCCTCGGGACACATGGCCCCCCTCAAGCTAGCGCTATGCATCGGCACCGGCGTAAGCAGGGGATATCTTCCGGCGAGATCGCGCTCCCCACAACTGCTACTCTCACTCAGTCTCCTCCCGAACTCATCCCTCTCTCCCCCTAGACACCAATCCTCATCCCCCCAGGTAATCAGCCCCTCTGGGGCTGCCCCACACCCTTCACACGGGCCCAAACTATAACTCGCCACGGCAAACGGCTTCACCATAGTCGCGTTCGGGTTGGCCGCGGCAGCATTCAAAGCTTCCATATCGATGGTTCCCCAAGCAGGGGAATTGAGGTGGCGGGGCCCGGTGCACAGAACGGCATCGAAGGCGATGATGCCTGTGCATGCGCGCAAGGTGTCGGCCCATTCGGGAGAGATTTGGGACTGGGGGAGTTGGCGACCGCGGCGTTGCCACCAGGGCTCGAGGTCGGAGGAAAGGGTGAGGGAGAGGGCGTGGTGAAGGGGCCAGGGTGAGGAGTGGTTGGTGGTTGTGGAGGAGAGGCTAGCTGGGCTCCGGGTGGAGGAAGAAGAAGCGCTTGAGTCAGGGGAAGAAGACAGAGACTTAGGCTTGGGGTCGCGCGCGCCGAAATAGTACAGCCCCTTCAGACGGGGCATTCCCTCGGGACGAGAGGGTCGACAAGCGTACTGCAGGGCGGCGCGCAGCTTGTGCTCGTTGAGGTTCTTGACGTCGCGGATGGAGAGGATGCGGACGTTGAAAGCGGGGTCATTGAGGATGTCGTGGACGAGCTCGGCCGTGACCGAAAGGCCGTCGAGGGAGAGGATTTGGACATCCCTCAAGATGTCGAGGCGCTGGAGGGCGGCGAAGATGTTACGGAGGGGACGGGAGTAGTAGCTGAGGTCGTCAGCAACTAAGTCTACGTAGACGACATGTACAAGCCAGAAAGACATACTCCTCAGCAGTCGCGTACTGGCTCTCGACGCCGTCGGTCCAGCCGACCGTCAGGTTCTCCTGGGCCTTCTTCACATTCTCGAGGTCCAGGCGACGGAAGACATGGGGAGTGCGGTACACCAAGAAGCGAAAGGCACGGGAGGTGGCAGCGAGATTCAGGACATCTTGGCAGGAGAGGTATGGTGCCGTTTGGGTCAGCACCAGAGAGTTTGCAAGAAGCTGGAGGAGAGCACAACGCTTGAGATCACTGGACAGGCTGGAGGTTCGGCTCTCGGAGGTCTGGGTCATGGTACGGAGTGTTTGATGCTGATGAGGGATGTCTCGAGGATGTTGGCCGCGCGAGCACCTTGGGAAGAGCTGAGGGGTGTTGGGAGACGTAAGAGGCCAGAGAGCTAGAGCAGTGGGAGCCAGGCGATCCGGGTAAATAATATTTTAATATTCTACCTTGTGGGAGGAGGAGTAGCAGCCCAACCCAATCGTTTCACAGGCCGTCAAGCAGCGAACCACTCAAAGCCAACCGGGGATGGCGGCCCAGACGGACGAGCTTGGGGGCTTAAGTGAGTTTGACAAGCGGTGGGCGGGATGTGGGCCAAGCGTGAGACACACAAGACGAAACGACAGACGACAGGACGAGGCGGGAGGTCGATCGACGAACCAGGGTTCGTGGGTTGGGGCAGGCTTGGTACGCCCACGCCTGGGTTCGGTGTACAAGGATATCCGTGGCGGGGGATGACAGCAGCGACATGGGAGGGCGCTGAAAGATTTCGATTCATTTTTTTCTTCCTCTTCTTTTTTTTTCTTCTCTCTGACAGCTCAACTTTGTGGGAGTTTGAATGCTCGTGGTTGTGGTTTGTAACTACAGAAGAGATGCTGGATAGTCATGATATTGATGATGATATCAGACGGTGATGATGAGGAAGCTGGACCTACGGATTGCAGAGTAAATTGTATAGTGCGTGTTGTGGCCAGCTGGCATTCGGGCTCGCAGCTCACGGCCTCCGAGACCCCAAATGCCAGATGCACTGGCAGACCGCACCGGAAGGGAAGCGTCCGAAGGAGAAACGGCCAAGCTACCGGGCAGTATGTGGGACGTCTCCCAACGTTAGCGCGCCGTAGTGCGGCCGTGACGCGGGCGCGGGCCTGTCACAGCAAGGACGTGGGATGCGGTGGCGTTTAGCCGGTGTTAGCGCGTCGCTACGACGACGGTTGAGGACACTGTGAGAGGGACGAATGAATCCATGATTTGATGCAAGACCCAAGCAATGTTGCGATGGAGCCTCATTCCTCCTGCAGGGCGACGTGGGGTATCGCCGTCCAACGCTCGTCGTGCCCGCCCACATTAAGGCCTTGTCTTGACGCTCGCTCGGGGTGTGGCGCGCTGTTGCTCAGAGAAAAACAATAAATCCAGACAATTACGACCCAAGCGAGCGTTGGTTTCTTGGGACACGTGGACCAGCGACGAGAAGCACGTCAAATGGGCTGACAAAGGCGGGTGTTATCTTATCGGCGGCTTTCCTGTTTGAGTGTCATTGCTTAGGGTTGCACCTTGCACTTCACCCACTGGCAACAAGTAACTATCGAGCAGGACCTTTCCATCCCAGCTTGGTTGCGGGCTGCTGCGATCTGGCATCTGGCCAAGCTTCGCTGCTGCTTCTCACTGCTGTATCCCCACTTGCCGGCCACTGCGCCAAACCTGATCTGGCTTGGTGGAACAGGGATCGCGGGGGATTCTCCACGCACAAAGCTCAGTCGACGACCCAAATGGACTGGCGCTGCTGCTGCTGCAAAGCGTCGTGTGCCAATCCCATGTGAGGCGGCGGACTTTACGGACAATGCGAGGCGCGAATGTGAGTGCGGCTGGTTTGCTATAAAAGTGTGTCATAGAGTGCGGGGAAGCAGCAGACAGCAGAGGGAGCTCAGCAAGCTGGGAGAGGGGCTAGAGATGTAACGAGAGGGACGGGGGGAAGCTTGACGACATCCACGATGCGCGGTGTAAGAACGTGGAAAGCAAACTGTTGGGGACCCTTTTTGCCAGCCTGGTGGGACGCAGTAAGCGGACGCCGGCAATTAGCAATTGCAGGCTCCGCCAGAGTTATGACGTTAAAATCAAAATTTCATTTCAAAAAATCTGCCCACAGCGACCCCATGGAGCCATGGACCCATGGACCCATGAGGTCCTTATCTGAAGGTCGGGCCGGAGTTTGCGTCTTCCGATGCCCCACATCTGCCAAGAAGTCATTGCAGGTTGGCCAGGGATTGGAGCGATCTGAACAGCCTACAGCGATGACGAATGCGCACATAGAGGCCTCAGGAAGCAATCCATGCACCTGTTGCGGCTGCGACTGCGACTGCGTATACGTATTGATGACTGCCAATGTCAACAGCGAACGACGGTAAAGTCTCCCGCGACGCCAATACGATGAAAATTCCAGCGCGCAAGTGACGATTCGAGAACCATCCACAACGCCATCTGGTTTCTCTTAACAGCGGGTTACTTACCTAGTCTCCAACACAAGATCGATTGCCCCGCCTGCTCCTCATTTTCCATCAGACCCGACGCGAACCCATAGACAGGAAGATCCGCAAGACAAAGGACCCAAAACACCTAAAGCAACATGGACGGCTTACAACTCTCCTGGTCATCCTCACTCCGAGTCGCCCATCCAGCCCGCATCGCCAGCAAGGACCTACAGGGTGACAAGATCCTGCTCCCCCAGTCCGCCCTCGAACAGCTGCTGGCTGCGTCCTCGAGCTCAGCCCCGGGGATGCACTCCTTTACGGCCTTCGACTCCCACAACCCATACTCCGTCGCCGGCCGACGACAATTCCGCGACAACGACCGCCAGCTGCCTCACCCGCTCATGTTCCAGTTGATCAACCAGAAGAACGGCAACACCGTTTACGCCGGTATCCGCGAGTTCTCCGCCGACGAGGGCGAAGTCGCCCTTAGCCCCCATCTGCTCGACGCTTTGGGGATTTGCGAGTCGGATATTGCAGAGGTGTCGGCCGGTAGGACAGAAGATGGCGCCCGGATTGTGGTCAGGGCGAAGCAGCTGCCCAAAGGCGAATATGTGCGTCTGAGGCCCATGGAGGCCGGCTACGACCCCGACGATTGGAGGCCGTTACTGGAAAGACAACTTCGCAGCAGCTACACAACGCTTACGAAGGGCTCGATTCTGACCGTCCAAGGTGCCAAGGGTGAGGAATTCCGCTTTCTGACTGACCGGTTTCGGCCCGAGGGCGACGGCATATGCGTGGTCGACACAGACCTCGAGGTCGACATCGAGCCACTGGACGAGGAACAAGCTAGGGAAACACTTCGCCAGATCCAGGCCAAGGCGCAGAAAGCTCCGGGCACCGCCAATGGCAGCTCCGTTGGACACGCAATCGATATATGGAAGGATGTCGATGGCCAGGTCCTGGGAGGGGACTATGTAGACTACGAGCTGCCGGCATGGGACAAGTCGCGGCCGCTCGCTATTGAGCTGACGATTCAAGACGAACGCGAGGTCGATCTCTACGTTAGCCCCAAGTCGAATCGGCAACGATCCAGGCCGCGCGAAGACGAGCATATATTCGCCGACTTTTCCTCGCCGAAGGACGGCGTGAAGCGCATCGTCATCCAGCCCGGCAATGTCGAGCTCGAGGGGGCAGAGAGCCTCCTGATCTCGATCCATGGCTTCGTTCTTCCTGACAGCTCTTCCGACCCGACACCCCGCCGCTACACCCTGCGTGCCCGGGCTGTCGACACAGACAGGCCAGCGCCAAACGGCTCAACCTCAGCCCCCACCGCGCCATCCTCTGACGAGGAACAATGCCGCAATTGCCTGCAAAACGTTCCCAAACGCACCATGCTCCTCCACGAATCCTTCTGCCTCCGCAACAACATTATCTGTCCCGAGTGCCGCCTCGTCTTCCAAAAATCCTCCCCCGAATGGTCCTCCCACTGGCACTGCCCAACCCATCCCTCGGCCAGCGGCTCAACCCCACTGAGCAAAGCCAAGCACGACTACATCGAGCACACCCAACACACATGTCCCGCCTGCGGGCCCTCTTCGCCCTTCACGTTTCCTTCATTACCAGAACTATCTCGCCACCGCACAACCATCTGCCCCCACAAACCCATTCTCTGTTCATTTTGTCATCTCGAAGTCCCCCAAGAAGGTGACCCCTTAGATCCAGCTTGCGAAGCAGAGACCGCGCTGACGGGGCTAACACCCCATGAACGCGCAGACGGCGCTCGCACGACGGATTGTCACCTGTGTGGAGCGATCGTTAGACTCAGGGATATGGCTGCGCACATGGCGCACCACGAACTCGACAAACTGTCTCGGCCGAAGCCCATCCCTTGTCGGGTTGCGCTATGCGGAAGAACATTGTATGGTGCCAGTGCAAAAGGAACTACCCGTGTCGGAGGCCAAGGACCGGGGAATGACTTGGGGTTGTGCAGCATATGTTTTGCGCCGTTGTGGGCTAATCTGCATGACCCGGAGGGGAAGGCTTTGCGGAGGAGAATCGAGCGGAAATTTCTTACGCAGTTGATGTCGGGGTGTGGGAAGAAATGGTGCGGGAATGAGTACTGTAAAACCGGCCGCAAGAACCTGGGACTGCCGCCTAAGGGCGAAAAGGCTGCTGAAGCGATGCAGATTGTGAAGGGGCTCATGGAGGGGGTTTATGACACGCATAGGGAGGGAAGTGTGTGGTTTTGTGTGGATGAGGCTTCACAGAAACGAAGGAAGATTGCGGAGATGTTGGCCGCTGAAGGGGTGTATGAGTTGGAGTGGTGCGTTGCGGCTGTGGAAGCAGAAGGGGGCAGTTTGGAACGGGCGAGGGGGGTGGTTGGGGGATTGGGCGCCTACTAAAGTACAGAGGTCATGAAAGTATAGGATGGTTGGTGGTGCTAGGGAAAAGGGGGGGTAAGTTATATATATATATATATATATCAGGGCCCTTTGTGATGGAAGGGGGAAATGGTGGAGATGGGTATTGGTATTGGGGGGAAGGGGACATAATGAAGATGGAAATGGGAGGATGAGATCAGTTTCCTTTCCAAGCTAGATATGAGGATAAGGCTCATTACATTATGATACCCAAGAGTTTTGAAGATGGATGAATAGATTGCTTTTTTTAGAAAAATGCCCTTGATTTCAATGTTCTGACCCGTTCTTTTGCCAAGTATCATATTGTTGAGCTCACTGACTTGTCCCGTTAGTTGTGCTAGCAAGAACGTCATTTGTGAATAGGAGCTTCATCCCCTTCTCATTCTTTGCCTTCAATGAACTAGGAGTCTACTGATGCTAGCATCAAGGGGTGCGCCTTAAGACAGGTAAGAGAGAGGCAGCAGTTATGGTTTGTATGGGATGGCAATTGGAGTTTGATGTTTGTCTCACAAAAAGAAAAGAAAAGAAAATCTGGGTGAGGGGCAATGAGCCCAAATCTTCTTTTATCCGGTGTTCACATGAAGAATGCCCTCACCTATCCTCGAGCAGATATGCCTAAGGTGCAGCAAGCATTCCGGAGAGGTTACCATGAGGAAGGGGATTAGGTTGTTATATTTCAGAGGTCCACTGGACAATACAGTATGGTACCTGGTCTTTTCTTTTGTTTACAGAATGGAGTGTCAGAGATGATATACCCTTTTCCCAGTAACCCTGATAGATAGCTCATGGCTCAAGCTTACAATCCTTAGACTACTGAGAAGACTCTACCGGATACCTCACCATAAGCTCATTTTGAGTGACTGATTGATTGGACATACCCATGTCAAAGCAGCAAGGCAGACAGGAATTGGTACGGCTGAGTCATTGGACAAAAAGCCAACCTCATAAAAAGATGTGAGTGTGTGATAAATGGCACTTGGAATAACAGCCTTGTCGTCACCCTCAAAGAATGTGCTTAACGTGACGAATTTCATTCACTCTCGATGCTGCTTAGCTGACGAACCACCCTCAGCATGAATCAACAGCCACCTGTAGCTCTATGCATCAATCCCAGCCTCATGTCAAACTAGCATCTCCCATCTCTCATTCTTCACCATCCCACCAACCGTAGCTGGATAAACCCCATCCTTGTGCAAAAGGAAGTTGTTGGCTTAAGTCGACTGTAGTATGCCATCTTGTCAAAACAGGCTCATTGTTTAAGACAACGCACAGAATGATAGAACAGGCACACTCACACAGCAAGAGCAGCCCTTGCAGTCAGTACAAGAGCATGAGTTGCAGCCGCAGCCTGACATGTTTGTCTATTGTTGTTCGAAAATGCACAGGAGACAGGTAGGTTGAGAAAGGGTTTATAGGATGGATTGGAATTGGCACTTGAAGTCTCGTATTGAGTATGATATGGTATGGGAGCGACCCCTTTTGGCTGAAGAGAGGAAGAGTTTACCTGCTAGAGGGGGAAGAGGAGTCGACTTTATATACCACTCGGCTGTTCCTCCTCGAGCATTAGTCTACCTACTACGAAACTAACCCATCTCCTTTATTATTCCACTCACGCGTGACGTCCTTATCTCGTATCCGTCCAATTGGGGCCTGTCCGCACCTACTTACATTGTTCACCTCCTCAATTTGAGAACCTACCTATAGGAAGAGTGCCGGCCCGTCCCTGAAGCTTGACATCTGCTGCGCCTGCCCTGATCAGGAAATACCTCTCTGAAGTTAGCGGGCAGGATAAGGAACATCGGCATCCTGACAAACCGGTGTGCCTCCCAAGTTTCCATGAGAATAGGAGTTCATTGATGTGGTGCGGCCTTTGCCGTATGGAATGCAGCACAAGGCGTAGGGACCGAAGGCGGACGTGGGAGATGTGAGAGAGCGGGATGAGGACCGCGAAGGAAGGCTAGCCAAGTAGGTCAGAGACAGAGCAGGCTGCCAACAAGAGACCAGATTATTCAGAAGGGGAATCCGCCAACCTAAGGAGCCTGATAACAGATAGGTAGCCATGTAGGACTCATGAGCAGTCCCAGCCGGCAGACAACTCATCCATCCATCCATCGATGGTCAGACTGCGGTTTTCTCCGACACCACACAGACAGTCCTACTCCATCCCGTGCCAGCACCAGCTCTAACCATGGGTTTTTGAGATACCGGTGATGGTTCGTCCAATCTCTGCTTCGCCGGCACCTCCTTCAAGACACTTTCTTGTGATTAACTATTAGCACATTAGTGCTCGGCCCGTGCACGACACCTCCCGATATATACTAATCACCACAATTGCAGTAGCATGCTCAAAACAGCCCCCGATAGGCAGACTGAAAAGGCCCATTCTCCTCTCCCAAGTGCGGGGAAGTGGAATGCAAATGCAGCACATTGACAAGCGACGGGACAGAGGATTGTGGCGTGCATGGGCAAGGTGACACAAGCACACAGACCGTCCCGAACAGCAAATTCCAGGAGAGAAGAGCAGCAAGCACCCCACCAGGCAACGTGGTGCAAGAGTGAGACACGCATATGTAGAACCCAGGTGTGCATGTCGCGTGTTTTGTGGACAGGGAGTGGTGCGGATATGGCGGCGACTCGCTGAGCTGGAGCCGTTTGGTACACAAGCAGAGAATGACGAAGTGATGATGCGAAATATGGCAAGTCAGTTCTGGTGTCGTGGCCGGCTAACTTTGTTCAGACATCACCTTTGAGGACAAGAGTTGCTTCCTGGAAGAGATCAAGGATGGGAACTGTTCTTTGAAGAAAGCCAGCCAAGACGGGAAAGCCGATGACTTACGTCAAATGATTGAGATCACGTCTTCCAAGACTCTTTGATTGATCCCAAGTTTCAAGATTTATGCTAGACGTTCTTGCGTAAGAACCGGAATCCAAAGAGGACCACAATTTAGAGGCATGCGGAAGCTCAACAATGACTCTTGCTCGTGATGATTGTCGACAAGGCCTTGCCAGGCAATGGCTGCCGTCAATGGCAGATGTCTCGCGAGGACGCGGACTGGTAAAACTCTCTTCTTTTGACCCTTGGACAGGTCTTTCTGCCCATCTAAGATCACATACGAGCCATTGATGGCGATGACGGAGCGATCCCCAAGATCGGCAGTGTTTCAACCACACCCAAGCTTAGCCATGCAATCCTCCAGCTGCGGATGGGAAACTCTCCGGCCGGGAACAGACAGAAGGGGGACTCCCCATAACACAGACTCGAACCACCAACAGACAAGTTCAACCCGGAGAATGAAGTGCAGCTAGTGTCGGAAATAATCCTTGGCCGAGTGGGCTAGCTGCACTTTGCAGAACCCTTCATGTGTCTGACTCAACTCAAAACCCGAGTAGACAACGCCTCTGATGACTGTGTGAGCGGTTGCCACCCGGGCGACAAAGCTGAGAGGAAGATGGACACAAAAGCTGTGGAGAAGGTAGCTCTGCCGTTGACCCATTGTGCACTTGTGGATGTGGGAAGCGCAGCGGTTGGGGTAAGTAGTGTCGTCGTTGTGGGGTAGACAAGTACCGTCGGTTCCCTCGGCTTCGGCCCGAGAGGGGCATCAAAGCGTGGGTTGGGGTTAGTTGAAGAGCAAGAAATGGGTCGGCGGTTTTTAGAAGGCCGAGAGAGATGGGTTGGCGTAGTATCACGAATCCATGATGCTTGTTCATCTGTTTTTGCGAAGCAGTGTTTCCTTTCCTCTCGTGATGGGGATGTTGACATCGGTGTCGGATTTAAGATATCCGACATTCCGCGTGCCCAACGACAACGACAACGCGTCGTCAGCGTCGGGCCCAGTGACATCCGGAGTCTTGTTGCCTGCTGCAAATTCGGTCAAAAGTTGGTGGAACGGGCTGATAAAGCCAGGTTTTGGATGATGGATCGACTCATGACAAGGCTGTGCCATCGTGAACGCGAGTTGGTTGTTCCAGATATGGTTGTTGGTGCAGGAGCCCCACGGACGGCAGGTCGTCCCGAGCCCGGGATCCCCCCAGCTGATGAGGTTCATTCTGTCGATGACGGAGCTTATGATATCTGAGTTTTTTGGTGAATCTAACTATCATGATATCTCAGGGTGAAAAATCGGCGCCAGATAAACGCATTTCAAGATATTCCAACGGAAACCGATGGCCTCTTCGCGAGAGCGTTGACGGCCTGAGACAAGCTTCCTGCTGCGACCATGGGTCTGATGAGGCCAGTGCATCACAAGGGCAGCGAAAATCGGCCAATTCCGTTTCGTTGACAAAAGCGAAACCGAGGCATTGAGATGGCGGCAAGCGCGCTGATTGGTCAGATTGCCTTTCAGAAGAACCATGTGGCGGCCTGGGTCCACACAAAATTTGGGGTCCGCCACATCCTGCGCCGCTTGCCCTGTTCTTGCACGCTGTTGCCGCCCTGATGCGACATGATTGGGCTGCCAGCGCTGATATGGAGACAAAAAATTTTGAGGGTTGACCTTGAACAACTGGACGCTGCTAGCTTCGCCGTAAATCCGGGGCACCTGCCTGCCATGGAAGGGTAACGAAGCCGCTGGGTTATGCAAGTCGTGCAGCTCACGGAAGCACGAAGAAAAGCCTCGGCAGGGGGGCAAGACAATGTGAATTGTCGAGGTTTGGCGTTCATAACAGACAATGATGGATGGCGATGCTGATGTTGTCGAGGACGCCAGGAATTGTGACAGCAGCGTCCAAGATCAGCTTCATCGCCAAACTTAGGGCCAACATCCTCGGTTCGGGCAGCCGAGGGCGGCTCGAGTCGGCAGGCGGCAGGCGTGTCCCCACGCGTGAGGAGAAACAGGGGGAAAGCTTTGATGGGGTTTCGCTGGGTTGCAGGTGGGCTCTAGGATGAACCCACCGTCATTTCGGGGCCTGCCAAGCCCCCGTTCATGGCACACAATGATGCGCCAGCGGACGATTCCAAGCGACAGTGCGTCCTGGTCCCGGGCTCTCGGGGATCTGGCAGCCCGCTCGCCGTTGGGAGCCTGCTCATCTTAGGCTATCTCGCCGCCGCCCGCCGGACCTACAAAAGCACGCCATCCCGTGCCATCTGCGATCTTCGCAGCCAAGCAGGCCAAGACCCGACATATCCAGATCCCCGGAGCGTCGACCGTGGTGTTGTCCTTGACCTCAGTGCGGGTGACTGCTACTCGCGTTCGTTCATTCACTAAGAACCCTTAGCCTGCAGTCGATTTGCTTGGCCAGCATATCACATTAATTACATCTTCTAGAAACAGAAAGCAGCGTCTAAGTCATGGCGGACAACACCTCTTCCTGGCAGGTGACCTTCGACGAGAAGCGGTCGCAGACATACGACACGGACCGTGATCCTGAGAAGGGCGGCTACGAGCCGACCTCTGACTTCGAGGCTGCCACCATCGTGCCTGATGAGTCGACTCCTGTCACCCGCGATGGCGCCGTCGCCGAGAAAAGCAGCGATGAGGAGAAGTGGGACCCCAACATCGTCGACTGGGACGGTCCTAACGACCCCGAGAACCCCATGAACTGGCCGATGAAGAAGAAGTGGATGAACATTGCCGTGCTATCCATCCTGACCATCATTACGTGAGTTCAGCCCTCTTCTGGTTTCGGGTTGTAAGCTGTGTGATGCTGACGGACACAGCCCCTTGGGCTCCTCCATGTTCGCCCCCGGCATCCCCAGGATCCTGAAGGAGTTCGAGGTAAGCTCCAAGACGACTTCGACCTTCATCATGTCGGTCTACATCCTGGGCTTCGCCTTCGGCCCCCTGGTCATCGCCCCCATGAGTGAGATCTACGGCCGCTCGCTGCTGTACAACTTGGGCAACCTGCTCTTCACCGTCTTCACCGTCGGCACCGCCCTCAGCCAGAACGTCGGCATGATGATGGCTTTCCGCTTCCTCATGGGTCTGGCCGGTGCTGTACCCATCACCATCGGCTCTGGCAGCATTGCGGACATGATGCCCGTCGAAATGCGTGGTCGCGCCATGGCTGCCTGGGCCCTGGGTCCTCTGCTTGGTCCTGCTATCGGCCCCGTTGCTGGTGGCTACCTCATTCGTGCGGCTGGTTGGAGATGGGTGTATTGGTTGATCACCATCATTGCTGGTGTCATCACTGTGTTCACTTTCTTCACCCTGAAGGAGTCGTATGCCCCTGTTATCCTTGAGCGCAAGGCGGCCCGTCTCCGCAAGCAGACCGGTAACCCCAACCTGCGCAGCAAGTTTGCCGATCAGTCGACCACCCCGGCTGAGAAACTCAAGCAGGCCATCGTCCGCCCGCTGAAGCTTCTGTTCCTCGTGCCAATCGTCACCCTCATGTCTCTCTACGTTGCCATTACTTGTGAGTCCTCCACTACCCCCTACATTACACAAGCAAAATACTAACCTGCTTCAGACGGCATCCTCTACCTCCTCTTCTCGACCTTTTCCATCGTCTTCCCCATCTACTACGGCTTCGGTGAGGGCGAGTCTGGCCTCGTCTTCCTACCCTCTGCCATCGGCATGGGCCTGGGCATTGTCATTTTCGGTGCCATGTCCGACCGGCTAGTCAAAAAGAACATGGGCACGGGCGAGCAACACAAGCCTGAGCTGCGCCTCACCCCCTTCTTCACCATCCCTGCCGGCATCGCCTTGCCTATCGGCCTCTTCATCTACGGCTGGTCCATCGAGGAACACGTGCACTGGATCGTGCCCATGATTGGTGTGGTTATCTTCACCTGGGGCTTGATGGGCGTCATGATGTGCATCCAGAACTATCTGTTGGATGTGTACCCCAAGCAGGCTGCGTCCGTCACGGCGGCCTTGGCTGTCCTGCGCTCGCTCGCTGGTGCCCTGTTGCCGCTGTGCGCGCTGGATATGTACTCTGCGCTGTCGATGGGTTGGGGTAACAGCCTGTTGGCGTTCATTTCGCTGGGTCTGATCCCCATCCCACTGCTATTCTACAAGTTTGGGCCGTGGCTTGTTTCGAGGTTCAAGGCGCCTTCGCTTTAAGCAACCTTGGCAATATTCTGACGTCACATCGCTTCTCTGCACCATTAATGTCCCTCCAACTGCCGTCCTTCAGCAAAGCTCTTTGGTTATCAGTTCTTTCCTACCTATTGATCTACATGGCGCATAGCAGATCGGCGTTTAGGGAATGGTTTTGATTAGGGATTTTTGTTGCAAAACTACACATCAGGGGAAACAACTAGAAGCTTTTTGCATCAACGATAGAGAATTGTTATAGAGGTTCTCTCAATCGGATGGATGGATGAGGATGGTAGACGTACAGAGCATGGATTCATTTCAGGTGTTGTATCTACATGTACACGGTACGGTTTCACTGCAGAACTTCTTCAAATACCATTAAAGATCTCTCATCTACACTCCGCTTCATGCAATGGCATGTCGGTGTGGCCGTTGTCCAACAAAGATGTTGCAGTAAATTCCGTTCCCCACATCAGTGAGACCCCCTTTTCTCCTCTTCATCACGCCCCCCAAATTTTAGGACAGCAAAGCATGATTTAGGCGGAGTGCAATTACTTCAGCACAGCACATTGCAGGAACACATGTCGATGCAGACACAATAGCGATGTGAAAAGGCGGGTTACAAACTTTTGACCCTTCAGTTGCATTGTCAACTTTTCGTCTAATTTGATAAGACCATTTCTCCACAAACTCAGCCAGCGGTGAGAAAATCTAGGAAAAAACAAAGTGGGACTCCCTCCGCTCCTCCCTAACATCCGATCCCGACCCCATCCACCCCGAACCCGAATCCAACACCCACAACATGAATCCGTCCCTTTACAGAAAAGGAAATTCCAACAAAACTGACAACAAAGAAAGTGGAAACAAGCAAAAGAAACAAGGCCGATCGAGATGGGACTCGAACCCACAACCTCAGTCTGTTCTCCCAGTAATTGTAGGAGGACCACACGCTACCATTGCGCCACTCGACCTTGGGATTTGTTGAGAGCTTTGATTGTGCACATTGAAAATAACAAAGAGGTTGTAAGGCAGGGGCAGGAGGGAGTATTTATGCTGGGAATGAGGGAGGTGATGGGAGGAAGTGTGAAGTGGCTGAAATTGGGTTTGGGTGTCTGGGCATTCGAGTGATGGGTGATGTAAAGAAGTCCAATTCGCTGGAAAGCTGATGATCGTAAGAAGCGGTAACAATACAGCTTACATAAAGGAAAGAAAGAGAATTTTTACTTTGGCATCATCCATAATCTGGGCGTTCGGTGGACATGGAACATTGTGAACGAGATGTGGGGGAGGGTGGGGAGCAGGGGGGAGGAGAATATGATGTAGGTAAATCATCAATTCGCTGAAGAAAAAAAGCAGTTCTCGCAGCTGCAATAAGAATGTTTACTCAACATGTAACCACACGAAGCGGTTATGTCAACTACATCTCAGACCTTGGATACAGCACCCTCCTTCAGCCCCTCCCCCTTCACGACCCTCATCTCCGATGTTCTCTTCTCCCCCCTTTCCTCCACCCCTCCCTCCCTATTCTGAGGCTGAGCTTCATCATCCCCCATACTCCCAGAGTCACCCTCCTCAAGTTCACGACCCATCCACTCCCCTACCCACACCTTCACCCACAAGCCTCCAAGCACCGTGACCCCCGTAAACAACCAAAACGTACCCCCTGCCCCAATACCCCCCTTCTCAGTCGGCAACAACATCTCTGGCACAGCTCTCGAACACCCGTACTGATTGGCAAAGTGAATAACCATGGCCAGACCTGCACAAAAGGCTCTGATGCGCAGGGGGAAAATTTCCGAGGATAAAAGGTATTGCATGCTATTCCAGCCTAGAGCCTAGCCGATGCCGGAGAGGTAGAGCATGAATACTGCCATTCTCAGGGCTCCTTTCTGGGTGTTTGTTGGGACGTGGGAAGAGGTGTGGTCTACTACCCAGGGAAGAGCAGTGAGTAACGAGGAGATGTAAATCAAGGAAAGGGCTTGGAAGGTGATGCCTATGAGTAAAGACCGCCGGCGGCCGATGACATCTACCAAAAAAAGAGCGCAGATAGTGGAGGCGAGGAGTTTGATTAGGCCGAATATTGCTGTGATAAGGAGAGAGGTTGTGCTGCTGTGGATACCGAGGAGTTCGAACAGGTCTGGCGCGTAGAGAGTAATGGCGCCGGCCCCGGACCATTGGGAGAGCAGCTGGGAGGCTAAAGCTAAGTGGACGAGATAGAGGTTGGAGCGGGTGCAGGTTGCGAGGAGGGTAGCCTTGGCATCGAGAAGAAATCCTCTCGTCCTTTGGAGGAAAGATGGGGATTTGGAGGGTAGGTCGGAGTCAGTAAAGCCGCAAACAACCCTCCTCTCTTCCTCCCAAGCCCTCACAATCGCCTCTACCTCCTGTCCGACATATGCGTCCCCCTCTCTCAACCCCCTCAATCTACTCAGCACGCCCCTGGCTTCATCAACCCTCCCCTTCATAATCAACCACCGTGGCGACTCCAACCCCCAAACCATCAACGCCAACACCACCCCTGCAAAAAACAAATGCAGCCCCGTCGGCGCCATCCATCTCTCCTTCCTTCCCCCATCCTCCTCCTTGAAAACCCTCGCGCAGACATAATTCGCCCAAAATGCTAACACTATGCCGAGGTAAACAAACCCTGTAAACAGGCAGACACATAGCCCTCTTATGGAGGAGGGTGAGATCTCGGAGAGATAGACGGGGCCTACGACGGGAGTTTGGCCGATGCCAAGGCCAGCAATGAAGCGGCCTAGGTAGATAAGTGTGAGGCTGCCGTGGGAGAGGAGGAAGATTGTGATGCCGAGTGCCCAGAGGAGGGTGAGAAGGCGGGTGGTGGGGATGCGGCCCAAGGTGTCTAGGATGGGGGGGGCTCTGGGACGGATAAAGTCAGCATTTTTTGGTCCTAGATTTGTATAAGCAGCTTATATGGTCAGATGATAGGTAAGGGGTGTCAGATTTCTGATAAAGAGGTAAGGGGTGATGCAAAGTCTCGGACTAAAAACCGGGGAGACACACATCATAGCCCCTCCAATGCACCCTAACTGCACCATACTTGCCACATTGGCCTTGATCTTTGCTTGATCAACCGCTGAGTATGAACTGTAGTTGATACTTTCTTGGAAGTGCCGACTCTTGAAAGCGCCGCTGATGAGTCCTTCATCAATACCCCGTGCTGTGCCGAGAAGGGCAAAGGTGAGGACGGCGAACCACAATCGCCAGTTCTGAATGACTTGTTTAGGCTCGGAGAGAGAGGAGAGTTTGAAGATGTTGACCGTTTTTTTGCCTTCTGGGGCCATCGTTTGCCGTAATTGGGGCTCTAAGAGCCCTTAATGGGTAGAAGGGAGGTGGTGGGCTGATGATAGATGAAAGCCGGATAGAAGGGCTGGGAGGTTTGAATGCCACAAGATGACAAAACCATAAATGTTGTAACATTACCATAAAATTGTATGACAAATTTGGTAGAAATCATGGAAAGAGCATTCCACTTCTTATGGGCAGCATTTTCTTTGACCCGTAAAGACTCAAACTTAAGATTTCTGTTGGGATGAGACATCCTGTGTTCAGACACTCACACTCACACATTACACAAAATGTAAGCACATTAAAGCTGCAATCAATGCATTGATTGTTGTTGCATTGTTCATTCTCTATTCTTTTGGTGTGCATGTCTGCCAAAATAATCGCGTGGTTTAGGTGTGGGAGGACTCGGATGACTGCTTTGTTGTTGACAATGACATACATGACTTTCAAGTCTGCCATCAGCTCATCGGGACCCTGGAAGGGACATTTTTGAACCTTACTCCAAGCTCAACATAAAAATCTACAAGAACCTCTCCCAAAAAAAAAGAAAAGAAAAAGAAAAATCTCCGGAGATACCTAACCCATAACTCAACAGTATGAATTCTGCCCGGCATCTCAAAATAAGGATCCTCAACCTAATCGTACCACACACCCTATCCCCGGATACAAGGAACGCTTGTTCCAAGGCAGCGATCTGAGGATGCCCAGTCCTCCACGTGGTACACCTCGTCAGATAAGCTTAAAACATACGGGTGCATGCATATTGCCGCATTTCATCGCGTGATTGCTTCCGTGTTAACCGCGTTCTCCGAACTCTCGGTTGGAATGCATCCCAGAAAGATCCAGTTGCAGATCAGTGATGGAGAACTGGAGATACAATGGATAGTGATCGACATCGGCAACACGATCCGAGTCTCCGCGACGCCGGGGAGGGCGTGCAGCATGGTCTGGGTCGATACAGTGTCGTCATAGAGATCTTCATATTACTGGAATTTGGAGCCGAGGATTTGTGCGAGGTGAAGTAACATTGTTATAAAAAGAGCCTGCACCCTCCTTCTGGTTCTCGGACTGTGTGACTGCTTGGCTCCCACGTGTGGTTTCAACCCAGATCTCACAGGGATGCGATGGGATGCATGACACCATTGCTTTTTTTTATTTATTTCTTGGGTGTGTATCAACCTACTGCCCTCCCAGGGGTCTGGATGGAATACGCGAAAAGCTAAGATTTGACGCCTCTGTCACACGGCAGGCAAAAATAAACGCCGCATGACAGCCATGATCCACATTTTGCTTCTGTTTGGTTCGGTTGCTTCTCTTCTGCCGCTGATACGCCACCCCCGGGTTTCCAACGATCTTCCAAAAAGATAAAATAGACGAACGCCGTGAAACTTAAAATCAACGTTCGATGATCCTGGGGGTTTGGCCAAAGGTTACACGACAGGCAGAGGTTCAACATCACATCATATAAAGTTCAGGTGAGGAGCCAACTCAAGCCCCGATCTATAACGGTCTTTGTTATCAAGCAGTATCATAGGACTAGAGTGTTTTATTCAGTTTAGTTCGCTTTGCAGCAATAGAATGATGGCCAGTCGACAAGGTCCAACCAATGATCCATCAATACAAAAGACAAAGTCCCGACGTTAATGTCTAATGCGATATCCAATTGAGACAAAAATTATTTCCAAAACACAAACCAACAAAAAGAACGTATATGATATCATAGGAATTCCCTCTTCCCCCCCCCCCCTTGGTTTCCTCTCTGAAGTCTTTGATTACTACCACGCATCCCCAGGCTGCTTCGGGTCTTGCTCGTTATGACTGCTGCGGTCCTCTGACACATGGTACTCGGTCTTGACCATGATGCCATGGAAGCCGTGGTTGACATCTTTTCCATTCTCAGCCGGCGCAGCAGTCGCTGTCGCGGCAACCTTAATGTTCTGCAGTTTCATGTCGTTTACAATGCGCTCCTCGCTCTCGGTGAAGGTCACGTTGGTCAGCGGGTTGTTGGAGCGGTTGGTCTTGGTCATGCGCCCGCGGGTGTGCGAGCCGCTGCCGCCACCGCCGCCGATGGTTTGGAAGCCCTCAGGCGTCTTGTACTGCTTGCTCGACTTGTTGCTGCTGCCAATCAGCGGGCGCAGCCATTGCTTGATCAGCGGGAAGACCATGGGCAGGTTGGTAGTGATGACGGCGGTGAAGGCCTCGCGCGTGCCCCATTCTCCGGCGAGTTGGGCACCGTTTTTGTCGTCCTGTTAACAGTTAGTGACGATGCAATTAATGATCAACACTACGAGGTTACATACAGTAATAACAAACACAGTCTTAATCGTGCAGCACGCCACAACGAAAATACCCGCGCCCAGCACCAGCGTCGAAGCGATCTTCTCAATCAGCCGCAGACGAGACCGCCACAGCAGCGGGATTGGGATCAGGATCAGGTATATGTCGCCCAGCACGGTCGTCACGTACGACGTCCACACGATCGGGCGTGACACGGCCGGGTAGCAGTTCATGCCCGGATCTGGGTAGATCTGCCAGTAATTATGGAAAGGCCGGCAGCCGATCAGCACGGAGAGGACCGCGGCCAGCCAGCCGCCGATCACCAGGGCGAAGGCGCTGTACACGCGGATGCGGTAATTACGGCCGAGGCCTTTCTGCGAGAGCGTTAGAGACCATGAGACTGAAGGGCAGGGTTAGGAGTAGAGATCTAAGACGTACGGTCAAACGCAAAAAAAAGTAACACATGGCTACTTTCAGCGCCATCATAAGCGTCACGTAGCAGGTCCAGCCCGCTACCTGGATCTTGGAGCCGATAACACGCATCTCATATTCGGGATCAGACGGCGACAGCGTCGCGCGCTGCTCGGGCGTCATGGCGTTGTTGGCCAAGCCGTGGGCCGAATGGCCGACCTCGTGGCCGAGAGCATTTTGCACAGAGTATAAGATCTATTTGACACAACCCAACCCCCCCCCCAAAAAAAGAAGTCAGAACACAAATTCACTGAGGAACATGGATAACTTAGTGAAAAACATACCGCAGCTACCCAGACAAAATAATCGTCCCCCTCAAAGTTGTTAAACCCGACCGCCTTGAAGCGTGCATACGTCCGTAGAATGGTGACGAGAATGCCGAAAGAGTACAGCGTCCACTGCGTGATCGTGAGCTGCCGGGCAGCGTCTGCGGCAGCCTTCGCGGCGGCAGCGGCGTCAAGCGCGGCCTGCTGGTCTGACATGGGGCCCCTTCCTCCTGGACGATGGCGACAAACAACGGGTTGTATATATTTATTATGGGTATGGATCGAAGGGTTATGGTTGTTATGTGCCGATCGGTATTACTATTAAGGATCCAACATTCATAAAGATGGTTCCTCTTTCCTCGGAAAGAGTACTGGAACTGACTCGCAGAGCCCTGAGCGCCCAGTGTTTGTAATGTTGGTTGTTCAGACAAGTGTAGGTATCCAGTCGATCGGATCCGAGGCAGGACAAGGTAGGGCAAACCAACAGCAACCAAACGGTGGCGGCGAAACTGCCTCAACCTTGATGAGGGATCTGCTTGTATGCGAGTGTGGAGTTGGTTGGTGGTTGGTTGCAACGAACGAGTGACAAGAGATTGAATCGAGGGATCGAGTAGGTAAAAAGAGCGAAAACGAGAAGAGCGGGTTTGTCAGGATCTCGGAGACATGGATCCCATTTGTATACAAGATCAGCGTTTCAAGATGGACAAGGACATGGGAGGAGGACACCACGCCTAGAAGATTGTTGTGATCCCTCAGGACAAGCTCAAACACAAACTGTGATGGAACACAACAATCCTTTCGAGCCCAAAGGTAAAGCCGATTGGATGTGGCTTGCAGCAGAGCCTGGATTATGCTTTGTTTTTCTCAGCATGCGTGGCGTGGGGGAAGGGGGTAGGAATGACAAGGGAAGGAGAAAGGCAAAAAAAAAAAAAGGGTTAGTTGTGTATGAGAAAAAAAAGGGGAATGCGATGGGATGTGTAGCATTTGCCTGGGACCAAGCCGGCCGGCTGTTGTCTGCTGGCAGTAGGCAGGGGGGAAAGTCTTCCCATCGCGCAGTAGCGCATATGATGCAAGCACATTTCAACCTACACTACCGGGACATGCAAGAGCCAGGGTGACAATTCCAATTTTTTTTTTTCGATTGGTTTAAGTTTTCACCCGGGGGCGTGTACCAGGCTGCTGGCTCTGTGGCGTCAACTGGCGTCGTAACGCCAGACATTTCGGCGGCTCCAATTCAGCAAGCAGTTCATCATCGCTGGAGCTGTGGACAAGAAACAATCCAGCTGGTCAGTAAACTCCACGGTCGTGGCGACGGGAGGGGCCTCGATCCATCCGGGGTGATGGCCGATGGGGGGAGATGAGAGCTCGGCTGGAGACATTCTGGTCCAATTTGGATTCCGTGGTGGTCCCCGTTGCCGGGTCCTTGGTGTCTTGGTCTCTTCAAGAATCTATTCATCAAGCTTTATCATCTCACTCATCGCTCATCTCTGAATCGTGAGTGAGAGAAAGGGCGCGTGTCGCTGTCCGCGGGCAGGCCATCAGCATCTCATCCCGGCCGTCCCTTCTTACACTCCTACAAAGTACGCTGTGTGAGACGCTACAGCATCGGGTCGATGTCCCGGAAAGCGGTTCTTCAAGCCTTTCCTTTGAGACCTTGCTGTTTTGGGGGTTAATGCGGTCTGCCCGATAGGTAAGCCGTAGATAAGTAACCGTAACCTTAGGTTTCGCGTCCTTATCAGCTCCGAAGAGACGCAACCCAGGAACCAATCGACTTTCAGCAGACTGGTCGGAAAGGGGGCCGACAAGGGTTTCGAAGGATTTGAGCTCCTCTTCTTCCCTGAAGGCATGATGGGGGCGAGAACACGTAACCTCGATGGCCAGACGGGACTGGGGTTTCCGTGGCGTAAGAAACGTATGTAAAAGTTGTGTGGATATTTCCGGTACGCTAGGGAGAGGCAAAAATTCCTGGGATAGAGGACACACTACTTTGTAGGACACCTGGGAGCTGGGAAGGATCATGCAAGTGGAGGAGGTTGCAGGAGTCCACTGTGGGCTGACTGGCTGATGACCGATGGATGACACACAGCCGTGCAGCAAAGAGTGCAAAACTGCGCAGCAAAAAGCGGAGAGCAGCTGGAAGAGAGACTTCAGCTCTCCAGTTGCTAACCCCATAAACATTCACTTCGCAACGCTCTATGTATTTGCACCAGCCGGCTAGCTTCTTCCTGGGTTCCAGAGGAGTGGTTCCAGGATGCGGCTTTTTTTTTCTTCAAGCTTCAGCGTCAAACGTCTTCAGCAACGAATTTTTCCCGGGGATTGTTATTGGCCACTTTCTCACCAGCTCAAACCCAAAGCCAGATGTTCAAAACCCACAAACTCTGCGGCTTCGGTAACTCATCAGCTTTTTTTTGGTCTTACATAGAGCGCATATACCAAGGCTGGCTTGCGTGCTGTGCCGCACAGCAACAGCCGTTCCAAAACCTTTCAGGGGTACAATGCGAGTCCCGATCCCTGCTCCCAGCTTTCCAATATGTTAAGTTGCAGCACTTGGTCTTGGCTCATCTCCCACTCTTGCGGGCACAAAGAGAGGGGCATTCGTCAAGGGGTGTCGAGGGAATTTGACGGAGAAAGTGGGGTATGTGGATACCGTACCCGCCAGCCGGGAGATTCGGAACCTCCCGAAGGAACTCTACTTGCAGGGACAGCCAGGTCATGCGTGGGCAAGGTGAGAGATGCGGCCAGTGAGCAGTCGACGAAGGGTCGCGGTGAAGTGGAGAGGCCAAGCCGGGGAGGAAAGCCTGCATTCTAGCGTTGAAAGGGGGAGGAGCTAGCTGGCACTTAAGAAGGGGAGCAACATCAGAAAAGAGGGGGGCGCGATCTGGATCGTCTGAGCAGAAAGAGAAAACCAAAAGAGTTAAAGAAAGTCCTGGGCGGGTCTGGTAAGGATCCTGCAGAAAGGTACTGGACGCTAGCCTGTTAGCGCGATGGGGTCGGTGGATAGGAGACAGGGATAGAAGCGGAGAAAGCAGGAGAGAGTGAAAGTTGCTAGAGAGGGGAAATCATGGAGCAGGGGAACCATGAGGAGGCAAAGCAGAAAAGGAAGAAAAGCAGGAAGGAGGGAATCCTACGAAGGCAAACGATGCGGCAAAATGGAGGCGTGGCTGCGGCGCAGTCCTGCGGCGCAGTCCGGGGTCAGAAACAAGAGAAAAACAAAGGGTCTGCCCGGCGCCGTGGCGCAAGTCTCGCCTTCAATTTGTTTGAAAGTTTCGTGTGGCCCATTTAAATTCATAAACCATCATAAAACCCCCTCCAGGCCCCAGGCTCGCGCCTTCGATCTCGATTTCGTGCTGTGAAATAGCTGGCTGCACGACAGACGAGCGCCAATGGTGGCGGCCGGCAATTGGCAACAAGCGAGCAAAGAAGCGAGATGCGAGACACAGATAGGGTAGATGACAAAGCACAGATACAGAGAGGTACGGTTGCACTTTATCTGCCATAGAATACCGCCGTTCTGGCTCCCGTCATGCTCCCACGTGGCCTCAAGAGGCATATCATGATTTTGGTTGGCTGGGCAAAGAGCGTACCTGAGCACGAAGAAGGGGCGGGGGGAGAGGGGAAGTTATCATCAATCGCCTGCACACAGACCAGACCGAATCACTCAACATTTTCCCCGAATCCCCGATGACATGCCCGCCATACCGCCATACCGCCATACCGCCATACAAGCGTACACAGCACTAGGTGTTTGTAGGCAAGCTAGTGCTTGTTATGACCCGGCATCCTGGTAGCCGGGCTGCAAGTCTTGCAGACCGTCTTTTCTCTCGATTGCCCCAGATTACCTCAGCGTTGCTGACTCGCTCCAAGTAACTTTACACTTCATTTACCTGATTAGTGCAAGGGACGACGCGTCCCCTTATCCATTGGCGGAAATTATCGTACGCTCCGTGCATAGCCGAGACCAAGCCTCACGAAGGCTCTTGAAAGGCAAAGCCAGGTAAAGGAGAGAGGTTGAACTCGAGAGCGAGACAAAAAGGTCTGCAAAAGAGCAATTCGAGTATAGCGCAAGCGTCCGGTCCTCAATGGTGCGTGGGCCGCACAAAAACCAAAATCCCAGACTTTCCCGGACTTGTTTTTATGTGCATCTGCCATGGTTTGTAATAGGATAAGAGTTTCCTGGGGTTCTTGTCCGCCTGGTCCGCCACGACGATCACTGGGCTCTTAGGGCGGTGCCATGCCGATGCCATGCCATGCCGTGCTCCATTGGTTATCCATGGCCATTGAGACGGCGTCCGTGGGAAAAGCCAAAATCGGGAATTGGAGACCAGACCATGCGATTGGGACCATGCAGATGACCGATGGAGGATGCATGATTGCTCGGCACGATGTCGGCCGTGAAGCCATGAGGCCATGATACCCCATGATACGGCACCATTTTGACTGCTGGAACCATCGGCAACGACACGGTGCCATCAACGGTAGAGCAATTCGAGCAGGCCAAACCCAAGTCATGCGTGCCGGGGTACCGAGAGAGGGAATGAGTAGGAGAAATGGGTAATCGAGATGGGAAGATGGAGATCATGAGGGGGCGCAACAGGAGGGGAAACCATTCAGGCCGGGCTCGGGGTTGCTCGCTTCCGCCTAGGGACCCTGACCTGGGGCTCCTCTCCCACGTGTATAATAGCTAGGATATCTGCACATTGACCACGTCGTTGCAACTCTCTTACCATCGGTCTCCCACCGGCAGCCAGTCCCGTCCCCGAACATTGGTTCAGCTGTGCGTGGGTGATTGTCGATCACCGCACTTTTTTTTTTTTCTTTTCTTTTTTTGAGTCTTGTCCCCCCCCCTGCACCCGTCGTGCACACCGGTCCCGTTTAGTGCCGAGCTGAAGGTTGGAGCTCCAAAAGACAGTCTATTACAGTCATCATGCGCTGGCAGAGCATGCTGCTGGCCGCCGCAACGGCCTTTTCTGGCCTTGTGGCTGGCATGCCCATTCTGGATCCCGAGGGCTTCACTCCGTACGCCCGAGGCCTGGAGGAGTTGACCCTCTTCTCTCCCGGCTGTAGCATCCCCGACTTTTGGCGCTTCATCACTCGCCTGTCCCATAACGCCGAGATCTACTTTCAAGGCCAGAACAAGTTCAACACCTATTCTATCCGGTGGTCCAACGTTGGCACCCCCAAGGTCAACATCACTATCCTGCCTGCGACTGAGAACGATGTCGTTGAGATTGTAAGAAGTTAACGACTTCATCATGGACAGTAAAAAGATAGCCAACTAACAGCAACCAGGTCCGTCTAGCCAATGGCTGCAACATCCCCTTCCTGGCCTACAATTCTGCCCATGGCTCCATCACCACGCTTAAGAACATGTCATGGGGTATCCTCATCAACCTCCGTAAGCTGAGCGGCGTCACTATTCATGCTGCCAACGAGACTGCCACTATCCTCGGCGGCACCAACTCCAAGTATATGATCCAGCAGCTGTGGGATGCCGGCTATCAGGCCGTCACGGGTACTTGCGAGTGCGTCAATTACATGGGTCCTGCATTGGGTGGTGGCCACGGCTGGCTGCAAGGCCACTATGGTCTGATCGCCGACCAGTTCCGCTCTCTGAACGTCGTGCTCGCCAACGGCACCAAGATCACTGTCGGCCCGGACCACGAGCTTTTCTGGGCGATGAACGGCGCCGGCCACAACTTTGGTATTGTCACGTCGGCCAATATCAAGATTTACCCCAAGATCCACACGACCTACGCCATCGAAATCCTGACATTCACCGGCGACAAGGCCAAGGATCTCTATGAGGCTGCCATTACCACCTTCGCCAATCAGCCCGTCGAAGTGATCCAGTGGTCCTACTGGATGAACATCCCCCAGCTGGATCCCACCGGCCCCATCATCGAGTTCTACATCATCCAGGAGGGCGTGACCGCCGTCGACTCGCAGTGGACTGCCGCCTTCTACGCGCTCAACCCCATTGCCGCCAACCCCCAGACCGGCAGTTACCTCGACCTGTCGACCTGGCTCTCCATCAACATGGACGGCCCGCCGTGCCAGAAGACGGGCATGGCCAACCCGCGCTTCCCTCTCTATCTCGAGTCCTTCAACGCCACGGCTATGGAGGAGGTCTACGAGGCCTTCAAGGCGGGCACCAATTCCTCGGGCCCTTTCTACAACTCACTCTTCATGTTCGAAGGCTACTCCATGCAAGGCGTGCAGGCCAAGAACGCGTCCAACGCCGCATTCGCCTGGCGCAACGACAACCTGCTGGTTGCCCCGCTCATCCAGTACCAGCCCGGCAACCCCGCGCTCGACGAGGCTGCCAAGCAGTTCGGCAATGAGCTGCGCCAGATCCTGCACCGCGGCAGCGGGCGGACCGAGATGCATACTTATGTCAACTATGCCTATGGCGATGAGACGCCTGAGGAGTGGTACGGCCATGAGTCGTGGCGTCTGACTAAGCTGAGGCAGCTTAAGACCAAGTATGATCCCAACAACCGGTTTAGCTTCTATGGCCCGGTTAATTAAGGGGATGATGATTTCAAATAATTCCTTTTTTTGAAGTCTGGAGGACTGTAGGGATTGGGTGCGCATTGCGAAGTTTCGCGGCATTTGCTTGCATGCAATCATTGTGTGGGCAGGACGGGTATGAATGTTAAGATATACCCTATCATGGCATATAATGTTGAGTTTTTGTATGTTGCTGGTTTACAGTAGTATAATCATTAATTGAGCTTCGACGTACTCGCTGGTTTTCTGTCCTGGTGATTCGTGAACATGTCGGCATCGCAACATTCGAAGCATCGAGGCTCCCCAGCAAGACCCTGCGACCACCGAACTCCAATTTCCCCGTCGTCAAAAGAAGCTTTTGAGGCTGCTGCAAGAGGGTCTGATCTCGAGTCTGAGCGCAACCGTGATGAGGTGATCACCCAACAACCGACCTAAACTTTGTTTCGACGAGGGATGACAACCCTAACCCTAATCGGCAACAATCAGCCCGATCGACATCCGCGGTAACTGCCCCTCTCTCTCACATCATCTCTCAAGCTCGCTCATTCATTCATTAAGCCACTTTCTGGCATCTACAATACGAGGAGCCGAAGTCGAAATGAGTGAATCCCAGTCCCAAGACCCCAAACAAAAAACCGCCCTCGTCCGGCACGATGATGCCGAGGCCTTCGTGATCTCCCTCCTCCAAGCCGAGGGCGTCCGTCCGGATGACGCCAAGGTTGTGGCCAAGGCGCTCGTGCAAGCCGATCTACGTGGTGTAGAAAGCCATGGAATTAATCGCATCCCATCATACCTGGCGCGGATCAGAACGGGGGGGATTGATCCGTTGGCGGTGCCGACGGTCGAGATGGTCACGGGGTGTGTGGCAAAGGTACGTACTAGCCTCGACTTAGACCACGCACCCAATCCCCCTCCCCCGCCGTAACTAAACTAACACTCCTTTCCATAGGTGGATGGGCACAACGCCCTCGGGCCTCTCCCTTCCCTTCTCGCCGTCCGCACAGCCATCACTCTCGCCAACCAACACGGCATCGGCCTCGTCGGCGTCTCCCACTCCAACCACTTCGGCATGTCAGCCTGGCTGGTCCGCGAAGCCCTAGACGCAGGCTACATTTCCCTAATCTTCACCAACTCCTCTCCCGCCTTACCGCCTTGGGGCGGTCGCGTCCCATTACTGGGAGTCTCCCCCATCGCGGCGGGTGCTCCCGCCGGTGAGAAGTCTGGCGTGCCATTTTTGCTGGACATGGCTCCTAGCGTGGTGGCTAGAGGGAAGGTTCATAAAGCGATGAGGAGGGGTGAACAGATACCCCTTGGGTGGGGGTTAGACTCGAAAGGGAGGGAGACGACCGATCCGAGGGAGGTTATTAACGGGGGGTGGATGATGCCTATAGCGGGGTACAAAGGGACGGGGTTGGCGATGATGATGGATGTGTTTGCCGGCGTGTTTACTGGGGCAGCGTTTGCGGGAGATGTGACGGGGCCGTATGATACGAGCGGGAAGCCCGGAGAGGTGGGGCATTTGGTTGTGGTGATGAAGCCGGATTTGTTTGTGAGCGCGGAGGAGTTTAGAAGGAGGATGGATGTGTTATATGAGAGGGTGGTTGGGTGTGAGAAGGCTGAGGGAGTAGATAGGATATATTTCCCGGGAGAAATCGAGCAGTTAACGGAGGAGAGGAGGATAAGGGAGGGAATTCCGTTCGTGCAGGATGAGATTGATGCGTTGAACCGGGAGGCCGAGAGGTTAGGCGTGGAGAAAATTAAAGTGGTTGAAAACCCCTAGCGTCTGCTATCCAAAGATAGAATCTCATAGATGGGGGTGTCATTTTGATCGGCTGTTGATAACTTAGACAAACGTCGCGTACTGTGTCCAGAAATCATCGCTCACAAATGCCATGGGCCTCTCCAAAAGACCTAATCGATATGCGTCATGCATATGTAGCGACCCTTTCAGCGCAATTAAAAACTCGGGACACCCCATCTCTTCCTCTGTCATCTCTCTGCGCCCGAGTGCCACTTCCTTCAATCCCCGGTTCATTCTCTTGCCCAACTTCAGGCAGGTTATCTCATGTTGGGCATCGGGCTGATGCACAGGGATGACGCGGAATCCCATCTCGTTTAGCCACTCAAATTCAGTGTCCCCTTGGTCTGGGCTTCCCGGTCGGCGCACCACTGGATATGCATACAATAAGACCTCGCCGAGACCATGCGGATTTGCGCTTCGTTGGCACAGATATGTCGTCAGTTCACCGGCGGTCGTATACGTCAGATAGGGAGGGCGCAGGAACGTGTTTCGGTCATATTCCATCCATAGCTGCAACCGCAGCACTTTGAGACGCGGGAAGGAGGCGATAACGTCGAGTGATTCGAATGGCCAGCTACAAAAATCCTCCAAGCTGTTGCCCCTTCCCGTTGATGGCGATGAACTAGCCGGTTCATCTTTGGGGTCACGATAGATTGCCAACGCTAAGGTATGCAAGTTGGGGAAGCTGTTGCGCAGAGTGACCAGCTCAGCCTGGCTGACTACCACATCCTTCCTGCGGGCAGGCATTCTGAGAATGGTGAGAGAGCATAGAGTGCATGCATGGAGCTTGAGGTGTGTCATGAGCTCAGGATCACTGAGGGGAGACCATCCCAGGCTGAACGCTTTCAGTCTAACCGACGGTGGCAGGCTCACCAAGAACTCTTTGAGGCTCTGCTTGACGGATTCTCTGACAACGAGCTCTTCGTGGTCCCAAACGCTCACAATTTCTAGCTTATTCAGAGCAGTCAGGTGGGGCGCAAAGCTGACAAAATGGCGAATCTGGCTTTCGTAGAACGAGAGAGAGCGTAGCAGCGACCAATTGAAATAGCTTTTCCAGTAGAGAGCCTCTGAAGTTAGTCCTTCCGTAGAGGCATTACGCTCATAGCTTCCATCAGGAAGAAGGTACCCCCATCCATAAGTCACAATGCTCAGTGCTTCCAGGGGCTGAAAGACTTCTCCAGGCTGGAAGCCGAAGCCACAGTATCCGCTATCTGGCCTGTAGAGATCGCGAGCCCAGTTGCGTGGCCATCGTTTCGTCCTTCGTAATGCTGATGAATAATAAGGCAGCGCGATCTTGATGTCAATGGATAGCTCGCGCAGCCGACAACATCCGAGCAGGAGCTGCTTAATGGGTCCCTGTGTAAGTGAGCGAATGTCGTCTGCGTTAAGGTCCGAACATTTAATGCATAGGCTAGTGATATTGCTCAATAGCTCGCTGCGCCTCAACGTGTCAGGGAGAAGCTGTAGCAGTTTGTACATTCTATGTTCCTCATATTTGTCGTTGGAGCTTGCTAACAAATCATATCTTCCCAAAGACATAAGCGACAGCTTGACCTGGACAGGTGGTTTCTTGTCGCGCAGGAAGTCCAACAGGAAATCGGGCATCGCGCTACAACCCCAGCAGAGAGAGCGCAACCCAGTCATCTTAGGAATAGCATCTTTCAGCTGGTGCCAAGCAAGGCATGCCAGCTCTGGCCCCTCTGACATGTCAGAATCGACGCTATACGAGAGCGGAGACGTCTTTAGCTTGTCAGGGATATACACGTGCATGTCCCAGCTAACGTAGACATTTAATTCGCGGACGGCGGGCAAAAATCCATTGTCGATGATGGATTGCAGGAGTTTCACATGACGCTGAAGACGACAGTAGTCTGGCAGCATACCCTGGCCGAGGTCCAGAGGAAAGGTTTCTGATATGAAGAAAGACAGACTCCGGTACTGAACATAGCGGGCCGCCTTATAAAGCAATGAGCATACCAAAGCAAGATGTTTCAAACTTTGCCCAGAGAGCGCACCAAGATGCTCGGTGATCAGCAGCAGCAGCTCTGCGTCCAAACGGGCCAGGGATGGTTTTTCTGGATATTCAGCTTGAATAGGCTGTGCTTGGATGACCACACCGATGGTCGGTTTGGAGGAGGCAACCAAGCCAGTTGCCCAGCGGAGCGGTTGGAGCGACATTTGGATTTGGGGTCAAGGTGTTGGAAAGTCAGTCCGGTGATTCGGGTGTTAGCAACCTTAGGTCATTAGCAGAGAAGCTGAGAACTCGTCCAAGTACCCCAGATGCATCGGAAGCAACAAACTGCAGTTTGGCTTTGCTAGTCTTGCGTGAGACGCGAATGCAAAGTCGGCCATGCTGCAGCGTAGGATGGGCTGATTCAGTGTGGTATAGTGTGATTTGTTTTGCTTACTTCTTAACGTATTTGTATTGTCTTGACAGGTTTTTTTGTTAAGACACTAAGAAAAGATATTTCGGGACATTTTCTGGATGAGCGATCAGCACCGAAATTCGCCGGACGGATTGTCGAGTTGAGTGGCATTTGTATCCGAGTTCAAGGTATACTGAGTCTGATGGAAAAGTCTGCCTACATCTGACAAGCAGGCTTTAAGAAGACCAAACCAATCGATAGTTGTTGTCGAGACTCTTGAAAACCACCTTGAGTTCTCCTTGGCGCTAGCGTGCGCAGATGATGACACGTGAATGTCACGTGATGAATGGTTTTCGGATAACGCCCAAGAGCACGAGTCCTGTCAGAGAGCAGATGTCATTCAAATAAGAGCCATCTTCGTTGATTAAAGATGTCCGAATATCCAAAATCACGTCGGACTCCTCCCACTAGTTAGCTATCCAAATGTTCCCCTGCCATTTCTCACTCCATCAGTATGGTCTCTCGACATCATCCCTTCCTGCATCACCCACATCGCCCACATTTCTCCCTCCTCCATCATCCCCTTTCCCAGGCATACCCCATTCATCCTTCTCCCCTGGTAGCACAGGCAAATGCGGATCGCGAATCGGCCCGTCATCACCGCCATACGGACACCCGTTAAACCACACCCAACCCAACCCCGTCTTCGGCTCAACAACCACCATATCCGCTCTGTCCTGCCCTCCAAGATTCACAAAATGCAAATTCTCCCCCATCGACGCCCCCTGGTAGAGTTTCCCCTTAGGTTCCCACCAAAACGAGCTCCCTGAGATCTGTCTCGGCCCCATGTTATACCAAACCTCGGTTTCGCCCGTGAACCTATCAACCCAGAGGAAGTCGGCTCTGCCATCGCCATTGACGTCCGCGAAGCGGTGCTCGGCCCTGTCGCGCTTTTCGCTGAACTTTATTTGGGATTGCCATTGCAGGCCAGATGGCTTGTTCAGCCAGCCTGTGACGCGCCCGTTGGGTTCCAGGCAGAGGTAGTCAACTCGTCTGTCGCCATCAATGTCTGCGAAACGGATGCCGAGGTCGGTAGGACCGACGCCCCAGCCTTGAGTACATCCAGACGAGACGACCCGTGTTCTAGGGGAGAAGGAGAACATGTCAGTTGTTTGGTCCCAGCGCGTAAAGTATACATCTAGGGAGCCTGTCTTCTTGTCAGTGATGATTACGTCGCATTTCCCGTCGCCGTCCCAATCTCCGAGATGGATTGCACCGCGTGAAGTGCCAGATAGGTCGAGAACGACGCCCTTGTCGACCCAGCCGGAGTAGTCTGTGTTGGGAGGGGCGTTGCGGTTGCGGAAGATGGTCAACTTGCTGGTGTGGTCGATGAAGACATAGTCGTCGTTACCGGTGCCCGTCATATCGCACCAACGGGCACCGTCGCCTTTTTGATGTGCACCGCCACCGCCGGTGTTGCGCCAGGCTAGGATTTGGTAGTCGCAGTGGTTGGGCGAGGGTCTGGTACATTTGACGTAAACATACTGGTTAGAAGGGTTAGTATGCGGAGGAAAGTATTGGCGAAAAGGGGATGAGATGGCTGAACTCACATCGGCACGCCCACTTCCATAGATCTTCGCAAAACGGATCTGAGATCTCGCGCAGGTCTCGCCCATACCAGCATGTGTTACTCCGGCAGGATCCCAGACCGGGATGAGACCCTTGTTAGAACCCCTCTGGTTGATGTAAGCCGTGACCTTCCCAGTGTCGTCCAGCCAAAGCCAGTCGGCTCGAAAGCTGTGTTGAACAAGGCTCAAGTCAGAATATCGCAAACGAAGCAAAGATAAGGACACTTACTCCCCATTAAGGTCAACCAGCCTAACCCCGTCAATATTCCCCATTCCCTTTCCCTTAAATACCGGCTTCCCATCTCCAATGTCTTGCCAGGATGCCGCCATGTCGCCTACTCCGCCATTCCTCCAGCAGTAGATATCGCCATTCCCCGCTAAAACGCAGTAATCAAGCCTCCCATCCCCATCAATATCACCCAGACGAACATTTTCTAACGAATACCCGCTCGGCGCAGTCTTATACAACCCAACGTTTCTAAACACAGGCGGCTTCCCCCCATCGTTGATAGCGACATACATATTTCCACTTTGGTCGATGAAAATAAAGTCGTCTAGTCCATCGTTATTGACATCCCCCCATCGAATCGCCCTCTGCGGGCAGGGGATGGCTTTGAGCGACGGAATCTGTGTCTTCTCACCGAACTTCCCATCTCCCAGATTTTCCCGGTACCAAATCTCCCCCTGTCCCTCACTAAACACAAGATCATCCAACTCTCCGCCACGACCAGCCCCATTATTCACCAGCTGCGCAAACCACACCATATCGTCTCCATCATACGTCCCCGTGTGAATAACCCCCATCGCCTGGGAATTATGGATATACCTCCCATCATCCACAATCCTTGGTGACAGGGCTTTAAGAACCTGCATCGGACTTCTTGCATCCAGATTCCCGCTTCCGTACCTCTTATCGCAAGTCTTCTCCCCAGCTTTGGCATCGCTGAAGTCAACATCTTGATCCGGCGATGCCAGCCACCCGTTCCTGTAGGCCTGTTTTATCCCCTGATACCACTTCGCCGCCATCTTTCCATACCCCGCATCATTTGGATGCGTCCCATCAGGTATATCCTCCATTGTTAGGAACCCGTCCGCAAAGTCAACCAGAACAAGGTGCCTGCCATTGCTCGTGAACTCCTTTGCTAGATCACGCAGTTGCCTGTTAATCAGCAGCACGTGCATAGGGCTTGCAGTGTTTGGAAGGAGTGTCGACAACAGCACAGTCACGTTTGGCACGGTATCGAAGATGTAGCTAACCAAATCGCGCATGCGATCCCCCGCCGACGCAACATGATACCCCTGCGTGGCATCATTCGTGCCCGCGTTGATGAGGACAACGTTGGGTTTATACCGCGGCACGACGAGGCGTGCGCGGGAATGTACTTGGTCGATGCGGTAGCCTGGCCAGCCTTCTACGTCCTACCAGCTTTGTTCAGCCTGTGTTCACCTGATCGGATGATCGGGGGAGGAGAAAGGGGGGAAAGACCTACACGATCGTTCATGTTCCCACCTGCGCGGCTGCCCACCATGTTGACGCTCCAGCCATCGAAGCGGAGCTGGTCGCGCAGCGGTTTGCGGTAGCCGTTGCCGGTAGTGGAGCCTGTACCCCAGGTGATGGAGGCTCCGAGGGGCAGGATACGGAGATAGAACGGGTGGCCCGAGGTTGTAACACTGTTGTTGACATTAGGGGTGTCGTCGGAGCGGATGGTCAGGGGCTCTAGGCCTGGGGAGATAGAGGAGCTGTGGTCGACAATGATTGCTGGGTGAGCTGCAAGGGAGTGAATACAGAAAAGCAACAGACACCCGGCGTAGGCCAGAGAGTTACTTGAAATTCTCATTTCTGTTTTTCTTTTCTTCTTTCACTGAAGAAACCTGACAATTTCCCAGGAAGTAGCAATTGCTTTGCAAGAGTGCACAGGTAACCAGATATAATCACGAGTAATCACAATTGCTTGACTTGCAGAGGTCGAAGAATCATATTTCATATGCAAACACTCAGCATCTTGATGATGTATGAGAAATTCGGCCATGGAGAGACACTGTCAATGAAGTGTTCCATGTCCGGCTGACAAGTCTTCAGCTAATTCCTACATGTCTTTTACATCTACTTCTACTTCAGGAAGGTAAGCTTCTAAGAAAGCCAAGATTAGACGAAAATACCACCCAAGTAGCGACCTTAGAATCGCAATATAAAACATCTTTTGCTGAGCCCAGCAACGATTCCATGAGCCAGTCTGAATCTCAGGGTCGGTGGAGAGTTGAGCTGAGTCAATGGCAGCCAGTGAGGTAGTGCAGTGCAACCGATGTTTTTAAAGCTCTCAATAGCACTTGAATAGATCGTCACCAGTATGTGCTGGGCAGACTGGTGCTTCACTACTCAAGAATAGGACGCTTTCCCTCATCCATGCAAAAGTGGCATCAAGGAAGCATCAACCGCCACTTGCACCACGCAAAAAGACTGATAACGCGAACTTAATACTGCTTCCGGAAGTGTTTTACATGCTGAAATAAGGCTGTTTGCTGTGTACATGTTTATCCCTTGCTCCTTTAGCCAGCGTGTGGTCTGAGGGTCATCTACCAGTAGCCGAAACATGACTCAGCGGCCAAGTCAGGCACAGATGCCGATGTCTCTGTTCAGAAAAAGAATCACAACTAGACAATCTGCCTATCTGAGGCAATAGCATGAGTTAAAACTTCAAGCAACACACACTGTCTCACTGGGTGAGAGCAAACGGCTCAGGACGGGGATGTCCACTTTTTCATCGTCACGCATGGGCCTTCTCGTGAGCTAAACTACACTATCAGAGAGCTTATCTCTGTGAGATAGTCTTGCGTACTTGGCCTTGATAGATTCTAAGCCTCACCAAGTTTTGAGGGACAACGGTGCAACGTTTCTTCACTGCCACCAGTCTCAAAAGTTTGGACATTGGACATGACTGCGTCTTTGCTTCTAATGGCTCACTTGACTCCAAGGTGCTCTACGGCAGAGTTATTCCCAATTCCACTGTCACCCAAATGGCACTAGAACAATTTCTCACCAGCAACTGTCATAGGGACGTTGATGCTTTTTCTCCTTCCCTCCCAATTTGTTTACTTTCTCTCCCCCGTTGTCATAGCACCCAGGGGTGTCATCGCCAGGAACCCCACCGCCAAGCCAATGCCCCACTAAACCGACGTGGGACCAATCGTACCGCAGCGGCTCTGCGACCTGTGCTGCGACAGCGCATCCAATTTCCATCACAGCCGATCCGCGATCGCGTGAACCGCGTCTCTCCATCGATGGCAGGAGGATCTCGCAAATCACGAAGCGTCGCCGGCGGCCCCGCGGCCCCCAGCACAACCCTCGTCCTCGACAATGGCGCTGACACGATCAAAGCCGGGCTCATCCCGACCGGGAGCAGTGGTGGCGACGACAATACCCCGACCCAGCTGCAGCCGCGCATCATCCCCAACTGCATCGCGCGCGACCGGCACAAAAAGATTTACGTCGCATCCGAGCTAGACAAGTGTCGCGATTTTGGGGAGATGGCATTTCGACGACCGGTCGAGAAGGGGTACATCGTGAACTGGGAGGCGCAGAAGGAAATTTGGGAGAGGGAGTTTTTTGATGAGAAGGCGCCGTTGAGATGTGATCCCGCAGAGACGAGGCTCGTGTTAGCTGAACAGCCAAACGCGTTGCCTGCGTTGCAGACGCATTGCGATCAGATGGTTTTTTGAAGAGTTTGGGTTTGCAAGTTATGTTAGGGGAATTGGTGCGTGTGCTCTCTTCTAGTGGTCGTCTTGTGATGCCAATGCCTAACCTACTTGTCTCTCCCCCCCCCCCCCCTTCTTTAAAAATTTAGGCCCCGCATTTAATGCCTACCAAGACATCCAATCTATCTTTCAAACTCCCTGCGACCAGAATATGCCCGTAACCCTTCCCGCCGAGATTATGCTGCTCATCGACTCAGGCTACTCCCACACCACCATCACTCCACTCCTGCAAGGCCGTCCGCTCCACCCCGCCATCCGCCGCCTTGACGTCGGCGGCAAGCTCATGACCAATTACCTCACGCGTCTAATCTCCATGCGCCACTTCGACATGCGCAATGAGACATATGTCGTGAACGAGATGAAAGAAGCGGCGTGCTATGTGTCGCTGGACTTTAAAGGGGATCTAGAGAAAACATGGAAGGGAACAAGAGATGAGAAACGGAAAGATTGGCTTACGGGCGCTGGGATCGCAAAGGACTACGTCCTGCCAGACTCGCATACACGCTTCCATGGTGTGCTGAGGGACTATGACCCGAACGCGTCCCGCGCGAGGAGGGGAATTCCGAATACGGAGGATGTGTTGACGCTGAGGAACGAGAGGTTTGTTGTGCCTGAGCTGCTGTTTCATCCGAGCGATATCGGCTTGCGGCAGCCGGGGTTGGCGGACTTGATCATGCAGTCGCTTTCAGTGCTGCCGATTGGACTGTGGCCAGGGTTGTTGGCGAATGTTGTTGTCGTTGGGGGGAACGCAAAGTTTGAGAACTTTATTCAGAGGTTACAGATGGAGTTGCTGGAGAGAGTGCCGACTGAGTGTGTGGTGCGGGTAGCTAGGCCGGAGAATCCAATTATCAGCACTTGGTTAGGGGCAAGCAATTTTGCTAGGCATGAGCATGTCGAGCGGCTGGCGGTTACGAAGCAGCAGTATGAGGAGTATGGAGCGGGATGGGTGGCTAGGAAGTTTGCTGCCGGGCTTGGGGTGGACTCCTGAGCTGGTGGAATGAAGCTCGTGGGTTCTTATATGAAGATTCTCGAGGTCCTCGGGAGAGGCGGGCGCTTACTGAAGCTCGGGCCTCAGACTCATGTAGGTTTGTTTTGTCTTCCGGCCGAATTGGTAGAACGTTGGGCTTACTCATCAAGATCTAGGTCTCACATCTCGAGAAGAATGTGCCATCTCCACGGTGATAGAGCTACAATCCAAAGAACGCCTAGCATGGGCCAAAGGGGGGTCCCTGTCCAATTTGTCTGCCAGGATGATAGGAGACACAGCCACCATTGATGCTGGCTCATCACTTGCTCTGGTCGCTTTGGGCTCAGAGCTCCGACATAAAAGCCCTGCTGGATCTATGAAACTGGACTTCAGGGCGTGGAACCGTGGAGGACAAGCAAAAAAAAACATTATAAAATGGCTTCTACTCCAAATTGGCCGGACACAATGGTGATCAAGTCACTTCGTTCCTGCCAGAGTTTGTGGAATCCGGTGGGAGGCCTATCTTGCCATGCATTCTAGAACTCCAACCCAACCCCAAAATTCGGGGCTGTGAGATGCATGATGGGATTGCGCAATAAAAAAGTTGGGATCGCGAACAAACACGTGGGGTGAGCGCGTGGATCCGCGTTGATTGGCATCGCGTATGCTCTGGTCGTTCCCTGAGTCGGTGAACTCAAATATGGAAGCAAAAGTGCAATCCATAGTTGATTGGAACGGAAATTGAGGGCACCTGTTCATAGATAGAATCATTGCTCTTCACACCCCCATCATACCTGCGGAAACTCTGCTGGAAAAAGCTGAAATTGCTTGGCCATGTTACGATGCAAAAATGTGTGTTTCAGAAGATGAGATCAGCCCATGCCAGATTCAAGTCTGACTTAGGACCTGTGGACCGGCACAGAACTCTGTCTTTCAGATGTGAACATAGCACCGGACGAAGCTTTCGATGGTGAGCTCAAAAAGCAAGTTTTCTTTTTTTTTTTTTTTTTTTACATGGAACATACATCCCAACTTTAGAACTTTTAGGAAAGGCTTTCGGAATTTGTCTCTTCATTGAAAACTATAACCTCTCTTGTAGGTATACATGCCTTCAGGTACCATTCTGCTTCATATCCTTCTCAACCGGAGCATGTTTCAAGTGTGAGATTTTGATGGGCGGTTCTAGCTGTGTATTTACCCCAGCGATCAGGTGTGTGGGGCTGCCTGGCACAGCCCCATATCTCGCCTACAATTCTTGGCGCCCCACTGTCCTCCAGGTCCCCGCGCTAAACCAATATTGATTGGCCTGTGATTGCCTGTGGGGCAACCGCTGCCCGACGGAACCACAAAAAATGTCTTCATGAGGAAGCAACTCTTCTTTTCTATCCATAACATCACACAACCCTCGCACTTTGCAATATCAATCAAACCGCGGGGACGCGTCGTCGTCGACAACCAACCATCAACCCCGAATCGACAACATGACGCGAAATCACAATCTACACAGCGATCATCGCTCATATCATGACCGCGGTCGTGGCCACGATCGTTACCATCGCACCAATCGCGGGCCGAGGTCTCGGTCCCCTCCCCGCGACCGCGACCGCGAGTACGCACGCGAGCACCTTCGTGATCCCTATCGTCCTCAGTCCCAGTCCTATGGTGACCGTAATTCTCGCGATGGCCGCGACGGTCGAAATGGCCGAGATGGTCGAGATGATTATGATACCTTCCGAGCTCGCGGTCAGGGCTCTCCGACTTCTACCGCCTTTTCTGGTCGAGGTGGTGATGATCGCTACCGACCTCCCCAAGGGGACTTCACATTTAGGGTCGACAAGCCAGCGGGGGTTCAAGAATCTGATACATACCGTCCACAGAACAATTCTGGTCGTAACGATCGCCGTCGAGGCTATTCTCCCAACCGCGACGCTAAGAGGAATCGCGGTGCGCAGAACCGGCGCGACCACCATTCCAGCCAGCCCTTTGGTGCCCGCCCGAGGCGGCCCATGTTCATCGCTGCAGAGCGTGAATTGCTAAAAGTCAACCACGAGACAGGAAATGAACAGCTTCTATATGACCCGTCTAATAGCGTTCAGTACCGACCTTTAGACGAGCTCACCGATTCGGAAGCCGAGTCTAATCTGAGCAACGAGGATCAACAAGATGGCGAGCCGGCGCACAAGCGTGCGCGTCTCAGCCTTGAACAGTCAGCTTCTGACAACAATGTTCCCAAGTGGTCGAACCCCGACCCGTACACTGCCCTTCCCATTCAACCGATTGAGCAGAAGAAGAAGAAGGATGTCGTTCAATTGATCCGGAAGGCCCGGATTCAGCCGGATCAACCTCGTGCTTCTCTTCCTGCCGATCTTGCTGACTTCATTGCTCTTGACGATGACGATGAAGACGAGCAAGAGAACACCAAGACAACCGAAGAATACGATGACGACTACGAGCCAACCTTAGACCTTGGCCCCTCTGTCGTCAATGTGCCCTCTCCTGCTCCCAACCAGGGAAGCCACATTGCTCCTGGCCCTGCTGACCAGTCGCCCGTCTTTGCCGACCTGTCGAAGCAGACCACCGCCAGTATGCCAGCTACGGCCAGCGGCACCGCCGTGGTAGAGGATGTGCCTGTGGAGAATCCGCAGCGGGTGGTGCGCCCACGTCTGCCTCGTGGTGTTCTCTTTGAAGATCCCACTCCTGCTATTCTTGGCAACAGGAAGCGCACATGGGATGATGAAATTAAGGTCCCGCATGCTACGTTAAAGAAAGCCTCTAAGATTCCGGCTTCTGGTGAGATTGTCGAGGCCTGGCGGCCTCGGGCTGACCTGAATCCTATCCCCTGGTTTCGGCCCAACGCCACGAACAGCGGTTCAATCAACGTTTTGTAAGTACTTTGTTGTTATCATTTGATCACTCAATCACGATGCTGACCCCCACTCAGGCTTCATAAAGAAGTTGCCGACTTTTATGCCTACGTCAAGCCTCGTGATTTTGAGGATCGGCTGCGCGGTGAGCTCGTCCAGGACCTGAAGCGGTTTTCTCGGCGTCTCTTTGGTGATGCTGAGGTCTATCCCTTTGGTTCCTTCTGTTCGGGCCTCTATCTGCCGAATGGCGACATGGATCTTGTCCTGATGTCCGACTTATACAAAAACGGCGGCCCTCCTCGTTATCACGACAACCACGCACTCTTCAAGTTCAGAAATGGCCTTGTTAAGGAAGGGATGATACATAACAACAACATTGAACTCATTCTACATGCCCGAGTCCCGTTGGTCAAGTTTGTCGAGAGGAAGACGGGTCTGCGAATCGACATCTCCTTCGAGAACCGGTCTGGCATTGTGGCCATCAACACCTTCCACAAGTGGCGTAACCTCTACCCGGGCATGCCTGCCCTCGTTTCCGTCATCAAGCATTTCCTGCTCATGCGCGGCCTCAACGAGCCGGTCAATGGTGGAATCGGCAGCTTTTCTGTTACTTGCTTGGTCGTTAGCATGCTGCAAATGATGCCTGAAGTGCAGAGCGGCAACATGGACACGCGTCATCATCTCGGTGAGCTGCTGCTCCGTTTCTTCGATTATTACGGCAACAGGTTCAACTACGAGGGTTTGGCCATTTCGCTGGATCCTCCTGCGCTTATTCCCAAGGTGAGCTATTTTTTTTTTTTTTTTCACTCGGAGAGCCATGGCTCGGCCTACTAACTCTGCCTATAGAACCAAGCGCCCCCGAAGCCCCAGCCAGGCCAGAGGAAATTTTGCATCATTGACCCCAATGACCCGACCAACGATATCGCCGGCGGTTCAAGCAACGCCCCACGCATCGTTGAGCTCTTTGCTGAGGCCTACAAAGAGCTCACCAGGAGGTTGGACCAAGTGGCTAAGGACCCGAACTTGGCCAACGTGAGCATCTTGGAGGTCATTCTGGGCGGCAATTACTCTGACTATGAGCGTCAGCGTCATTACCTGCAGCATCTTGCCAACGGCGGCGAGCCTTATTTCCCACCCTCCAGGCCGGCCAACAGTGGCAATGGGTATCAGCACCGCAATAATGGTGGCGGCTATCAAGGCCATAATCACGGTCGCTCTCGCAACCACGGCAGTAGTCGTCGGCGCCGTTAAGCTATCTTTGACTCGCTGCCTACTCTGACTTGAGTCGCTCAGTCTTGTTGCGAGTATTTGATTTGCCTTTACTTCTTGCATTTACCTTTCTCATGAATGATGAGTCGAGGTCTCTTGCATGATTCTTCGCGCTTGACGGCATTCGGATCAGTCATGGCGTGTGATGTTTTCTTATTTCTGAAGGAACGGTTCGGTATCATGGGATAGGAAAATTTGAGTGAGGGTTTACATCGCGATTTGGAATCACGGTATGGTGTTGGGACCGGCGAACAGGAGTTTGCGGCGGGATGGTCTGATGATGAGAGCATGCATCGCGATACCCCCCCCTTTTCTCTTACCTCTTATGACGGACGGTTTCTTTTCTTGTTGTTTCGTTTTTCGTTTCTGCTGAACTTTCCTCGCCACCAGTATAAATGCGCTCCGCGCCTGCTCACGCAACTCTCAAGAGCCTTTTCAGCTGGATCGGCGGCTACGATATGGGTCCGAGCCATTGGCTCTCTGACCCCCTAACCTTACCTTACCTTGTCGGATTATCTGTTCTGTTTACCTACCGGACCTTGTTCGGTTTATCTGTTCTTATTCTGTACATGTGCGCGGCTTTTTTTTTCACGAACTTTCTTACTCACCATATCGTCTGTATCATAGTGCGGTGGCGACGACCAGTTCGGTCGGTCGGTTTCCCGACCTCGACATCTCCAGTTTTCGCTTTTTGCGGACGGACATATTTGCGTCGTCGAAGTTACGGAGGAAACTTACCTGTCGCCATCTGCAACGGAACTTTCTTACGTCCTCCCCGCGATGAGCATCTCAATGTCACGCGAAGGGATGATATATACCTTACTAGCCGAGTTGGCTGTGTCTGAGTACTTACCTTACGTTAACGTACCTTACTAATGGATCGGCTCTTTAACCAACTTTCGTTCCCTCCTCAGTTCCTCCCCTTATAGTTTGAGTGACTAATTACAGGTTTATTTTTGGACGCTACAAATGATGTATACCAGGCAACAGGCTCATCATCTACTGACCTTTACAGGCGTCTAGAAGGGGGCTGGCTACCGTTCGATCTAGAGGCACAAGGTTTGTATATTTCACATCGCTAACTGACGTCTTAACTCCGATCATCGATCTCTCGCACGATCTGACCGGGTGTGTCTGAGAGATCGACTAACTGTGTGAAATGACTCCCTTACCTAAACCTACCATATCGACGTTCACGGTGGCTACTCCCCTCTCTCAACCCCCGCTTTTTCTTCACTGCATGCTGCGCTGATGGTGTGGCTGCGGGGAAGGATGAAGGTGGGAAGGGGAGGGGGGGGGAGGGGAGTGTAAGGTGGGAGGTCGAGAGAGGGAGGGGTTGCGGTATATCGTTTGGTTTGGATGGCTAGATCCAATCTATGAAGGAGGGGGATTGACATGTAACCTACCTACCTAACTGTCGCGGTGGTTTACGGTCGCTATTAATGGGGATAGAACAGGAATGCATTGGAAGGTTGTGGTTGTTACAGCTTGCTGAGCTTGGCCATCATCCATCCCTGTCCTGAGCTGCTTTCTATGCAAAACAGCCAGTGTAAGCTGTTCAAAGTCGACAGACAGGGCACAGGTTCTGGTTTTCCCAGCATTTGAACCAAAAAGGTGGCTAAGGTTCTGACAATGATTGATTTGCTGCCTGCAGATTGAAATAATGTTAAAAAAAAAGGGAGGTGGGGGGAGAAGGATTGGGTGACTGCCAGACACCACTCAGGTTCCATTCATCGGATAACAATGAAGATGGTCAGAACCTTGCTAGTATCTAGTTATACCGACTTACCAGGAAATCAGGAGGATGGGGTCGAGCAACAAGCCTGCGTGAACCTGTTCCATGATACACAAGGGATGCACAAAGGGGATGATGACGTCAGCTTGCTTAGGTCTCGAATGTCGAAGACCCCAATACCGACATCCACTTGCTCACTTCACACTACCATTTGAGAAAAAAAAAAAAAAAAACCTCAAGTCCGGACGGGTAAGTAGGTATCAATGATCGGTATCAATTCATAGAGTACCCATCACATACACTACCTTAACATCCTGCGACAACAACTTTATTAACACACATGGACTTCCTTTAGTTCAGTAAGTATAGCTCAGCGGGGTATGTTTAATACCATCCAATTCATCCATCCAGCCAGCCAGCCAACCTTCATCCTTCCTTTCCTCAATGCCCCAATCCTTACATCATTCATCCATTCGACCAGTCCAGTCAACAAATATATATATATATATATATATATATCCCGCACTCAAATCAAATCAGTGCAGATACCTCAGCCGAGAAAAGGAGAAAACGAATCTCCCGAAAGTAAGCTAGGTAGGTGCCGATTTTCGGGAGTGAGCAACTCCTAGCATCAAGAGGAATAGAAGCTTTCAAAAAAAAGGCTGAAAGGTTAAAAACAGAGGTATCGAATCGAAGCGAAGTAAGAACGATAAAACTCGTCAGCTGAACAGAAGGTAAGTAGCGGAGGAGGGTAGGCGGGCAAGGGGAATCTACAAATCGAAGAAGCGACGATGCAATGCAATACATGCTGAAGAAGTGAAATGCGAGGAAGAACAAGATTAGAAAAGGAAGAAAACAAAAATAAAGGAGGTATCGAATCGATGATATGTGCGTGCAGAGTGCAACAGGTAAGTAAGTGAACATTTCCCCTTCCATTCCCTTTCCTTTGGTCCCTTTCCAGCTTGTGTGTTACAAAACAACCAGATTCTTGATGTAAAGTGATGCATGTTGCTTAAAGGAGAAGACATTGGCCCTCTTCAAGGAGGTTAGAGATCAATTCAAATCATGCCTCCCGGTACCTCAAACGGCGGCCTCGTCTTAGACACCTCGGTCCTCCTTCTCGGATTAATCGGTGGCACCGGCGGCGGCACCTGCGGCGCCCCACCACCAGACCTACTATTTGACCTCGACCGCGTCCCCCCATTCTCGTATCCCCCCGATTGCTGAGGCGGCTGTGGAGGAGGGTACTGCGGGGGTTTGCCCACCGGCGCCGGGAATGTACCGGACCCGAGAGCAGGGGACTGCCCTGCTGAGGCAGATGTTTGTCGGGAGCGGGTTCCAGCTGGGGAGAGGGGTACGCCATTGCCGTAGGCATTGTGTAGGTTGTTGTTAGAACGCTGACGCTCGAGGAGGGGGGAAGTTACGGGCGAGGGACCGGTGCGGGTGAAGGGGTGAGAAGGCATCATAGGCGAGGTCTTAGCGTCGGCTGGGGAGCGGCGGTAGTCGGGGGAGAAGAGGGGAGGACGGCTGCTGGAGCGGCCTTCGCTGGTTTCAGAGCCGGAGCGGCCACGTTCGCCGGACGTGCGTGAACCGTTGCAGCCGTATTCGTCGGTCGGGCCGCGGTACGAGACGAGGGGCGGACGGCGCTCCCTGCTAGGGGTGCGCTGCTTGGAACCCTGCTCGCCATTCACTCCGCCCTGGGTCTGGCTGATCTGGTGGCGGGCGAGCATCTCGAGTTCCTTGCGCTTTTGCAGCTCGCGACGAGCCTGGCGGAAAGCGCGCAGACCGGGATGGGTGTTGGCGTCATCTTCCTTCGACTCACTTTCGGACTCATGGACCGCATCTTCCTTGACGGTCTCCTCCTTCATGGTCTCGAGGGGCGGGAACTCCTCGCCTAGCTTGTTCGACGAGGGCGGGTTGCTGGTGGTGCCGCCGATGCCGAGGATCTTGAACGGCTTGGACGGGCCGGTGACCATGTTCCGACCGCGGTCGATGAGCGAACCGCGGCTCGACTTTGGCTTAAGAATGCCGAGAGGGTTGGACGAGGGCTGAGGAGCCAGATTGGGGGAATCCGACCCCGGCATGGGAGACGCAGCTCTACTGCTGTCTGACTCGACATACGAGGTCAACTTCTCCCGGACGCGGCGACGAGCGTCGGCCAGCTGGGTGGCAAACTCGTCCTGCTCCTCGTCTGTGACGATGTTGTTGCCGCTGCGGTCGGGCAGATCAGAGCTCACGACGTCGCTCTTGCGCTGGGTTTCGCCCAAACGCTTCTCACCACTACTGTCCGACCCGACGCTATAGTACGAGGCAGTCCATTCCTTCTCCCGCGAGCTCCCGGCCGACGACCATGCATTTGACCGAGAGTCGTTCGAAGAGGCCGTGGCGGTGTTAGAAGTTAGGCTTGAATGCAAGTTCGAGCTAAGGTTGAGGCGGGAGTCCAGGTCGGCACTGAAGCCAGTAACGGCAGACTCCACGCTTTCGCTACGCAGGTGTCGAAGCACCAGGCCGCTGAGACCAGAGGCGGGACCCAAGGTGGGAGAGTCGATGGGCTCAGGATCTTTAGATGTCTCAACGGAGATGGTTGGCTTCAGGGCAGGAGACAAGGCTTTGCCGTTGGTGCTGGCAGTCGACGGCGTCGGCAGCGAAGGCTGTCTGAAAGCTGGGTGATCCTTATCCGACGGCCGTTCGAGCTGAAGCTCGGGCAGCATGGCAAGGCCGTTCAGGCTGAGACCAGTGGACGGAGTGCTCTCGATCTCGGCGACAGGAGTAGGGGGAAGCCTCTCCTGCTGTAGCGAGGGTCTTGGGGACGTGATACCAGACTTAGATTCCGCGGGCCGCGATGACGTCGTGGCATTGGACTCTGTCCTTTGTCTCTGTGTGGAACTCTCCTTTGTCTGTTGAAGCATTTGCAGGCGTTGAACATACTGAGACTCGTCGTACGTCTGAGCTGAGGACTTTTGGAAGAGGCTTGTCGCCGTCACCTTGGCATCTTTCGAGAGGAGGGAAGGCAGGCTGTGTTCGCCAGACTCGCTGATAGGCGGGCTCAGGGGAGGAAGACCCCCGACATTGGACTTGTCTGTCTGCACCTTTATGCCAGTCGGCTTGGATTGATCAGCGGTCTCTGAATTCGAGGCATCCCGGGCAAACGGGCGCTGGCGAGTCAAGCTTTCGAGACGCGACAGACCAGGGGCCGGCTCAGTCGAATCCTGGTTGACAGTCTCATACAGCTTACGGGTCCTCGTTACCACGCGCTCACCAGCAGGTGTAGATACGGCTGTTGTGGGCGCTGTGGAAGCAGGCTGGGAAGTGATGGAGGATGCGGCGGTCGAGTTACGGGCAGCCGAACCGGAGGACGTGGTGGTCGAGGTTTCACGTTTCCGGTTGTAGCTGACAGGAGATTCGGAACGGCTTTGCTCGGTCTCTTCCTCGGCGTCATCTGTTGATGATGTGTTGTTGAGGCCGTTCTGCTCAGCGTAAAGCCTCTCCCTCTCTTCGCGACGCCAGCGTTGGAAAGCCGAGAGAGAAACATCGTCTTCGTACAGGGCACGACCACCCAGGCCACTGGTCGAGCCGGCGGGGATCTTGTAGATCTTTTGCCGACCACCAAAGAGCACGTTGCCTTCGCCCGGCCTCCCGCGGTTCAGAATACTGCCGGTGTAATTCGTCGCGTCATCAGAAACAGTCGAATCACGCGCGGCCTGGGACGAAGCCCTGATCGACTCGACCTCAGCGATGTCGGACAGACCAGTGCTGGCACCGCCGCCAAAGCCGAAGTCGGCCAGCCGAGACTGGCGTTTAGGGAAGAGCACGCTGTCGTCGCTGGCCTTGCCGATCTTGGTGTTCGGGTCATCCTGCTCCCTCAGCATGGAAAAGCGGGCCGAGAGGCTGGGCATCAGCAGACTCGTGCGGAAGTTGTCGTCGGATGGCAAGGCATTGGCCAGGTCAAATTCTTTCTTAGGGATCTCTTCCTGGTGTTTCTTGTCCTTCTTGCGCAGGAAGTTTCTCGTTGTCTCCGACTCCTCACTGCGGCGGGGCGCAGCCAGGTCGTCCTTGGCTCTCTTCAACCTGAAGCGACTCATCATTTTCGTGGGTCAACTAACTATGGGAAAGAAGCGGTTGGCAAGTCTGGACCTCAGAGAGGCAGCTGTGCCGGCTTCATGTAGTCAGATGCGCTGGATGAATGCTCCTATCCCTAGCGCACTCTCGCCACGGAGCTGAGGATGAGTGGCTCGGCTCTACACAGCATTCAGTCGTCAGTTTACTTTGAATGACATTGTTTGGATTATTGTTTGGCAAGCTGAGCTCTTGCAGATGTGGGCTGCAGCGCGTCTGTTTGTATCACGGCCTCTCGGCCGCATGATTAATGATGCAGCACTACACATCAAGGGCTCCTCAGCTAAGGGAAAAAAAAAAAAAAAACTAAACAAACAAAAATATCTGGATTCAATCCCGGGAACACTCACCAAACCGCGGTAGGTAGTCTCGTGCCCGTCGGGGCGACAGTCGTCACCGAACCGCCAATTCGATCTCAAGTCGTTGCTCGTGTGCTCGCAGAAACGATGCTGTGCTGTTCGCAGGTGGAGAGTGAGTCGGCAAGTCGATAGAGATATCGATACGGGTCCCGAGACCGGCAGTGAGACTGTGATGCTGCAGGCTTCCGCGATGGTTCGCTGCAAGAAGGCGGCACTGCAGCTGGGCTTGAGTCGCTCGCGCGTTAAGAGTCAAAAGAGTGTAGTCGACGCTGCTGCTGCTGCTGCTGCTGCTGATGTTGCTACTGCCGTGGTTCGCAATATGGGTGCAGTATACACTAGGTAATGAGGGAGTGCGTCAATTTCGTCGAGGTTGTCTGACGGCCTTGCGTCGGCCTCGTCGAGTTGATCGCCAATGTCCAATTTCGTTCGAGAAAATATGATCAAAGGCTGACAGGGGCTGTGCGGGAGGAGGGACAAACCCCAGAACCAGGACCAGGGCCAGGACCCGGGAGCGAGTGACTGAATTAAAGTAAACCGTTATCGGGCTTTGTGCGAGCCGGCTCAAGGGAATGTGAGGGTCAAAATGAGCACCACGGACGGTATGACGTCGAGATCGAGGCGCCAGACGGAGAAGAGAGGAAAACTGGAAGGTCCACGCTGGTAGGAGGATGGATAGGCGGGAGGAATCTCAAGATGATGGAAGCAGTGGTGGCATGAGGTTTTGGATCTGGGGAACAGGGGAGAGGCCGTGCAGGGCGACCGGGGGGGGGGTTGGGGGAGAGAACACCACAATAGCGAGAACTGGTTCACTGCAACAGTGCTGGCAGCCAGGCACAGGACATCATCCACATCCACTGGCACCGCCGCTGCGGCATTGCAGGCGCGGCATGCGCTCGACAAGGATACGTTCGTGGGCCGCGTGCTTAAATCCTGGGTTTGACGTGCCTGATTGGCTGGAGCTATTCCTAAAGTGTCATCGAGTCCCCTGCTAGGAGCGCTGGCATGGAAAGAGCTTCCAGGTGCTCTCCACTGGTTGAGGCAGAAGAAAGCAGGAGCTTGGGACAGCCGATGGATGGATCCAGGGTCCAACAAGGGTCCCAGAGTGGAAGGGCGGCCGTGCGCTCTGGGGCCACAGTGGGAAATGAGACGCTGCCATCCGTCTCATTGGCTGTCTGCTCAGCTCTCAGTTGCTTTCAGTTGCACCACCAGGCCTGAGGCGTGCTTTTTTTTTCTTTTCCGTAAATGAGCAGGAGAAAAAAAAAGAGGAAAAATTTTTGGTTTTGGGAGACGAAAAGGGGAAAAAGGCGCTGGTTGACCAGTCCCTCGGGTCGGGACGACGGGACGTTGAGTTGCAGTCCGTGCTGGGCGCTATTGACTATGTGATAACTTCTTTCAGAGATCATCAACTTCATGCCTAGGTAGGTAGTGCTGGTTCGGACCGCAGACTTCTCATCTAATAAGATAGCGATAAGTACTACCTGGAGAGGTGATCAATGCAGCGTTGAACGCGTCAGACTGGCGTCGCAGCGAATGCAGGCACTTTACATCGTACGTACAGCGGCGCGTCTGGCAAATAAACTGCAGCCGGTCAAGAAGGCCGCCCTAGATTGCCACATTTGGTCGCATCCACGGCCCGTATAATTCCTGATCGGCCGTTGGGACGTCCGAGGCAACTCTTTGATAACGAACAGCTGCGGCCTCAGAATTCGGCCGAGGGAATTGGATGGAATTCCATCAAATGAATGGAACCCGAAAGCAGAACGTCGATACTGCGAAATCGTTTCTGCGCTGCGCAGCTACCGACCTGCCTGCTACAAGAATGCGTGCCTGCGTTGCCAGAGAACGCAGGAATGAGGATTCTCCCACCTTTTTTTTTTTGGCATCCACATTTCATCTAGCTCGACTAGTCAACTTCTGTGGAGCATTTCTCACAGCACAAGATTCCTCGTTTCCCCCCTCCCCCCCACCTTCCCCTGGGCCTCCAATACTCCGACATCGTCATTTGCTGCCTCGGCGTTTGACTGCGAGGTCTCTTCTAGTTCGGATGGCGGCGGCCAAAGAGCGACACGCCGACGCTGATTAGATGTCATATAGGATGCCATCCCAGATGCCTAAATTTTTTTTTGTTCTTTTTGAATTTCGACGCCGATGTTTCGTCTCACAGCATTCACACACAGGATATCATGGTTTTAGAGTGATTGATGTTGGATTTTGCAACGTCAGGTCCAAGACTAGCGGGATGACACGACGGCAGCGGTGTCAGCAGTCAATCGAGATGATACGTATTCTGGGGAATTGCACCATCTTGATTTCTTCGCATAAGACGGCACATTGCTTTCGCTCTTCCGTACGTACTTGTACCTAGCTGAACCAAAACCCAGACTTGAGCGAGTCTGATGATGCGTCTGGCGGCCGGCGCTGCATCCACGCCCCGCGGTCCGGCTTCCACGTCTTTCCCGTCCCACCTACACGGGTCGACCACGGCTTCCGCGAGCCAATCAGCGTTGTGTGCCTGACGCTAAACCGTTTGTGGCTTAGGGCCAATGGCACGACTGGCGTGCGATTTGTGGGCGCCCGAACCCCCTGAATATTTCGCGGGCAAATTCTGGGCAAGTCTTGGGTGCAAGAGGCGCGTGTTCCTCCCGTTCCCCTGCAGCAGAGAAAGGCGATTCCGGGGAATTCAAGAACCGGTCACTGCATCCACGGCGTTGCATGAGTTACGATAGAAATGCGTGAATCGCACCTGCGGATGCATGTTTCGTTCTGAATCAGACTGACAAGACCGACAGGACTGGCACTCTGACAGGAGGCTTTGCACGGCAGTGGTCTGTTGTGCTGCGGCGAGCCTTGAGCCCTTCATCATCCCAGCCATAAAAAAAAACACAAGCCTGGTGAGGACGCAAGAATTCCGTTTCAAATCAATGCCATATTGAAATCCTTGAATCAACCCAAGAAGTGAGAGGAAGTGGGGAATTAGCCAGCGGGATGAGCGATCGGGTCTTTGCAAGCGTGATCACACAGTTCATAGATCAATTGGCCCATTCCATCCCGTCCGCTTGCTTTTTCCTTACGAGCAGCCATGCTAGGCTGGCTGGCTTGCTTACACGAGGACGAAGCGAGGTGCAGCAATTCAAAATACAAATGCCTGCTGTTGGCAAGCTGAAAGGAGTACGTATCGTAGAAAAAAAAAGAAAGAAAAGGGAAAAAAGGAAAAAAAGAAAGAAAGAAAAAAAAACCTCAACTCATCTTCAACGTTGGCTGGTTTGGCTTGGATGCTATCAGTCAGGCAGAGAGCATTTGCCGGCCTCGGTGTTGATGATTCTGGGGCCAATTCGAGCAAGTGGACCGCTTCATTTCAGGGCTGAAACCGTCAAACGGAGCCATGGACGCTGGCCTCGTGGCATCCCCACTTTCATGTCAATTCTAATCGACGGAAACGGGACAGCTCGCCGCCACACTAGCATCTCCAGTTGCCGATGCTTCTCCCTAACGAGCTGAAAATTTTTGTTGTCTACATAAGCGCCAGTAGCCCTACACTACCTACTTTAGGTAGTTTTGGCTTTGTCATCAGTCCCCTCTCTATATCCTCTCGGTGATGAGGATGAATATGAGGGAAAGGTGAGCAAGAAGAGTGAGTGAAATAACTGTGCGACAATTTGGCTCCCCTCATCGGCTTTGGTGAAGATTTTTGTACCACTCCGCCTTGTCCTCGTCCCACCGCCGGCCGGCGGCCTGGCTTCTCACCGAGGCAGGCTGACCACAGGCTGCCAGCACAAGGCTCCATTGCACCGAGACCTACAAAGCATGACGGCAGGATGGTGGTCTCTTCCAGCTTTTTGTTTACTTTGCGAAACATACTCGAACCCGCCACTATATCTGTAGTAACAGGATGAGCTGCACAAGGCAAGGGTGAAGGTGACAGCACCTAGGCCGTCACACCCGTGCATCTCGGGTGGTGTTACAATGTGTATTCGCATATCGAGACAACTAGATATGGGAACGCGTGGGCCGTTGCAAGTCGATGGGGATTGTGCCATGTTTCTGGCTGTGTCAGGCTCCGGGACCAAAAAAAAAAAAAAATACTCACCTGGAGTTTTGACATGACACCAAGAGCCGTCTCAAAAGTCAAGACACGTCCACAGAATCTATTTTTTTTTCCGACGGATGCCAATCGGATTAGGCTCCCGCACAGGACGAAGTTTGGTCAAAACGGTGATGGCACACTACAGCTGGCTACCGGCAGATGATTGACGCCGTGTCATCGAAGTTCAAACATCAAGTTCCATAGAGAATCCTTGTCATTGACTGTCCTGAAGTTGCGGTATCATTCCAGCATGCCAGCATTCAAGCCCAAAGCTCGAGGTCCCAGATCTGCTCGTCTCCAAAAAACAGCAAACTAAAACACAACCTCTGAAGCGCTCCGCTGCGGCATGGTTGCATTTGCCCTGTGTCACAGGACTTCTCCACGCGTTCGTCTGATGTGGCGGCAGCGTCACGAGGCAATGGCAATGGGACAAACTGGAAGTACTGGAGAGTCGGTGTGAGGGTTTGTGTCGTGTGTTGTTGTCTTTCACCACAAGTTCATGTTGAGGCTCGAACCCTGGACCTTGTTCCCAACAAAGAAGATGGCCGGCCATTGGACGCTGGGAATGGCCACACAACAGCAGCTGGTTGGATGCTGCGCGGCGCTCAAGACGACCGACTGACAAACTGCACTTTTTTGCTTCTGCAAAAGTGGCCCGCATGCCCAACAGCTGCAGCGCTGACTTGCCGCGACCCAATGGGATCGTGTTCCATGTCCTTGCCTGATGATGCCGAAAGCCCGGAAGGGCTGAGTGATGGCTGATGAAAGACGTCACACCCACCCCCGCTGCCGTCGGCACCCGCACATTCGGGTCCGCCGGCCTGGGAATTGGGAATTGGGGTGCCAACCTTTGATGCAACTCTAGCAAACAGTACCTAACCCAATCCCAACCCATTGACGTGAGGGAATAAAAAAAAGTAAAAGGGGGGGGGGGGGGGAAAGGAAAGGGTAGGGGATTTTTACAAGTACATCACGGGACCTTCATTACGCCCCATCACCATCTTGCTTGCTGGGAAATGGCACATTACTTCCAAGTAAACCCTGTGCCATGGATATCGTGCGAAGCGTCTACGACTGGACGTTCCAGAAGCTGCCAAAGCCGAAGCCGCCCCACTGGCGCCGGCTCTGGATGCCCTGGGGCCGCCACGCGGGGCAGGCAGTTCTCTCTACCAAGACAGCCGTCACATCTGTTCTCTGCGCGACATGCTCGTTGAACACAGGCCCTGAAGCGGCCTCAGAGCTGTCGTATTATGGCCGCAGTCCGCCGGTGTATCCTTCTCGTAAGTTTTTGTGTCATTAGTTGTCTAATGTGATTTTATTTTTTTTTGTGTGTGTTTTCTTATTTTATTTTATTTTATTTTATTTTTTTTAGAGCTGACCCTCTCCTTCTGGGAAGCGATCGGAAATGGTACCACCAACGCCCAATGGGCCGCCGCCTATAGGGCTGCCCGGGCTCTGGTCTCCGAGATGACGGTTGACGAGCTCGTTAATATCACGCGCGGCTTTCCCGGCCCTTGTGCCGGCAACACGGGCGAGATCCCCCGCCTCGGTATTCCATCCCTCTGCTTCGCTGACGGGCCCGCGGGTATCCGTGGTCAGGAGTTCGTCTCGGCCTTCCCGGCCGGTATACACCTCGCCGCGACCTGGGATCGGGAATTGATGTACCAGTATGGTCGGGCCTTGGGAAGGGAGTTCTACGGGCGCGGGATCAATGTCGCGCTGGGGCCGGTCGCCGGTCCGCTGGGCAGGGTTGTCCGTGGGGGGAGGAACTGGGAGGGCTTGAGTAACGACCCTTACCTAGCAGGCGTGGCGATGGGGCTGGTAACTCGGGGAATGCAGGATGCGGGCGTCATCGCTACGCCGAAGCATTGGTTGCTCAATGAGCAGGAGTATCGGCGGCGCTGGGTTGCGGGGGAGGGGCATGCGGTTAGTTCGAATGTGGGTGATCGCACGCTGCATGAGCTGTACGCTTTCCCATTCATGGACGCCCTGCGTGAGGGCGCTGGGGCGGTTATGTGCAGCTACCAGAGGGCGAACCATTCTTATGCGTGTCAGAACTCGAAGCTGTTGAACGGAGTCCTCAAGACGGAGCTCGGGTTTGAAGGCTTCGTCGTCAGCGACTGGGACGGGCAGATGTCTGGCGTCGCGTCCGCCAACGCCGGTTTAGATCTGGTAATGCCCGGCGCAGGGTTCTGGGGTGAGCAACTTGCACAGGCCGTTCGCAACGGTTCTGTCGCTCACGACCGTCTCCGCGACATGGCCACTCGCATCCTCGCCTCCTGGCACTACTTGCAGCAAGAACATTCCTTCCCGTCAAAGGCAGTGTACACCAACCTCGACCGGCACCCACCTATCGATGTCCAGGAAGACCATGCCGCGCTGATTCGGACGATCGGGGCAGCGGGGACGGTGCTGGTCAAGAACCTTAACCACACCTTGCCGCTGCGCAAACCTCGTTTTCTCTGCGTCTTCGGCTACGATGCGACCGTCAACCCGGCGCCCTGGAACAACCGGGACCGCTACGGCGGAGGCTACGACGTCAACCACGGCTGGAACACCTTCCTCAATGGTACGCTGATCACGGGCGGCGGCTCCGGCGGCGTCACGCCGCCCTATGTCGTCTCCCCCTTCCAAGCGCTGCAGGAACGTGCCGCTAAGGACAGGGCGGTCCTACGATGGGATTTTGTCAGCGACAGCCCGACGCCGTACCCCAACGCGGAGGTGTGTCTCGTGTTCTTGAATGCGTATGCCTCCGAGAGCTTTGATCGGCCCGGGTTGAGGGATGAGTGGGGGGATCGGTTGGTTAGCAACGTGGCTGGCTGGTGTAAGAGGACGGTGGTGGTTGTGCATAGCGCCGGCGTGAGGGTCGTTGATCCGTGGGTTGAGCATGAGAATGTTACGGCCGTGGTTATGGCTGGATTGCCGGGACAGGAGTCGGGCCATGCGTTGGTAGATGTTTTGTATGGGGAGGTGAATCCGGCAGGGAAGCTGGTTTATACGGTTGCTAAATCCGAGGAGGCGTATGGGCCATTGTTGAACTCTTCGGTGCCGGGGCCTGATGACAATCCGATCTTCCCAAACTCGGATTTTGAGGAAGGCTTGTTCATCGACTACCGGTATTTCGACAAGCTCCACCCCCGTCAATCACGATCCTGCTCCCACCCTCCCGCTGGCGAGCTAAAAAACAAGAACGATGACGACGACGACGACGACCCAGTTCGATTTGAGTTCGGCTTCGGCCTCTCTTACACCTCCTTCTCCTATACCAATCTCTCCATCTCCCTCCTCACTCCTTCCCCGCCCGCCCGAATACCCCGACCCGTCCATCCCCATCATCCAGGGTGGGCATGCGCAACTCTGGGAAGACATTGCTCTGGTCAAATGCAACATCCAGAACACGGGGGATGCTGAGGGGCGGAGGTGGTACAGGTTTATATTGGCGTACCGGGGTCTGGCATCACCAAGGTCACGGGGGATGACGACACCGAGCGGGAGGGGGAGGAAGATGAAGTGTGGGATGATGCCGCGCCTGTGAGGGTGCTAAGAGGGTTTGAGAAGGTTGGCCCGCTGGCGCCGGGGCAGGTGAGGGAGGTGGGAATGGTGTTGAGGAGGAGGGATTTGAGTGTTTGGTGAGTTGTCCTATCTAACTACCTCAGTTTTGCGTCCCTGCTTTTCGTCATAGATGGCATGCTGACTGAGTGACGCAAACACAGGGACGTCGTTGCGCAACAGTGGCGGTTGAGGAGGGGCGTGTATAAGGTTTGGGTTGGGGCGAGTAGTAGGGATTTGAGGCTGGAGGGGCGGTTGGTTATCTAAGAGGAAAAGGGGGAAGGGGTGGGTTTGGATAGACTGTTTGGATAGACGTTGGCTACCTATCTCTGTGATCTTGGGATTGAGATGGGGGCTTTCTCCGGCTTACCTAACTTAGGAAAATTGGATAACCTAGAGCTGAATTGGAAATTCTACTGAGATAGAACGACACACCTTACAAGGGCTCTGATGAGGCCGCGAAGCTCGGCATCGGAAGTTCCCTTTCCCCCGAGCTTACCTACCTACTAACCTACAACGGCACGAGGTTACATGCCGGATTGTGGCAGGCTGACAGGAGAACACGGACGGAATTATCGGCCCGGGAGGGGCTCCTTTTACGCCGAAGTTTTGCCAGTGAACCTCTGAGAGAGGAACCCATTGTCATGTCATTGAGACAGCTATGAATTCCATCTTATGAGCTGTGTGGGTTCGGACTGGAACCGAGGACTTAAGGTAGGTATCGCTGGCGAAGTTTACGACCCGGACCCGGTTCCCCTTATTGACCGACAGGGCTAATCCGTGGGGAAGCTTATGTCCTGAAATATTATAAAAGAGGGGACGATTCTTTGTTTCTTGGCTGGTTGCTGACCGAAGTCTTAGTTGACATCATCACATCACTTCCAGACTTTCTTCGCCATCGTAGAGAAAGCAGGTTATTCCCCCGCCAGCCAGCCTCGAAGATCTCAGCTTAGACAACCCAATTACCATGGCCTTCATCCGACCTTTCAAACCAGAAGACACAAACGCCGCGAAACACATCGTATGTCATCCCGACCCCCCCCCCCCCACCGTATCATCATCCTTCCTTGTTATGCAAGCCCCCACCCCCCCTCCCACCCAATCTCTCACTGCTTCTCGCATCATTGTTGACAAAGAATGGCCATTAGTGTCGTGCAACTCTCCCCCCTTCGCTAGCATCTTCCTCAGGAGCAGCTGCCCTCTCTCCCTACCTCTGGACCCTCCCCTTCACACACCTTCGCCCACAGCACTGCCACATCCTCGACGATGGAGCCGGTAACGCTGTTGGGTACGTACTCGGAGCTCCGGACATTTTCGCTTTGGCTAAGGAATGGCCGCGTTATATGGAAAACGTGGTTAAGCCTGGCGTTGAGGACGGGGAGGTACCTCGGCTCGGAGAGGAGGATCTGCAGAGCAGAGAGGCATGGTGGAAGGATGAGGAGGAGAAAGCCGTGAATGAGCGGTGTCTGGGGCAGCTCGCTTACAAACCGGACTGGCTCCTTCTCGGCAATGAGGAGGAAAATTCTCGAGAGTTAGAGCACCGACCTGATTCAAAGGAGAAAAGGACGCCCACAAAGAGGGAAATGGTCCATCAATACCACGCGATAATGCACATCGACCTGCTTGAACCCTTCCAGCGGCAGGGTTGGGGCAGGAAGATGATACAGAGGTTTATAGAGGGAATCAAGGCGTCAGGGGAAGATTTTGGGAAGGGGGTGATGATCGGGATTGCGCCGGAAAATGAGAAGGTAGTAAAGTTCTATGAAAAGTGTGGGTTTCGCGTTGTGGAGGGGGGAGTTGGGGAGATTTGGATGGTTAGAGAGTTGTGAGATAAGGGATGGGGAAGTCTAGCAAGGGGTTTTAGGGAAGGCTCCCGACGAGTTACGGAATAAGATCATTGGGAACTGGGCTGATGGTGACTTTGAATGGCTGTGACTGATATCAGTTCCAATTCTTTGCACACTGTTTTTACTCAGCATAGAGTGACTCGATGTGCTAACACTCGAGTAAAAGTGACACTACATGTGTGTGGTTACAGGATAACACGCTATTCACAACAATCACCGCATGCATCGCAATAACACCACTTCTTTTCGTTTTCTTCGCCCCAAGTATTTTTCTGTTCCGGTATTTCCTCGATGGCCCTGGTCAGAGTTGCCGCTGGGTTGTGATACTATAAGCATGAGGGGTAGTGATGGCCGGAGCGGGTGTACCGCTGACGAGCTTAGCGGCTGCTTATCTTGGCCATGATTGTTATGATTTGTTCCCCCTTCCCAATGGGTTTCCAGGCTCTCCCTCGATTATCGTAACCATGTCTCCCACCTAGTATTGACGGTCCGATGCTTTGTGACAATTAGCAGATGCAGCACCACCCATCTCTTCGTCCGGTTGGGTATTCTCTCTTTCAAACAGAGTTGTCCATCTCATTCCCGCACTTTCGCCATGATAATCATTACGCTTTTGCTCATTCTTCATCCTAAACCGTGGCAGGTTGCGAGATACCGGACGGACGTCGTGTTCTCCAGGGCCTGGCTATGTGACTGGCAAATGTTGGGTGCCAAGGTAAGCTCGATTCATTGTAATGGTATCTGTTCCGGAGGCCAATCGTCAGGTACTGGTTCGAATTTGGGGTTGTACATATTTGACTATGTCGGCAATGATGTGAATTTTGGTTGTGACCCTTATAAGTGCTTCCCCCAATGACCTGGCAGTGTTCCCCCTTTCGGTTATGAGATCTGTACTCAACTGCGTCCCTGGCAATTTGATACGAAACATATCGTTCCGAGCCTTTGCCTTGACTTTCCACACAAAGTGCAAAGGGGCAACAACATCATCAAGAAACCACAGAACTCCTCCTTTTTATAGCTCACATTCTTCCGGTCGCCATTGACAAAAGAGTAACATTGGCGACATTCAGAGCAGTGCTGGACCGCGCTGGCGCAAGCAACGCCGGCTTTTCTTCGGTCTTGACTCATCTTTGAATAGGCGCGGTTCAAAAAGACGTTATTATTCGGAGCTCTAAACGCGGAAGGTAGGCGGGACGGATCATCTTGCACACGTCGCACTGTCTCGCCGATTGGCCACTCGATAACAAGCTCCGTTAAGAGAATGCCTAGTGCGAATGCGATCTGGTTTTGGTCATCACCCTTCTCCTCTTCTTTTCCGGGCTGGTGGGTGGCTTTTTTAGCCTGCCGTAAACGCTGAGCCCGGGCGTAGTGTCGGGCTTAGAGTGGGGAGGGGTATCAAAGTCCCCGAGCTTGAACAAGAAAATGTCAGTTGCCTGTTCATCGGGATTTCTCGTCCCGATCATTGAGTCTCGCTAAGATGGAGAACAGCCCAGGAAGCCGCGGTTGCTATGGCGTATCTCTCAGTTCGTGAAGCTAATTCCAATGCTTGTGGAGATAAATACTTTTTCATTGTAATTAGTTTGACAGAGCAATCTGGAAGCTCAATAACTGGGCAACAGATCTGTTTGCGCGTTTCATCTGCCCTTCATGCTTGTCGTTATGTATAAATTTACATAGGGATCTAAAGTCCTTCCTGAATCCTGCTACAACGGTCAACAACATTAAGATCCCTGAGACATGTAAAGATGTTTAAAAAAAGGTTATACAGAGACATTGGATGTGGTTTCTGCGCTGGGAGGAGGAGGGAGAGGGGGAGGGGGATTTGTTCGTCTAGATGTTCCCAAAGACGCCGACCTTTCTTGAAGTGGAGGTTAGTTTGCTTTCCTTGACACCCATAGTTCAACGTGAAGTAGAATTAGGATATGCCATCTGCTTGCAGAAGACCTACTGGACAGCCCGCTTGAAACATTTAGTTTAGACCAGATAAGGAGTTCAAACGGAGCGGCAGGTGGAAGCTTTTCTCGTTTGGATGTGTTCGATTCCAGCTCGCCAGCCGGTATCTTGACTGTGTCAAGATAAGAGCAGGTTTGCATCATGCTCCTCACAACGACACGGTAACACCTATGAGCACACTGTATCTATGCAGCTGACAGTACGTTACACATGCTGGTAGATCTTGGGATCAAATCCGTTGTAGAGTTCCCTTACCTGCGAAGGTGTGCCCTCTGAACAGGATGTATATGGCCCGATATCCATGTTCAATATCTTGCCCAATTCTTCATACAATTCTCGATTTTTGGCGAAAAATATCTTGCTTCGAAGCGACCTTCAAGAATGCCCGGATTTGCGCCTTAGCAGAGACAGCTAAGAGTCCAGCTGTGACCTTAAGCGCACCCTTCAACGAGACCTCTGTACTAAGTCTGTTAGCATCGAGTCTCGATAGAAATCAGATGGTGGTAGATGATCAATATGACCCCTTCATAAATTGACTCACTTTGTCCCACGTATCTTCAGTGTCAAGTAGAAGCTTGTTTATTGACGGTTATAACATTTGCTCTAACCTGGCCATCAACTCCATCACCTCATTGGGGATCGGTGATCTGCCGCCATGCTTTCGCGTTCAGGGTATCTTTCAACTGCCTCTGGTCTGGTAATGAAGCCACATGCTCACTCAAAGTTTCTCCGGCGATAACTGTCAGACAAAACTCGACCGGAACCTCCGCTCTTGCAAATTTGTTCTGGAGCTCCCGCATTTTCATCTATAAGGCTCTTTGGACAGTCTCGAGATCGCTCTCTTTTTCTTTCTGAATCATCCTGTGGATATTGGACACTTGACACCCTATGATAGGGAACAGTTGAACAGCCCCAAGGGCCAACCTTACAGCTTCCATGCTGCTGAGTATGAACAGAGTGTTTACTCGATACCACTAGGCGGTAATCTTGCTGATGTGGGCCGCGACGGGCATGGGTGAAGCGCAATGGATTGGTAGACAACGGCGAAGCTTTCAAACTCATAACAAGAGCTTCGCATTGATGCCTGAACTTACGGAAAACCCAAAATGACTGGACGGTTTGATTTGATCAGCTGCACATAACTCTGGTTAAGACGAATTTGTTCCTTCCCCCACCCCCTCCCCCCGGACATAAATAAACCGCGTATTAATCTGCTCCGTGGTGTTTCCTTTGTAGACGAGGCTGGGACGTCATGCATTGGCTCTTATGATTTGCTAACCACGCACGCGCAACCTTGACGTGTCAGATTTTCTTTCTACTCTTATTGTATCACAGGAAAATCTGCATAAGTTTGAGGGCTAGAAGTTTTTTTTATGCAGAAATTGATGCTTAACTCAAATGATCATAGAGCTGATAAAGCAACGCCAACTTTCTGTAACAGAGCTCAACCTATCAAGTGCAGCACTCTCAGAGTTCCAAAAGAGAAATGATAAACAGCTAAATGCACATGCATAAATACATTTGCTGACCGCTCTAGGCTTACCATGCAGCGAAAGAACTTCTGTCAACCTGCCTAAGGCCTAAACTACAATCTTCGATTTCGGTATGCCTTCACTTCACCTTTTACGACGAATCTTCGTGGCCGACCATCATTGGTGTCGATTCATATAGAATCAAGGGAACTTGAACCCAATATCATGGAATCTGGAGCACCGCCAATCCTCACTACTTGCACAAGTTACGCAAGACCCGTCGGTGGAAAATACCAAAAGTGGATTGAAGAAGGGGGAAAACAAGCGAAAAGCCATGGATGACCCAGGTCTTCTCTAATGGAAGCAGAAGCTGGGAAGAGCCCATTTGTTCAACAAGCGTTTCACGGAAGAGCTCCAAATTCTTGTAGGCGTTGTACAAACGGAGAAGGCTATTTACGAGTCAGATGACCTTCGTCTTCCCCGGAGTAAAAAGGCTCTAGCACTGGCCTACAAACTTCATGGTAAAGTCAAAAACGCGATATGGGTGCCCGAGGAACATGTCAGGGGTAGCCCGGAGAACTGGATAAACCAGAGCAACCCATTTTCTTCCCAGACTAATCTGGCAGTTGCCTACTACGATTACGGTCGGCTAAAGGAGGCGATCGATCTCTGGGAGAAGCTCGTCAGTCATGGGAAGGAAAGGATGGAGCAGCAAAGCCCAGACTTTCTTTTCTCATTGACCAATCTTGGAGTAGCCTATTACTACTTTGGACAGATCAAGACGCAAATTGAATTCTTCAGCAAGCTTTGTAAGAAAGAAAAAAGCGTCTCTCCCTCCAGAAGACCCTCATCTTCTCCGCTCAAATCTCCAGCTCGCAATGGCCTACACTACATGAGAGCTGGCGATTCTAAGAAAGCAGCCAAACTGGTTAAGAACTTCCCAGCGAGTAAATAACATACAAGATTGGGACAATCACTTTTTCGCACGACTCTAGTCAATCTAGTCCAAGAAGCTGCTTCTCAAGCCCAACCCTAATCACCCGAAGGGACCCACGAAGAGGACATCGAGCTCTCCATGCAGTTGCTGGGAGCCCAGAAGAGTGAATCAAAGAATAAATAGAGGACAGAGCCTTCTTCCAGGCAAAGCGTGATATTGAATCAGCGCGTTCCCACACCAGAAGTCATGGAAGAGTTTGAAACGTGAGAGAGGAAGTGCGCTGCTGCGTGTTCTTTGTTCACAATCCCAAGAATTACTCCGACCCTGCAACAAAAGTGTCATATACCTATGGAGAGCTTGTTCTGTTAGCACAAACACAACCCTAATGCTTGCTGGTCCTGAATTCAATTGTACCGTAAGAGAAACTGTAATCTATGTAGGGATGAAAGCACATGACGCTAAAATCCCCTGAGCTAACAATCACTAACCAGAGAAAAAAAAAATATCATGGAAGATGAGAAGGCAAGTGCCGTCCGATTATTCTTACCCTAAATACATAGATGTATGGTACTGCATGAACCCTAGGCTTTATCCGGTTTGATTGGAGAAATACTCATCCTCGATAGCTTCTGTTGGAGGGATGTTCTATGTTTCTCTTCATACTCTCCAACCACACGTCTGCCATCCACTCTCTAGTGTTCCACCAAATGGCTTAATTTTGCTTGTTACTCCAGTGCTGTCATAGAGCCCTGACCAGAGTCTTCATGAGCATTCTGCTTCTTTTCTTTGTCCCTCAACATCCAACATCCGTGTGGTAGGGCAAGGTACATCTCAGGAACATGAAAAACACGGCTAGACAACGCTAGAGCAAAGACGACAAAAGGAAAAAAAATGAGTCGTACCCACTGTTTGCATCATAGGCTCAGTCTACGTACCACCGATCCGGAGTTCCCGAGTCCCATAAGCACTCTACTAAGACAAGCCTACCTACCTTTTCTCCTATGAAAGCCTACACATCCCTCCCACACACACTCAATACTCACCTACCTACCTACATACCTATACCTCCATTGTGACCAATCCCATCCTTCTCTCCAACCAACCCCCTTCTCCCTCTCTGTCCTCCGCTCTTCCTTCAGTTTCTCCTCCGGAGAACAATCACACCACTCCCAAGCCGGCAGAGGCAAAGGCATCTTTGCCCCGGGCACCTCTCTATGCTCTCCATCGATTCACATCGGATATCTCTTCGCCGGCGGTGTCTCTCCGCGTCGTCGACACCCTACTTCCCGGATTTCCTGCGGAAAAGTCGGGTACAGATCCCGCCGTGACATCTCCAGCCCTGTTCGTCCCTGTTGCGTGAGTTAAAAGAATCCCTGCTGCTGCTGCTGCTGCTGCTGCCATGCTGGGACGACATGGAGGTGTGCTCTCCATGGTTCGGTATTGGAAATACGGTTGTCTGGTTCCTCAGGTATTAGCGGGCCGGCGTGGTCGCAGACGTGGGGGACGTCGGGGAGCAGGGCGTGGGACGAGAAGACTGGGTGCGCGGGGAGGGCGGGCGACAGTGCCGACGGCAGGGTCGGAGAGGGATGGAGGCGGGGGACGACAGCCGGGATTTTGGTTGCGAGAACTAGAGGTCGGAGGTGAGGTCGGAGGAGGAGTAGAATGAGGGCACGGAGGAGCCTCGGGGAGGGGGATGTCTCGCCGTTCGTCGGCCGGAAGTTGGCTCCAGGCTTCGCGGACCCCGCGAATCTCGAAGGCAGTTTGGTCGTAGGCGGCGCGGGCTCCGGAAACATGGGCCTGTTGCTCCTCGAGGGAAACGCAGGTTAGGCGCTCCACGTCGAGGAAAGGGTCAGCTTCACGCATGGCTTCAAGGATTTCCTTTTGGGTTTGCCATACCTCATACTTCAGTCGGAGGTTGCCATAGAGAAGCTTGAGAAAGCCGATGATTAGGTTGGCAGCCATTGTGATCCGTTGAGATTGTTATGGTGTCCCTTAGGGAGGGTATGCTACTGTAGACGAGGTGCCTGGTGTGTTAGGTGATGCATACATCGCCCTGAATGCTTTCTCGTCTCGACTTACCTTCGGCTTACTCTGGAAGACTCAGCTTTAACTTACCTTTGCTTCACTGGACCGCCGTTGGTGTTGACCAGTAAAAACGAGTCTCCCGCTTGACGGCCCCATGTCTCTTCTTAAGTCCCATCTTGAGAGACCAACAGGTGTTCGGAGACAAAGAGAAGCTGCCGAGCCGCTGCTTTGTGACAATCCCAGATCCGTGTCATGTTGACAATGGCTTTGTGTGTGAATCGCATTGTGAGCTCTCAACGCGAGCAGTCACCTGTCAGAAGGGCCTTCAACAGCTTCCTTAGACTCCCGACCCTGACAGTATCAAGCGCATGGGCCGGCCCGATGAAAACCAATGTTCCGCAGAGAAGCAGGTCATTCCGTTCCTCCGCCACCTTGGCATCGGTATGCTCGACATTCTGTCACATATACCGCGGCCGATAATATAGCGGAAATTAAGTGTCGCGAGCCTCAATCAGACGGGTGTCGACGAAATCGTGTTTCTCGAGACTGGAAGTCCAAGAACGCGCCAGGAATTGTATCATGACCCACAGCCGCTCGCCCAGGCTGAAGATGATGATCGGATCAGAATTTGTAGAATACCATCAGTGATGACGGCAGTTGCTCCATGGACGGTGCCTTACTGCCATTTCAGCGGCTGATCGGCGCCACCGAGTTGAAGGGCCAAGAGTCGTGGTCGCAGCCTGGAACGGTGTTAACACTTCATTGTGACGCAAATGCCCGTTGAATGCCCAGAACAGGCATGCATGAGGCGCGGTCACCTGCCGAACAATGTGCATCTGATTGGCGGCGGTTGACTCTCCGAAAAAGCGGACCGCGTTGATTGGCTGCTCGGTTCTCGGAAAAAGGGAGTAGGCGTTGCGGAATTCCGCGCAAGTGAGTGGCCGTGGCCGACTTGTGTCGCGGGCGTCAGCATCAAGACGTGCCGCTTCGAGAGCAAAGACTGTGCCGCGTTTCGAGTGCTGCGGTGGCATGTGAAAAACTGGCAGTCTATTTGATGGTATCGGCGCATCAGGCACAGCTCTCAGCACACAGCACAGTGCCACCTCCAGGCACGCGTGGTGCGACAAACACACGCCTTCGGCCCAAAAATATCGCTCGTGGGGAGGGGAAACGCCGAAGGCTGCAGATAAATCTGCCACGTCTGTCCTTTGATGTTTTTGTGCAGAGCTTTCTGGGTTCTCTTCGAAGCTCTGCTTCTGCGGCTCACACTGGAACCAACTGGCCGGTTCCTTGCTTGCTCCTAAACGGGCGTTCCCGCTTTGACCTGGCTTCAGTGACATCCAACATCGGACCGGGTTTCCATGTCCCCGAAACAGCACAAATCCGCCAGTTCCTACGTGCGCCCCACCGAGCCTTATCCACGTGTGGAGTCCCAGCTCTGGGCCCTAACCCAGCTGCCAACCCAGCTCGAGTGAACCCTGACCCAGCTTGGCATCGTCAAATCAACTTCCAGCTTCCAGCAATCAGCTCAACTCTGACTCTTCGGCAGTTAAAACACATTCAACAGTGCCATCATCTCTGTTTTCCAGCCGTTCAATTTTTCAAACTTATTCGACAACAAAATCTGGGCCCAGACACACCGCCAGACGGATACTGCACGGCCAGGGGATCTGAGATCGCTGGTCCTTACTCCACGTGAATTTCCAAGATTGTGCGGGGACCCTTGCCACAGCCAGCGTCACCGCCCTCCAGCTGGCAGCCTACGCTCTTCTTGGCCGCCTGTCTGGAGACTGTCGGCCCCTGAATTGACGACAAAAACCGCTGACCGCCTGTTCAACATTTCACTCGACAAACAAACTCGGCAAGATCTGGAGAGTTGCAGCAACATCAGATTGTGGAGTTTTCTGGAACCCGTTGTTGATGCAATTCTTCCAATTTGGCCGGTTTCCTCACCGCGTCTTTTCGCCCTTCCATCTCCGATCGCCGTCTTCTGCGACATCCGCTCGGACCCTGCCCATTTGGCCTGCGGATCATCGCCTTTCATTCTCCGAGACGACTTGGTGCCATGAAAACACAAGCCCTCTTTCATAAGTCATCGTGGCCGCACCGGATACGCAGCCGCGGTTGAGCTGGCAGTTACACAGCTTTTTTCTGTCGTAGACTTGCGGCACTCAAAAGAGGGGCAATTTGTTTATATACTCGCCACTGTCACCCACTTCCCCAATTTTCGGGACTCTTCTGCTCCAGCAGAATTCAGGTCCGGGTTCACCTGCTGCAACTAAGGTCGCATCTCGTGCAGAAAGCTGCAGCGCTGCATGCTTGGCCCGCTGCGTCGAAGACTCGCAGTCCCACCCGTTAACAAGTTTACCAGCCGCTAGCCCGTCGTGTTAGTGCTTGCAAGCCGCAATTGGCGCACTCTGTTCGCTGCTGTGGGTTGCACACTGCGCTCAACCGCACCAAAACACGACCACGTAGTTTTTTTTTTTTTTTGCCTGTTTAATTCGCCGGTCCTCGGTGTTGACTCCCGATCCTCAGGACCGGGACGGGGCCTACAAGGCTGACCGCAACTTGTCCTGCATCTGCGGCCACGGAAGATCTCGGTTCCTTTTGACGCCCCTCTCCCCCACAATCGAGACGTTAAAGAATTGAAGAATCAGCCTTCCGCCACCTCGGCTGCGTGTCTTTTTTTAAAAAAAAAACCTTTGACTGGATTTGTTTTTCACGGTTGGTCTGTTAGACTCGACTCCCTTCTGGGTTTTACGTGTGAAGTTTGCTGCCCCATTGAGTCTTGGCAAAGATGGCCGCCGTCTCCCATTCCTCGCACATCCAGTCCATCGACCGCCCAGACTCCCGTGTGAGTCTGGCGCGTTCCGATACGACCTACCACAGCTTCCAGGACGTCGACCTCCCAGAGCCTAAAGTCCCGGATCAGCCCACCGAAAAGGCATCCGTAGAACAACCCGCCAAGGTGCCCCAAACCTGCCCTCCTCCGCCGTCATGCACTTCTATTCCTGAGGAAGGCTCTTCCATCAAGAAGGAGCGTCCCCACGTCTGGGAAATGCGCCGCCAAGATTCAGGCTACGAGTCCCTCTCTCCTAGAGATTCGTGCTCCTCCCACCGGAAATCCACATCAGCCACAACCTCCCCTTCCACAACTCGCCAGCGCCGCTCAACAAAGTCTCCACGCTCCTCTCGCTCCGGCACCGCCACAAAACGGCCCCGCTCTGGCCGTCATTCCCCTCCCCAGTCACGCCACCAGACCTCTCAACAGCAGCCGCAACAACAACAACAAGAGTCCATGACCTACACTTACTTCCACTTCCCCAGCTTCACCCCGACCGACCCCTCCTCCTTCGATGATGACGAGTCACCCAGCTCTGCTGCCGAAAATACCGTCATCTACCCCATCCTCCAGCAAACAACCTACTGGACGAGCGACCGCACCCGCCGCCTCGAATACGCCGCCATCGATGCGGCAAGCAAGGGTCTGCGAGGCTGGATCATGCGGCACGTCGTGCCTGAGTGTTTCGTGCCGAGGGGCAAGCGGTATGGGAGTTTTGGGGATGACACAGGGAGTGTGGTGCGGTATCGGATTGAGCCTGTGGGAGGGGACGAGGACGGGGAACGGGAGCAGGAGGGGGATGAGAAGCGGGCCGAGCAAGGGGAGGGACCAGAGAAGAAGAGGGGTTGGCGGTGGAAGTGGTTGTTTAGATTGGCGTTTCGGAGGCGGTGAGAAGGGCTGAAGGTCACCTACGTTTTGGGGATTGATGCATCTCGGATTTGGTGCATGAGAGGGAAAAGAACATGGCAGCATCTGGCTTTAGCATGGGAAGGATATGGGACGGCGTTTGATACCCCTGCGTTGTAATTGGCATTCGTTTTGTTTACTTTCCTTTGTCATGGTCATTAGTCTTTGTGTGCGAAATGTGGCATTGGGTGGATACGGTTCATGAGGGTTAAGGGCTGTACATATATAGCACAAGAACTAGATGCATTTGCTAGGTTTGGGGAACCTTCCTATCTATGTTCAGGGTTCGGTTTTACGGACGGATATATCGGTAGTTAATGTGTATTGAAATGAACTTTCATTTACGTCCCTATGAAGTACCTCAAGTTCGTTGTATTAGCCGCGGGCCTGCAGCAAACACTAGCTTCGCAGCAACTATGGCTGCGTGACTGACAGTTAACGCCGTAAGCGGGTGTTACAACAAAGTAGACAGATAAGTAGACAGATACTCCCGAAATTACTCGTCGATATTCAATGGACAAATTCCAGGATTGAATCTATATGGACCGAACAAGCCAGCCTTGTAATGACCGTGCCCCTCAGTCCAATCGTTAAGCTCACCTCTAAACCGGTCCCTAAGTACTCAATAGGTCATTATTATATGTAATCAAATCAGAGACGGTGGGGAGCCTTCCCAAAGGCCTTCAAACAAGCGACAGTGGTCACCCTCTCGAAACCCGGGAGGGATCCCCGATCGTACAAGGGCTGGCGGCCGATCACTCTGCTGTCGACTTTCGGCAAAGGTGTGGAAAGGCTTCTGGCCCGAAGAATGACGGCAGCGGCGCTAAACTCAGGGCTTTCCCCTCCGGACGTCGCGGGGGCTGTCCCATCCAGGTCCGCGCTGGACCTCGTCCAGGCGCTCGTACACGACGCGGAGACCATGTCGAGGCAAGGCTATCATGGGCTCCTGGTCACCCTGAATGTGGACTCGGCCTACCCCTCGGTCTAACCGTTGATCCTGCGCGACGTCCTGACGGACCAAGGCTGGCCACGCTGACTGTGCGAAGCAGCAGCTGATTTTTGCCAGGACCGCCGCTTCTCCTTCCGATGGGCACAATCAACTTTTCAGTCGGACTCAGGCCTTCCGCAAGGGTCCCCATGGTCCCCAATCTTGTTCGTCCTGTACTCCCTACTAATCATAACCCCCTCACAACAGGGGTCCCCGTTTATGTACATGGACGACCATGCGCAACCGTCATGGAGTAAGCACCCGATTCAACTGGCCCACCATGCCTCCCTTAGGGTCAACCAGCTATGCGCCAAGGGCCGGGGACTCGGCCTCAGGATCGACCCAAACAAGACGGAAGTCCTTTACATTCCCCCCCGCGGGGCCCGGGCGAAGCGAAGTAGGATAGACCCCGCCAGGACCTCGACTCAGGTCGAGGGAGTGTCCCTCTCCCCGAGCAAGTCTATCAAGTGGCTAGGAGTCTCGCTAGACCCCAAGCTCAGCCTTGCAACCCACGCTGCTGACAGGGCATCGGCCACGGCCTCGGTGGTAGGCCTGGTCAAACGCCTATCCAACACGAGCCTTCGGGGGTTTCCCCCCCCCCCCCCATCGGCAGGCCCCAATATTTTCAACGCAGTCGTCACCCCCTCTCTCCTGTACGGCATGGTACAACTCGATACAGGCCCAACTAAGGCCGGGGTTAACGGTCGCCTAGTTCCATCCAGACTTACGACGGCTTGATCGTCTCTCACCAAGGTCGCGAACGCGGCGCTGGGAGCGATATTCCCGGTGTGGAGAGCGATACCGACGCCATGGCTCTGGTGGCTGGCTAATCTGTACCCCGAGTACCTGGTTGACAGGGAGCGGGCACGGTGGAGAAGCCGTGTCAAGATGTTACCGGCTAACCACCCTCTGCATATAAGGCTTGCCCGACCCCCTTACCGCGGCTGGTCCCGCTTGCATCAGGCAGCTTCTGGTCTCGAGGCTAGGCTCCAGTGGGAGCCCAAACGCCTAGGCGTTAGGGCGTGGCTTGCCCTCCCCCCCCCCCCCGGGAAGCTCCCAAGAGACGCCGAGTGCCTTCCCCCAGACATGCATGGATGGTGGCGGGCTAACAAGCCTGCCTCGGCCCTTTGGTACGGACACAAAGCCAAGCCTTTCCTCGAAAAATTCTCCCGGCAGTGTCTCTCCCGCTGGCTAGCGGAGGCTTCGGGCCATGGCGACTTCACGGGATACCATGTGCGATTCAACCACCCCCGGGGGGCGCTAAAGGAGTGCCCCTGCACCAGAATAGTGTCTAGAGATCACTTCCTTCACCTGCCCCCTCGCTACCTTTGCCAACCCGCTCGCCGGCAGGCTGGACCCGAGGGCGTTCTGGTTCTCTTTTCAACTATTCGTGTCCAGGGCCTCCCAGATCGAGCTCTGGGCCAGGCTTGGGATGCCGCCACGGGGCGCCCTTATCCCAACGCTCGACGACCCTCCACTTCCCCTCCGTACGCGACCACAGTCCCACGGGGGTATCGACCCCGACACCGATTCCTCGGATTCGGGGTCGGAGCTGGAAATCCACATGCCCGGGTTCGTACAAGTGTGAACCTCCCATTCAACCCAGGACACACAACCTCCTTTGGCTTACACCGGTTTTGCCTCAAGTGCAGGCTTTTCCTCCGGCGTTACTTGTATATAGGTTAGTTCAGTAGCTATTGCTCGCCGTCGTCGTGGGCACGACCTAGCACCCTCAGGGGTGGACCCGGTCGAAAGATTGAAGTATGTTTGCATCGGAGCTGCCCGAGCCCGGGAAAGTTGCATGCATCTAAAGATGACTGAACTCTCATGAATTATATCTAACTCCTGCCCTATTTGTGGAAAGAAATCCGACCTGGATGACTTGCTGCAGGATTTCTTAGCAAAGCATTTGGAAGATCTTTTATTGGCTGCGCTGTTCAGTGTGAAAAGTGGAATTCAAGGTGCGGAGGACAAGACACCGTCTCGGAATAATCAAAACTGGTCCAATACGACGCTATCAGGCTATCGCACATGTCGGGAGCATCTCATACAACTCTCTAGATACATAGCTTCAACACCGGGTTCAATAGCAGAGAGTACACACAATGTTACAAATATCTCGCGACATTGAACATTCTTCCACACCCTGGCTCGTCCAGCCTTCCTTTCTTTGGCCCTAAGCCAGTTACCGAAGACCAGCGTTGACTGTTCAGCGAGTGCGCCAGTTGCCACACATGGTGAAGGCTCATTCCAACAGCCCGAGTTGTATGCTCACAGCTAGCTCAAACATCATTCTGTTTCAAATGGTGGAATCGTCAGATAGAACCACAAACGCTGTGAAAGATGGCACATGCATAAATGAGCGATCGTCTACTAACTTGTGAATTTGTGGGGTATGATTAGAGGTTTGATTGGGTGAGTGTCAGATTATCCAAGCACCACGGCAAATGGATATGTGCCAGCCTTTAGATATATGAGTCATTGGCACGAAGGTTTCCACCTTGAAGTAATCTCTCTGAAATTCTGTGATGGAGTTTCTTCAATCCTGAGGGTCTAGTCCTTCACATAATGTGCCATTCTGATATAACTCCCATAATCCTCTGGTTAGCTCCGAAACAGGATTAGAACGTCGGGTTCTATCATGATGTAAGATACACTTCCGTTTCACTCACAACTTTTCCCTTGCTTTTCTTAAATTGATTTTGTCCGTTCATATATGGAAAGACTATCTCTAATTTTGATACAGAGTTCCAAAGGACGGGGATACTGATGTTTGACTGTGACATTAAGTAGGCATGCATGGCTGGGAAACCAACAATGCGCATTACCCCAACAAAACACAACCACAAACGTAACCGCAAGACCACGAACATGACGAAGCAAAGCACAGATACGCTACAGCATCTAACAGCATCACTCTAAGAACTCTCAAATCATACCCAACCTTCTATCCCGCCCACCGCCCCTCAAATTTGAACCCCCACCTCTTCCGCCCCCACTCTCCTCACGAGCCCTTCCTTCCTCTTCACTCTCCATCCCTCCATGTCCATACCCATCCACATTCGCCGCCACATCATCCCACCACATCCACCCGGCCCCCAGCCAAAGTGCAAACTGAGCTGCTGCCATCGCAGTCACAATGAAGGGCAGCAGCAGGAGGAGGGAAATTTTTAGGAACTGGAGGAGCAGGCAGAAGAAGATGTCGGCTGCCCTGTTGCCATGGAGTTGAGGAGAAGGAACGCGAATGGGGTCCCAGTAAGCGTGGTGATGCCATGGGAGGTCCTCGAACTCGTCGAAGTCGTCGAGGAGGACCTCATGGGGAGTCCAGGCTGAGGTATAAGTGGAACCGGTGCTGGTGCTCGACGCCGACATGGCGAGGACAGAAGGGGAGATGATTTCTCCCTCAATGCTGGCACTATCGTCACCAGCGTCGATGTCCTCCTCCACGTCATATCCCACCTTGGCAGTAGAATCAGAAACAAGCCCCTCTTCACTCCCATCTTCCTCCTCCCTGGAGTCTTCCATCCACCCCGCGAGCCTGTCTACAACAGGCTGAACAAACCCCTCCACAGCCGGGATTATCATCCCTATCTGCCGCAAGTCTTGCACGGCATTCATCCGGATGAGGGGCCATGGACGACGATAGGGGCGGGTGACAGCGATAGCAGCGGGCTCTTGGTTTGAGCCCCGCTCTTCGCTTTGGGCCTGAGGGAGGGAAGGAGAAGGCTCAGCCACCCGGTATGAGTGGCGGCCGGCAGGAAGAACAGCGCCCGCAGAAAAGTGATGTCGCCGCGGGCTTGGGCGACGAGCGGGACTGCGACGGCGGGCAGGAAGGCCATTGGTGGCGGAAGAAGTCATGTATTTCTTTTTTCAATTTGTTCTTGAAACATCAAGCTTTTATGCGGTTAGTTCTGAATAATAGATGGCTTCTGGGAGCCAAATTTAGCTGTGGTTTTCCGCTGGATTGCTTGTTTTTCTTTTTTTGAAGAGGGGGGGGAGGAAGGAGAAGATCAACTTTAGCGGAAAGATGTTGAGATTATAAGCCGGATTGTGCCTGGGCCTTCACACGTGCAAGCATCAAAATTCATCGATGCGCCTTGACCGGCCATCTTAATTTGCCAACATGTAAGGCCAGGCTTCGACGCTATGAACCGGCGTTCCGTGCGCCGACTTATTGTCACGATGGTTGTTGTTAGAGTTAAGGCGCCGGATGTCAACAGATCGGCGATGAGACGGAAAAGACAGATTCGACGCCCGTCCGCAAGGTACGCATTCATATAGCTTCGCCGTAAGTACTCTCTCATGATGCAGAATCAGCAAAGTTAAGCTCGGGCTTACACCTTCCCTCTTCTCTCCCATCTCTTCACTATTCTGTGAGCCACTCAATCTCTTCCAGGTTCTTAACGTCCCGCAGAGCCAGAAACACACCCCTCGCGGCCGATTCAAGCCGCCTCCTCCGCCGCTTCTCCCTTACTCCCTTATTTCCCATCTGCCCTCATCCTCCAGCAGCGATCGCACTGCAGGCGCGACGTGGGCAAACGCGCCGAGCGCAGCCATCCATCTGCCCAGAAATAGCGAGAACAGAGCCAGAGCCAGCGTTAGCCAGGCCAGGTCCCACATGCTGTAGAGGTTTGCGACCACGGAGGGGGCGAAGCTGGTGAGGTCGACGTTTTCGCCAGCTTTAGGGAGGGGAGGGTAGAGGTGCAAGATGGGTACTGCACCCTGGGGATTGATCCGGAACCAGTTCAACTTGGACGTAGGCCGGTCGTTCTCGTCGGCCGGGATGCGCCACGCGACGGGCTTTGTTGGCTTCTTCAGGGGCGGGAGAAGACGGCGTGGGTGCGGGTGTTGGCGGGATCACGATCAGCGTCGCAAGCGGAGCACATTATGTTAGCTTGTGTACGTTCTGAGGAACTGTTGCTGATTTATTTTCTTTTTCCCAAAAAGTTTAGGCGAGAGAATGGGCGAGATAGGAATGTCTATATATTCGCAATCAGGTGACTTCTGATCTGGAAGAATGACATGGTCGGTAATGGCAAGAGTGCGATGCCGGTCGGACTCCGGAGCTGTGGGGCTGATCATACGACTGAACAGTCGGAGTCGGGACCACACAGACGCGTGATGATTGGTTTGTGTCCATCTTGGCGTCCGGTCACCGAAGAACGGCTCGGAACGTGTGGGGCCGGTGCTAGACAGGCTCATTTTCCTTTTTTTCCAGCCTTGGTCAGAGCCATCTGTGCTTCCATGTTGCTGACCGCAGAGCATGGTCACATTCAGGCAAAACTCACCACGGACTTGAGGCTAACAGTGTAACTATTGCAGTCTCCTGATATGGGTTCGAAGGTAGTGGCCAGGGCTGTAGAATCTGAGGAACTAGGGTCCTCACGCAACAGAACGGATCGCTTACTGTGATCACCAGTTATTGGAATCCAACTGTTTGTATTTCTGACTGAGAAATCCTCATCGCGACTCTGATGAGTGGGCGATTATATATACATATTTGTACTTGAAGCCATCGGCGTTCCTTTGACCATTCTTGGCCCCTAATAATGGTTTTCCGTGGCTATCGCAGGTCATCGTGGTGCGAGAACTGCGACACCTGCCCTACACTTCCTGATTGGTCCACTTCCCTGGACCACTCGGGGCCCTCCTATTGGCCGCTTCTTTAGGCCCAGCGGCTTCCTCATTGGCTCCCACAGTGCCGCTGCAGGCAGCTGCTGACCTGTACTTCCAACCATAACAGCACCCCAGGACAGCGCCCAAACTTAAGATATAGGTTAAACACACATCCGTAGAAATTTTTAAAAACTCAAAAATGAGAGCAATTCAGCCCAGACTCCGATTACTAGCTTTGACATGGAGCACCAAGGCTCGAAAAAGGCAGTAGACCTCTGTCCAACGTGCTATTAATGCTCGCCAAGTCGTCAGAGGCAAATATCAGATCAAACAAGGGAACGGCGCTCGGGAATTACGGATGTCGCATCTACCACGCGAGTCCGTTTAGTGGATGCTGATAATTATTGCATCTATGGGGTATGGACTTGGGGTGAGAGTTAGCTCGTGCGATATATTCTGGCTGTCTGGTCGTTCTTGACTTGTTTCTGTCTTGAATAGGTAGACTATTGTGAACAGACTAGAAATTTTAGAGAGGAGATGAGGAGATGAAAATGAAAAAAAATAGAAGCTAGATAAATAGCGCAGAGAAAGAAAAGAATGGAAGAAGAGACCAAGAGTAGACGGAGAAGATGGAGAAAATAGAGAACAAGAGATCTAAGAAGATGAATGCCTTTCAACGGTTGCCAAGTGCCTTACTGGAATAACGTCTTATCTGTTGAGAAGACCAGTAACTGAGCTGCCAAAGCATTCCTCCATCCATCTTCGACTCTCTCAGAAACCGCCACTGAGCCACGCTCATTGAAACCAACCCTGCCCTCACCTCAACCTCGACGGCACTAAGAGCGAGACCTTCTCCTCAGAACTTTAAGAAAGGAAGAGGTTGGACCCTATACTTCCCGCAGAAAGCAAGTGGTCCAGCCCACATCTCGTACCGAAGACAGAGACCACGCTGGCCATCCAGGTAAGTCTTTTAACTGGTCGATCATGCTGTTGTGACGCCTGATATGTGCTCTCCTCCCCCTCCCAGCCAACTTGGGTTGTGGGAAGCAGTGTGTGACAGCGTCACCAACGGCTTAGGTGAGTGTTCTTGCTTCCCCTCAGACATATGCAGAGTCAAAACCATAGCCACGCTCTGTCCAGCCCAAACACGCGTGGAAATTCCCGTCTTGCTGGTGCTTCACCCACCGTGCTGCCCTCATGCAGTACGACACTTCCCTTCGCTCCTATTCCCCGGCAGGGTGAGACAAGCGCCAGCACAACGAGGATCCTAAAATCTTAGCGCGGCGGACTGCAGACGATGGGAGGAAGACTGGGAGATGGAGCTGTCGGTTGCCGCAACTTGTGAGGGACAGATACGGGCAAGTGTGTTTGTTTTTTGGGGGGAGTATGTGCTGGCCAAGCTGTAGAGGTTGGTGATGCGCTGAATTGTCAGGCTGCGTCCCTGGCTTGGCTAGCTGACCAGCTTCCTGTTTCGCACCCTCGCATCTTGCCTACTTAAAATTTCACGACAGTCTGCCACGCTATCCGCAAAGCTGACTGGGAAGGGGACAGATCCCAGACAAGAGGTCTCACTTCCTCCCGTGCCTGTCTCAACTCGCATCGTGCCGGGCCACCCTGCGAACCAAGGCAAGTTTCCGCTCCCGTCCGTCCATCCGTCCTCCCATCCGCGCGGTGGGGGGGGGTTGTGTGCGAGCGGGAGATATACTTGATCAGCCGGAACTGGAGCTGCAGCACTCTTTAGCTGCCATCCCCGGCCGACTACTCTGTTCATTCTGTGTTGATACTTGAAGAGAGTACTTGTCAAGGTTTGAAAGGAACACAATGACCTACCGCCCAACAGCTCTAACCCCTATCGTCACCTCGCCGTCAACCAACGACACCTTCTTCTCCAGCCTCACTGCAACAGCAGCCGCCCCTCAAGACCTCGAAACGCGAGCGCTGCTCACCTTCCCGACGACAGGCCTGCCATCGCCAAAACTCGTGCCAGCTTCTTGTTTTCCTCCATCTCGCGAACCATTGGAGCATCTCGCCCACGACCCTACCTCAGCCTTGACAAGGACAACAGCAACGACAATAGCAGCCTTTTCCCCCTCTGCGGCCCACATAACCCAACTTAATCGCTGGCTATGCTGCCGCTGCGCCGACTCCGGCTACGGCGACCCCGTCGGGATGGTGCACATCTCTCCCCTCCAACAGCAACAACAGCAACCAACTCGCACATCCTCTCATTGCCGATCAACACATGGCCCCCCTGTTCCTCCAACAAACCCCAACTCTCACCCTGTTATTACCGCACAAACAGTTTCCTCATACTCGATCTGCTGGCGTCCCCCCTGCCACCACCCAAAATGCCCCAACTGTGCCCTCTTCTCCGGGCCTTCTGCCTCATCAAGCGATCCCTCCACAGGACACGGCAAGCTACTCATCCGGACTGTCGGCGGCCTGCACTTCTCGCCGCGCTTCATTGACCCTGTGTATTGGGAATGCAACCAATGCGGAGAGTGGGTGAGCAACCAGTTTGATGGTAGTTGTGTCTTGGGGAGGACGAGGTGTTCTATTTGTGGGCGGGAGCCAACTCATGTGTTGGGGGTTTGGTGGAGGGGCCATCATCAACCGCAAGGGGGACGATGGGGCGGCGGGGGGATGTTGACGGGGCAGAGTGTGGTGAGGAATCGTTATGGACAGAGGCTGGGGACGGCGGATCAGAGGGTTGCTGTGGCGGATGGGCCATGGGATTGGCAGAGGAGGGGGTTAGGCGATGCGAGGTGCGCTGTTGTGGCTGGGTTGAGGGCTGTGATGAAGAAAGGAGTCATAGCGCGGCCCCAGGAGGGACTGTTGGACGATGAGGAGAGCTCAAGGATCCCTGTGTGGAAGCAGGGCGAGCCGGCACCAAATTATCGGTATAGGAGACCGCCGCCAGTGAATGAGGATGAGGTGAAGGAGAACCAGGAGTATGAGTATTCGTACTTAGAGGGAATGCCGATTGAGCCCAGGGATAAGGGAAAGGAGGTTGAGAAAATCTATGAGTTGGGACCAGGGCCAGCTTCAGCGGCTTATCCAAGGCCTAGGAGTGCGACTTCGCCAATGGGGCATTTTACTGGATGGGGTGAGCACCGATGAGTTGAGGCTAGGGTTTGGCAGTCAAGGTCCCCAATTATGAATTAAAGGGATGTTCAATCTAGGCAAAGGTGAATCGCTCAAGGCGTTGGTTCACTGAAGCGTGCTACCTTTCAGGGATGGCAATTCTGCTCATACCTGGCAGGGCATTGTCATTTCATTGCCCGAAGTCTGTGAGATACCAACTATCAGCCAACTGTTACAGGAAAAAAAAATGGAAGGACAAACTGGATCAGAAGCATTTTGGCCTTTTGGAACTATGGAAAAGTGGACCATGGCTGTGATATTGGATCATCACAAAGATAGGTATCTGCTAAATGACCAGCATCGGCCTTGTCAGCAGTATGTAAGTGATGTCAACAAAGATATCAAGCTCAGCCCCTGTCAACATCGGATCGGCCCGGTGCTACCCCTGGAGATCTGGATGCGCCTCCCCGCATGCGAACGGTGACTGGGACTGATCGGTGAAGCCGAGATCAGCGTTGGAACTTGGCAGGGAATTTGGTGGTGGGGCAGGCAGTAATCCTAATTGGACGTCTCAGGTATGGTGTGGCTCTGGATACATGCTGTGATCTGATCTGGCCCTTGGCCTAGAAAGATATCAAGAGTATACAAACATCTGAAATAATGCTAGGCATCGATGTTTTACATATACGAACTTGTGTTGCTATCTCCTTGTGCACTTGTCATTCAAACTTTAGGTCACTGGTTTGTAACGTTCAGCTTTGGCAGTTGTCATCAAATTGCCTGTCCGCTTGTAGCACAACATCCTATTCATCTGCACATTCTGTTATTGAGCAAGTTGGAAGACATAAGTGAGAAATATTCCGTTGTGATGTCCTCGTCGAGTTGAACAACGACAGCCAAACCCGGAAGTTGACCAACCAGCACCTGCACCAAGCTTCTAGCAAGTCCATAAAAATTAGGCAGAAGTGAAACCAGCCAGTGGGAAAACGGCAAGACGCTAAAAAGACATTTCATCTAGCACCATGGCCACACTTGTGAATGACTTACACGCATACGCATCAAGAAGATCCAGTGTGAAGACCCAGCAAAAGATGAAGGACTGGACTAACCTTGAGATGAGCTTTGATTTCTATCACAGAGCCGGAGCCTTCTGTCCTCAAAGGCTAGCCCCATCTGTCACCCCGCCAAGCGTGCACGAGCCACATATTCTTCCCCACCACCGGGCTGCAGCCCAATCAGAGCCATCAGGTCAGTTTTTTTTCTTTTCTCCTGCGGGGGGTTCAAAATTTTGGCATCATCGCCCGTCCTCACCCTGGCTGCGAGCCTGCGATCCGGCCTTTCTCTGCTCCAGGTTCCAGCTTGCGCTCTGCTGCTTGCTGCCCGCACGGCGCCAGTCGCTTTGAACGTGAGCTGGCAGAACATTGTGTCTGTTGGTATGTCAACCTTCGACTTAACTTATTCCGCCTACAAGACCAGACTACCTATATTTCCTGGCCTATACTCACTCTCACACGCTCATACCAGCGCCAGGCTGCGCGTCGCACAGGTTACAAGTCTTGGAAGCTGCCGCTGAGCGATCGGGCTTTTTGCGGTCCCACCTTGGTGTCAACACGGGCACTCCGACCGACTCTTCTTCACTCTTCTCTTTCGTCACTACCATCTATTCGCACTCGCCTTCTCGCTCACCGGCATCATTGCCCTGACTTTCCTTCAATCTCTTACCATACCCAGTCTCATCGTTCTTGGAACTTAGCCCCACGATCCCAACCCCGCCTCTCCTTAAGCATCGCCATACCTTACCGACCGACCGACCAGCACCATACCCATTCTATACCATATCCCGACTTTGTTCTCATTTCTCGACCATCATGACGCCCTCCAACGGTGTCAATAGTGTCAACGGTGTGAATGGCGTCAACAGTTTGAATGGTGTCGCCAACAAGACCAAGCCGACCACCCGTCGCGTCCCCGCCAAGGTGGTGGTGCCTGCACTGCCCCTTAACTACCCCCAGCGCCCGCTCAAGACTACGACCACAGTCACAAAGGCTACTGAGGTCACGTCTCCGACTTCGAATCCCCAGTCTATCGCTCCCCAGCCGACTGCTGAGAAGCTGGCTCAAGATGTGATCGGCAAGCCAGCATCATCCGACCTGGCCCTAGGGCCCTCCAAGAAGCTGAATCCCACAGCTCCCGCCATCTCCTTCAAACAAGACCCCGCGAGCGAGCCATCTACGGCCTCTGTTGTCGCTGATGAGCGAGAGAAGGGTATGTCGAGACACAGGCTGCAAACCAGGAGTTCCCCCTTGTTTGCTGTCCCAACTCTCCCCACTCGTTTCCAGTCATCCAACACTCCCCCCACTTGTCATGGCCATGGCCCGAGCAACTTTCCCGACAGTTGTTGTCCACTAACAATGCCTTATATTCCAGATACCCCCCCGGTCTCTTCAGCTCTCCCGAAGCGCATCAATTCTCCGGCTCGTCAGCGTCCCCCAGGCCCCGCTAACCCCGCACCTGAAGCCCAGACGGCGCCTGGCGGTGTCATTCCCGAAGCTTCCCATCCCGCCCCACACCCCGCCGCACTCATGAACCGTCCAGCCTTCCATCAGCCCCACCCCAGCAACGGCAGCTTGGTCTTTGGCGGCATTCATGACTCCAATGCCTCGTCGCCGGCTCCTCGCTCTGGCAGCTTCCCCCCGCCGGGCCTGCTGCCGTATCCCCCGGTTACCGGTGTAGACGGTTATGGCCGTCCCTTGGTCGACGGCTACCCGCCGAATCTTGCTGCCAGCCACCACGGTCCCCCAACACCCCACAGCTTTCAGGGCTCTCAGTCGTCGGTCCAGGCTGATGAGCATGCTGTCTTCAACCACTACCCCGCTGTCAACGGCCACAATGGGTACCCCGTCGATCCTACTGCGCAGGCTCCTATTCCCGTTCTCGGTCTCCACCCCCCCATGAACGGCGTCAGCTCTGTTGCTGCTTACCAGTCCGTCCGCATCCAGGACGAAGCTCTCTTCTTCCTGCGTAATGGCTTCCCCGACGATACTTGGAATGACTGCGTGATCAAGGTTCGCTTTGCCGACAGCCCCGAGTTCCGCGTCCTCGCAACTGGTCACCGCTTCATCTTCTCGCGCAGCCCTACTCTTGCTACGGTCATGAAGGCTCAGCGGACGATGCCCGGCAGTGAGATCTTCCTCGAGGCTCACGATAAGTACATTCGGCCAGATGTCATGTGGTATGCGCTTCGTACGCTCTACGGCTGGCCCATTGCCGAAGGCCCCCTCCCCAGTGAGCTACAGCCGCGGGATGTTCGTGACGACTTTGACACGGCTCTGAGCTATTTGGCTACCGGTCGCTTCTTGCGTCTTCCCTGGGTTCACGCAGTCGGTTCCGCGCGTGCCAGCTACCTCCTCTGTTGGGACACCATCGAGCAGGCCGTCAAGTTTGTATCGCAGGCCGTTGCCCTGTCTCCTCGTGATGACGGGTTTGGTGTGTCGGAGCTTCTGTCACACGTTTTAGACTTCCTGGTTCACCATTTCCCGACCAACCTGGTTCTCGATACCAACGCCGGCGATCTTGGTTTCTCGCGTCTCCCGCCGGTCCCAAGTCAAAAGTCTGCCACCCCGCCAATTGTTAACGGCACGTCGCACAGCCGCCAGCCCTCGGTCGCCCATATCCCCAAAAACCCACGGCTGTCAGCCAACCACCGTCTATCCCAGATCAAGTTCGGCGACATCTCGCCGCTCAACGGTGCTAACAACAACCCCAACGGCAAGGCTGCTCCGTCCGAATCGGTCCAGTCCCCGCGTGCCCCGTCACCGAACGACACACTCTTCTCGCGCATCCTGCTCAACCTGCCGTTCGAGCTCCTCAAGCAGGTGCTGGAGCACCCTAACCTAGGCAAGCTCAACGGCGAGCTGTCGCCTGTAGCCAGGCAGAGCATCATCTCGGACATTATTGCGGAGCGCGAGGCGCGGCGGATGCGCACGCTCGAGAAGGTGGATCACCCGCAGCTCCGGACGTTCCAGGACCGGTTGGATAATGCGGGTGCACCGCTGGTGGTCAGCTGCATCGAGGACTTCTGGGTCAACAGCATGGGCTTCAAGGAGGAGGTATTCTCTGGCGACCTGCCGTATTTGGTTCACACTTGGACGCAGGGGAGTGCGTCAAGTGTTGGGCCGTAAGGGTTGCTGAGGATTTTCTCCTTCTTTGCCTGTCTTTTTCTCTTACGACAATAATGACTGGTGACTTGGGCGGCGGTTTGTTTGATGGGATTTACTTGGTTGTTTATTGTTTTTTATTCTCTTTTTGCATGTCCACTCCCGCGCACATACCTCCTCCCTAACACATACGCACCCTGTATTTTCCCTTTCTCCCTATTGTTGTTCGATACACCTTTTATTCTGGTCTTTTTTATTGTTTGTTACTGCATTGCGTGGAGTCGACGGGTTACACAAAATGGCTGCCTCTCTCTTTGTTGAGCAGGCTAGACGAGACAACGTGGGACTGGCTTGGTATTACTGGATTTTTTTTTTCATCTTTTTAACTTGATTTGAGTCTCTGCATCTCATAGGGATGGAGATGACGATGTCAACAAGGGCATGGGATTGGCGTGTTTGGGGAAACCATGGTGCCCCTGCTTTCTTGTTGGTAGCGGATTGGGTTGATGATTGGCTGCGTTTCTGCTTACCAAGCTTGGCAGGCAGTTCGAATTGGGTTCGATGCTTTGGACGGACCTGTGGGCATTTTCTTTTTTACCTGCCTACCTCCTCACCTACCTCTACGTTGTCATGATGGGTGAGGAATATTACTTAACTCACCTAACTACATCACTCTCTCCCTCTCTCTCTTGTCTCTTATATGGGAGCAGTTAGTTAGTCACCCACATTGGGTTGGGTTGGGTCCATCCAGTTGGGCATGAATGATGGGTCGGCTTGCCTAGCAGGGCACTGGGCGTTTTTTTAAAAGGATTTGCCATGATCGGTCCATGGTTAATGATGATAGACTTTTATCATCAGAGGTTACACCAAAAACACCAAAACGAAAATACCTAAAAAAAATAGGCAGGAAAAGAAAAGAACGGAGTAAACAAAAAAGACAGGGCTATGAGTTATGTATGCCTTCCATCAGGTATTGAATTCGAATCGGGAACGATATGCGTTGCGTCTGAACTCTGGTCGGGTCTGTCTTATGGATGGGACTCGATAGCATGAATGGAATGAGTGGTTGGGTAGTGCATGAAATTGGCACTCCTGGAACTTCAAGTGAGTGCCGTCTTTTTTTTTTTTGGTCCAGCACCACAATCACAGACAGGTCATAGGTCGTAGTGTAGGGTAGTAGTGTAATGTAAAAGAGGAACTTTCTGCGCTGGAGTCTTTGATGCGCTTGCCTTGGGCCTTCATTTGAGGCAGGGAGCGATCTTGACAGGAAGTGGAAGTCAAGCCCGAGCGAGGTGTGCTGCGGTGGGGCTATTGATGCCCTCCAACCAACATGATGTGGTGCAGTGTTGTCGAAATGGTGGGTGAACGTGATTGTGGGGTGTGGGGAGGATGGCATGCTCTTGGCGGATAGTTCTTGGCGCCAAGGTCGCTGGGTAGCCAGGTTTGTCGAGTCAGAGAGCGGCCTGCCTACCGTGAGCCGAGGCCGAGGCTTTTGCACGTGGAAATAGCTCCTGGCTGGCTGTCCTGTCCTGCAAGAGCGCCGGGGTCTTAGATGTGCTTTTGGCGTTTCGCGCCCAGGGACACGGCTTTTGGCGCTGCGGTGCGCTGCTGAGTTGTTGTTGCCGTCATCCGTTATTTCAGGTCAGCAATCAGCTCAGCTCCCCTCCTTCCATTTTCCATTTGCCCAAACCAAAAAACCCAGAAAGCCAAAAAAAAAATAAAAAATAATCAGGGTGATAACGAAGTCGCTGCCCGATACCTGACATGCTTTTGTCGCGCGTCATTCCCGATTTTTAAAAGAGCCACGAAAGACGCGACCTGCAACACTCTTCCATCCCGCCTGTCTGTCTTGCCGAACGGCACATCCGCATCCGACCCGAGCTGCAGCCCAAGCATATCATCGCCCAAAACACGACTACAAAGGCTGCCTTCGAGGAAGAGGAAGAGAATAACCATCTACAACGATAACATAACCATCCTGCCCATTGGCTTGTCTCTTGCAGATCATCATCAACACCGACCCGGGAGTCAAACAAACAAACAAACATGGCAAATCCTGGGCCTGGGCCCGGCCCCGGGGCCATCGTCATGTCCCCAAGTGCCAGCGCTAGTGCTATCGGCGACCCTAGTTCTACCAGGAAGCAACACCAGCAGCTCTCGCCCTCGAAGGCACCGATCCCTTCCATGACGCCAGTGCCCATTCCCAATGAGACCATCCTTCGCAACACCATCCGCTACACCATGTCGGTGCGCGAGTACGAGGCCCTGCACAGGTACGTCCTATCGCGGTCGAAAGGGCTGCAGAAACGGGTGCCCACTCCAGACGAAGTTAAGGATCTCGTGGAGGGGCCGCCACGCCAGAGGGCACGGGAGCAGCATAAGCTTGCGATGAAGCTCAAGGAGGCTAAGGGGGAGAAGATGGATAAGGTGAGGGAGGAGAAATTGTTGAGGAGGATGGAGCAGGCTTTGATTGGGAACGAGGAGTACAGTGCGGCGGCAGTCAGGCATTCGATACGGGTGTTCATTGTCACGGGGGTGTTGATGAGGATTTGGGGGGTTGTAAAGGGGAGGCTGAGGAAGGAGTAAGTTTTTCCCTGCTTACTGGAGTCTAATTTTTAGAGAGAGAGAGGACACTAACGCTACCGAAGACGCCCGTCCAAAGCCCAAGCAAAACAACCCTTCCACAAATCCCCCGCCCTGCGCCTCTCCCTCTCCCTCAGTACAATCCTCCTCCTCTACCGCATCCTCTACCGATTTCTGGCCCGCCTGCGCGCCCATCTCCTCGACCCATCCTCCGGCTCAACCTTCCGCTTGCGCAACCCAACCACCGCCCAAGTCCTGACTTCGCCCTACGCCCCCGCCGTCGGCGCCTCCCTCGCCGGGTTGGCACTGGGCATCTATCCGAGCAAGAAGGCCGGCGGAGGCACGATCCGGAGCATGATCAGCACCTATGTGTTGTTTAGGGCGCTAGAGTTTGGGTGGAATTGTGCTGAGCAGCTTGGGCTTGTTTGGGGCTGGGAGAGGAGGGGCGAGGGAGAGCCGTGGAGGATGAGGGAACGGCCGGCGTGGTTTGGGAGCTGGTTAATGGCGCCTTTTGCGTGTGGGCAGTTGTTTTGGACGTTGGTGTTTGAAAGGGAGATCTTCCCTGAGGTAGGTCATAGTAGCACCCTTTTTGATTCCACCCATCCTTGGAGAGAAATGAAAGCTGACAGCTTTCAGCCCGTTGCCAAGCTGCTCTTGAGCGGCTCGTCTGCCTATCTGACCCCCAGACCGAAAGACTACCCTGCAAAGCTGAAGTGGCCTTCTGCCCGCGAGATCGTCGATAGTCTGGCCGAGATGGCCCGTCTGCGTTGGCCGTATGTCTCACTGCCCCTTTATCTGATTTTTATTTTATGGGACCTGAACTAACCCTTGCTTAGAAAGTTCAGCTCCCCCGTCCTCTTCCCCTCCAAGGAGGACATCCTCCCCCCCTCGCTCGCCGCCATCGCCCCCCTCACGGCCCAAGCTCACCCCGTCATCACTTCCCTCTCCTGCGCAACCCTCCATCCCTCTGTCGCCTCGTGTCCCCGTGCCTTTGTCACCAACTGGTCCCAGTCCTTCCCTCAGCTCACTCGTGCCCTGTTCATCATCTACTCCGCCCTGCTCATCCCCCGCAACAGGGGCGCCTGGCGCAAGCTGGTACGCAACCCGGCGCTTAAGTCTGTGTTTAAGGCGTTGCTATCGGCTATGAGGACGGCCGGCGCCCTGGCAGGCGGGATGAGCACCGCGTGGTCGTCGCTGTGTTTCTTTAACACATACTTCCCGCGCACGTTCTTGCCGACGCAGCGATTTTTCTTGTCTGGCTTCTTGGCAGGTCTCTGGGCGGTGCTGGAAGCGGGCAGGGCTAAGTCCCGTGCTGTGTTTTTGGCTGCGTTCAAGATGGCTGTCGAGTCACTCTGGAAGGTTGGTGTCAAGCGCCGGTGGTGGAGGGCTATGAGGGGAGGGGACGTGTTGCTATTTGTGGTGGGGTTGCTTGTGACGGGAGTGGTGTATGAGACGGATGCGACGGCCGTAAAAGAGGGAGTTTGGAGGAAGGGGATTAGTTGGGTTAGGGGGGAGGGTTGGCGTGATTGGGGGATGGAGGAGGAAGGGGAGAGTGAAGAGGAGGAGGAACCTGTGAGGGAGGAGTATTTTAGGGTCAGGCAGGAAGATTTGGACTTGCCTGATCGGGGGTATGCCTGATCAAGTTTCCCAAAGGGTGGTTGGTGTACTGCATTTGATTTGGGGGTATATGGGGGGGGGTTCAGTATGGGTTATGGGCTGGAATGGGGGGATAGGGTATACATTAGGTGTTTCGAGGTGTTATGGTACAGGGTTTATATTTATTTATGTTTGTTTGCTTATATGTAGTGTTTTAAGTGTGAAGAGGAGGAGGATCATTTGGCTTAAAGTTGACTTAGCTAGTAATGCTAGTTTCCATACTTTGAATTTGTTTTTGTTATCAGTCTAGCGGTTGACTCCTGATTAATGGCAATGTCACACAGGGACATGAGAATGTCTATGAAGAAAAACAAGTCGGTATGTCTTTGGATAAAGGTCCTCCCAGCCCATGGTATATGCATGCCTACCTAGATGAAGAAGACTCGAACCATCTCCCAAGGCTGCTACATACCTGCCCAACTGCCAACTGCCTTGGGCCGCATATGGTTAGTAGACCAAATGCCCCTTCACATATATCAAACAGTAGGCACGTTCTTCTGATATCTTGTCAGCACAAGACTATGGATATGATCCGGCTTGAGTCAGCGAACGGAACCGTTGAGAGGGCAACAATGCCCCCATCAGCCGAATGCTTATTAAGAGACGTTACACAGTTTATGAGCCTCCTGCCTCTGTCTTGTCTGTTTATAACTCTTTTACAACCTTGTCAGCACTTGCTAGTTAATGTTATCACAAGCAGGAAAAAGGAAACAAGGTGCCATAGCTCATCTTGTCATCATCATCATCATCATCATCATCATCATCATCCGTCTGTGAGTGTCTTTGGGTGTGGGAAATCATATTGAAAAGATGATTCGCCCCGGAGGGGGGCGGGGGGAGGGGGGCAGTTGACATGAGAACTTTTGTCTGTCTGTCTCACTGTCAAGACGCGGTGACCGAGGGATGGTTGGACAATGGCCATGACAGCAAGATCTAGCGAGTGAGGTGAATTGAATCGCTGGGCTGAACTGGTTGGGCTGGCGGGAGGTGAGACCGCATCGTGCAGTAAATCGCCGAAGAGAGGATGTTGTGGTCAGGAGGTGAGCTGGAACGGGGGAATGTGAGCCAGGAGTGGCTGATGTCCGAAGTTATAGTGATATATCTGAGCTGATGATCTCTGACCCTGATGAGGCTCATGATGCCATAGGTACAAGCTAATGTATTGTGTTGGGTAGGACACATGCCTCGAGCACATGACCTGAGCACAATAGATAGGAGCCATCGTCGCCCTTCGACTCCGAGTCTCCGGCAATCCACTTATGACGGCTCCATGTATCCCATCTTATCCAAGCAATCTCTATCTCCTGGTGCTTAGACACCTTCAGAAGTTTCCCTTTCCTCCCGGAATGCTTCGTTACACAAAAAAGCTCCATCCCCTCCTTCGGCAACTCGATAACACCCTAATCATCCAGCCCTGTGCTGTCGGATTCCGAGAATGTCTTGTGCGAGGGGAACTGATTGGTGGGTTTGTTCATGGCACGCGGTGTGGGCAATAACATGGCATGCTTTTTTTTCGTTTCCGCCCCAGTCTGGAGTTTAGTATGCAAGTAGAGTAAAGTCATATCCGGGAGCGTCCCTCTCGAGGATGGGAGGATGTCAAACACTGTTACCGCTGTGGGAGCGGGATGGAATGGATTCCGGGTGACGCGCATGGCTAACTCGGTAGTGCTAAGTAAGGATTTGGGGATTGCTACTGCTAGCTCATATTTTCTGATAGAAGACTTCCCTTCAACGTTGCATCAGCACAGGAAAGGAAGAGATCAAAGTGACATCCAATCAGAGGTAAACATCTCCGTCCTCTCTGACAGCGACTCATCATACCCGACTCTAACCTCACCCATTCGGTCTCTCCTACTCCTTCGTGCTAGATTCTATGCTGTGCTTCGTACACATCCGACTCAAATGACTTCATATCGAGTATCAACCTGTAGGGATATTTTATTTTATTGACTCCACACACAAAAGCCCCCAAGTCACCCTCACCGCCTTCCCACTTTCTTATTCTTCAGCCTGACCCAGGCCCCAAACCCGACCCGGTAGTGTGACCCCGTCGTGTGTCGTGCAACCACCATCATTATAAGCGGCGCCATGTCGGGGAAACAAGGTCGCGGGTCAAACAGCCTAGTAATGTGTAGAGCAATTGGTGACTTGTCGTTTGCTTGGCAGGTCAGGAAGGCCGAAGGTGAATCATGGAGCTGTAGAAGAATGGGGCCGCATAGGGGCTTGGGGTGATATCTGGATCTTATACATACATAAGATAGATCTTCCCCGGCTGTCGGGTTGAGGAAGGGGAGATGTTGGATGCCGAAGATCCTTGGTGGACGTTCATAGCCCAAGTTATATCTTCACCACAGGACAGCGGATATTCAAAAAAAAAGAAAAATTGAACCTGCCTGACGCTTTTTTTCTCCAAAATAAGCACATAATCATGTATCAAGCAAGCAATGTCTACTTCATCTGCTCTTTTGCGGCCATCGGTCAGTACTTTCCCCCCTTCAACCCCTGCCCAACCTCCCTTCCCCTTCCCCATTTCATACTCACCCCCCCTTTGTGTCTCCAGGCGGCGGCCTGTTCGGCTTCGACATCTCCTCCATGTCCGGTGTCCTCGGCACTCAAGCCTACAAGCGCTACTTCAACAACCCAGTCTCTTACGCCCAAGGCGGGATTACAGCCTCCATGCCAGCCGGCAGCCTTTTGGGATCATTAGTGTCTTCCTTGCTCGCTGACCGGTACTCGCGGAAAGTGGCACTACAAATTTCCTGCGTACTGTGGATCATGGGGTCGATATTGATGGCTGCGGCGCAGAATATCGGCATGTTGTGCTTTGGGCGGGTGGTGTGTGGGTTGTGTGTTGGGATTGCGTCGTCAGTGGTGCCGATTTATCAGAGTGAGATCGCACCGAGGGAAATTAGGGGGAGGGTGGTTAGTTTGCAGCAGTGGGCTATTACGTGGGGAATTTTGATGTAAGTTGTTCGGTCAGGAGCTGGAGCTAAAGAGGAAGGATTCGGGGCCAAATGCCGAGTACTAGGCCCAAGATCGAGGACAACATGCTGACTGATCATAGTCAGTATTTCATCCAGTTTGGGGCGGCAGAGGGCATTGGCGGAGGGTCGAAGGATCCGAATCAGCCAACGGCGGCGGTAGGTCAAGTTGTGTCTTTTCTTCCATCTTCTGATCGGCCCAAAACGTTATGTCAGGGACCATTCGGGCTAACAGGACTTCCAGTTTCGCATCCCCTGGGGCGTCCAAGCAATCCCAGCTTTCGTCCTCTTCGTCGGCTTGTTCTTCTTCCCCTACAGCCCACGCTGGCTGGCATCCAAGGACCGCTGGGACGAAGCCCTCAAGGTGCTCGCCAGTCTCCATGGAAAAGGCGACGTGAACCACCCGAAAGTGCTGGCCCAATACCAGGAGATCGAAGAAGCCTTGCGGTTTGAGCGCGAGCAGGCTGTTTCTTCGTTCAAAGTGTTAGTTTCAAGGAGAATGCTAAAGCGTGTTGCTCTCGGGATGAGCATCCAGATGTGGGTTCGACATTTCCCGGCTATTTTGGAAACTGACTGACTTCATCAGGTGGTCCCAACTTAGCGGCATGAACATCATGATGTAGGCTCCCCTCCGGTATTTAGGGGCACACTAACCATTACAGGTACTACATCGTCTATATCATGGAAGGCGCCCAAATGGCCTCCCCCCTTGCCACAGCCTCCATCCAATACGTGATTAACGTCGTTCTAACCCTTCCCGCCATCCTCTTCCTCGACAAATGGGGCCGCCGCCCATCTCTCCTCCTCGGCTCCTTCGGCATGATGACCTGGCTCTTCATCTCCGGTACCCGCTCTCCAAGTATTACATACAACCTAACGTACTAACGAACGCCCAGGCGCCCTCCAGCAATACTACGGCCAACCCAACACTGCCCAAACCCGCACTCCCCAAAACGCAGACATCACTTGGCTGATCCTCAACAATCGACCTGTTTCCTCAGCCATCGTCGCCTGCTCCTATCTCTTCGTCGCCACCTTCGCCACAACTTGGGGTCCCGTCTCGTGGACCTACCCAGCCGAGATCTACCCATCCAAGATTCGTGCGAAAGCAGTATCATTGGCGACGGCGGCAAACTGGTTTTGGAACATGGTTCTCGCTTTCGCAGTGCCGCCGTTACTGTGGAACATTTCGTATAGAATGTACTATATCTTTGGAGCATTTAACGCAGCGGCGCTCATTCACATGTTTTTGATGGCGCCGGAGACGAAGGGGTATACGTTGGAGGAGATGGATGAGGTGTTTGAGTCGGGACGGCCGGCATGGAAGAGAGTCAAAGGGAGTCGGTTGGAGGAGTTGGAGAGGCAGATTGAGGCGGGGAATCTCAAGGTATGTCGCTGGTATTATTTACAAGAGAGCTGTGTGCTAATTCATAATCCAGGTTTCAGTTCCCGTTGAATCGTCGTCTTCGGATCCTCTGCCAGGAGAACCAGGAATTGAGAAGACGGCTACTCGCACAAACGCTATGGAAACGAACCCAAGAGCATCATAAGAGTCAGAGCACCTTATGGAAGGCAGACTTTAGGAGGTAAAACATGTTTATGGATCAGATTGGGAACAAAAGTGTTAGAATGCTTTATAAATCTTCATCGCTCTAAGTTCAACGTCAACAGATCTTCTCAAGCCATCCCTGACGTCATAGCTAGCTCGGGGTGGACCAAAGCAAAAAAAAAACAAAAAAACATACAACACCGGGGATTCCCCAGTCGTCTCCGACCTGAGTACTAACCCGGCCCTCAGTGGCTTGTCTATGGGAGAGCGGACGGGATCCCGAATTTTCCACTGGGTATGGTCGTATGTGGTTGAGCTATCCGAACTCTCGGTATGTAAGGCATTGATTGACATAGTCAACAAACCGGCTCGGGGGTCAGCATCAAAGTCTTTTGAGCCCCTGAGTCCACCCCTTGCAACTGAAGGGGTCTGCCCTCTACTGAAAGCAACTGGGGCTTTACTAGTTGAGACTGATCACCTTTTAGCTTCGGCTATTACACTTCGTGTCCAGATCATCAGCATCGCCAACCCCTCCTCGAGTGTCAACTTCTTCTCGGAGCTGCAGCCGCCGTTGCATGCAACTCACTGCCTGCCCCACCAAAGTAGCATTGCAGCATGACAAGTGTTCATCTGAGACTGTTGAACGGGCACATCGGCATCTCTATGCCGCGTCTCTGGCGCCGAGCCTGCGTCAAAGTTAACTCCGGTCCGTAATCCCCGTCACCCCGGTGCGGGGTAGCTCGGGCCCGGACGCGAGGGCTGGAGTATTTATTCCCCCGGGGGACTATTTTGTTTTCAGGGGGTTCAAGGGTCACTCGCAACTTTTACCAAGATACGTCTAAGACTCGGACTGTGTTGAACTGAACTCGACTCCTTCTCGCACATCGTCGAGCTGCGCAAGCGCTATCCTTACCTGGACGAGCTCCCCGCCGGACCGTGTCACAATGGCTCCCCCCCTCCCCCCTCGCCTCCAAGAATCCATCTCCTCCACCAAATGCGAATACCGCCGGCTGGGCAACAGCGGCCTGATCATCTCGGTCCCCATCGTAGGTTGCATGTCCTTCGGTGACCCGCGCACACTGGACTGGAGCATCCCCGAAGACGAAGCCCTCCCCTTGCTGAAAGCAGCCTACGACCGCGGCCTCAACACCTGGGACACGGCCAACATGTACGGCAACGGCGCTTCTGAAGTCATCGTCGGCAAGGCCCTCAAGCACTACAACATCCCGCGCAGCAAGGTGGTCATCATGACCAAGTGTTTCTGGCCGGTGGGTGAAGACCCGGAGCTGAAGGCGTGGATGTACCGGGATAGTGTCGAAAACTCTAAGGATTATGTGAATCACTTTGGCCTGTCAAGGACAGCGATTTTTAATCAGGTCGAGGCGTCGCTGAAGAGGCTGCAGACGGATTATATTGATCTGTTGCAGATCCATCGGTTTGATCCGCATACGCCGATTGAGGAGACGATGAAGGCGCTGCATGATCTGGTGCAGTCGGGAAAAGTGCGATATATTGGGGCGAGCAGCATGTGGGCTACGCAATTCGCAAGGATGCAGTTTGTCGCGGAGAAGAATGGCTGGACGAAGTTCATCAGCATGCAGAATTACTATAATCTATTGTATCGCGAGGAGGAGAGGGAGATGAACCGGTTTTGTAATGACACGGGCGTTGGGCTGATCCCATGGGCGCCATTATGTCGGGGGCATCTAGCTCGTCCACCGGAGCAGTACGGCAGCACGAAGAGGAGTAAGGGAGAGAAGGAAACGCAGCCAGGGGCGCATGGGACTGTTGAGCCGGATCTGAGTATTATTAGGCGGGTGCAGGAGATTGCGGAGAAGAGAGGGTGGCCGGTATGTCTTTAAATATGTAACCCCTTTTTTTGCAGACATGGAGGGATGCTAATCAAGACAGATGTCACACGTTGCGCTTGCGTGGATCAATAAGCGGGTGACGAGCCCGATTATTGGCTTCAGCAGCGTCGAGAGGATGGAGGAGGCCCTAGCCGCCAGGGGCAAGGTTTTAACGGATGAGGAGGAAAGGTACCTGGAGGAGCTGTATCAGCCGAAGCCGGTTTGGGGTCACGGCTGACCTAATATTGTTGGGTGTCGTTTACGGGCTGTGAACATAAATCATTCAGCGTTTAACAGAAATGTATCAAGTTGAGATATTGTCGGTTGAGGCACCTAGAGCTTCATGCTTGAAAAATTCGTCCGAGATGTCATCATACGTGTTCATTGTTCATTCAGAGCCAGCGCCAGCGCTACTCAACCGCCCTTCTCCTCTTCGACCCCCTTCAATTCCGCTTGACCCTCCCGGCCGTCTACTGTCTAAGCCTCCTGCCAAAAAACCACAACCCCGGCACGCCCAACGAAACCAAAATCATCCCCTCCGCATAGATCACGAACATGTCCAAAAATCCCTTCTCCGCAATCCACACCGTCACCTAACTCGACAAGAAAAGCCCCACAATAATCCTCAGACTCGACACATTCACCAAACACGGGGCCCACCCACGTCAGGTAGCTCTATACCATAAACACATTCATACCCGACATGATGGCGAGTAAGGTAAAGATGTTTTAGAAAGGAACCGACGAGAGTCACAGCCCAGGGCTTGTTGGTTTGTCCTGCCCAGCCGAAGATGAATGTCCCCATCAGGCCTGATACCAAAGGGATGATGAGGTTAAGCAGGTGGTGTTCTGGCTCACGGGCGCCGCCGTTCATACGGGCCACGGAGTTGGAGATGCGGTCTGCGATTGGGCCGCCGAAAAGGTAGACTAGAATAGTGGCGAAGAGGAAGGGTAGGACAGAGAGGCCTGTGTGTGGCATTTCCAGCTGACTGGGGTTAGTTTCTCCTCTTGTAACTGGAGTAGATATAGCAGAGTTACTTAACCCTGAGCAAGGAGGGCAAAGAGCTGATCTGCTGGGCGGCAGAGTGGACGATGACGAAGATGCTGTTCGTGATGGTGGCCCAGATAATGACAGGGAAGAGAGTTATTCGGAGGGTGTTGAGCATGGAAAGGCCGGCTTCTTTCCATTTGAGGTCGTGTTGGAAGAGGCCGATGTATGTCCATGTAGTCGGGGCAAAGTAGGTGGTGTAGTCCAGGTCGAGTCTGTCTTTGCCGGGGGTAACGGGATAGAGTTGTTGGCCGCCTGGAGATGACAGTTTTGTGATTAACAACGATTGGGGAAGGGCTATGACCATATTTAACTCTTCCTTGGATCTCTTCCAGCGCGTCTCGGGCAGAAAGATGAGCAACAGGATCCACGCGATGATGCCAGCACCAGACGTGATGTAGTAAATCCATCTCCAGTCGTAGTTCGATGCACTATATGGGGTAACTGTGCCGAGTCCGATGATAATATTGCCCTGGCTTGACACGACGGCTGCGATGGCCTTGTTTCTCTAATGGATAAACACCGTGTCTTGAAGAATCAGTGGGATCAGTGCTTCAGCGGTTCCAGCTCCGAGCCCCTGACCGCGACCGCAGTTGTCAGTACCTCTCCTCTTGGGGGACACAGCAGAGATGTACTAACTAACCTGCATGGCCCTCGAAGCCAATTGCGTCTCCAACGAACTACTCGTAGCAGCAATCAACCCTCCAGTCCAAGCACACGCTCCAGCCAGGATCAACACCGGCCTTCTGCCTATTCCGATGGACAGGGGGCACTGAACATTTTCTTTTTATAAGTCGGTCTCGACGGCCAGACGTATTTCAATCCATAAGCAACGTACTAACCGGCAATCCCATTACTCAATAACGGCACCGTCGCCAACATCGACATCTTCTCAACACCTGCCGGCACAACTTCTGGAGGGATAATAGCGAAGGGGTTCACGCCCGTGGCCGAGCCGCCGCTGATGGCCTTGAAGTCGGCTGTCTTATGAATTTTCACCATCAACTTCCGAGGAGTAGAGGAGGAATAGGGGGATCAGGCTGCCGATGACGACTTTGGCGGAGAGGGCGTGGGAGCTGACCGTGAGCGATCAGACGTGCATGGAGCGCGGGAAAGAAGGGGTTGAATAGGGCTTACAGAAACAGAGGCTTCCTTGGTAGCCCATTTTTGCCAGTTCGGGAGGTTTAGGGAGGTCTATGTGGTGTAAGTATCACGAGTGACCAGAAGTCGGGGCAGAGTATGTTACTGTAGGCACACCTTTAGGGTCAGGGGTTGGAGCCTATCTAAGGTTTCTATCAAAGAAGTCGAGCACGCAATCAAGAATAACATACTGAAATTAGACGTATCCTCCCATCTTCATACAGTGACGTAGCCCCGATAAACCTGTGAGATCCGGTCTTTTACCCGGTCGTCGTCCAGCGACGAGGGAATAGTTGAATTATCATCAACTGGGAAAGCCATGCGGGCCGCCAACGGTCATTGGTAGCTTCATCTCATAAACGACGTGAAAGTCGTGCTGAGCAATCGTCTGAAAGTGACCATGTCTACCAACTACAAATGTATAAACATCTCAACTTTCCACACCGGCCAGAGCCGAGATAGAACGGAAACAGAATACTGTCCCCACGGCTCAAATTCGACCGACTCATGTAAGAGAAACCCGACCCTTCCAAACTCTATCCCACACAAACAAACCCTCCGTCCCGCTGAAACATCACTTTGGCCCGATCAATCGCCCAAACCAGGAAAGGGGCCCTTCGGCTTTCCCTTCGACATCTCTAATTCGTTGAATCTGAACAAAACTAGTGCCTAACACTCAACTGGTTGCCATGGGCATAACGTTTCTGCCACGAAAAAGTGATACTCAGAAAAACGGGACAGTATGATCGGCAAGGATGCATATGGGCGGCTAAAATTTCGAACAAATCTTGAGCGAAGTGTTCGAGAAGCCGAGAAAACGGTGATGCCGAGCAAGGAGTTGGACGCCAAGATATCTGGGGTTTGGGTGGGTCTCTGCCGTTGCGCTAACGCCGCAGCACGGACCCGATCCACTGAGAACCTTGATCTTGGGGGTTCTATCATTCCTGGTCCAAATGCCGGGAATCCAACGGGTGATGTGTGCTGTGCATCGGATAATCTTAAAGAGGTAGAACCACCAGAGATCTTAAATGTTAAATGAAAGAAGCTACCAGGCGCTGAGAAGGCAGATATGAAATTACACTACTACTAACTTGTAGAAACGAAGAAGCGAAGAGCGAACTCCCTTTCTTTCCACTTCTCTCCAGTACGTCCCCGCCCCCCCCTCTTGGAACAGTTGTCTTGAAGACGACCGCTTCTCTTCAAGGATGAGTAGTGTGATCGCAGCCAGGCCGAGAAATATGTTCTGTGTCCTTCAATTTATGCAAATAGCGACCAAGAACCATGCTCTACGACCGTCCTATCGGGTATCCTTCCATAACGAAAACCAGTCCATGAATGTTACCATGTCACCGTTGGTGGCCAACTCTCATTCACCCACAAACGGAAATGACTTTTCTTTCCTGACGGCCCCTTGGGGCAAGAACGGCACCACATGTTGACCCATGCAACTATGGCGCCCCCCCCCATCGACTTTTTTGCATCAAGATACCCGCGCATATCAACCCCCCCCTCGCCCAAACCCCTCCTCCTTTGCTCCCTTCAAGCAACACCTTCCCCAACCAGGCGGGCAATCAAGACGTAGATAAAGATAGCCGCTCCCGCCAGGAACAACTTATTCTGAAAGATCCAGCTCTGCCCCGCATCTCGCTGCTGCCTCACTGCATCAACCACAGCATGTGCCTGATGGCCACTCCCAGCGGGCAGCCCTAGCTGAGGACCGCACGGAGTAGCCGGGGCAGGCGCCGTACTAGGCTCAACAACTTTGTTCCCCGTGGCGGGGTCAATCTTGTTCTCGCGCATCCATTTCCAATTCTCTTCATCCAGCTCAGGCCACTCCTGGCGGAACTTAGCTCCGCCGTCGCCAGCCCGAATATTATTCTTCCCCGCGGCGCCATGCTCGCCGCGGATATGCGACCCGCCGCCGGTCGAGTTCCACCACCGCGACTTGAACGCCAGCTGCTTGCGCTCGGCCTCGCTGGCCGACACAGACCCCGTGGTCATCTCCTCGGACGTCATGAACGAGAGCAGGCCGATTAGGATGGTGGACACCTCCCAGGCCGGGTTGAAGGAGCGAGGGTGAAAGTCGGAGATGGACAGGCATAGTCGACTAGACGGCTGGAAGCGGCCCGACGGCGTGTGCATGCGGATCGCCGGCGGCGCGAAGGGGTAATTGGGTGGGAAGGTTAATGTGCCCCAGTACTGGCCGCCGTGGTACGGGGTGTTCTCGGGTCCTGTAATGATGTAGTGCCATCTGGGAAAAGCGACTGTTGTTAGTCCAACGATCGAGCGACATGCCACGTGGCCGAGTAGGGGGTGTCGACGTCGTACTCTAGGATGTTGTTTTCTGAAGGATGGGCCTGAATGTAGGGTGGGGGGTTTTCCATAATAGCCTTATACTCGCGCGTTAACTGTAAAAAGTTAGCATCCGGTTCTTCATAATTTTAAAGGCTGTGTGGAGAGAACATACGCGCTTCCGTGCCGCTGGACTTGCTGCCATGTTGAGAGTGGCTCGGCTGGGAATGTGAGTGCTGTAGGATATTGCTGGCTCGCGATCGATCTGGGGACGAGGAGAGAGGAAAGGGGTTCGAGAAGGAAGGTATTAGAAGCGAATGAGTGTTAAAAAAAACAAACCAAAACCAAACAAAAAGAGGGCGCCGAAACGCTTTGTTGATCGCTACGGCGAAATGTGTCGAAATAGGCGTCAGAGGATCAAGTCAAGTGGTCGATGAAGAGTGGTCGAAGCGACGAGATATGGGGGCGCAGGATTATTGATTGGTGACAAAGATGACGACTGTCAGGTTCCCTCCAAGTCATCCACTCATCATACGCTACAGTCCCATGCAAATGAACGCACAGTGGGCACTCGCTGTGCTCCCAGCCTGGGGAGTGATGGAATTGCTCCGTAAAATTAGTTAGGATGTTTCGTGCTTTTCAGATTTCCGTAAATTTTCACTGCAAATTACTGGCCCGTGCATATTCAATCATCTGCCCATTCGGGAAAGCAGTCATGAGGTCTCCCTAGAGCATGTAATAGTACATTCAATAGACGTTTTGCTGGCTAACTGAGGAAATGTTAGTCAGTGTAAGCAAGCGCATTTTTGTTGTGACAGAGAGAGGAGAGCTAATTCATTAGGATTGCTATAGACCGTGAATCTTCTGAGTATCATGACCTTGACACGTAAAATACGCGCAAAATTCGTTACGTATATTTTATCGTTCGTAATCTACTGCAATCTGAAACGATCTTTGGTCGCTAAAAGTTTGGGTAACGAGCTGAAGGCCACCGCCGACCTGAGGCCTGCCGCGAGGCAGGGTCCACTCGGCCAAAGACCTCAGGCTGCAGGTAGGCTGCCGCCTGTCCCACTTGAGGCAAGTCACTATTCGCACTGTGAACTGTGCTGCGGGGCAGTCTTGGCAGGACTGACACCCGCCAGCACCCGGCAAGATCCGAGGGGGGCAGTAGGCTGGAGCAGCAACACCAAGAGCTGGGCCATCAATTGATACGAGGTTGAGAATCCGATCTGCCGGCCTGTGATCGCAACCAGGCACACCCTCTCGGCCCGTTGCTGATCGACAGACAGCAAGACAACACACGCCAATGGCCAGCTCTTTGGGCTCCGGCGGCAGCAATGTACGTACATGACAGCAAGATCTGGTACTGCTTCGCAGCGCAGCTCGATCAGTCGACCAGCTCCAAGCTTCTTTTGTTTTTTTTTTTCCCCTCCATATTGGACCCCGCTAACACCTCACCAGGCCGCCGCCGACCTGGCCACCAAGACCTCCAGCGAAACGAGCCTAAAACAGTTGTACCAAGGCCCGGCTCAGGTGGTAATGGCTCGCCGACTCTGCTTCTCGTCCCGTGCGCACGCCAGCTGCTGACCCCAATGTCGCCCACAGCTGAGCGAGCACCTCCTTACGCCCGCGTCGATTAACACTCTCGAGGTCCACGGTGCGACAAATACCCGGCGCGGCCTGCTCGACCACATCTTTAAACCCGTGGTCGACGACAGCTCTGCGCCGGAGACGACCTTGGGCCAGGTCCTGGAGCGCCTGGGCACGGCCACCAGGAAGCTTGGTCGTTTTGGTGCGACTCCCTGGCTCTCTCTCAATCCACAAATCAGATCTTGACTTGTTGACTCTCAAAAAAGACATCTTTAAGGAGGACGGCTTCAACGTGTTCCTCTCCGAAGCCCCGCGCCCCGAGGGAGCCCCAGCGTCCGAACGCACCGATCTCGACATCTCGATCCAAGTCAAGGAAAAGTCGCGCCTGGTCTTCAGCGCCGGCACCGACTTCGGCAACTTAGAGGGCTCGGCGTACACCAATGCCGTCGCCCGCAACATCTTCGGCGGCGCCGAAACGTTGACCATCAACGCCAGCACCGGCACGCGCACGCGCTCCGCCTACAACGCCGTCTTCTCAACCCCAATCAACGGCAACCCCGATCTGCGCCTCAACCTCGAAGCCCTGCGCTCCTCGACCCAAAAGCCCTGGGCCTCCCACGACGAGCACGTCACCGGCGGCACCCTGCGCTTCGCCTGGCTGACCCCCGACAATGACACCCACGCGCTCTCCTACTCCGCCGCCTGGCGTCAAATAACCTCGCTCGCCGCAACTGCCTCCCCTACCGTCCGCGCCGACGCAGGCGACTCCTTCAAGTCCTCCCTCACGCACACCTTCGTCCGCGACCGCCGCGACAACCCCCTCCTCCCGCAAAGCGGCTACCTTTTCCGTACCGTATCTGAACTCGCCGGCTGGGGCCCCCTGCGCGGCGACGTCAGCTTCGCCAAGACAGAGCTCGAAGCTTCCGCCGCCGTGCCTTTCTCTCTCTTGAAGGGCGTCTCCTTGGGCGGCGCGTTCCGCTTTGGTCTTTTGTACCCCCTGCCCATGGGTTACTCCCTCACCGGCAGGGCCCAGCCGAGCAGGATCAATGACCGCTTCCTGCTTGGTGGCCCAACCGACGTGCGCGGGTTCAAACTCGGCGGTATTGGCCCGCACGATGGGGCCGACTCGGTCGGCGGCGACGTTTTTGCTGCCGGCGCGGTCAACATGCTCCTGCCGCTGCCTAGGGCGGGTGCCGAGTCGCCTTTGAGGCTTCAGTTGTTTGCCAATGCGGGGCGGTTGGTCGGGTTGAATACTAAGAAGAGCGGGAAGGATGGGAAGGAGGGCAAGGGGTTAGGGATGGAATCGAGGACAGTGTACAGGAGCGTGAATGCGGCACTGAGCGAGCTGACGAATGGGTTGCCTAGCGTTGCGGCGGGGTTTGGGCTGGTGTATGCTCATCCCGTGGCGAGGTTCGAGTTGAATTTTAGTCTACCGCTAGTTGTGAGACGGGGGGAGGAGGGACGGAAGGGGCTGCAGGTTGGTGTGGGCATTAACTTTTTGTAAAAGTATAGGATGAAAACAATCTAAGGAAGCTTTGTAGTAGCAGTATATATATATATATATATATATATATATATATATATATGTGTGTGTGTGTGTGTGTGTGTGCGTATAGACATGATAGATACTTGACGAGGGCAAGGAAAAAGAGGGTTGCTCCTCACGTTGTGGCCATTAAACTACCTAGGTTCAAGCTACATGAAAGTAAATAGGGACCCAAGGCGGCGTCTATATACCATGGATTTGTCCAGTTCTATTTACCCAGGTCTTATCAGACGAAAGCCTCGCCAACATGACCCCCCACACGCCACTTCCCGTCATTCATTCCCCTTGACCTTAATCTAAGCATTATTAAATAAATTAAAAAAAAAAGAGATACCCAAGTCCAATAACAGATGTATCAAGTTATATGCGTGTTTACATGTAGAATATACAAGAATAGCATTTGTCAGGAATAGGGAGAAAATTATGTATGAGGTTTATCTGGATGTGCATGATGATGTGATGGCAACGTGAGAGACAAGACGTGTCATGCCCGGATTTTTACTCCTGCTTCGTCTTGATGGCAACCTTCTTACCCTTGGGCACTCTGGCGAGCCAGTAGACGAAGAGGGCGCCGAAGATATTGAAGACGATATACACCCAGAGAAGACTGCAACCATGTCAGTGACATGAGACCTTTTTTTAAAAAAAATAACCACACACACATGGAGAAAGGGGAAACATACCCAAAGTTGCGCCAACGATCCTCATAATGAGAGTGCACACCCGCCAAAAAGACATTTGTGTCGCTGATGGTGCAGTACGAGCACATGGTCGTGTTATTCGGATCAAGCAGGTACCCACCAGCTGCCTTGATATACGAATCCATGTACTCGCCGCAGGTGGTGCCATTCGGCGGTACAAAATTCATGTACTCATTTGCGGCGCACACAACATTCGTGTTGGCCACCGCCGTCGAAAGCATGGCACTAACGAGATACGTGAAGGGACTGACGCGGTACATGAACTCCCAAAACTTGGGCATCGAGTCCGGCCCGGCAAGGACACCGCAGAAGATCAAGCACAGCGAGAATAGCAGGTTGGCCACGTTACCGCCCGCCTCGGCCGTTTCAAAGCCGGCAATGATGAAGTCGGTGAAAGTGCAAGTGAACAGCAGGAAGGCAACAAGCAACAGGAACATGAGGGCGCCACGCTCAGCGGTCTGACCCGCGACAGCAGCATTGTTCTGCAAGCCGACGGGATAGTACCAGCAGAAGAACATAATGGCACCCATGAGCGTATTCCACGGGATCTCGGCGATGATTTGCGAAAGCATGAAGACCTTCCAGCTGTAGACCTTGGAGGGGCGCTCGCGGACTTCATAGAGGGAACGCTGCGTGACGAAGTGCGGCATCGTTTGCTGCACCAGCTGGCCGAAGATGGTCAAGATGTTGAAGATGGCGAACATCTGGTTTTGAAGACCCATGATGGAGTTGGGAGCCTTGTAGAAGACGAAGCCGATGAACAGCGCGACCAGCGTGCAGAGAGAGGCCTTGGAGTAGATGTACGAGGGCGTGCGCCAATACTGCTGGAAGACGCGGTGGGTGACCAGGCGGAGCTGCTCCCAGAAGGGCGCAGCAAACTCCTTGTAGCTATCCGGGTCCTCGTCCAGCGTCGTCGTCTGCTTGGGGTTCTCCTTGAGACGGCGCAGCTCGTCCTGCACGGCCTGGTACTCGGGGCTCTCGCGCCAGACCTTGGGCCAGTCGATGTCGGTGTGGCTGCCGGGCGCGGCACCAATGACCTCAAGCATCCACTCAGCCGGGTTAGCGTCAGGAGGGCAGGCATCAGCACCGTTGCGCTCGAAGTAGGCCCGCATCGTCTCGGCGTTCTTGCCGATATCGCCGAAGTAGACGGTCTTGCCGCCCTTGGCCAGGAAGAGAAGACGGTCGAAGCGCTGGAAGAGCATGGCAGAGGGCTGGTGGATGGTGCAAAGAATGGCCTGACCGTTCTTGGTCAGCTTCTCGAGGAGATCCAGGATGGCCCACGAAGTCTGGCTGTCGAGACCCGAAGTCGGTTCGTCGACGAAGAGCAGGAGCGGCGGCTTAGCAGCAAGCTCGACACCGATGGTCAGACGCTTCCTCTGTTCGACGTTCAGACCTTCACCAGGGACACCAATGACGGCATCGGCATAGTCCTCCATCTCGAGCATCCTGATGACCTCATCGACATAAGCGAGCTTCTCCTCGCGCGGGATATGGGCAGGCTGACGGAGAAGAGCGCTGAAGTTCAGAGCCTCGCGAACCGTGGTTGTCTGGAGATGGAGATCCTGCTGCTGGACGTAACCGGTCTTGCGCTGGAACGAAGCATCTCTCGGCTTGCCGTCAACAAGCATCTCACCCGTGATGACACCCATCGAAGTTCTGTCAGCCAAGCAGTCAAGCAGCGTGGTCTTACCAGCGCCAGAAACGCCCATCAGCGCAGTCAGGGTACCCGGCTTGACCCAACCATCGACATGATCAAGAATCTGTCGTGTCTCGCCCTTGACCTTGACCTCGTAGCAGACGTTGCTCCAGTGGAAAACGCTGGTAGTGCCGCGCAGCTGACCGCCTTCCTTGTCCGAGGAGTTGCCATCCGAAGTGTTGCCGCCGTTAGCAGCAGCCTTAGCGAAAGCAGCAGCAAGACCACCAGGACGGGTACCCGACTCGGCGTCGCCCTTGTGTTTGTCATCAAAAGCAGCAGGCTGGTGGCCGCGACGGAAGACCAGGACTTCGCCCTTGCTTTTCTTGGCAGCAACGTTCTCGGCAGCGATCATGTAGGTGATGAGGAAGAAGATCGTAAAGCCGATGACGATGCCAAAGTTGCGCCACTTGTGGGCATGGAAGTACTTGAAGCCCGAGTTGATGTAGTCATCGCCATTGACCACGGGCGAGCCGGGGACGGAGCCGATGGCAGAGCAAGCGCGGTTCAGCGGGCCAACGTTCTCGTAGCCGGCGATCATGGGGCTTGGCACGAACGAAGTGCAGGTGAAGTTGCGGTTGTGAAACTCGTTCACCATAAGCGACTCGAACGCGTAGGCCAACGGGTCGATGTAGTTGATCCAGCGGCACCAGCCGAGCATGTAGTCGATGGGGATGACGAAACCGGTGAATATGACGAGGGCGAGAATGATAACGGCAGCTGGAACCATGGCCTGGGACAGCGTGCGCGAGGAGCTGGCAATCGTCCGGAAGATCATGGACATGCACAAGACGGTAAAGAACGAGATGAGCAGGAAGAAGAAAAAAGGTCCCGCCTCACGACGCAGATTCGTCATGAAATACAAGGTAACATTGAAGATGATGCAGTTGACCACCTTGTACGGCATGTCGCAGAGCATGGACGAGACGGCTTCGGCAGACGGATGATAGAAGGCATAGCGGTCGTGCTTCTCGACGATCGGGCGTTGGGCGTAAAGAGTCAAGATTTCGAGGGCACTAGAGAAGGCGTTCATGAGACAGGCAAAAAACAGCAGAGCGCCACGCTGGTAGAAGCTGTCGGTGGTCTGCTTGAGGTTGTAGAAGACGGACGAGATGATCAGAGCCATGATGAAGTTGCCGATAAGAGCCCCGAGAGTCAAGCTGGGGTCGCCAATGAGACGCCTCCAGCCACGCCAGAGACAGAGGTTAATCTGCTGCGCGTAGGACAGCGTGAAGGGGGACTTGGCGCGCTGGCCCTTGGCCTGCTGCGCCCTGCGAGAGGCACGGAAGGCCTCCGCATCCGGGCCGTTGAGGGGATGATCCTTCTTGTACTGCTCAATCTCCTCCTGAAGGGCCTTGTACTCAGCGCTGTTCTTCCACGCGGCGGCGAACTCGTCGGGCGTGCGAGGGGCCTTGTCCTCGAAGCCGGGGCGAACAATACGCTCCTGCGGGCTGGTCATGGACGTGAGGAAGTCGGGAGTCGTCTGACGCGGCGGGCACTCGAAGCCCAGGTTGATGAAGTACTGCTTGGCCTCGCTGGCCTTCCCGAAGTAGATCTGGCGACCCTCGTAGAGTACGGTAACCTTGTCGAAGAGGTCGTAGGCACTCTGCGGGGCCTGGTAGATGGAAACGCAGGCGGTGTTCTGGAAGATCTCGGTCTGGAGCCGCAGAGTTTTGCAAAACTCGATGGCGTTGGCGCTATCCAGACCTCTAGTACTGTTATCCCAGCACTGCAGCGGCGCGTTCGACAGGGCAGCTTCGGCGATGGTAACACGCTTCCGCTCACCTCCCGACACACCGCGGATGTACTCGTTACCGACACGGGTGTTGATGGTGTGGCTGATACCGAACATGGCCATGACGACATCCCTGAGGTGATTGGCAAAGGAGGTCTTGGTGATGCCCTCGGGCAGGGTAGCAGGAGCACGAGCATGGGCAGCGAAGGTTAGGGTCTCGCCGACGGTGAGCTGTGGGAAGTGAGTATCCACCTCAGCCGTGTAAATAGCCTCACCGCGGTGATGTGTGTGCATCTCCTGCGCAGTCATGCCTGTCCCCAGGGGTTAGCATACTGGCAATGACAGCCCATAACTTCTCAGCCAGCTGTGCTCTCAATCTTACCTTGGTAGTTGAAGTAGGACTTGTCGTCGACATAGATGCCGTTGAAATCGCCGGCAATGGTCTTGAGGAAGGTCGTGCAGCCAGACCCAGGGGGGCCCAGGACGACGAGCATCTCACCCTTGCGAACAAGGCCGTTGAAGTCGCGCAGGATGTCAATCCGACGCTTGCCCGTGCCCGTGAGCTTCCGGATCAGACCGACAGCCTCAAGCCAGATGTTCAGGACATCCTTCTGGAAGTCAGTGGGCGTACCGAAGCCATAAACGTTGAGATTCTGGAAAGCGACACCGGTGGTACGAAACTTGCCGCCAGCGCCGGTCACCATCTCAGCAACGGCCTTGGCCCAGGCACGGGCACTGAAATTGGGACCATTGGGGTTTAACGGCGAGTCCTCCTCCTCTGACGCGATCTTGAAGACGTTGGCGCCCGCGGGCACGTTGGCCTGGGACTGAGCGGTGAACTTTCTAGCAAGAGCCTGGACCATGCTCGCGCGACGTTCCTCCTCGATGGCGTCGTCCTCTTCGTTGTCCTCGACAGCGGTATCGGTGCCATTGCCAGTGCCAGCAGTAGGGACATCCCTCTCGGCCCCAGCCTGCTCCTTCTCCTTAGGCATCTCCGGCACCGACCTGGACCGTGTTCTGCTCAGGGTCTTGCTGAGCCGGCGCGGCGAAGAGGGGCTCGCCGGCGTGTCATCGTGCTGCTCATGTGTGGTCTGCCGTGACAGCGGAGACCCGGCTCCAGTCATCTGGGCCGTGAGGTCGTAGTTCCCGAAGGAACCAGTGCCGATGAACGACATTGCCGGACGGTCCGATCGTTGCGCCACCGAATGTCAGCTTGTGTGGACAGACCGGAACAAGCCGGCGATCGGTATTATTTTGAGAAAAAAAAATCCCCGGCAAACAGGTGTATATTAAGCAAAACTCGCGACGATAGTGTAAGCAAGTGTGTACGGGCAGAGGAACGTAGTGAAAAGATATCAAACAAAAAAAGCAAACGGTGCAGTCTCAGCGTCAGTGTCAATGACAGGACAGCGCCGGGGACGATACGGCAGCAGAGACAAACTGTCTGGAAACCAGACGCGGCAAAGTTTTCCCCAGGGGTCCAGGAAGACCGGGGGTCCATCCAGACTATAAAAATGAAGGCAGCATGGACAACGGGGAGTTCTAAGCCCCGAGTGGGGATGAAAGCTTGCCGTAGGCTCCCGGCGCATCGCACAGCAAGGCGACCCAGGCCCGTTTGTTTCGCCCAGAAGTCCAGGAAAAGTCCCCGAGACGGGTTCCTGGGGCCTTGCGAGGACGCGTTCCGAACAGCGTCACAGTCTGTCCACGGTAAACCCAGGACCCCCGCCAGCATTGGGACAGCCCACACTCCCAGTGACATTCTTACACAGGTACACCCCCTCGCAGCCCTGTCCTGACAAAGCCTGTGCCTGTTTTGGGCCCCCGACACGCGTGGAGGCTCCAGGAGCCCACCATGCCCGATGGGGAAGGATGACAGAGGTCGGGACCCGTCCACGGCCGGGGACGAGGAAGACGAGCCAAAGGAGCGAGATCTTCCAGAAAGATGCATCCAATCCCTCGTCAAGATCCATCCATATCACGATCCCACCTTGATGCCAGCCGCGGGCACACCGTGATGGTGATATTGGAGATACTAGAGATTACTGCATAATCTACGAGAGGGATATTCTGAGCCCGCCGGAGATGCCATGTACTCTCATCGGTCGGTCTTACATGCAGCCCTGGCAGCAGAGTCATGGGAAGTCCAGCATTGCACACAGCATGTGCTGCGCCGAGGCGGCTGCTTGCGTTGATGTTAGTGTAAAACTTTGGACAACGTCAATTTTTGGCGGCTGCTGCCGACCCAGAAAAAAAGGGGAGACCCCAGCGAGCCGACAGCCAACCAATGAGCAGCCGAGTCACCGAAAAGCCAAAAAGCGGGGGCAGACTTTGCCCAAAGTAGCTCGGCTGCGAAATTATACGGTGGGCCCGCACTTATAATTCTTTTTTTCAGTTTCTTTTTTTTTTTTTTTGTCATGCTTCCAAGTTCCAGTGAAAAAGCCAGGAGTTCGGCAACACTGGCTCCTTGAGGGATAGCGATGGAAGCAAAAAAAAAAAAAATAATAAGCTACCTCTGGCATAGACTTCTGCCCCGCGACGGACCCCCCCTTTGCTTGCGGTTCTGTTGCTGTTGTTGCAATGGGTCAGGGCACTTGAGAGCGATCATTGTCGGGTCTGCCCTCGATGTTTTGTTATCAGCCTCAAACCCATCAAAATCGGTCGACCGCGAAACTAGTTGGTCTCCGTGCCCTTCGATCAAGCGCCAGATGACTGCATCTGCATCTGTGCAGTGCTCTCTCTTTTGCCAATCTCCTTTTCTCATTCCTCGCATCATTATCCTCCCTAGCATTTTTTTCTTCGGCCCGCTCTTGCGCGATGGATTCACCAGGGAGCCTGGCTCGACGGTTGGAGCCTCGCCTGCATAGCCCGCCGTGTCCCTGTTCATCCAAAAGTGCCCCTCAGAACCAACTGGAATGCGGCAATCGGGCCCCTTTGCCAATATCATCAGCGCTTGGCAGGCTTCCCGCAGCCAATGGCTGCTGAGATCCTGCGATGGGGGGACAGAATTGCCCACCCGGATCCAGCAAGATGCCTGTGGCGTTGCAACTCACCCGAAGCCAGCTCCATGAGCCCGGATCCTTTTGCGGGTCCCTGCAACCTCATCGTCGGGGTTTGCGACTCTCCGAGAACCCGTGCCAGTCAGCAACAGTAGCAAAAGTGCCAAGTGAGCGGGCAACAACGCAGCACGACAGATTGGCACCATCGATATCAACGTGCAAATGCTGCTGATTTGGCAGCTCTCGGTGCCTGATGCGTCCTTACGCTACACCTTACGTCATTTCGCTGTTTTTACAAGTGAGGAAGTCGCTCTCGTTGACGTGCCTCCTAAACCGGCCTGCCCTGCGGCAGTATCAAAGTATCAACACCTTCCTGAGGCCGCCGCCATCGGGTGCTTGACAAGCCCGGATACGAATACGGTTCGGGTCCTGTCGTCCTGTCCCCGTTCCTTAGCCGCTGTATGTCCCTAGTTGATCGTTGGTTCATCACATATCTTGCGACGCGGCAATGTGAATGCGAACAATGAACCATGTCACCAACAATTGTGATGGGTTTAATTATTTGTATGTTGCTAGCAGCGAGAGTGTCAAGGAAGTTGCGTATATGTCTGCGACAACTCGCTGTTGGGGGCCAACAAGCCTATCGGGACATAACAAGGTCGGGTTCCTGTCCAGTTTCTGCACGCCAGCCATTGAGGGACTTTCAAGTGAAGCCACTGCCCATGGAACTTTCGGTTTTTTACGTCAGTGACTCAATTGCGCCATGCATATGCAGAGAGGATTATGTCATACTCTTCTGCTCTTGCTAAGCACTAGAGCTCTTTTTAATCGTTCCGTCACCTCACCGCCATAAAGGGTGGCGGTTCACTTGAGCTCAGCCAATGTAGAGACGAATATTCAGCCGTTTAAGCGGACATGGCATTCGGTTATCCACAAGTCGATGTCATGTCTTCTGTTCTTGTCCTGATTTGAGCTGAAGTATGCGTCAGACATATACATCCGCACAGTGGACTCAGATGGATCCATAGCCTGTTAGTGTTTGATTTCTTTTCTCAGCCGACAGCATGCGGAACTTCCGAGAATTGGAGAAACAGACTGCATTCTGGTAAGACCGGCTCCTGACAGGAGGTGAAACATGTATTCAAGAGTTGTGACTGATGAGTTGTAAGGGCGGATGAGGCTTCTCACCCAAGTAAACGACCAATATGCTTGATCAAAGACTCGATGATATATGTATGACAGCATATGGGTGACGATGATCATGAGCTACTGCCACCGCCATACTATGGAGTATGGAAAGGATAACTAGCTCCGCAGGTCTATGTGGCCCTGATGGGATGGTGATACATACCCCGCTTTAGCTTTTAATATGCTGTTCTACGATGTTGCAAACGACTCGATCCGGTGGCATACGCGTGAGACTTCGGGCAGTCGAAACAGCACGACCTGCCTTGTGAGGGAAGGATTGTCTAGCTGCCTGATCTACTACAGCCTCGACCTCCGCGATATCATAGCAAAGACTGTTAGATGAGAGTATCTCCGAAGACAGCCCGCAGGATCAAAAGACCCTCGGCAGTCGCTATGGACATTTGGTGCGATTGAGACGAGTAAATCGTGTCGAGATCAACAGGTCGGTATCTTATTTGCCTTATTTGCCTGTCATCTCCACATGTTTAGAGTTCCTCAATCTTAACACTCTCCTATGCTTAAGTAGTAAGCGAAGAAGAGGCTAGGCGGTGCTGGACTAAAACACTGTGACAGTCAATTCCACTCAATCACTTGGACGATTTTCCAGTTTGGAAACTTCGGGATAACACTGTAGTCAGTCAGTTTTGTAGAAGAATTTGACTTTCAGCGAGATGAAGTTGGCCCAAGACTCGAAATTTCACCTGGAAAACTGTAATACCTGTACCCTATACGAGTGCGTCAGACTAGAAAAAGAAGCCATAAACGCAATGCCTCGGTGCAGTTGAAGTTATCCAGAGCTTTTCTTGACCGTATCGTGACTGCGCTCATCACTATTCATATAAAGAGAAGCTGTGCTTGATGTTCTCTATGTAATAAAAGCAGTTTGGCGGCGTTGTGTTAGCTAGCTATATGGTCATTCATCCGGACTCGTCATCTCACACGTTCTCCTGGCATTTACAGCACGCATGTTTAGACCTCAACTTTCAAGTGGCTGGCAAAAGCTCTGCTATCTCTGGTCCGTAGCCCACTGTGGCGGAATCTCATAGTGTTGCTCCAAAGAATCTCAACAAAGCCAAGTCCTTTTGTCACACGTCCCAACCACGACGACTCTTCGTAACTTTAAGTCGACGTCTTCTAATCCATGACGCAAGGTTGAACGGTCAGAAAGCGGCTCGCCCTTTGAGTCGAGAACAAATGTTGTAAATCAACTCTATCCTCGCCACAAAGGCCGGAACGAAGGAATTATACACGGTCCATGGAGAAGGAAAAGAATCTATTAAACTATCGCAACACGTTGGCTTGCTGCTTAAGATTTTGTATTCCACTCAATGATGCAAGTTATTGAAACCGTCAAGGTGACAAGATGGAAAAGAGATGGTAAAGTATCCCGGTGGTATAAGCAAATCAAAAGCCCGCCCAAACGTCCTGGAAGTAACACTGTTACAGCAACCTGTCCGAACGTTGTTCTAAAGAATGAAAAATGGGATTTCGCTCAATATGATGGCCAAGTTCCAGACAATCCATGGAATACTTCCAGACGCCAAAAAAAAATTAAGGTTGCTCAGTTCCGCACCGCAGTTGTTTCAAGAAGGTGAAGACGTGGGGCCATGGCTGCTGCTTTGACACCGGCTACCTGCATCTTGTGAAACAAGTCGCCGGGCGATTGAAGATCCAAACAGACAGGCTACCTACAAAATCGCTCCCTAAACGATGTATAAGCAAATAAAACCGATTCTGCCATTAAAACTGCTCTGTACAGTTTAATGCCAATGTTCATGATTTTTTGATCTGCAGCAGGCGACGAAGTTGATGAGGCTGGAGTAAGCCCTCGTCCAGTGACATCACTTTCCCATCCTTCAATCGGGGCTCAAGGCGGGGTTGGGCGTGCCTCTGATTCAGCATGGCAGGGTCAAGGCTCGGATCTTGCGTGCTCGGCTCTGCCGCCTGCGCCGCCCACATGGGGTAACGGCTCCTCCTGATCTTGGCATCTTCCCGCTGCGCGTGCGCATCCAGCATCTGGCGGCATTCAGCATCTCACGCGCATCGCGCATCTAGCTGCCTCTCCTCCCATCATATTTGACGGCAATCATCTTCATACTATGCCTGCGTGCGCTATAGCCACTGGCTGCCAAACACTCTGCAAGGCCCGCATAAGTACAATCAGCAGCACTAAGCAAGGCTCGCAAAGTTTTATTTGCACTTCTCTTTCCAGGCCGCTTTGGGCCTGCTGAGACAGCTGTCACTGCCCGACGCTGGCTGCTAGACCTGCTGGGAGCGCTGAATGGCATGACGATGTGTCATTGGTCAGCGCCCCACCGAAGAACCGCCCAAATCAGCAAACCAGTCAACCACCAACCTCCCGCCAGATCCGGCCCCAGCAGGCACGAGTGCTCGGGCTTATTGTGACTTGTACGACGCACCCTGGCCTGGACCTGGGCTTTTGGGAGCCTTGACCAACACCGTCTCTTCTTCATGCAACAGCACCGCACTCCAACACCACAAACATAAGTCTTTAGTTCTACGACTTGCCGTATCAGCATGCCAGCGCCGTTTCCACGATAAACACATCCACTCCACGAGCCCATTTCACTGTTCGCGCGCGCTACGTATGCTTCGGTGAGCTTTTTGTGTGACTCTTTGAAGTACGCCGGCCTCTCCGCTCGGGTCTCTCCATCCCCCCCCGCCCTTCCAGGTTCCATCCGCCGTCCACGACCCTGTCAACAAGCCTCCTCCCCATCGACCACCGACCCGACTTTTCATAACAACTACACAACGACACTGCGCTATCCAAGTGCATCCATTCCGGATTTGTATCTCACGATCCATCTTTCCTCCACATCATACGGTCCACACACGCAACGGCAGCCCTTCCGTGCCTTGTTGCCTGCTCCGGCCAGCGCCTAACCGCGAATGACGTGATATAGTGAGCGAGACGGCAGCCATGGGAAATACAAGCACAAAAGAATCGCGCAGCAGCGTTGGTGGCCATCGTTCGCACCACTCGGCCGCTGCGGCCCATGCCGATTCTTCAGCCACCAATGCAGACCGATCGTCCAGCCGGAGGAACCGTGTCAGTAGGGCTGATCTTGCCCTCTTGGGACTCGCGTCTACCGGAGGAGGCTCAAGCTCTCGTGCTGACGCCCCACATGAGCGGCGTGAGACAAAGCAGGAAAGGGAGATTCGCCGGCTGGAAAGGGAACGCCTTGCCAGGATTGCCGAGAGGGAGCGAAGCATGCGGGAGGAACATGTGGACGGAGGGTACCTTGTCACCATGGGCGTCTATAACGGCCCGGAAGACTTTAACAAGCAGATCGTCCGCCAACTTATTGTGAGTACCAGGCTCCGAGGGCACTTAGGGTTCCCGTGATGTTGACATATGCATGTGCATAGATCGAGCGGAAGCTAGCTCCCTTCTGGAGGGGTCTAAACGACTTCGACGAGCAGTGGACCGAGGCCCAGATAGTCGCTGCCGCTCGGGGACTGCCCGTGCCGACTGCCGACGAGATCCCTCCCGAAAATCTCATTCCACGACCCCCTCCTCCCCAACCAACGCAATCTACCGCTTCGGATACCCTGACCATCCCAGAGACCCAGAGCCAGTCAGAAGTTTCCGAGCCATCCAGCCCTACTTCACCAACATCAAGACAGCCCCAGTCCGCAAGTGTTGCCCTGAAGCCGCGAGGGAAGGCCATTGCCGCAGTCCTCGGCGGACACTCGAGGAATGGGTCTACAAGCGAGATCGCTCCTCGCGAAGTCCAGTTGCCTCACGATCCCTTCGTCAATGGACAGCCTATCGAGGTGTTCTTGTACAAAAATGCAGTTGAATGCCCCATCTGCTTCTTGTACTATCCCCCGTATCTGAATCACACGCGGTGCTGCAACCAGCCTATCTGCAGCGAATGCTTCGTTCAAATCAAGCGACCGGATCCCCACTTCCCCGATGGTCATAACGAGAACGACCCGAATCGCAACCCAGAGGAGGCGGCCGGTTTGTTGGTATCGGAGCCTGCTTGCTGCCCCTACTGCACCCAGTCTGATTTCGGCGTGACATACGAGCCCCCGCCCTTCCGGCGCGGCCTTGTCTACAGCATATCCCCAACTGCGCTGGGCGCCACGAACGCTGCCATGTCCTCGAGCAGCTCAGTGAACTCGACAGCAGTGGGGACTTCTGGCAGCGGCGCTGGTCGCCGGCGGAACCAGTCCCTCTCGGCTAGCGATCCGAGCGTTATCCTCACCGACAGAATTCGCCCTGAATGGGCGGCTAAGCTGCAGGCGGCCCGGGCTCATCAGGCCCGGCGGGCTGCTGCGGCTACGGCCTTGCACGCAGCGGCGTTCTTGATGGGTGGCTCGGAGAACAGGGCCTTCCGCTCACGGTTTGGACGGCGGAGTACCGCTGGGTCAGGATCTGCCAGTGGTAGCGGGGCTAACGCTGAAGGAGACAATGGAGATCCTGTCCTTACTCTTGACACAACCAGAGGCCGCATTTTTGCCTCCGGGAGCGACAATCGTCGTAGTCGGCTTGAAGACCTGGAGGAGATGATGTTCATGGAAGCTGTGCGTCTCTCCATTGCTGCCGAAGAGGAACGCAAACGGAAGGCTGAGAAGGAGGCGAGGAAAGAGGCCAAGAAGAAAGAAAAGGAGGAGCGCAAGGCTGCCAAGGCGGCTGCAAAGCAGGCTGGACCTTACGAGGGCGCTGGCGGCCGCAGCGGCCATAGTTCGGCCAGCGCTAGCAGCCTGAGCTTGTCTGGACTGGGCTTTGGAAGAAAGCGGGGCAATAGCGCTGCCAGCAACCTCCGGGTCGAGGCCAGCATCACCAGCGCCATGGCAACGGGAGAGCCCTCCGCTTCCGACGGCAGCTCTTCCAGAGATAAGGGTAAAGCCGTGGAACGCCCGCTGTCGGCTGGTGAAGGCAATCTCCTTACACGCGAGCCGTCCAGCCCGGGCACCTCGACGAGTGCAGCCAGCCCTCGCGCTATCCCGCATCTTCCGGCCGGACCGTCCCATCTGCGGCAGATGAGCAATGCCTCGTCGGTGTCGTCGTCCATTTTTGAGAGCCAGCCGGGCAGCTTCAGCTCGCCCTCTAACCTCCAGGACCCTCATGGAAGTGTCCCGAGTCTAGGGAGCCGGTCTGGTTCTAATGAGGATGCGGGTAACGAAGCCGAGCGCGACCGCGATCCCAACGTTGGCACCGAGCCGGTGTTCAGCTTCAGGAACCTGGCTGAGGTGGTAGGAGTTGGTCTAGATGAGGCCCGGGCTGAGGAGTTGCCCAGCAACACCCAGCAAACTGAGCAGTCCGAGACGACAGTTGCTGAGTCGCCTGTTCCTCCAACTGTTACAGTCACTCCCGATACGTCTGCGACACCGAACCTTGACGAAGACTCTAAGCAAGTCGGATTCGAGACGGCGGCGGAGCAACAGCCGCAGCAGTTCACACAGTGATGGCAGTAGTTTGACACAGAAAATAAATGACGGCATGAGAAGATATCGGTAAACCAAGGGTGGTTGGTTTGTCTGTACGACGGCATCACGACAACAGATTGGAGGAAGTTCGTTGGCGTTGGTTCTTCCAGCAACTGGGCGAGATCGTCAAGGGTGTAACGGGCTGCGCCGAGGGGATAAGCTGGATCGAAGTTATGTTGTCTTTTGCTCTCCTATTTTTCATCCTTTTCTGTCCTCACTCTCGCTGCCCGTATTGCTCCTATCCCCTGATCTCGCCGCCTTTCCTTGCTTGCTAGTTTATTTCCCCCTGTTTAACTCTGACGGCTTGGGAACAGATGAACTCGAACACCATGATCATAAAGGGAGATTGAGGTCATGACACACGTATGGTGGATCGGAGTTCGGTGTGGCTGGCGTCCGAGGTCTTGTTTTCACTGCATTTTAGAGATCAAATAGCTCTTCCCGCTGATATCGGATGATAGAGGGTAGTACGCCACATACGTACTATACTTTTTGTTTTATTATTTTTTTTCAATCCACGCTGTTACCGTGACTGTCTACTCCGCTTTGCCTTCTCATAAGCGGCAATTACACCATCATCGGGAACAACTCCACGATTGGAGTCCTTGCGGGTATTGACAAAGCCTTCTCCTGGGCTGTCCCAGGCATAATCCAGCCATGAACCCAGCGCCGGCCAGAGTTGCTCCCTGACCAGCGACAGGACCTTCTTCTGGCGGGCTGGCCCGTACTTGTCATTGCTACCATCCTCCTCCTGCCCAAGGGAAGACACAGCACCCCGCCACTCGGCCACGGTCTCCTCCAGCTCAGGAGTCGATGACACGCCGCACACAGCAACACCAATTTTCCTGCCCTCGGAGCTACCAGGGCTTGTGAAATCAACACCAACACCCGCCTCGGCAGCAACCCGAGCCCATTCGGCAAGCGACCAGCGAAGCGACACCGACTCGAGCCGCTCGCCAGCCGCAGCAGCAAGTTCTGCAAGCTTCATGCACGCCAGACGCAGCTCAGGCGGCGAAGGATGCCACTTAGCCAACGGCGATCCCGTGTCATCCGTCACGGGAATCCCCTTGCTGGTGAGCAAGCCCATGCCCAACATGCTTGCGTTCAGCACGACATCCACACCAGCCTTCTTCAACCTCACCAACGGCGACCCTTCCACATCCGCCTGCCCTTTCCCACCCCCTTCCACAAACGGCAGTCCCAACCGCCGATTTTGCACTGTAAGATGCCCATAACTTAACACCGCGTCCAATGGCTCGCCCGTCTCCTTGTAAATCATCTCCGCCAAATCGCACAGCACATTGACAGGGAACCCACTAATCCCCACGTAGCGCACAACACCCTCCTCATCCCGCAGCCTGCGCAGTTCCTTCACGGCGGCCAGGACCTCCCCTGGTGTGACAAACTCACAGTCGTGCGTGTAGACTAGGTCTAGGTACGGCACGTGCAACCGCTGCAGGCTGCGCAGCACAGAGTAGCGGATCCAGCTGGGGGAGTAATCGAACTCGGTCGCCGCGATGCGCCCCGCTTTGGTGACGAGGAAGAAGTCAGAGCGCTGCAAAGGAGTAGGGTTGGGGTTGCTGGGGGTCGGGGTAGGGTTCATCAGGGCGTGGAGGGCTTCGCCCAGGAGGAGTTCGGAGGGCCCGTAGTACGGGCTCGTATCAAAACCGGTCACGCCGAGGGCTATGGCGCGCGCGACGATATCTCGGTAGGGCATAGCGTGTGGGTTGGCGACGTATTGGGTGTTGAAGGTTGCTGTGCCGAGAAGGAGGGGGGGGAGGACGGTGTTGAGAGGGGGGCGTGGAGCCCGCCCGGGGGATGAGGCGGTTGTTGAGGCCATTGTGGTTTGGATGTCGTTTTTTTGGGGGGGTGGTGTTCCCTTTTTCAATTGACGACAAGGATGTGATCAAACTTTAAGTAGACGTAGAGGCTGGCGCAAGGAGTGGCAGAGGGATTGATATCAGCCTGGTTCTATCTTTGGTGGGGTTTGCGAGGTTCGTCAGCGGGGTATAAAAGTAATAGAGAGGGTCGGCCCCACAGCACATGTCGTCGAAATCAGCGCGGATGATGCGATAAGGGCATAACAAGCGATCCCGATTTGATGCATGGACGCTTCGATTTTGAGAGAGCTTTTTTGTCCTTCATATATGGCTTTCGTTCTTCGTAGTTCGAACCTTTGTTGCTTGAGCCCGTCTTCGTCCGACGTTTGCTCTATTCGTTCCTGGAGGAGGGTTAGGGTTAAAGTTGGAGGTTCTGGGCTCTGCGGGGCTGGTGGGGCTGTGGGCCTCGCATGTGGACTTTTGTGGATCTTTTATGGGCTCCTACATTGCGTTGTTTCACGTTCTCTTGGTTTCCGAGCAAGTCCCAGCACTCGATGGTTTTTGGTCATTTTGATGCCTGGGGTTGGTGATGATCGTCCAGGACTATTCCATGTTTGATTTTTTATTCTGCCCTTTCGTTGGAATTAGGTGTCCTATCACGTTCTGCATCTTGATTTCTCCATCCGCTGTAACAAGGGTATAAAAGGAAGACCTGACTTCACCTCGTGTCATGCGAAGAGTGTGATCTTCTGAAGATCGACTTCTCGATTGAAGACCAAGGCCCAGCCGCGATCTATCTATCAGTGACCATTTCTCAAGGCCAGACATCTTATTTGACAGATCATTCTGGCATTTGTGTTCTACGTCTCTTACGTACTTCTCTTCTTCGGGTTCCTGCTACCGGCCATCAGCTTTAGGCTAAAGAAATGGACCGATGCCGTTTCTTCTCAGTCTGCAATATCACACGCATTTCCTCATCCTGTTTACAGGGCGATGCTTGTCCCGGCTTAATTGTCTGTGCCACCCCGCACCCATAACGTACCTCATTTATTTGGCAAAGATTCCCTTTAGCCCTCCAATAACAACGTCCCGATCTCTATCCGTCCAGCAACGCCGTGGCTTGTTCCCCAGGCTTTCCATGCATTGCGGCTTCATTTCATAGCAATCGTCGTTTATTGACGTCCCATCAACGCATCGGGAAGACAGACAGTCAAGCCAACCACAGACATCCAAATGCCGATTACCACTCATCCGTCGCGGCATACCATAAGGGCGTCTCGGATGATTTCTATTCAAGGTATGACAAGCAGAATATCGCGTATCATGAGCGGACAGACTCTGGAACCAAATAACAATGTTTGCTACCCAAACCCGATTGTCCATGCGCATGTCTCCTGGCCCCGTTCTCTTTCTAAATAGCTTCCTCCGTCTTAGTTTTACCCAAGCCTGGTTCATATTGGCCTCTGCGTTTCATTCCGTATGTGCGGTAATAATGCCATCTTGTCCAGCAAAAAGAGCATGTAATGTTCGGCACAGCACTACCAAAAACACTTTGCTGAACCCGGGTGTCTTTGGGTTCTATAAAACTTAGGCGGCTTCCCGTCTGTGACTTTGGCCTCGAGGTTGGTGCTGTTTGTGTGTTGTTGTCTCAGGCCATCCGTGACACGCAAGTCCCAAGATGCGCTTCCTTGACAGTGTTGCCCGCGTCGCAGGCGCTCTGGGCTTTGGTAAGCTCAGTCATCACAACTCCTGACTGGCTCAGCTAGCTGACGGCTCTCACTGGTGCTAAGCTCGTCGCCAGTTCTACTTTGAGCCCGACTCAGTCGTCTATGAGGATCCAGAAACGGGTCTGATTTTCTCCTCTTATACGAGTCACAACGGCATCAGCTTCCGCGTCGCCGTCCCCGATCCACTTCCAGAGGATAAGATTTTCGATACCGTCTTGCAAATTGTTGCCCCTATTGATGTCGGTTGGGCTGGCTGGGCTTGGGGAGGGCATATGACTTACAACCCTCTCGCCGTAGCTTGGGCGAATGGGACCAACAACGTTGTCATCACGTCCAGGATTGCTTAGTATGTCATAGTCACATGGCGTTCGGCAGGTGCTTCATGATCACTAATGTCCCAATAGCGGCTACTTCAGCCCCCCCGACTACGAAGGCTCCGTGTACACTGTTCTGGAGAAGGGCACGCATATTAACGAGACTCACTGGCAAGTGACTGCCAAATGCACCGGCTGCACTCGTTGGGGCGACGATGACTTTGGGTACACGACGCTCGAGCCCGAGGGCCAGATTAAGTTTGCCTATGCCTATTCCAACACCCCCGTCGATGACCCAGCTGATCCATCTTCGAGCTTCGGCATCCATCACAGCCTGGGACATCCTTTCTATGACTTGGCTCAGGGCGCCAATGCGGACTTTGCGGCCAAGGTTGAGCAGGCTTCGGGGAAGCCTGAAGAAGCCCCGAAGGAGACCCCTAAGGAGGAGGAGGAGAAGGAAGAGGGAGATGAGGAGGATGCTTGTGAGTAAGTTGACGCAGCGGCCTTAGGGAAATAATCCAAGTGGTGACAGAACAAACATACAAGACATGGCGCGGTATGTAAAATCCAAGCGGGATAGATAGAAAGAGTAGAGAGGCCATGGAGTCAATTCTTTGGTTATGATCAGAGTGTCAATACCGTCGCTAGGTAGTACTCCATAGATCAACCACAGAATAAAAGATCAGTCCTGGCCTTCATGAAAAAGTATCAGCAAAGTGGCCTCGGACGAGATGGGGCCGAACTCGGGCTGATGATAGCGCGAATGCTCTGGGGTCTTGGCGGGAGCTTTTATAGTCCATACGTGTCGAATCCACGTCCATGTAGGGGCTATGTGCATGGTATTTTATTTCAATATCATAAAAAGGGAAAGGATTTCATGATAAATTTTGAGAATACTTGATTCTTTGGAGCAAATAATTACAGGTGTTCTTAAGCAATAGACATGGAATTTGTCGATAGGAGAGAGATATGGTGATTACAGATTGTGAGGTTGCATCTATGCATCAACTGCCGTCCCTGGTCTGCATGCCAGGATCGAATAGTGTCCACGCTTGTGTCAACTGTCACACATCTCGTGACACCCGAAACCAGTACAGCTTTTGCGGGGTCTTCAGGCTAGGCAAAAATTTGGGGGACTACAGTCCTCATCTATTACCATTCATAACACATTCTCAGATACATCATAGACCTCATGCATCAGCCAAATACATGTAACCAGGTGCTTGTTGCAGTCTACTCAAATTGCGCTTGCCATCCTACTGATTAGCTTCATCTTCGAAGTTTTGGATTCAAAGAAACCCTTTTAGCAGGTGTTTAAGCTGCGACCATGAAAACATACAGTTCCCCAGCTTCTCGCCGCCTCCACATCTCTTGTCTCATACTTGCTCTAGGACCGTTCGTCTGGGGATACAATATCGGTGTCCTTGCATCGGTGCTTGTCCATCCAGGCTTCCTCGAAACACTCGGCGGACACGATGAACACAATGCCAGCCCATTCCCCAGAGCGCTGATCACCAGCGTTTACTATCTGGGCACCTTTCTTAGCTATCTCTTCCTCGCTCATCCCGTAGCAGACAGACTGGGCCGCCGCTATGCTGCTGTGTTGGGGATGATGGTGACGTGTCTGGGTCAGGCATTGCAGGCTGGTGCAGTGCGGCCGCATGCCTTGGGGATGGTGTTAACTGGGCGCATCATTGCTGGGTTAGGGATTGCGGTTATATCAACCAGTGTTCCGTTATACCAGAGGTAACTGGTTTGTCTCTCAGCAAAATAACAGCCTGGGGCAAGACTCTTATGAAGCGGACTGCTAACGATCCCGCCCAATTTTCGACCCAACAGTGAGATATCACCTCCGAAACAACGAGGAAGATTCGTTGTCATGAATCACATTGGCCTCGTTGCCGGAATTGCTTCAGGGTTTTGGTTGGTTTCTTTCCCGAATTCAAACTAGTCGGCCGCCATTGATGATTCCGTACTAACATGCAACCTCCTCACTCAAGGTTCGGCTATGCTATCAGTTACTGGAATACAAAACTCGGTCGTTCAGCAGGATGGCGCTGTTCTTTAGCTACTTCCTTCATACCAGGACTCATCTTTCTAACCCAGCTTCCATTCATGCCTGAGTCGTAAGTATTTGTTGATTTGATCATTCATATACCACTTGGCGTGGTCTCCCTAACACGACGATAGACCCCGATGGTTGGTTGAACGCGGCGAAAGCGGCAAAGCTCTGGCAGCATTGCGTTTCTACCGCGAAGGCTCTCACACATCAGACGAAATTCGCGTTGAGCTTCTTGAGATTGAACGATCAGTAGCCAATTTTACCATATCACGTCTTCCATGGACAGCATTATTCTCTAGCAGCAGCTTGTTTGCCCGCATGTGGCGCGCCGCTCTCTTGCAGTTTTTAGCACAGCTTTGCGGAGCAACGGCCATGAAATATTCTCTCCCGGCACTATTCCAAGCTTTGGGCATCCCCTATCGCATTGCTCTACTGGCGGGCGGCATCGAAAGTACCATCAAAATTAGCTTCAGTGTACTGGAAATGCTGGTCATCGACAGACTCGGTCGCAGGCTCACCCTTATTGTAGGCGCAGCTGTAATGGCTGTTTCATTAATGGTAGGCAGAATAAACTAGTGTCTTGGGCTCCTTAATTCAAGGGCCAAACAGGACCTACTTCTTATCAAGCAGAATACTTACCTTGATTGCACAGGTTAATGCTGTTCTTCCGCTCCTTTATCCCAACAACACAAACAAAGCAGCAAACTACGTGTGTGTCTTCTTTATTTTCATCTACGCCTTTGGATATAGCATTGGATTTGGGCCGGCCGCATGGGTATACGGATCAGAGGTATGTCATCACTTATGCTCCTCATATCGTTCTGTGAGAAGGGGGGAAAGCGTTGAATAACCTATTTACATAAATAAAAAGATCTTCCCCACCGCAGTTCGTGCCCGAGGACTTAGCTTGGCCGCGTCAACTGGAGCCGCTGCTTCGATCATGGCAACCCAGATCTGGCCCCTTGGCCTAGCCCACCTCGGCTCCAAAGTATACATCATTTTCATGACAGTCAACTTCGCCTGCATTCCCTTCATCTACTTCTTATACCCAGAAACCAAGGGTCGCTCTCTCGAAAACATGGACGCCTTGTTTGGACAATCAGGGGGCAGGCATGGTGCAGAGGGCTCATTTGAAAACCTTCTCGACGGACAAGATGAAACAGGTCGGCCTTTAGAATAGATGCGATTGTAAAAATTAAACGAGCACATCAACAACCTCTTAGAGGTATGAGGCTTCAACCAGGAAGGCAAGGGTGAACTTTATGTGGCGGAGAACAGCGTCCCACATGATGGTCGAGTAGGCCTGCAAATCAAAGTTTTGTTTTGGTCAACTTCTTAAACATTCTGTAGCAAACTAAGGCAATGGAAGACTTACATCGTTGGCAGTGTGGATGTAGGGCGAGGCATCATCCATAGTGTCTTCGCAAACGTACGCAGCAGCTGGAAAAGCGAGTATGAATGTTAGTCAGCGCTCCCGGGTTTGCCAGCAATCTTGCTAGCCTTATATTGTAAAAGCAAGAAAAAAGAGGAGGAAGCACTTACGGAAGCCGTTAGACCGAGCCGACGCGTGGTCGGAACAGCCGTAGCCGCACCTGTCGGTATTGACTGAGCCAATGTAGGCGTTGGCAATAACACGAACGTAAGAAGTGAGGGACGAGTCAACATAGTCAGTGTAGACGGCGAGCTTCCCGTTCGGGGAGTAGCCGGTCATGTCCTGGTTGAGCATGGCAAGCACCGTCTTTCTGTTCGATTTGTAGTTGGAGAAGATGGCGGCGGAGCCGAGCAGACCAGCCTCCTCACCAGCGTAGAAGTGGAACTCGATGGTGTTCTTGCCCTTGAACTTGGCGTTAGCCAGGACGCGTAGGGCCTCCAATATCGTCACGACGCCAGAGCCGTTATCGTCAGCGCCCGGGGAGCGCGCCGACGACGAACCGGCGGTCGAATCATAGTGTGCGCCAACGATGACTTGGTGGCTGTAGTCAGCACCGCGAACCATTATCACGATCACTCGAGGAGCGAGGAGTCGAACTCACCCAGGTTGGTGCTGTTGCCCGGAATCTGGACAATGATGGAGGGCTGGTTGAAGGAGTGAGTGAACTGAGTGACGGTAATGGCTGGGTTGACCGAGGCAATATTCTTGACGGTATTGTATAGCCAAGTGCCGGCCTGAGTGCCATAGGTGCTCCGGTAATGGCGGTTGTGATAGCTGCAGGGTTGGGGTCTCAGCATCTTAGTCTTGTCACAAGCCATCCCATTATACTTACTTCGTCAGCGTCTGCAACCAGTTCTTGGGGTTCGTGGTCGACGCTTGTGCAATCAGGGCGTTGGCCTCAGTTTGATGACTGACTCTGCTGGGATAGGTGACAGCCTGTGCAGAGAACGAATCGGCAGGCTCGAGATTAGGAGAAGACAGGGCAGTTAGAACTTCCTCATCCTATCGTCTGTGAGTCAGGACTGCGTGGCGACAGAACTCTGTTTTCACCGGGCACGAGACATACAGTGATATCCGTGATATCGATGAAGTTGATGCCCTTCGTCCTGAACTCAATCTTTTGTTCCTCAGTTACCCACTTGCCGTGGTCTTCGGGCGAAGTCTTGATCAGGCGGAGGCCAGGACGAGACGGCCTGGGCGCCTGTTCAGCTGCAGGGGCAGCAGCAGTAGACCACGCCCAAGTGGCGAGCAGAGCGAAAAGTGCCTGAGACCGCATGTTGATCTATGATGATGTTGTTGTCCAAGGTTTGATATCAAACTTTATTGAGTGGCTGTTTGGCTAGGTTGGAGTTGGACAACTTTGGTCGTGTCTCCCGAGACCACCTATCCTTCATCTTGTCGTCTCTCATTCTGCTCTTATACTTTGTCTGCCGGCTTCTAATCCAGGCGTCGTGACGTACGGTGGATTGCTGTTCTCCTATGAACAAGAGACGAGTTTCATGCCGCGGTCGGTGGGGTTTCCCAATTGAGCAGCTTACGTGCAACATTGCGGTGTGTAAGTCTGGATCAGGCAGGTAGGCGGCTTGTTGCATCAGCTAACCCACGATCACACGGCCAGCGCGTTGCTTACATCCGCTGCGAGGCTGCACAGGTCCCAGTGGCTTTGAATTTCTGATATAGAGGAGCTCTATGGGGCATTCCGCGTCTTAACGGTGGTCACGGTCCTAATCTAGTCATCATCTCATCCACACCTTCGTATATGTGCAGCATAGGCCAATCTCAGCCACATGTAGGATCTAGGAACGGCTGGCAATGACGTTTCCAGATCCTTTCCACGCATCGCTATACGTACTACGTAAGATACCCAACGTCAGCTTCATATAGGATCTAGATGCTGCTTACGGATTACACTTCGTGTTTGAACATATCCAGTCGTTCTCAAATCAGCATTCGAACTCACTGACAGAGCACGTGCCTATCTCCAAGCTCACACGTATGAAACACGACGGCAGCAACCCGTTATATGTCCACGTTGCAATGTCCACGCAGCCCAGACATTGCCTTCTAGACTGCGGCTCTCGACTGATATGGCACGCCGCACATATGCAAAGTAAACTCCACGCTATTCCCGTCAGGCACATGTTTCCAAGCCGAATGGCATGTTTCTCATGTAGTCAATACCTCGCCGTGGTCTGGTCCCAGCGTATCGAACGGCATTCCCCTTTGCAAAACTATGCTCAGATGCATATAGGACGTTTTGAGACAAAAAGTCGGAGTTTCTCTCGCGCGTTGCAGTCGCTCGACCACTTCTTTTGTCGCCTTTCCCAACTGCCAGAAGCGGCCTAGCGGTTATCGTCTTGTGCTGTAACCCCCCACCCCAAGCCTACCTTACGGCTAGATATGTTGCAGCAGTGCGCACGTTCTGCGCGATTATCAAAGAACACTGCTTTGGTGCCAGCACCGTGCTGGTGATAAGCAGGCAGAGATACCATATGGGTTCCTGAACACCCAAAAGCAACGCATCATCTCGCTAATGTGCCATAACTTGGCGAGCTGCTTCGTGGGGTGTGGTCACTGTGATGTTGCCATGGCAATGACATTACCGCTTACCTCAGGCGCTCTGATGAGGAAAAGACCCCTTTTGCCTGAGCTACAACGTGATGATAGTCCCTGCCTAGATTTTGGGCACAAGCACTTGCAGAACGAGGGCAGATTGGCGTGATTGCTCAAGAAGCCCCTTAACCCCCACTGCAGCCCCTCACAGCATGACACCCGTATCGACAAGACGGTCATATATACACGATTGACAAAACACCTATAACCACCGACAGTGTTGACTGCTACGGAGCCTGAAACGTAATGCTGTGAAATATGCATCTTTTACAGCCCCAAGTGAATCACGAAAAATTCCGTATACGATTGCTGGAAAGAATAAAATACTATGCAGCATAGCAAGTTGACTTATATCAGCTGGTGTACAGCTCCACGGCATCAAAGATCTGTATTCGAACAAACCAGGTCAGTAACTTGGCCATCGACGTCAAAGTTGACAGAGAGCAAGCAGAAACAAAACAGAAAACACTTACAAAGTTAGGGCTCAGGAACTTGGCTCCGCTGCTGCCAGAGATGACGGAGATGGTGATGGTGTTGCTGCCAGCGACGAGCTTGTCAGCTGGGATACTAACGGTGTAGACTTCGCCATGGCCGCGATAGGCTCCACGGGTAATACCGCGACTGTCAATCTTCGTCGGCGCTGCCGGAGCAGACGCTGTCCAGCCGTTGATGGTGGCCTGGGGACGGCCGCCCGCGAAGCTAAGCGTTGTGGCAATCCTCAAGGTAGCAGCCCCGGGAGCGCTGGCCAAGTTGAACTTGATGGTAACCGGATTGTTTACGTCCTTGAACACAGCCATGGGAAAGTCAGAGAGGGAGGAGCTGCCCACCGTATATGTCAGTGGGCCCCAGCTGGCCATGCGGCTGTCGGACGGGTGCATCCTCAGGAACTTGTCGGCGTTACGGAAGCCTGTGGGCTGACCATCGTACTCTCCAATCTGCCAGAGCGTCTTCCTCGTGGTGTTGAAATTGCCCGCAATGTTCTGGGTCACAGTCTGTCCAGCAGAGACGGTGACCATAGTGGTAGCGATCTTGAACTCAGTCTGGTACAGCACCATTGTGTACGTGCCAGGCTTCATTAGGGGAGATGTGAATGCCCCATTTGAGGACGTCTTAGCCCAGTACTGTGCCTGGCTGTTGTACCAATGGACAACGCCCTGCATACCTCTTTGGATTCCGGTCGCTGTGCCCTTAACTGTGCCGCGTCCTGAAGCAGGCACATAACCGGTAATGCCCAACTCTGAGAAAAAGGAAACATCGGTGTTCTTAACAGTTGGGATGCCAGAGCGTGAAAACTGCATCAGGTAAGGCCCGTGAAGCCCCATGCGGAAGGCTTCGGTTTGTACGTGACCGCTGTTCATGTAATTGTAGAGGTTTGTCGAGGCACCCGCATTGTTGGAGTTGATATCACGGAAGAAAGGACCGCCGGAGGAGGACTCTTGCTGCGGCGTCAAGATGCAGACATGGATCAGATCGCTGCCGCCGTACACGCAGTGGGCGTCTTCATCGATGAAACGAGTGGACGAGTAGAACTTTGACCGTGTTTGCCCGTTGACCAAGAAGACGTCTGAACCCTCAACCGTTGCGCTGGACCCAGCTGTGTTCGAGACTTCGCCGTACGGGTACTCGTTAGGAAGCTTGTCTGGCAGCAACCGGGCGATCCAGCGCAGCTCGCCAATTGACGGCTCAGCCGTGATATAGGTCGCCATATAAATGATACTGTCGCCCTCTCGAACCACCAGATAGTGCGTCAAGGTCGATGTCACGCACGTGACCTTGATGTACCGCTTGGATCCGTTGATCTGCGTGATAGAGACGGTAGCCGATCCTAGGCCGGAGTTGATGTGGCTGCCAGTATTTCCATATTGGAGTTCGGTGCCACGATATTTGATCGACTTGATATCACAGTTGGACTGGCTGACTGAAAAGATCAGTGGATTGGCGGAACCAGCATCAATCACGTAGTTGCCGCCCGAAGACGTGTAGCCAAACGCCCCAAACACTCCAGAGACGAAGAACGTGAGCGAAATGATGAAGAGCTGGACAGCATTCAGCAAAGCCATATTGACCACCCGTCGCACCGGCCCTGGAGCCGGTGGTATTTCTGAATGATTAACGGCTCGCACGAGTTGTGCTGAACGTAGAAGATTCTAAGTGCTCTGGGAAGAGTTATGGGCTCGATCATATCCATCCAAGTGTCCATATATAATTCAAGGAGTAGGGGACCTCGGGCGTCCATCTGAGGATCTGGTCTTGGGATTTCGGACCTGGAAACCGACGACAATGCATCTCTGCGGTTGAACGATCAAATTCAAGCGCCATTGGTGGAAATATAAACCGAATCCGGGGTAGAAGGAGAGCATAACAGAGGTTCTGTAGCATTCGGTGAAACGAATCCTGTTCATCGAAGCTCTGGTGTGTTTCGCGTTTCGCCAAGACGGGGAAAGCCCACCGTTGCGGTCCTCACGGCCGTCCCAGGGCCAAGAGGCTACAGCTCCTGAGAAATCGACTACTTCCGAGTATGACTGCTTGGCCAGCCACATCTGAAGCTTCGGGTATATTCAATTGATCTTGGAATACGTAATTGAGAGATACTGGAGGTGAGGGCTGGCGGGATCACTGAACTTGGATGGTAATCGGAACATGAACGCTACCCCAGTCACTTGACGCTGCCATGTTACAGTCACTCATCTATGACTGATGCCTGGCCTAGTTCGCCGGTACATAGTGGCAATAAACTGCATTTCTGAACAGGCTTCTTCAATAACCGTCCATGTGGCATGCTTCAAGCCGAGTCCACTCACAGGAGCAGCGGGCAACCTGGGACATACTTGGAAAATCCGAGGAAGAAAAAATGGGTTAGCCAGGCAGGTGAAGCAACACTACACTGCGGATATGTGTAAACTTGCCCGAAATCGAAGGCGGGTGAGAGTCAAAACAGTCAAAACGCTGGTCCGCAGACAAGTGAAGGGAAGGCGTGTCAAGCTTAGCTTCGCGTGTTACATGCCCAGGTTGGTCGACCGGTCCAACACCTCATTTCATTCTCTTCGCCGGATGTCATGAGATTCTTATATTTGTTGTCATTAGACCAGAATCCCTGGCGATTGAGGAGCAGGTTCCTCTCTTTTCTCAAACGGACACTGGGGGTTGGCAGGTAGCATGTGCCTGCACCGTCCAGGTTCAGAGTCAACCGGAACACCATAACATTCGAAGGAATCAGCGCAACCTCAGCGCCATGTATCATTGTGGAAAGCAATATAACCGTGATACCGTTCTACCGAACGCCCAACCTAGTCATTTCCACTCCTCCCTTTTTATGCGCTTCACGCAGAGAGGCTGACCAGTAAAGGCCCAACATGGTAGTTGAAAGTTGTCGCCGTTTCCCATCATTCGACCCCCCAGAGCATTAATGCTTTACCGCAGACGACGGGCCTCACGCTCAGACTCGAGCAAAACCAGGATGTCGTTCTCACGAACTGGAACACAGGAAGTATTAGTCGACGAACGCGCCATTTTTCGATCGATGTGGGCATCTCAGAGCATACCAGGGCCCTTGACATTGCGGATGATGGAACGGGTAGTGTCGTCCATGAACTCAACACGGACCTGGGTGACACCACCACGGGAGCCTAGTGATCAAAAAAACAATTATCAGCAACTGCCAATATTGTCTTCTTCATATTGTCTTGCGATACGTACCGGTACGGCCAAGGACACGAGTGACCTTGACGAACTTGACGGGAGCCTTCGAGGAATCCATTTTTGCGATTGATGGACTTTGCGGTGGATGGGAAAATCGGTCGCCGGGTCAAGATGTAGAGGGGATGCTGAGTTGCGAAATTTCACCGAGATGCAGTTGTGCGGAGCCAAAATCGCAGGGCTGCGGAATATGTGTATTTCCGATCCGGTAGCGCCGGGGCCTTGCCGAACCACCGCCAAGACAAACATAAAATCTGCCGCGTTAGCCGCTAAGAGCCGCGAGACAGCTGTCCCTAGTGCAAGACGGCCTTTACCGGTCCGCCGATGTGGGTCCGCGTTTGGGTGCAGGTGCTGTGGGCGCAGAGGCCTCTCTCGCGAGGCAATCCATCCCAACTTTGCTTGCCTGTGATTTGTGTCCGTCATAAAAAATGGCAGCATTTTCAACTCAAACACACGCTCACAACAGTCTCAAATGTACTTATATCCAACGTCTTACCCGGCCGCTGAATGGTCGTATGCATCTACGGCATCATGCTCACTCCAGACAACCTAAAGGTACCATTCTAGGGGACTTCCAAACCGCGATTTTTTGGTAACCTAATACACACTGCAGCTTAGTTGGATATATCTGGCCCAAATAACATATAAATTTGCCATAGTCCAACTACCAAGGTATTGCCGGGGGATACAGTCTTAAATTAACTTTAGCCAGGACTGCCATTACCACAGTCGCGTCTTATATTCAGCTTGGTCACACTTCGATTACAGGAACCCCCTGTTCTCAATTTAAGTTGTACTTTCTTTCCTCTTAAGTCTGCATTCGTACCTGAGCTGCGTTGGTTATAATCAGGGGTTTGAGCTCGAGACCCTCTATGCAGATCATCAGGTACCGTGCAGAGTTCAGTGGTGGGGAGAGAGGGGACACCTAAGTGGATTCATTGGCCTGGATCCCAACCACCTCATCACCTTGCATGGAGTTGTACTGTGTAGTAATCGCTGAGGGGCACACACTCAAATCTCTTACTTTTATGCCTTCACCACATCTTATCATCAATAATACAGAGCATAGCCCAGTGCCGAGTTACCTTTCTGTTTTGGTGCCAACTTTAGCAAGCTTGACGGTTGTCACCAATCCAACTTCCCAAGCTGTTGCTGGCAAAGACTACTCCCCAGATAGAAAATGGGTTTGCTTTCGAAGCTCAAAAAGTTGAGCAAAGAACTTGGACAGGAAATCGAGCAGATGATTGATGCCTTGGCATCTCATGGCTGTGATTCTAATCGGAAGGTGTTCGCGCATTATATGGTAAGGAACCAGACATGACGATGGGCATTATCTGAAAGGGCAGCTCTCACTGACTTGTCATCTCCTGTTTAATAGGTGGGGTTAACATATGGCCAATCTTCTCAACAGTGGGCTCATGACATAAAGACGGCGAAAGAAGCGGGCATCGATGGATTTGCGCTAAATATTGGACCTTCCGATCATTGGACAGTAGCCCAGTTGGATTTGGCCTACGAGGTCGCTGAGCAGGCTGGGGAGTTTGTCTTGTTTCTTTCATTCGAGTACGTACTGTTTTCCCCACAATTTTCTGTTTATCCCTCTTAAGAGCTGACTCTATTCGGTAACAAGTATGGCTGCGGGTAGTTGGGAAGTCTCTCAGGTAGTTGACTTCATCAACCGTTACCGCGGATCACCTGCACAGATGAACGTTGATGGAAAGCCACTTGTCTCGACGTTCGAGGGACCTGACTGGGCCGAAAACTGGCCAACAGTCCGTAGTCAAACTGGTGATATATTTCTTGTCCCTGACTGGTCAAGCCTTGGACCTTATGGGATCGGTGAGAAGCTTGACTTAATCGATGGTGCATGTGCGCTGTCTCTAACTTGATTTTGGATCTTGTCAAATTCTAATGCTAAGTGTCTGTAGTCTCTTGGGATGCATGGCCCAAGGCAGGACAAAGAAAGATGGGCACTGCAGAGGATCTTCTCTATTTGGACAACCTCAAAGGCAAGAAGTACATGATGGGAGTCAGTCCGTGGTTCTACACAAGTGAGTTTCCCTTTTGGGCTCTACTACCAAAAAGATATCTCTGACATGAGTCTCAGACCTCCCACAGTGGAATAAAAACTGGCATTGCTCCAGCGAGTCGCTGTGGTTCGATAGATGGCAGCAGGTTCTGGAGATCATGCCGGATTTTGTCCAAATTATAACTTGTATGTCACGCATTGCCAAAACACCGAGTTTCGTGATGCTGACATCCTGTTCTGCATTGATAGGGAATGATTTTGGCGAATCCAGCTACATCGGCGACACTGTCCCGGAACAAATCGTGCGAGGTGCCGAAGATTATGTCGTTGGATACTCTCATTCTGCGTTCCGGGCGGTTCTCCCTTATTTTATCCGTGCCTACAAGATGGGTTCTCCTTATGTCGGCTGGGCCGGAGAAGATATTGCTATTGCTTGGTACCGCACCAGTCCAGCACGAGCCAACTGCGATTGTAGTAAGTATCCGAGTTGTCTTCATCTCTTTCCAACTTGTCATTCGATGATTTATTCTTAACCAGAACCCCCCTTTTCAGGCACAGTGTGGGGGCAAGGTGGCTCGCTTTCGGCATCTGCGGGCGCTCGAGACGTCATCTCTATCATAGCTATAACCAGGGAACCGGCGCACATCAGCGTTTGTATCGGAGATGGTTATACCAAAGAATTCGTCACGGCGGGCCAGTGTAATGCTGCTTACTTCGAAATGCCGTTTGATGAAAGCACAACGGGGCCTGTGAGGCTCAGTCTCAATGGCAAAATCACGAGAGGGCCAGCGATACAAGCAGAAGTTCGTGGTGAAAAGGTAAGTCTCAGCAAAACCAGTGCTCTTCACAAAACCTAGGCCTCCTAACTACCTGTTCTTCGCAGGTATCATTCAACGCCGTTGCAATCCAAGTCTAAGTCAACCATTAAAATTCAAAATTCCCCCTCAGAGGGGGCATTCAGTACACCAAAAGAGTTGACGATGGTTTTTAAGTTGGTATTGAGCCTCATGATTTAGACGGGAAGCCAAGTTTGGAAGGCAAGATAGTACACAAGTATCCATCAACAGCTGATTGCTCTGGTACCAGTACGAAGGGGTAACTTGTTGGCTACCTTGGTGCCTAAGATCTCCAACCTGTCGCAAAGGTTCTCGTAGAGCCCAAAGTGGGAAACGGGATGACGTAGATGGATCCACATGGAGATTAGTCCAATCATGGCTGCAGCTCCACAATTGTGCTCCCAGCGCCCCACAAACAGCGTGTGTTCCTGCCGCGGAAGCTGTGTTCCTCTGCGAGTTTTGACGACGTCACCTCCCGGGCATCCGACCCCGACCGCGCCAACTTCGCGACATTCGCGAACCACAAACCTCCCTATTATACTCGCCGTCATGCGACGTGCCACTTCAAGCCTCCAATCTAATATCTCCAGGCCGCGAGGACGATGAGAAAACACAGAATAATGTATTCACCCAGCAGATAGACCGCAGCAACCATCATCATTGCCCACCCGCAAGAGCCGCATCGACATGAGGCTGGCTCTTCTTACTCTGGGCCGGCTTGTCTCCCACACTGAAGCCTCGGTATGTTCCACGCGCACTTTAAATGCCATGTCGAGGCCGTTACGGCCGTTCCGTGTGTCCATCCGCGCCTTCTCGTGCCGAGCAGACCGGCGATTTGGTCATTCCACATGGCGAGCGCGGCGACCTATCCAAGGCACCTTAGTGGCAACTGCCGGTGGCATTTTAGCCTTTTCGGTATTTCTTGAGCACCCTGAGTCTGAAAAATCAAAGCCCAACCATGGACCGGCGGGCAACGAGCGCAAAGATGAACTCCCTCTAAAGGAGCTCGACCATTCCGCCCACGATTGCGGCAGCGCTCTGAGCCAACTACCCCAGAAAGTTGTTCTGTTCTTGGATATATACCTCTGGGAGCCGATATGCACAGGCTTGCGATTTTTGCAGCTTGCTGCCATCTTCATTCCCGTAATTTTGACAATACCAGCCATTTGGATTGGGAACCGGCAGCCGGATCGAGATAATGAGCGGAGCGGGACTCTGTGGTGGTATGGTTTTCTGGTCCGTTCCATGGAATGGGCTGGCCCAGCATTCATCAAGGTACACTTGGGATAACCTCTCCCACCTCGTGAAACCAGTCGATTGCTAACTGCAAGTACATAGCTTGGGCAATGGGCAGCTTCGAGGACTGACATATTCCCCAACGAGTTATGTGACATCATGTCTAAGCTCCATGCCAATGCTCCAGCCCACTCCCTTCAAGACACAAAACAAATTATCCGAGAAGCATTCGGCGGGCGCAATTTTGAAGATATCTTTGAGGAGTTCGATGAAGAGCCACTGGGCGTTGGAGCTATCGCACAAGTATACAAGGCAAAGCTGAGGCCCGACCTCGCGGTCCCTGGCGATATCGATGTTCCAAAAAACCCCACTGATCTGCGTCACAACGTTCGTAAAAACGTTGGATCTGTCCTTAAAAGCTCCCCAAAGAGAATACCTTCATCCTATGTTGCCGTCAAGGTCCAACACCCCGGAGTTGACCGGCTTGTGCGGCGAGACCTCCGCATTATGCGTTTTTTTGCCTCGATGCTTAATGCGATACCCACTATGGAGTGGCTTTCGCTCCCAGATGAAGTTGACCAGTTCGGGGAGATGATGAAGCTGCAGCTCGATTTGCGCATCGAAGCATCAAACCTGTCCAGGTTCCGCAAGAATTTCAAGGACAGAACGACGGCCTGGTTTCCTTATCCTTACACTGAGTTCAGCACCAAATATGTACTTATAGAGGAATTCGCCCACGGACTTCCTCTCGCCGACTTCATGGTCAATGGAGCTGGCGTGTTCCAAAAAGATATTGCCTCTGAAGGTCTCGATGCGTTTTTGCGCATGTTGCTGCTAGATAACTTTGTCCACGCTGACCTACATCCGGGCAATATCATGGTTCGCTTTTACGAAGCGGACCGGCCGAGCTTGCATCTACGCCGCGCTCACGACGCCCCCAGCCCAGAACGCGGAGAAGTAACAGAGCAGGTCCTCGCCCGATTACGTCCGCATCGCCACAACAAAGACCGTTGGGAGGCCGAGCTGGCCCAACTTGATCGGGAGGGTTTCCGCCCGCAATTGGTATTCCTGGATACGGGCCTTGTAACGGAGCTAAATGAGACTAATCGCAGAAACTTTTTGGATCTGTTCCGAGCTGTGGCCGAGTTTGATGGATACAAGGCCGGCCACCTCATGTGTGAGCGCTGCCGGCAACCTGAGGCGGTTTTGGACGAAGAGATATTCGCACTCAAGATGCAGCATCTGGTGCTTGGTGTCAAGAGCCGAACTCTCGCACTTGGAAACGTGAAAATTGGCGATATCTTACAACAAGTCCTTAGCATGGTCAGGCAGCACCACGTCCGGCTCGAGGGAGACTTTGTCAATGTCGTCATCAGCATCTTACTCCTTGAAGGAATCGGCCGCACCATGGATCCCGAACTAGACCTTCTCAGCAGTTCTCTTCCGATTTTGAGGCAGCTTGGCACCCATACCGGCAAAGACATGGTCAAGCAAGGCGATTTCTCCATGATGCTGGTCTGGCTGGGTTTGGAAACGCGGAAATTCATGCAAGCCAGCGCCCAGGATGTAAGTCACCAGCTTCCTGTGCCTTTCCCACACATAAGTCTCACTGACGGAACCCGCATCGACAGGTTGAGAGATGCGTCAAGTATGATCTTTTGTCCCCTAATGTCTAGTATAATCCTCCAGAATTGTGGATCTGCTATCCCTGCGTTTGTAGATTGTTAGGGGCACTGACAACTCGATCCTTTTACTTAAAGTTGGAGTGCCATGTCGTGCTTCATGCTTCAAAAGTGTAGTTACTGCTTCGGTATACTACATATGCTACAGATATCTCTTTTCGACATGCATATGCCAAGGCAAAAAAACAGAAGAGTACTTGATAAGACTGTCACGTCAAAGGTAGTTCTAATAGACATACGAATAAGCGTCAATTTGCTGAGAAGGAAGGCCTATTATCTGTGTCTGTACCGCTCGCCGGCCTCGAAGTACTCTCCTGTCTGTACAGACCCGCTCTGGCAGAGCAAAGGCGCGCTGGGTTAGGATCTGGGCCACAGTCTCACGGTCTCATCCATGAGACTACGACGCAATGATGGTGGAGAAAGCCCCGCAACTATCCTATGCGGCCCCACGGCTTGGCGAATAGAACGAGACGTCATTTTCGAGCAAGCGCCGGCTGGCCGGTATCTTATCAGGCCCAGACAGGAACGATAGGTCTCAGTTTTTTTTCCCTCTCGGCTATCCTGGACCTGCTTATACAACAAGTCATCGCAACACCAGCGCTCCTCGCTTCTCTTCTCGACTAGGTGGCCTTCATTCTTAGCCAAAGCGTCCTTGGTTCTACAAATTTGCAAAACAAACATTAGCCATGGGTTGGTTTTGGTCGGACGCAGCCCCAACGGCACCCGCAGCCCCTCCATCTGCCTCGAAACACCGAGCACAAGCCGGATCCCCTCCTGTAAGCCACACACCAGCCCCATGATTCAGGTCGTAATTCCTCATTTCCTCTTGTGTACTGACATACTACCCACCTCAGCCTGGATGCCCAATGCATAATCGCACCGTGGAAGCCTTTTCCTCCCCAGTATCATCCCAAAATGCGGCCTCATCTTGCCCCGTCCCTCACGGCAACCCCTCAGCAAACGCAGCCCTTTCTTCGTGTCCCATCACCCAAGGCAACGGAGCAAGTACAGCATCCGAGACTGCAAGGGATCAGCCATCATTGTTGTCAAAGCTCAACCCTCTGAACTACATGTTCCACAACATCTCTCAAGAACCAGCTCCGAATCAGTCCCAGGCCTTGCCCACCACCCGAGACATCTCCTCCATTCCGAAGGGCGATGGCAGCGGCAATTGGGAGTATCCTTCGCCTCAGCAAATGTACAACGCGCTGTTGCGCAAAGGGTACACAGACACGGATATCACCGCCGTCGAGAGCATGGTTGCCGTCCACAACTTCCTCAACGAAGGCGCCTGGAGTGAGATCGTCGACTGGGAGAGGAGGTTTGGAAAGGGCCTGCTACGTGGCTGGCAGGTCAGCAAGCGAGGGGAGGAGAATGCGCCATTGGAGCTGAGACGCCTTGAGGCCCAAGAGGGTGGGCCCGTGCAGCCGACCCTCATCCGTTTTCAAGGAAGGCCCAATGACATGACTCCCAAGGCGGCACTTCTTCAGCTACTTGGTCGGGTGTACCCCTCCAAGTTTAAGTGAGTCCCAACTTGCCTATATTCAAACGATCAGCCAATGGTTAACATATTTTCCCTCTAGCACCGAGCCCCCATTTGATCGCCATGACTGGTATGTCTCACGAGATGTCAATGGCAAGCAAAAGGAGGTGCGCTATGTCATCGACTTCTATTCAGGACCCCCCGAGCCCACGGGTGAGCCGGTCTTTTACCTTGACGTAAGGCCTGCCCTGACGCCCACTGGCGCCGTCGAGCGGCTGATGCGTTGGGGAGGAGACGTCTGGTGGAGGGCGTCAGGCGGCGAAGTTCGCGAGCAGAACAGGAGAAGTACTGAGAAATGATCGAAACTATTTTGGCGGCTTTCAAGTTCTTGGGTGCAAAAGGATAAAGGGGCCTTCTCATCTCAATGTGGCTTACGGCGTCTTAAAAGGGCTAAACTGGTGTCTGGTTGGTTGGCTTCTGGGGTTGGGACCAATACTTTTGTGATTTGCAAGTCTGATGTGTACTATATACTAAGTGAAGCACGCAGAGTTCTGGATGGCCACCATTACGTTGTTGTCCTTGAAAACCTGGTACTCAAGCAAGTCAAACAAAGAAGTCCACGAAACCCGTTTCCGGATTTCTCCCTCGGGTATCCAGCTCGTCGCGTGACCCACCCTGTCATGGAAGCCTCCTTTTTCAGCTGAGAAATAGCCGTACATGAGATATGTGCTTGTAGTATAGGGCGCTCATCTCTCTCTCGGCACCGATCCCTAATGATAAGTACCTATATAGCCAGTCCTATCAGGGAACATGAAGCTATGACACTTTACCTAGTCATTCACCATTCCACTTAACAGGCCCATATATCTTGCTTGTCCTAGCGCTGTTACCTTTCCTTGGCTCGCTGCTTGAAGCTTCTTATTCTCCTAATGGATTCATTCGTGAATAGTTCGCTCTCTTACAGAGCGCAGAGAGTAGCGTTGTTATTAAACTTGAGATATGTGAAGTCCTAAGGGCATGCTACAAATCAAACGTAGTGAAGACTGAATGACTTCACTAGATTGGTGATAGTTTTGAGTGATTATAGTGCAATCGTCACTTGCACTCAAGTTTATATACGACAACCCTAAATCCGGGAGGGTAGTTCAAGTCCCACGAACTCCCGGCAAAGGTCTTGACCGTCGACAACACACTCGACGGCACTGCTCTAGAGCGACTTGGTGCTCTCATGCTCGTGGGCTTTGAGAAGTTGGGTTGCACTCCAATGCAGGTGGTACACCTGCCAAGATTTATGGCCAATGCCGGGTTCATCGACATGGAAAAAAAAGCTGTTCACTGTGACTATAGGACGGTGGGCAAAGCGAGAGAATCAGGAGCTGCTTGAGGCCATAGAGATGGTCAACGTCCTTAAGGTTTTCGATGGGACTGCGACGCTCCTCTTTACTGGAAGGCTTGGTGGACACCCTCGAAGGTAGAGAAATTGCTCGCTGACGTCAAGATGAACTGCTAGAGGTAGTTATCCACGCTTGAGCGACTGAGTGACCTTCATTCAGTACGGGCATAGTACGAGTACCCATACACTGAGGAACGAAGTCGTGTTTTGGGGGCCAAAAGCCCTCCTAAGGCTGGGCTCGCTGGTTTAGCGGATGTTTGTTGGATACGTATGCATCTGAGACGAAAACGGTAACTTCTTAATGTCAACAAACAAATCACCCGCCTTCCAATAATCACTAGATGAATGCTCTGCACAGCCCCCGGGACTCAGCAGACTTTACGAGCAAGTATCTCAAACTTGAGGGAAAGGAAGTGGTTAGATAGTTTGTTACTGTCAAATGGATTGCGGTTTGCTCTGTTACTATGCAAGCAGATTACATAATTCTCAATTCGATGAATTACAGCATGATGTAACTGAGATAGCAAATCGGGTAGTTTGCGTCGTGTGTGATTATCAACCCCTCAACACTCCGATATGCAACAGGATTTCAGCAGCCTGCTTGACATGCACATCCCTACACAAGAAGCCGGTTGTCAAGAACCACCTCTGTGTGGGCTGCTCAGGCTTGCCAAGCCTGCACAGGCCCCCACTCTGATCCTGCAGCCCACATCTCGTGGCTCCGCTGCACCTTGCTTCCGCCAAAGAAAAGTTGAGGATCCACTCAAAAGTTGTTTTGCGCAGAGCCAGCAACTTGGGGGTCCATAACCATCATCAGCCATCATCACTGAGAGGCAAGGGAACTTGGTCACAAACACTTGCTAGCCTCCCGCTTTCCAATGGCCATGAAAGACCCTTCAGTGGAAAAAGCATCATCTACGCCTGTGTTGGACACCCCTTATGTCCGGCTACATATCACACCGCTTGACCCCGACCTGATCAAGACAGTACTTTCGTCAGCTCTCCTCCCGAAAGCTCGCAACATCTCCTATCACACAATCGAGACTTTTCCCGAGAAGCGATACGGGTTCCTTGAGTTGCCATATGAGGACGCAGAAAAGCTTAGAAAAAAGCTTAACGGCGCCACCCTCAAGGGCGTCAAGATTCGTATCGAACGTGCCAAACCCTCCCGCGTCCCGGAGCCACTGGGCCCAGAAGCCATTGCGAGAGAAAACGCTGTGGCAATCGGTTCAGCTGATGTGACAGGCTTAGACAAGAGCAAGCCCAAAAAGCGGAAACGGGACCCTGAAGTGCTTAGTGGTATTGTCCTGAAGGACGGGAGGAAGGTCAAGCGGGGGTGGACCACTGCTGAAGACCCCAGGGAGAAGAAAATGAAAAAGGACAAGGAGGTAAAGAAAAGGAAAAGGGAAAACGAGCCAAAAAAGCAGGCCAAATCCAAGTATACAGACCATGCTGAGTGTCTCGTGAAGACAATATTGCCTGCCAATGTCTCCGCAATGATGGATGCAACTCCACTGAAAAAGAAAAAGGGGAAATCGCGAGAAGTTACGGTTCACGAGTTTGAGAAGACCACTAAGTTTCCGACCTTCTTGAAGACATCGTCAACTAGCGCTCAGTCCAAGCCTGTGCTGGAATTTGTCGACGGGAAAGGTTGGGTAGACGAGAACGGAAATGTGGTCGAAGTCGTCAAAACTAGGCCTCCTGCTCCTACCAAGGTGGACACTTCAAGTGAGATGAAGGAAAGTTCAAAGCAGAACCTACCAGGAGGCAACGGAAGCTCGATCGCCGGCGACGATGAAGCTTCTTCTGACCACGAAGGAACAGCTCATTATAACGAAGATGGTCGCCACTTGACTCCAGACTCGACGACAAATGACGCCCTACTAGTACCTGAGTTACCTAGACCCTCTTCTCAAAAAGCCAAACCAACTGGTCCAAAGGAGGGTCTTACAATCAAAATCCCCCCGGCAACGCCCAGTGAACCAAAGGTCCATCCGTTAGAGGCCTTGTTTAAACGCCCCAAACAGCCCGAAGGCGAAGCTGCCGATGAAGGACCTGAGGCAAAAGGCTTTAGCTTTTTTGGTGATAACGAGGAAGGTGTTGAAGAGGATTGCAGTGGCGTAGACGCTGATGGTTTACCTGGCTTCCAAGAACCGTTGACCCCTTTCACTCGTAAGGACCTCGAGCTGCGGGGTATCAGAAGTGCAGCTCCCACTCCGGATACCGCTCATCCTTCCCGAAGATTTATACCATGGGACAATGAGGATAATGATGAAGAAATTGGTCGCGAGGAAACGCCACAAGGTCACGAGGAAGCAGAAGCTCTTCCCAGCAATGATATAATGCCGGAGAATGATAGTGAGGGGAAAAAAGCTAGTGACTTTGAGAAGTGGTTCTGGGAGAACCGAGGAGAATTGAACCGAGCATGGAAAAGGAGAAGAAAGTTGGCGGGCAAGGAAAAGAGGTATAGAGAAAATAAGGCTCGGATGGCCCGGGCCATCTAGCCTGGCGCTTCCGAACAGACAAACTCGTACACACCAGGGCTGGTAAATGAAGCTGGGATCGATGTGGTTACAATGTGAATCGTTGATTACTTGATTAAGTCCCCATTCGTAGGTGAGGACACTTCTCTCATGGCATCATCTGACAGTTCGCAACTCCGTACAGTGATATTGTGTCTGTCTCTGGGACAGCCCGACATTTCCCAGAACCAGCCACGTCTCCTCTTTCGATTTCTTCTTCACACCTTCAATGCGTTTATCGTCGCCATCCTACCGGCTTTGCTTTATGTCACCCTTTCGGGTTAACTGGACGTCGAACACCAGGCGACCACGAGCAGGAAGATCGCTTGGACCCTCAGTCTGGGTGTAGCGTTGCTAGAGCAACGTTCATATTCCCCACCATTTTTCACTCCCTTCTTGTTCATTATTGATAATGTGTCTTGTTAATGTTCAGCAAATTGGCGAGTGCCCAGAAGCAAATGAAATAGCAGGACAACTTCTCACAAAACGTATGTCGACGAAGTCATCGCCGCTGAGAATGCATAAAGTGACGCCTCCTAAGGACTCAATGGACATTAGCAATTCCAATCTCGCTTGCTACGGTCTCCAATTCAGTTGGATGGGCCCATGTTGTCATCCTCTTCAGCTTGCTCAACCTTGCGCAAAGTGCTAAGGCGGTTGAGAGCAGGGGCGTTGATGTTCAACCGCTTCAAAAGCGGTTTGGTACTAGAGGAGGCGCGAGGGGTCGTATCGGTGTGGATGGCTCCACGGCTTCGGCTTGATGAGGCGTCGCTTGGAGGAATGCTTGCCCTCAATGAGTCGGGTGGGATGGAACTCCTGGGTGTTGTCTCAGGTATCATGCTTCCACAGGTCATAGGCCAAGCCTCGTTTTGCGAATAGCTGCCAAAAGCCGCAGGACTGGCGGAAGAGGTCCGGGCACCTCTCTCGTTGAGAGGGCTGTAGCTCTCTGCCACAGCCTCGCAAAGCTCAGTCAGGATGCTCACTTTGGTATCCGACCTAGGAATGCCGAAACCATGACTCCCTTCATTCTCAGAACTGGATCCGTTTTCCGAGTCCGGTTTCAGCAATTCCCTGCGCGACAAGGACTCTTTGAGCGAGTTTTTCGGCTTGGTGGCTGTATTGTCGTCATCACTAGCATTATGTTCACGCTTACTTCTGACAAGCCTTTGCTTGCCTTTGCTTTTGAAAATGCTCCGACATTGGCTGTTGGAACCATTGTCCAGAGCATTCGGCTCGTCATTGCTCTGTGAAGTTCCCGATTCTTGATTCTCGAGCTTGGCAACTCGGCTCTCGAGTCTCTCGACATATCGACGAAGCTGTTCTTGATCCGCTGCAAACTTCGTCCAGGCTGCACTGGTTGTTTCGTCATTCTTCTTATCTTCGTCCTGTGGCAGGGGAGGTAAAGGCCTGTCTCGACGCTGCACTTGAATCCACAACTCATCGTCGACTAACGTTTTGCTCGTCTTTCGATAGTGGATCCAACCGAAAGCAACAATCAGAGCAAGAACCATGACAAATGAGATGCTAACAGTCATCCATGCTATCATAGTAATCCGCGAAGGGTCGTCTCCATTGGACATCACAACAGCTGTAATGCTAGACGCCGAGCTGATGAGTCCCGCGACGAGAAGTAACAAGCAGGCTAGGAGCATTTTCTCCAGACGATCCAAGCCCCACAACTCTCTAAGATTTTTTGGCAGTCGCTCTGCGTTCTTGATCCCTTCCAAACCCGAAATTAGCTCCAAAGGAGGATGGCGGATGACTGGTCCCTTACGAAGCTCTTCCACAAATGAGTCCGACGTGAAGAAGTTGCTCAGTCTGGTACTTAAGCGACTAAAGCGACCAGGTCTTCTGATACTGCTCGGATGACTAGAACTATTTGCTCGATTGATTGTTTTCGTCAGTTCAGCGCTACCCTCTCCAGGAGGGGAAGTGATTTTGATCTCGACGCACCGAGCGTCACCGGATGCTGAGCCTTGTGTCTCGACTTTTTCCGGCTTCAGGTTCCCAAAATCCTGCTGGTTGCGCCGGGTAATTGAAGACTGTTGGCAGCCACCAGCAGAAGCATCAGGTTCCGCTTGTTGATAGTTACTCCTAGGTGTTCTTGGGTTTGTCTCGAAATCATTGGACGAGAGACCTTTGTTCTTTGCAGGCTCGTCGTTGCTTGGGCCTTCTTCAGAATCAGACAGTGTTTTCGTCAACGCTGTTATTACCAAAGCCGGCTCTGAATGCTGTTTAACGACACGGTATCCCTCGGTTGCCTGAGCTTCGATTGAGCTTCCTGCAATCACTAACTGTTCAGGGGCCTCTCGGAAGGTAGTTGAAGTGCTGAGTGTGGTCTTTTTATGCTCAGCACCAGGCTCAACAGTCGGGCATCCAGCAACCAGGTTTGGCCTTTCGGTGCTTCCTAAACGGATGGACCCTTGTACGTCGCTTGTCAATACATGCTACGCTTGACCAGAATCTCAGCGATTAACATACCTGATGTATAACTGCAGGTGGCGCAGGGGATGGCGATTTGAGTCTCGCCAGCAAGGGCATCAATGGAGGCACTTGGAAACTCGCGACAAAAAACGTTGGAGACTCTCACTCCCTCGCTTCCATTTGACGAGCCAGAGGTGCAAACTTCGATCGGCATCGTGGCTCGCTTTTGGGGTCGTATCTCGACCAGAGGGATCGCATCTTTCCCTGGGCTATTCTGGTTGTTTGCCCAAATTCTGTAACTGTTAGCGATCGAGCAAATACGTCTATGGTTCCGAAAGCGACTTACTTGGAAAAAGAACTGTCCGCCTTAAATGGCCAGTTCGAGGACGAGTTTACCTGACCGGCATCAAGAGAAGCGGCAAGTCGATCCATTGGGTTGTACCGTACGGCACGGATCGACTCGTGGACAGACCTCCTGGCTGAATGGAAAGTTGGCTGAGGAATCCGACTTTTCAGTATCTCCTGTCGCCTCTCTGGCGAGAGCCGCCGCTCAGGAGACTGCTGCCGCTGGGTCGAGGGAGAGAACTGCATCTCGAATGTCTTCTTTGCAATGAGGGTTTTTTTTTCCAACTGCTGGTGCACTTGAAGGGTTGTTTTGGGAATCAAAGGAGCCATCGAGCAGAGAAAATCGCAGAAGCAAAAACCACAGAAAGTAGAGACTTGGGGGGAGGGGAGGAAGCACTTGCTGTGAGGTTAGGCCCGCGAGGACCCGCGAGGATCCGCGTGCCCTGAGTAACTAGTCCTACTACATTGATGTCCTTTCATGAGCAAGAGTGTTCTCTCAAACCTCTGCTTCATTTTGCTGCGAAGGCTCGTTAGGCTCACAGTAGGATCAGGTGCACACAGAGAGCTGAAAAATGCAGAGTAGGAGTAGGAGATTCATCTCCCCCAAACAGTCGAATGAGACTGGCTGATCATGGTAAGGAGTGGGCGAAGGAGCAGACGTGATGATTGATGTGGGAATCCAAGATGTTCGACCCCTCTCATGCATCTTCACGCAATTCTTCATCACCCAAGCATCAGATTTCCGTGAGGTTTGACGTGATAAGTTATGTAGGATGCACCCGAGAGTAAAGTAAATCTATGGCCTTTACCTTAGACACACCATTGGTCTTTTCCTAAAAGGACCACATGCCTTGTGGTCATGTTACGTGATACAAGATAATGTTCACCAAAATTACTGGTTCACAACGTGCATTTTACTGCTTAGACACAAACAAGGAGCTTGGGCCTGAACATAGACTGTGTATTCCCAACTATCGTCTAGGAGGTCCACATCCTTGAGGCTATTACAGTGCTTAAAACCAAGGTGAGCCGTGCTCTAAGCAGGTAATAAAGATAAAAACAATTTAGGTACCTTTCAGGGGGGGCTCTAAGGGCAATGAACATCCCTTGCAGTGTCTATGTGTGAAAGGGCTGATATCATTGATATATCTTGCAGAGTCCAGTCATAGGCCTATAGGTCCAAGTGGACATGAGCTGTCTAATATATGCATGTCAAGAGCATCTTGTACTGGCTACGGCAATTTAGAGCTAGTGACTCAACATCTATCCTGGGCAAAATCTGAAAATCATGCCGACATTTTCACGCAAGCAAGGGAGGTTAATATTCGCCTGAAATCAGCCTGCCGAAGACACAAGCCAATGTACAGAAATCTGAGGTCAGGGAAACTCATGGCAATTAACAGAGCAAGATAACCTAAGAAGATTACCTAGCTCTTTTTCATTTCTACCTGGAATCGGAGAGCCCAGTCGGTAAACTCATCCTTTTCTTTGTCCCAGGGCTTAAGGAGGAGCTCCGAGACTGCGAATGCATCCAAGAAACATTCATCCATCTGACGATCAATCTCAACTGGGTCAAGTTCGTAGAAAGCCATTGCGAGGTTCCCGAATTTCTCTGGTATCCGCTTGAGGAGAACCAACACCTCATCCAGACGAACCGGGATATCCGATCCTGTTGGTGGAGTACGGGGTAGAGGCTTTAGTCTCCTTTTAATGGTTGCTTGATAGAGTAAAGTTGTAAGACGAAGCTTTTTAAGACATGCTTCCAGTCTTTCCCGGATCTTATGTGGGTCATCGCGCGGAATCCGGCTGTGCGAGTTCATCAGATCATCCAACAAGGCCTGCATGTTGGACGCACTGTTATCCTTTTCATCATCTCCTTCCACGTCGCTGTCCGCAAGCCCATCGTTATCATCATCATTGTCTTCTTCTGCTTCTTCTCCCCACTCTTTCAGCTCCTCCATAACATCCTTCAGGGTCTCACTGAGTTCCTCGACCTTTTTTACCAGAATTCCCGAAAATCCCCTCTTGCCGAAGGCTATCACATCCTCACAGGCAGACCAAAGGATACCAGTGGTAGCAATACTTCCCCTACCCTCAGCGGCACCAGGCGGAGCATTCTTTTTAGCATCGGGCAGGATCTTGCCATCTCGGGGTATTTGTGAGATAAGAACGGATAGTTCCTTGAACACACGCCCAGCACGCCAGGCGAGATCGTACTGGATAGCTTGTGTATACTGGCTTGGGGAGCAAAGTTCGACAGCTGCAGCTAGGCTGGGCAACGGAGCAGCAACTAAATCCTGAAGAACTTTGGTAATAGCTGTTGGAGTAAAAGGCTCGTTGATAATGAGAAGCGAGATCTTGGTGGCATGGGCTTTGATTAACGATGCAGAGTCGTGGGCGACGGTCAGTGCGTCAAGCGATGAACTGTCTGCTGAAAGCTGTTGTGTAGTCCGGCCGTCCACCCTGCCATTTTCGACGCTGCCCTGAGAAGTGACCTGGGATACAACAGTCTGGAGTTTGTCGATGAGAATCAGCGCATTCGTGATGGCGGCATTAAGCGCCTCAATGGCCTCAGATGATGATGGCATTATGGAGCTGGTATCGCCGGCCTTCAAGAGCAGAGCAAACCAAGCTTTGTAGGTCGTCTCGTCTCCCTCCTACAGCGGCAGGAGTCTGCTCTGCGCGGTGATGGAGGGGTCCAAGTCGTTTAGTGGGGCCAGTCCTGCGCAGGCTTCAGTTACGTCGCGTGTTGAGCAGCTACGCGCTTTGTTCTGTAAGCAGAAAGTACGTACGATACAGATACAAGTTCGGATTATCGTTTCGTCCCTAATCGAATGACGACTGTATCAGTTTCGCGTAGTTACCATACGGTACTTACAGTGATACAGACAATGACAACTGTTATTGTGTAAGAACAAGGTGAAAGGCCGCTTTGGGCACAAGCGGGTCATGTTATCTGTTGCCACGTGATTGAGGACCCAGCGTAACAGTCTGGGTGTTTCAGGTTTGGCAAGCTGTCCTGTCTTGAGTCCGAAGGGACAAGAAGACGTAACATCGAGGTCGATCGAAGGTTCTCTGTCCTCAAACCTGACAGCTTGGGAAACCAAACACACATTCCATGTGCTGCTAGACGGCACCGTCTAAGGCGCCACGACTGAATCGCCATGCGAAAGACAGGAACATTGGCGCTTTTGGGCGCAATAGCTCACGGCGCTGTTGTTGCATCAAGTAGCTTGCCGCGCGGTGTTGGCCCCGAGTGTAAGTGGTTGGCGTCTCCTATCTACTAAGGGCTGACTTTATTTCTCGTTCACTACACGAAGAATTAGTGCCTGTTAAGGTCACTCGGTGATAGCATTACTCTTTTCCGGTCACTCAGTCTGCTATCAGAGCCATACAGACCAGATCTAGCTGACACCCTCGTCCATACAGTCGCCAAGTACTACACTAGCCAAGGCACCTTCACGTGCATTGGCACTCCTTCCATAACTCTGTCGTCCTCCCAAATCAATGACAACTCGTGCGATTGCCCAGATGGTTCTGATGAGCCGGGGACGGCCGCATGCGCTCACCTCGACCGTTTATCACCCGAGCAGCCCTTGCCAGGGTCGCTGACGGGAACTACGAACACAACCAGCACGCTTCCCGGGTTCTGGTGCGCAAACGAAGGCCATATTGGAAGCTACATCCCCTTCATGTATGTTAATGATGGCGTCTGCGACTATGAACTCTGTTGCGATGGCAGCGACGAGTACGCCCATGCCGGCGGTGTACAATGCGAGAACCGCTGCGCAGCCATTGGCAAAGAATACCGGCGTCTGGAAGAAGAACGGAGACGGAGCAAGGAGAGGTCGATCAAGAAAAGGAGAGCTTTGGCCAAAGAGGCTGGCGAACTGCGACGTAAGGTCGAGGCCAAGATTGTTTCCCTGAAGGACGAAATTAAGAAACTCGAGGTCAAACAGGAGGAGTTGCAAAGGAAGCTAGAGGAGATCGAGAAGGCTGAGCGGGCCAGAGTTGCCAAGCCAGAAGGTCCCAAGGGAAAGCTGGGTGTCCTCCTCAGCCTGGCAAAGAGTCGGGTTTCGGAATTGCGCAATGCCCTTGACAAAGTGTTGGACCAGCGCGATGACCTCCGGGACAGAGTCGAACAACTCGAGGACATCCTCACCAAACTTAAGGAGGAATACAACCCGAACTATAACGATGAAGGAGTCAAGGCGGCCGTGAAGAGTTGGGAGGACTATGCGGCAAACCAGGAGCATGAGAAGGCGCAAGAAATATCCGACGCTGAAATCATGGAACTGCTCAAGGAGGATGGCGAAACATCCGGGATCAACTGGACCGAGTTCGAAACTGTTGACGATGAGGCTAGCACTGCTCATAGTTGGGAAGCATATCTTCCTGGTTCGGTTGGCGAGTACCTTCGCGGCACGCTCGATTCGCTGCGCCTGTGGGCCGTTGACAAGGGCATCATTGCTGACGATACTAGCACCGGAAGCGGTCCCGAGTCTCGCGCCGTTACAGCAGCGAGGGATGCGTTGAACGCCGCTAGGAACGAGTTCGCTACCAAGACATCGACATTGGAGGAACAGCAACGGGATTTGGAAAAGGATTACGGCCCGGACGACATTTTCCGCGCTCTGAAAGGCAAATGCATTAGTGTTGATTCCGGTGAATACGAGTATGAGCTCTGCTGGATGGACCGAGCCACGCAGAAGAGCAAGAAAGGCCATGGCAATACTAACATGGGCAACTTCGTTCGTATTGACAAGGATATTGCTGACGACGAGGAACGAATTGATGGGAAAGGCCTGGGGAAAGGTGAAAGAATGGTTCTCCGTTACGAAAATGGCCAGCATTGTTGGAACGGTCCTGCGCGGAGGACGGATGTCTGGCTTGCGTGCGCCGAAACTGACGAGCTCTGGCGTGTCACGGAACCTGAGAAGTGCGTTTACAGGATGGAAGTAGGCACACCAGCTGCCTGCGAGGATATCAAAGAACCAGAAGAGAAGGTCAAAGATGAGCTATAGTAGTTTACACATGCGTTCATATTCTAGGTAGTTACACGTACAGCCCGAATAACAAATAAATGGTTGAGTGCGTGGTGGATGTGGAAGAGCGAAAAGTGAGTCTTTACAGGAGTGAACCCGCATGAGATAGTATAAAGCTAGGTCCATGACTTGATATTAGCAGCGTAGACGGTATAGCAACGAAACACAGGTATAAATCCAGGCATGGAAAAATGAGGGGCCGTTTCATTTCGCTGTTGCTGCTAGCTTACGCCGTTTATTGCGTTCTTCTTGTTCAGCTAGAACTTTAGCCGTAAGAGACGCGGTAGCGGCGTTGTTGATACGACTGGTGATGTCGGATTGCGAAGGAGGTTTGCTCGCCATTTCCTGTTCTTGGCGTGGCTCCCTCATCTTTGCTGTTTTGACCTCCCCGTTCCCATCTGTCTCCTCTGCCTTTCTCTTCTTTTTGCTTGAGCTTTTGTCTTTCTTCAAGCTGTGGGTCAGGCCACGCGCTCGGAGCTGCTCGATTCGGGAGGATAAGAAATCAAGGTCTGACTTCTCAGTCGGCAGGATAGGAATGATGTCTGATTTCTGAAACTGTTCGCTGCATTCTGGACAAACTTCTTCTTGAATCTGCTTTATAGCAGTTTCAGCGAACACATGCCCACAGGGAACTAGGTATACTGCCCGTGTTCCCGCACCCAACTCCTTCAAGGTCACCGGACAGGCCCAGATGTCCTTCCCCTTGGTCCCGGGGGTGAATAGCGCCTGAACTTGAGCTTCACCACGTCGCGCAGCGATTTAATGCCTGTCGCTGCAAAACTCAGCTCTGGTGACTCACCGTTCGAGGGCGCGGCTGTATCATCTTTGTCATCACCACCAGGTACTAATCCCTTGAGGATCGACTCATAGTTATAAAGCCGGCCTCTCCAATCTGACACGACATTTTCCATGTCAAGAGGCTCCAGCGTCAGAGGGTCATGGGTCCAGGCATGGCTGAGGTTCTCAAGAGCGGTGGCCTTGAGTTCGCTTACTGTCGGCGCACGGGCAGCTTCCTTGACGAGTTCGCGACGCGTAGGAATTGAGCCACCGTCGTTGCCCATGCCGCCAAAGCTTCGTTGTGACTTGGGGCGTTCGCGATCCGATTGTTAATCCGCAAATCGCCGGAGGTGTAACTGATAGTTGCGGTGAGAAAAAGCAATGGGACTGTCCTGGGCTGGTATGTGAGAGGCAGTGGCAAGGATATCAACGGACTGGACGAAAGTCAGCGTAGCGTGTGTTTGCATTGTAGGAAATCAATAATGGCCGACGGAATGTCGATGGTGGAGATAAGATAAGATCCAGGGAGCGCTTGGATTGATTACGATACACGCAGTGTCCCTGTAAGACACCTCATCTTACCTGTACCATACCTGGTGGTGGCAAAATCGCATCTTTACAAAGACAGATGGATTTATCAAGCTGAACAACACCTGCATCAAATAGTACCTTCACATACTTACCTTAAAGCACGAAGAAGGCTTTATTTGCTTGGGTAGTAAAGGATTTGCATTCTGTTCTATATAGCTTACAAGTCTCAGCATCAGAGGTGTGTAATCTGAATTTTACGAGTAATGTGTCTTAATAACACAAGGGCAGTTCGCACTGTCCACGCATGTGTGGGGTAATCCTCGCACTGTACCGGACTCTGCTCGCTGGAGACCAGTCGCAGGTGGTCTGGACATCCCCACCGAGAGGAACAACTGGACGTGCACGCCCCACTTCATCCTAAGACGTACCGCGCGGTGAGTTACGCAACGTGACTGCTCTAGAAAGCTCAAGTGGCAGTTAAGGTCTGGCAGGCACTGCGACTTCCCACGTCCATCAAGCTCCCTGGTTTCTCGAGCGGCCGGAGGCAAGCTTAGTTGGGCCAGCCCAAGCCCATATCTCAAGTTTCGAGCAGTCGCCCTTTCAAATACCTCCCATAGGGCAGCCCGTATTCTTCGCCCCTTCGCCGCAACCAACCCCCTTCCCACCAGCCAACCACAGCCGATCGCTGCATACCTACAGACGGCATCTGTGTGCAACTGTTTTGAGGCTCTCCAAATCGCAGCGCATTTCTGAGTCTCCCTCGCTTAGCCTTGTCTACCCCGATCCGTACGGCGCCGCGAAATCCGGTGACGGGCATTGCGAAGCGCACTACGCCCATTTGACAAACAGAGCTGCTACCCAGAGTAGCCCAACCGCCAACTGCAAACCATCGTTGGTCTCTAGCTTGAATACGGCCGCCGACTATGGGCCGCCGACAAGCGATATAGCGCAAAAACGCTTGACCAGATCATCTGGTACTGTCGCAAGGAGGTTGAACAGCGAACATACGTTCCGTTCCAGTTGCGAAGATGTCATCAGTTATTCGAGATACCGTGTCCAGCGCGCTGGATCAATACATAAAGGATGCTAGGAGTCGGTATGTAGCCATACTTGTCAGAGCGGTGTTGCTGTGGCCAGAGAGGCTATATGTCTGGGAAGCACATGTTCCAGCGCTTCCAGCGTCCTCCAGCGCACAGAACATCTGCGTGTTCGATGGTAGCAGAACACTGGGCTGACATCCACAACCCCCCTAGAAGTCACGGGGAAGACCAGCGCAAGCGTGCCGCACGGCAGGTCCGCGAGCTGGTGCATATTGCCAAGCAGGGTGAGTTGCCTTCTCACCATCCATAGCTCTTGAAATATCCTGCAGGCTCCTAACCCTGGGGCAGAGATGAGCGCCGAACAATTCCAGCGCTTCTTTGATACGGTGCACCAAAAGACGATGGCCTTAATTCAGAGTACAGACACCTACGATAAGATGGGAGGTGTCTATATTCTCGATGCGCTGGTGGATTTCGACGGCATAGAGCCTGCCTTGAAACTCAGTCGCTTTCAGCAGTACATCGGCACTATTCTCCGAGGAAAGGACCTAAACCCTATGCAGCCTGCAGCCGTCGTTCTTGGAAAGCTCTGCAAGCCGGGCGGCTCTCTCATCTCGGAGCTGGTCGATGCCGAGGTGCAGACGGCGCTTGAGTGGATGCAATCAGATCGTGTCGAGGAGCGGCGGTACAGCGCTGTCTTGGTCCTCCGCGAACTGGCTAGGAATTGCCCCACGCTCATGTATCCGTATGTGGGCTTTGTGTTCGACCATATATGGATCGGCCTGCGCGATCCACGTCACTTAATCCGGGCGACGTCGAGCGAAACCGTCAGCGCGTGCTTCAAAATCATCCGGGAACGCGACCAGGATCTAAAGCAAGAATGGATGGACAAGATGTTTGCAGAGGCCATCAAGGGGCTGAAGACCAACAGTGTCGAGTACATCCATGCGTCGCTGTTAGTTCTCAAGGAGCTCTTAGAACAAGGCGGCATGTACATGCAGAGTCACTACCAGGAGGCCTGTGACATCGTCTACCGCCACAAGGATGCCCGGGATCCAGCCATTCGTAAGACGGTGGTCTTTCTCATCCCTGATCTGGCAAACTACGCCCCCTCGGAGTTTAGCGCTACTTACCTTCATAAGTTCATGGTCTATCTGACCAACATGCTGAAGAAGGAAAAGGAGCGCAATGACGCCTTCCTCGCCATTGGCAACATTGCCAACTCGGTCAAGAGCTCCATCACCCCCTATCTCGACAGCATTTTGGTCCATGTCCGCGAGGGGCTCAGTGTGCAGTCTCGAAAACGGGGCTCTGTCGACCCCGTCTTCGATTGCATCAGCCGGCTAGCTGTAGCTGTTGGCCAGACCCTAAGCAAATATATGGAGGCACTCCTGGATCCTATCTTCGCCTGTGAGCTCACACCGAAGCTCACCCAGGCCCTTGTCGATATGGCTTTTTACATCCCCCCGGTCAAAGGCATCATTCAAGAGCGGCTCTTGAACATGCTGAGCAAAGTTCTCTGCGGGGAACCCTTTCGGCCGCTGGGGGCACCTTACTCAACTCCGATTCCTTCTATACCACCCATCCCCAAGGACCCCAAGGACCCCTCGGTTCATGAGCGTGGTAAAGCTGAAGTGAAGCTTGCTTTGAACACGCTGGGAAGCTTCGACTTTTCCGGCCACATCTTGAACGAGTTTGTGCGTGATGTTGCTATCAAATATGTCGAAGATGATGACCCAGAAGTTCGGGAAGCTGCAGCACTTACCTGCTGCCAGCTCTATATCCGCGATCCCATCGTGAATCAGACCAGCTATCACGCATTACAAGTCGTTGCCGAGGTTGTCGACAAACTCTTGACTGTGGGCATCTCCGACCCGGAGCCAAAGATTCGTCAAACTGTCCTGACCGCTCTCGACGAGAGATTTGATCAGCATCTCGCCAAGGCTGAGAACATCCGGACGCTCTTCTTCGCCCTTCACGACGAACAGTTTGCTGTGAGAGAAGCTGCTGTCACAATCATTGGCCGGCTAACCCGCCATAATCCTGCCTATGTCATCCCGCATCTGAGAAAAACCGTCATTCAGATGTTGACCGAGCTCGAGTACACAGATGTACCGCGGAGCAAAGAGGAAAGCGCAAGACTCCTTAGTCTGCTGACTCAGCATGCCCAAGATCTAATTAAGCCATACGTCAGCTCTATCACCGAAGTTCTCTTGCCAAAGGCATCTGATCCAACCCCATCCGTTGCGGCAACCATTCTACAGGCGATTGGAGAACTGTGTGCCGTCGGAGGAGCGGAGATGCTGGCGTACAAGGATACTCTCATGCCGATCATCATTGATGCTTTACAGGATCAGAGTGCTCCTATCAAGCGTGAGGCTGCCCTCCACACTTTGGGCCAACTAGCTAGCAATGCTGGCTATGTCATTAAGCCGTACCTTGAATATCCCCAACTTCTTGAGATTCTCCAGTCTATCATTAGGGGCGAGCCTCAGCATGGTCCGCTTCGCCAGGAGACTATAAAGCTTTTGGGTATCCTCGGCGCCCTTGATCCCTATAAATACCAGGTATGGTGTTCTCGACAAAGCCCCGCTTTTTGTGTCATTCATTTGAAATGCCGAATGCTAAAACCCAACAATAGCAGGTTGAAGAGAGAGCGCCACAGACCCAGCGCCGACCTGAAGCCACCCAGCAAACAGACGTGTCCTTGATGATGTCTGGCCTGACCCCGTCACAGGAGGATTACTATCCCACAGTCGTCATCAACGCCCTCCTGCATATCCTCCAGGATCAGTCTTTGGTGCAGTGGCATGGTAACGTCGTGGACGCCATTATGAGCATTTTTATCACACTTGGGCTCAAGTGTGTCCAGTTTCTTGACCGAGTTGTTCCGGCCTTTATCGGCGTCATCCGGGCGTCCAGTCCGTCACGACTCGAGTTCTATTTCAATCATTTGAGTAGGCTTGTCACGATTGTCCGCCAACACATCCGTGTCTATCTCCCAGATATCATTGCACTGCTGCAGGAATTCTGGAACACCAGTTCATCCCTCCAAACAACCATACTCAACCTGATCGAATCAATTGCCCGATCGCTGGAGGGCGAGTTCAAGATTTACTTGGCAGGCTTGCTTCCTTTAATGCTTGGAGTGCTCGAGAAGGATGTGAGCACCAAGCGGCAGCCAACAGAGAAGATCTTTCACGCGTTCTTGGTGTTTGGCTCCAGTGCGGAGGAGTATATGCACCTCATCATTCCCATACTTGTTCGATTGTTTGACAGCCCAGCTCAGCCTGCATTCCTCCGAAAGTCGGCTATTGAGACCATTGGTAAACTTTCAAGCATGGTGAATCTCAACGATTACGCGTCCAAGATCATTCACCCCTTGACTCGCATTCTCGCAGGCCAGGAGCCTAGTCTTCGTGTGGCAGCGCTGGATACCATATGTGCCCTCATGCTGCAGCTAGGGAGGGATTATCTGCACTTCGAACACACGGTCGACAAAATTATTACCATGTATGGCATCCAGCATGCTAACTATGACAAAGCCGTCGAGAAGCTCAAAAAGGGCGAGGCCTTGCCCCAGAACCTGGCCCCGCGGTTTGAGGACGACGTTATTGAGCAGTACTCGCCCGAAAACAACCCTCCAAAGAAATTGGATCTCAACCCTATGCATCTGAAGCAAGCGTGGGACACCAAGGGCAAGTCTACTAAGGACGACTGGCATGAGTGGTTCCGCAAGTTCAGCACAACTCTGCTCTCCGAGTCCCCCAACCATTCATTGCGGGCCTGCGCTAGTCTGGCGAGTAACTACCAACCCCTGGCAAGAGAGCTTTTCAATTCGGCTTTTGTGTCGTGTTGGAATGAACTGTACGAACAGCATCAGGTATGATAATGACTGACCTCCCTAGACTAATTACCAGCCCAGACGTAGGGGGAAGGGGGGGGGGAAAGTGTGAAGAGATTGCTTGGCTAATACTAGAGTTACAGGAGGACCTTATCACCAACATCGAGAACACTATCAAATCCGAAAATGTACCTCCTGACCTCTTAGGTCAGCTTCTCAATCTTGCAGAGTTCATGGAACATGATGACAAAGCACTTCCTATCGACATTCGAGTCCTAGGTCGCGAAGCCGCTCGCTGTCATGCATATGCCAAGGCACTCCACTACAAGGAGCTTGAGTTCTTGCAGGACCATAACAGCCATGCCGTTGAAGCTCTCATTGTCATCAACAACCAGCTGCAGCAGTCAGACGCAGCTATTGGTATCCTCCGCAAAGCCAAGGCCTACAAGGATGGAATTCAGCTTCGGGAAAGCTGGTTTGAGAAGCTGGAGCGGTGGGATGAAGCACTTAATTTCTACTGCCAACGCGAACGTGAGCTCCCGCAAGACCAGCCAACCCCAGTGGATATCGTTATGGGCAAGATGCGTTGCTATCATGCATTGGGAGAATGGGAATCTTTGGCGTCCCTGGCTGGAAAGACGTGGGCAAACTCGAGCCCCGAGATTCAGCGAAGAATTGCCCCATTGGCCACCACTGCTGCTTGGGGTCTTGGGAAATGGGATTCTATGGACATCTACCTGCAGTCCATGAAGCGTTTCTCCCCTGACCGTGCCTTCTTTGGCGCAATCCTTGCCTTGCACCGCAACCAATTCCGCGAGGCGTTGACCTGCATTGAGCAGGCTCGGGAAGGACTTGATACGGAGCTCAGCGCTCTGGTCAGCGAGTCGTACAATCGTGCCTACCAAGTCGTTGTTCGAGTCCAGATGCTCGCCGAGCTGGAAGAGCTCATCATATACAAGCAGAGTGGTCCCGAAAAGCGCGCTACACTGCGTGCGACCTGGGAAACGCGTCTGAAAGGCTGCCAGCGTAATGTTGAGGTTTGGCAACGGATCCTGCGATTGAGGTCTCTCGTGCTCACTCCGCAAGAAAACATGCACATGTGGACAAAGTTTGCCAACTTGTGCCGCAAATCTGGACGCATGGGTCTTGCTGAAAAGTCGTTGAAGCAGCTCATTGAGACAGATGGGCCATTAGAATCGGTCATCCCTTATTGGCATGACCGGCCAACGACTCCCGCCACCGAGAGAATTGCGTTGCCGATTGTCTATGCAATACTCAAATATCAGTGGGCGGTCGGCCAGCAGCCTGGCGTCCGGACCTCTGACCGAGGGATCGCAGAGCGGACTTTGTATTGCTTGCGTAGGTTTACCGAGGAGACAGCACAGCGCCTCGAGGCGGCTAGGTTACAAATCTTCGCCTCTCAGCAGGCTGCCAATGGTGGTGTTATGGATGGGCTCGGTGCTTCCCGGTTTGCTGTGGACATCGATGATCCGGCCCTCCTGAACCCTGAAGCACAACGTCAGTGGGTAGAACAGACTGTGCTACTTGCCAAATGCTACCTCCGACAGGGTGATTGGATCATCGCCCTCAACAAGAACGATTGGCAGCTCACGCGGCGCGCTGATATCCTCGATTGCTATCGTAATGCCACTCGGTATAATTCGCGGTGGTATAAGGCCTGGCATGCATGGGCTCTGGCCAATTTTGAAGTTGTCCAGGCGCTTGCACCCCGGAAGGAGTCGATAGGCTTGTCGGAACACAGCATTGTCACCGACTACGTCGTTCCCGCAGTGCGGGGCTTTTTCGAATCCATTGCTCTGTCATCCGGGAGCTCCCTGCAGGACACCCTCCGTCTGCTTTCGCTGTGGCTCACATATGGCGGCTACCAAGAAGTCATCAATGCCGTCACGGAGGGCATCAGTCACGTCAGCGTCGACACCTGGCTTGAAGTCATACCTCAGCTGATCGCCCGGATCAACCAACCCAACAAGAGGGTGCAGCAGTCGATTCACTCGCTGCTGTCTGACGTCGGGCGCGCGCATCCACAAGCCCTTGTCTACCCGCTGACAGTGGCGTCCAAGTCGCGGCAGAGCACGCGACGGTCTAAGACAGCCCTGGCAATCATGGAAAGCATGCGCGCGCACAGCCCGAGGCTTGTCGAGCAGGCCGAGATCGTCAGTCGCGAGCTTATCAGGGTCGCTGTTCTTTGGCACGAACTCTGGCATGAAGCTCTTGAGGAGGCATCGCGGTTGTACTTTGGTGACAAGAACATCCAGGGCATGTTTGACGTCTTGGAGCCCCTGCACGAACTGCTTGAGAAAGGGCCCAAGACACTTAGAGAAATATCGTTCGCACAAGCCTTCGGCAGGGACTTGGCGGACGCGCGAGAATGGTGCAGGAACTACCGGCAGACTGGCGATTTGGCTGACATCGGCCAAGCCTGGGACCTGTACTACGCTGTTTTCCGCCGCATCAGTCGGCAGCTCCCTCAGATGACGTCTCTCGAGCTGACCTACTGCTCACCCGATCTCTTGGCAGCCAGGGACCTAGAGCTCGCCGTGCCCGGTACCTATCGCAGCGGCCAGCCGATCGTCAGGATCATGGCCTTCGAGGGCACATTCAGCGTTATCAGCTCGAAGCAACGCCCAAGGAAGCTCGACATCCTCGGCAGCGACGGCAAAACATACACCTTCCTGCTCAAGGGCCACGAGGATATCCGTCAAGACGAACGCGTCATGCAGCTCTTCGGTTTGTGCAATACTCTTCTGGCTAATGACTCGGAATGCTATAAGCGCCATCTCAATATCCAGCGATACCCGGCTATTCCGTTGTCTCAGAATTCTGGTCTACTTGGTTGGGTGCCCAACAGTGATACTATTCATCAGCTCATCAGGGAATATAGAGAGTCCAGGAAGATTCTTCTCAACATCGAGCACCGGATCATGCTTCAAATGGCACCCGATTATGACAATCTCACCTTGATGCAGAAAGTCGAGGTGTTCGGCTATGCCCTCGACAATACCACCGGCCAAGATTTGTATCGCGTGCTTTGGCTCAAGAGCAAGAGTTCCGAGGCCTGGCTGGACCGGAGGACCAACTACACGCGCTCTCTTGGTGTCATGTCTATGGTGGGATACATCCTGGGTCTGGGAGACAGACATCCTAGCAACCTGATGCTCGACCGGATCACAGGCAAGATCATCCACATCGACTTTGGCGATTGCTTCGAAGTTGCCATGAAACGAGAGAAATACCCTGAACGGGTGCCGTTCAGACTGACTCGCATGCTCACATATGCCATGGAAGTTAGCAACATTGAGGGCAGCTTCCGGACAACCTGTGAGCACGTGATGAGGGTCTTGCGGGATAACAAAGAGAGCGTGATGGCTGTTCTCGAAGCTGTAAGTATTCTTAACTAATCTCCGTTGTTCTTGGAACCAGAAAAACTAACTACCGTCTAGTTCATCCATGATCCACTGCTCACGTGGCGCTTGACCAATCCTGCCAGCCCCCCTGGCCCTCGCTTTGGCTCCGAACGAGAGCAAGCACTTGCTGGACCCCAAGGAGCACGCACCCGCCGCCCATCTATTTTAGATGGTCCCATTGCTCCAACAGAATATCTGGCACAGACCGGTGGAGTTGAGAGCATGATGGGCGGCCCAGGCGCCCGTGCTCGGGCACGGACAAACTCTTCTGTGGCGCCTTCAAGCAGCATGTCCAATACCAATGGAGCTCATGAGATGCCCGAGGTACAGAATGCTAGGGCTATCGAAGTCCTGGATCGTGTTGCTCAAAAGCTCACTGGACGTGACTTCAAACCACACGAAGAACTCAATGTTCCGGATCAAGTGAATAAGCTTATTATTGAGGCAACTAAGCTCGAAAATCTCTGCCAACATTATATTGGTTGGTGCAGCTTCTGGTGAGAACTTAAGACTGTTGGGTGCTAGGGCATGCATGGCGATGGTCAGAGGAGGTCGCTGTTGGATGGTCGTTTGTTTCTGGCTTCGGTGAGGGGGTGTCCGGGTTCGAGGCGTTTTGGTTGGCGCTACGTCCATAGACCAACAGGTTTGTGCATCTGCTGTATATATCTCTGTTGCTGTTTTCTCATTATGAGTGAGGGCCCTATGACGTGAACTGTCGTTATCTGGGAGCGGTGAGTTGGCCTACAGCTAGGAAACAAGTGGAGGTCTTGTAGTGGAATAATGTCATCACCAATGATACAATACATAATCCATGACGTCTCTCGAACTTTCGCGTGGATGACGCAGCGTGATGCCTAAAACTGTGGAAAATGCGTATTAAGCAGCTATGAATCTGAAAGGAAAGACCGAACACCGTCTATGCTGCTCGCTTGAATTGTGTTCGACCCAAGTAATGGAGATTGGCAACTGTGACCTATGCGAAAGCTCTCAACGTATCACTCTTATCTTCCTAAAGTATTCCTGTAACAGCCTGCACAAAGTCAAGGAAGATGAGCAGTGTGACGATCCAGCTAGCCTTCTGAGATGGGTTCGGATTCGGTTCAAGGCTTATGGATCTGAGAGACAGTTCTCACACAGATTCAGAAGCCCTATAGTCACCACTCTGTTCGGGCAATTACTGTATTGCTGACTGAGGAGTTCTCCCGTCCCCCTTCCTGCTGCAAGGAACTTATCTGCTTTACATACTCAGAATCATTCCTCTTCTACCAAGAGCCATCCGGTCCTTCGTCAGCGATTCTTAGCTCTGACTACCGTTCGTCAGAAACCCCCTGTTTCCTGTTTGCCGTTTCAAACCTCGCGTGAACCGCGCCTTCATTGGTCATTTGTGTCTGATCCCACTTTTTCCGCCTGATACTACCTGTTGGTCGTATTATTAAGATAGTGTAGATATCTACCTTGGTGCTTATTTAGGGAGCTATTGTGGTGCTACTTGCGCGCCTAGCATGGCATTGCAATCTATATAGATCCTCCCATTGGTTAGAAGAGACATAATATGAGGATTCCACAACCTCCTAAGATGGATTCGAAGGTAGTGGCCAAGTTGTAGAATCTGAGTGACTGGGGTCGTCACACAGTAGTGTATGGGGTTCATTGCGGTCACCAGTTGTTGGCTGACAACTGTTTTAATTACTGATTGAGGAATTCCTCCTAACTAGTGGCTAGCTAGGTCTTATATATACATGAGCGTCTCCTCCAGTATCACTCCTGCCACCACGAGCATCACCGGTGATACTAAAGTATCACGCCGTGATAATTTGATCTTGGCGGTGGGAATGTTTTGTTTGGTCTGTCCTTACGGCGTCTCCCTGCTTTTCCTGGCAGGACCTCACTTATTCCGTTGGCCTTGACATGGTACCCTTTCTCAGGTCTTTCGGCCCGAAAGACAGCTAAGGCTCTCTCGAGCTTTAACCTTTGTTCTTCGGTAAGGCTCCCCTAGTATTTCTGATTTTTCTCCTTTCTGATGCTAGGCCAACAGCTCTCACGTGCTGCCCGTTATCGCCACTCTTTTGTCCGTTAATATCGCTGAGAACGGCTTCCTCGTCATGCCTTGCTTACGGTGTGCGGCTAACAGCCTTCAATGTCGGATGGCCCCAAAAGCTCCCCGTTGTGAGGCATGCATGCTGCATGGTCACTCATGCGATGGCTCAGGTGTCCTATTATCGGCCTATGAGTACTCTCTTTTCCCATTGCCTAGGGTTCTCGTGTTAAATCCGGTGGATCGCATCTTGTCCGAGCAACGCCGTCTAAATAAGGAGGAGAGAGAAGCGGAACGGCTTCTGTCTCAGTATCAGCGCAAGGCGTCCGAAGCGCTAGCACGTCTGCAGGGGTTGCGCCGGCAGAATGAAGTTTTGGTAGAAAAGGGCGTGGAAAGGGTTGCGCGGGGGCTCTCGACGCTAGATGAATTAGAGATAGAGAAAAGAGAGAAAGCCTCTGGTAACTTCGGTAGCTTCTTTGTCCTTGGGCGCCGATTTGGAGGTCCTTTTGCAAGATCTGAACCCGGTCGATGCGGGTGTCGTCGATGGGAGTCCTATTGTTTCTCTGGGCAATTGAGGTTTTCGATGGGTTCCCACGAGTTGCTTTCTGGGACAGAATCCAACCATTTGATCACGTATTCCAACTTCCTATTTCAGATCTTGGAATCTAGTACTTCTTCAACGTCCCATACTTCTTCGTCCTCGGCTTCCTCATGTTCAGCAGTACGTACAGTGGAGGGTTCTAATTCAAGAAGCGAAATATGGAAAACGTTGGGGCGAAGTCTCATAGTGGGTGGCAACGACAGTCGGTAGTTGGTGTCAGATAGTTTTTCTTCTCCTATCAAAAGTGGTCCGAGTTTCTTGAAGTCAAGTTGGGCGCTTGGTTTGTTTCTTAAATTTCGGGCAACGAGATAGACTTTATCCTCCTTCTGTAAGCGAGGTCCCTCGAGCCGTCGCTGGTCGTAGTATTTCTTCAATTTTTGGCGTACAAACTCGAGCTCCTTCTTTGCTGATTCATGCAGTGAGCGTAGTTGGTTGGCTTTTAATTGCGCCTTGGGTACCGAAACCTCTGGTCCCAATCGTAGGTCTGCCTGACATCCGAAATTCGCAAAAAAGGAGAAAGTTTAGTCGTCTCAGTGGGCGTGGTGTTGTACGCCAATTGCGCCACGGCAGCAGGTCAGCCCAATTGTTTTTGTCGGTAATTCACGTAGTTTCGGAGGTATTCTTGGACCACCTGGTTGAGTCGTTCGGTCTGCCCGTCCGTTTGTGGGTGGTATGCCGTGGACAATCTGCTTTTCGAACCTAGTGGTTCCATCAAGGCTTTCCAAAAGGTAGAGAACTTCGAGTCCCTATCTGAAATCCTCTCCTTTGTCCAGCCATGGTTGCTTGCAACATATCGTAGTACTACATCTGCCATTCGCTCTGCTGACCAATCTTCTCGTGTCAGTATGAAATAGGCCCATTTAGTATATCGATCCACAACGACCATAATACTGTCGCATTTGCTGTCGGTTGCGCTGTCCCCAGAAGTTGGAAATTTGGTAATAAAATCGAGTGTTACAGCGCTCCAAAGTCGTTTAGAGACTTCTAACGGTTGCAAATGCCCGTATGGGTTGTGCCATGCCGCCTTGCTCTTATGGCACAAATCGCATTCATTGATCACTTGGCGTACTTGCTGGGGTAGGTGTGGGAAGCTAAAGTATGGTCGGACCTTGGCAATGGTTTTAGTAATCCCTACGTGTTCGCCAAGTCTAGATTCGTGAATCTCGCGGGTGACTTGGCGTTGGCAATCGACACTGAAGTAGGGTTTGCCTTATGCCGGAGTAGTTCACTCTTCCAATACACTCCAGCATCTGGTCCCTCTGGTCCTTCGAGCTCTCCCATTCCCCATTTTCATTGATCCTCTTCGCTGAGTTGGATGGAGTAGTCGGCGAAGCCTTGTCTTTCTTCCCGGTACGCTTCGCAGCATTCCTCGACTGTTTGTAGCGGATGTGCCAAAGTCCCGTCGAATTGTTCCTGCAATAAAGGTGGCGATGCCCCTCCTTATGATTGCTCGTGATCCGGTCTTGTGGTCAATATACACTTGAACTTCGTAAGTAGTGCCACTAAGACAAAGTCGCCATTCCTGGAAAGCCTCAACGATGGCGAGGAGCTCTTTGTCGTGGATTGGGTAGTTCATTTGTGTATTGTTGAGTTTCTTGGAGAATAACGCCACAGGGTGAAGCTTCCCGCTGTCGTCTCGTGGGCCTAACTGTCCTCCTATAGCGAAGCCAGACACCTCGGTCTCAACCTCAAAGGGTCTCGTCCGGTCTGGAGCCTAAGGACGGGTTCGCTGACGATAGCTTTCTTGAGACACTGGAAGGCATTCTCCTTCTCTGGCCTCAGTAAAAATCCACGCCTTTCTTGGTGAGCCCGTGTAGTGGCTTGGCAATTTTGTCCGAGGTTCCGAATGAACATGCGGTAGACATTGGCAAAGCCTATAAAGGCTCGAACTTCCTTAACGGTGGTTGGCATGGGCCAGTCTCGAACAGTGCTGATCTTCCCTGAATCCATGCGTAGTTCTCCTGGACAGATTTCATATCCAAGGGGTAGTCTTTTGTCACATGGAACTCGCTCTTTTATTAACCGAGAGCCCTCTTTCATGCAGAGCGTCAAGGCTGTTCTGAACGTGGCGGTGATGCTCCTTGAGGTTCTTCGAGCAGATGAGAATGTTGTCGAGCTAGCATACGACAAATTCATCTAAGAGCGGGAGTATGGTGTGATCGACCTTGGCTTGAAAGGTAGCGGGTGCGTTGATAAATCCGGGAGACATAACAAGGTACTTGTAGTGCCCATAGGACGTCCTGAACGCGGTTTCCACTCGTCTTTTTCCTTGATATGGGCGTAGGTAGTCGGCAAATTGAGGCGGGTGAAGATGCGTGCCCCTGGCAGTTGATCTCGAAGTTGCGAGATGAGCGGCAGGGAATATCGGTTCTTCACAGTCTGCTCGTCCAGCTGCTGGTAGTCCACACACATTCGCAGCTCTCCAGTTTTCTTAGGGACGAATAGCACAAGGTATCCGGCCGGAGAGGTAGAAGATCGAATGTGTCCGCGCTTCAGGTTCTCCTCAAGGTGCTTTTTGAGTGCCTCGTTCTCCCTTTCGCTCGCGTGGTACACCTTGAAAATTTTCAGTTGGCCTCCTTCTTTCAAATCCATTCCACGGTCGAACGGTCCATGTTCTGGGAGTCCCTCCAGATGCTTAGCCTCAAATGCAATGTGACCTCGGTGTTCTTCGGGAACCGAATCGTCCCCCTTAGCGTGACTCTTGCAGGAATTCTCGATTGATGCGCCTTCGCGAGAGGTGACTCAAGCCTCGATCGCGAGTTGTCGGCCTCCGTCCACAGGAGACCACAGCAACCTTCCGCCGTGTTTGTCTCCTGGCCTTCCTCCGGCTGTCCGGTCGACCAGGTATCGCCAGGTTGGCTGCCG